GACTTATTGGACTAGAGTCTTTAATATGCATCATAAACTTGTTCTAAGCAGTGGTTCCAACTGTAAGCTGCTATTAAGCTTTTCCCACGAAATGACAAGACTAGCTGCTATTGTTGCTTTCTATGGTATTTTAAATTATGTGTGAAAAAGCAATGAAACATATTTTTAAAATAATAATAAAAGCTAAAGAAAAAATTTTTTAAAATGGGTTTCACGATGCTTTGACCTATTATCTAATGTATTCAACTGGTATTCTACATTTTTCCAGTAGTGATACTCATATTGTATAACAGAATCAAAACTTTATTATTTAAAGGTAAGCTGTATATATAAAATACACTCCAAACTCTAGACTTTGATAGGGAAGTACAATTTGCATGTCTTCAAATGGGAGGACAAGGACTCCAATTTTCTCCGGGACAAGAGGAAAAGGTCCCTGTAGTTTCAGCCAAAATCTATTTCTATTAAGGTAAAAATTAGCTGCAAAATTTAAGACTAAGGATTTAAACAAAGCAAGGTGGCAGACAACCCTCTAGGCAGGATGTATTAGCATATACATATTAACACTAATACTACCTATGATACATGGAATATGGACAACAAGGCCCACTAAACATATAAATGAATTTCTAATAGAGGGGACAAAAAACTCATTAGGATTAATATTGTTACTTAGGAGCTCAGCCGTGCTGCTATTTTAAAATATCTCCTTAAGTACCTTGACTGTAAAACTCTATTTGTCTGGAAAGATAGATAAGCTCATGCTGACCAAACAAAGGAATGCAGTCTTGTGTTCCCCTTCAAGCTTTTGCCAAAAGACCCTCTATCACACAAGGCTAAAAGTATCTAGGCATATAATTATTATTTATTAAATTGCCCTTCATCCAAATATCACAGGGTTGTTGACAATACAAAAACACAAAAATACATAACAAAATACCGCAATCCCCGCCCCCCAATTTGAAAGGCCATAGTTTAATTGTTGCCTGGTTCCTAAATATAAATGAAGGCGCCAGGCGAGCCTCCTTGGGGAAAGCATTCCACAAACGGGGAGGCATCACAGAAAAGGTCTGTTCTCCTGTTGCTGCCCTCTGGATCTCTCACGGAGGAGGCACATGAAGAAGGGCCTCTGATGATGATCACAGGGTCCAGGTCGGTTCATATGGGGAGAGGCGGTCCTGGAGGTATTGCGGTCCTGAGTCATTTAAGGCTTTATAGGTCAAAACCAGCACTTTGAATTGGGCCCGGGGAACTAATTAGCAGCCAATGCAGTCAGGCCAGGATTGGCATTATAAACTCATACTGATTTGCCCCCTTTCTCCTTTAGATTTTCAGATCACTCATGCTGCCCCCCAGCAATGTGTAATTTATCCAGTATCATCTTCTGTCTGCTATATATTGCCCTTTTTTCATTTGGAAGCCTCTCCAGTTTTATCATTCAGCATAAGCACACAGCTCCTTCTCAACTTATCTGTCGTGACCTCGTCTTCTATAGATTTGCTGGTCTAGCTTAAATACTCCCCTCTGTAAACATTCCTTTGTGCCTGTAATAAACTGTCCATTTTATTAGCCCCAACACTGGCTCTCGACTTACCACTACAGTTGTACTTCGGGTTAAGAACTTAATTTGTTCCAGAGGCCCATTCTTAATCTGAAACTGTTCTTAACCTGAAGCACCACTTTAGCTAAGGGGGCCTCCTGCTGCCTCCGGAGCCCAATTTCTGTTCTCATCCTGAAGCAAAGTTCTTAACCCGAGGTACTATTTCTGGGTCAGCGGAGTCTGTAACCTGAAGCGTCTGTAACCCGAGGTACCACTGTAATTGAAAGGTCCAATTGTCCCCATGATGAACCATGATTCTTGGCTCAAAGACCAACACATGCTCCTCCTGTACACATGTGAAGAGCACACACTAATAATATGCACAAATGCAGTTTCAACCGAGTTGAACCAATAAGGACTTTAGGAGGATAGGCATCAAACTTCCAGGAGAAACAAGTATGTGGATTTGGCAGGGTAGAGATGTCGGATATTTATATTATTATTCTGGAAGCCCTTCCCACATGATACAATCTTGCAAGTCACATGGCATTGTATGCTTCCAGTTATCATCTAATCCTATTCTCTGTTTACAATTCTAGGAGCTACTACACATCTCCAACTCAAAATATATTTACTTTTTACTGGATTAAGGAAAAAGACAGACCAAGAGTTTTTCCTACAGGAATTTTTAAAATTCTCAAATGGCCTGAAGAACAATCTGTACCAGCAGCACTAAATTTATAGATGAACAGAAGGGACATTTCATTGACAGGATAAGAAAAGCTTGTGTGATGTAGGCTCTGGAAAACAGAATTATTTTTAACTGTTGACTGAAAAGAGAGAGACGAAGTAGGATGGGTTACATGGGCATTTATTAGTAGCTGTTTTAGTTGTTTTTAAAGTTGCTTCCCTTAATAATCAAAGCTGGTTAGCAGTAGGTCAGAGAAACTGTAGTTACAACTGCCCTGATTATGTAACACTACAGGAAAGTCTCCTCCCTGCGCCATTTTTACCAGTACTAGAATTTTTCCAAGCCTATGTGAAGCACCAGTTTAGATACCTTAAGGGGAAAGTAGCAAAACACCAGGTGGGTTGCAAAGAATGACAAAAGTGAACAAAGAAACACAAGACAGAAGTGATCAAAGTCATGGATGCAGCATAAAAAGCTACATTAGAGCTTAGACACCAGGACCTGCACAGTAAAAAAAAAAAAAATGTTATCTAGTGTGGTACCTTGTAGTTACTCCTATCTGAGAAGATGGAATGCTGCAGTGTCTTCCATCTTGACTCTAAATGTGTCTCCTCTGAATGAACTTGTACATAACTGTACTTAAATCATAATCTAATAATCAATCCAGTGCATGACATCGAAAATCTCTGAACTACACCTAGTAGTGCCCATAATTACTCAGTGAGCTAAGTGGATTACAGTGGTGCCCCGCAAGACGAATGCCTCGCAAGATGGAAAACTCGCTAGACGAAAGGGTTTTCCGTTTTTTGAGCTGCTTCGCAAGACGAATTTCCCTATGGGCTTGCTTCGCAAGACGAAAACGTCTTGCAAGTTTGTTTCCTTTTTCTTAACACCGTTAATACAGTTGCGACTTGACTTCGAGGAGCAACTCATAGAACGCAGTGTACATAGTAGCCTTTTTTGAGGTTTTTAAAGACTTTGGTGATTTTTGAAGCTTTTCCAAAACTTCTTTTGCAGCCATTTAGTAAGTTAAGCTTTTAAAACTTTTTTGGGGGGGTTTGGATTTTGGGTTGGGGTGTTTGGAATTCAAGGACTTGGTGTTGGGGAGGGGTTTGCAAGAATCTGGAAGCTTGTGTGTTTTTTTCTGCATTTTTATGATTTTCTGTGACCATTGGGCAACTCTGCTGTTTTTTAAAAAAAATTCTGGGTTTGAATTTTGAAATGCTCTTTACAGTATGTGTGACTTTAAAGAGCACTTAATAAACTCTTGTTGTACCAAATTTGGCTTTGTTTGGACTTTTTTTGACCATAGGAACGCATTAATTGATTTTCAATGCATTCCTATGGGATTTCGTGCTTCGCAAGACGAAAAAATTCGCGGAACGAATTAATTTCGTCTTGCGAGGCACCACTGTAAGTTCATTCAGAAACTCTGAATGATTTCTAGTTCATCTTCACATTCATTCCCTTTCCTCTTCTCCACCCGGCCACAAAGCACTGAGGACCCAGACTCTTAGCTTCTTTTTAAAAAAAATTGGGCGGAGCAAGTAAAGAAAGCTGGGAAGTAAACAGTCAACACAACCTTCTAAGGCTTATTAGGCAAATATGGAGGCACTCATGTCGTTAGGGTTGTTTAGTCACTTAATCACTAAGAAATCAGATGGAATGTGAGGCATTTCATGTATCTTCCTTGCTGAATAGATCTGCGGGCTTGCAAATGGGGCAGCTTGCAGCAGGAAGTACAGAAGCAAAGCAAACAATGCCTTGCACCTTTAACAGCTGTATGGCTGGCATGCAAAGTCCTTGTATCAGCTCCTACACTTTTAAAAACTGTCATTCTGCACCATGTGCACAGGGAGAAAGGGATGCCAAGAGACTCCAGGAAGCACCATTGCCACCAGCTGCCTTCACATGCAACACTGTTCTTCCAAATCTGCATACCCTTCTCCTTGGCTACATACCTCTATTTTGGCATGCTGGGACCCTAGGGAGAAAATCAGTGCTGGGATTCTTGACATTAAGGCACAGGAGGACCTCAGATAGACCTGAATGGCCTCACTTCGCAGAAGATTAGTGCTGCATGAGAAGGCCAAATGAGGTAGCAATAGGGCCCTACAGGAGCTGTTCTGCACCCTGTTGCTGATGGATACACGACTGACATTCTAACAGAACAGGGTTCATTGTACTTTAAAGCAAGGGTGAAGAGCCTATGACCCAGTGGCCAAATGCAGCCTTCCACACCTCACTATTTGGCTCTTGGGATATTTCTCAGGCCACATCCCTCACCAGCCCTACTTCATATCCTCGAGTGTTTTTGCCTGGCTGAAATGTGTCCTTGAACTCTTGGTTGCATGAATGGAGAATAGATAGGGGTGTGTGAAGGAACTAGCCTCCTGTAAAAGGACATTTGCAGTACATGCCGTGACCATTTTAGGTGCCTCCAATTGATGTGCAATTGCCGACATGCAGGTCCTTATGGATCCAGAAGAGGGCATAACAGGGCACGCTTATATGTGCTCTGCTGAAGTGTGCCAGGGCCAGGAACAGAATCCCTGTGCAAAATGGTATTTATTTTCCTTTACCCACTTTTGCTTCTGACCTTGTCTACCACAGGCCTGAGGCTCCTGGAAGGTAGCTCAAATAGGAATAGGGCCTTTGGTCTGAGAGCTTTGAAGAAATCACACATGGGAATTTCTGGAGAGGAACAAGGAGAAAAGAAAACTTGCCTGTAGAAAAGAAACAACTCAAAGCAAATCACATCACACCAGGTTGGTTTGTGCAGCCCTTTATTAGCAACTAAAATAGAAGATATTTGTTGTACAACATGGGTAGTAATTGACTATACTGGAGTTTTATTATATTCTGATACAGGATCTTTTATAAATGCATTTTTTATTAAAAAGCTTCCACCCTCGTCTGTTTACAACTTGCAAAACTATTCTGAAAGCAGAGTACATGTGCACAGGTCTGCAGAGTGCAAATCTGGGATGTGGTAAATGCTTTTACATGTTGTACCTGCAAGGGGACCAGCGTCTGCCACCATCCCTTTATAGCCACTGGCTTTTAGAAGTCACAACATTTTGACACCAGCCTTCCTTCCCTTGTCCTAAACAAGAAAGCATTTTAAAATGAGTTGTAACTAAGGAAGGACTACACCTACTAGAAAAAGAAGAGTTCTATTAGTTTGAGGTTTCAGTATACCCAAAGACCAGGAACTGCATCTTTGTAAGGGCAAGGCTGGGACCCCACTGGGTGTGCAGGTGTCATCCCTGAGTAGTCAGAGGTTCAGTGGACCATGAGCGCTCCTGCTGCGTAACTCACTGAGCTGTCTTGCCAGTTTCGACACTGGCTTGACTGGGCATAATTCAAAAACGAGAAGCTCATGTTCATTCCATTCTTCTGGAGCTCTGTGATAGCCTAGGGGGAAGGAAAGCAAAAAGGTTCGCTGTTTTGGAAGTAAAGTTGACATTCCAAGAGAGGCAGCACTCTAGTGCCTTATTCATAATGGAGTCTTGCAAACTTTGCAAGGGAGGACTGGTAGGTATCAATGCTCAGTCCCCACATTACTGAAGGGAAAATGCTACTGGAAATTCAGGGTTTCCCTCAAGAATTCAGTTCCACTCCAAACTCTGCTAAGAACACCACCCAGCTGAGTACGACAAAAGCTAAACCACAGAAGGTTTGGTCACCAAGGAGAGTGTATGATATTTTCTAATAATGGCATTTGCTGCTTTTGAACTCTGCTTAACAAACAGTACTTACATTTAGTAAAACCCCAATGGGATGTCTTCCACATATCGTATTATGGTATTTCTTCAAGTAATTGCTAAAGGACACAGGGTCAAGCTGCTCTATAATGCTCATACCCTAAGGAGAATATCAATATTATGATCAGCTATAATTTAGAGCTGCATTTATTCATAACCAACATTTATAGCATGCCAAGCATGTTACCCAAGAAATACAGATATCAAACACAGAAAGCCTTAACATGTAGGGAAATACCTAAGCTTTACAAACTTTTTTTTGTAAAAAAAGACAGTTATAATTGTATTACTGTGTATTATGAATACACAGAGCTTTCCCTTCAATGTGATATGGTTGTCACATCACCTGCGGGGGGGACCGACACCAAATTGAGAAGCTATCAGTAAAGTGGAAGTTCTACATAGCACATTAGGTCTTTTCCTCCCTACCAGCATGATCAAGAGTTTTCCCCTTGAATTTTAGCTCCAAATCCAAAGAGTTCTGTGATAAACTGGGAAGGCCTAGGCCCAATACCTCCTCCCATTAGAGCTGGCATCCCCAACCTTCGGCCCTCAATGTTTTGGACTACAATTCCCATCATCCCTGACCGCTGGTCCTGTTAGCTAGGGATCATAGGAATTGTAGGCCAAAACATCTGGAGGGCCACAGGTTGGGGATGCCTGCATTAGAGTCTACAACTGTCTCTTAGAACAACTGGTAGCATGCTCTTAATGCAAGGAGCCCCACTGAATCAGACCAAGGGTTGATCTACTCTAATCTTGTTTCTAGATGTCTCCATGGAAACATCTACAAGACAGGCATGAAGACAATAGCCATCCCATTCGGCAGCTAGTATTTAGATGCAAAAGTGCCTCGGAACATGGTGACACCATTTAGTTATCATCACTAACAGATGTTGACCTTTTAAAAGGCTGCAATCATCTCCTCACTTACCTGAATTCACTAGGACTTACGTGGTTATGATTGCACTGCAAGATAGCTATGAATTCTATAGCATAATTGTGCCTTGTGAAAAATTACTAAGTTCTCCCTGCTCCACCCCCACCCCACCTGAACCTACTGATGATCCAACACCATTGGGAAATTCTGAATTCTAGCAATGAAGGAAGAAACAAGTAGCATTTCTGAAAAGCTTCCACAGGGATCCTGGACATCAAAACTCTATTTCCCAATGTTGTTGGTGGCCACATGTACTGCGGCTACGGATTCCCTCCTAGACTAGGAATAGATGAAATGGTCTTGATACAGTTTGCATCCCTTGTGTTGAAACAGAAATGGGAACGTGTTATTTGGAGCTCTGAAAAACTCCAGGAGCCCTCAAAAAACGCAGGACGAGCAGACAACAGAAAGTATGAAATTTAACACTTACCATTTTATCTAGGTTTTCAATGGACCTATAGATCTCTCCTTGAGACTCATCATAGTAACTGTATCTGAACCGCTGACCTTAATTAATCAAATTAAAGAAGAAATGAGTAACTAGACACATATTATGTGGTTATGATTTTTTAAAATGAAACAAAGTGGTATCTGAACAGGCAGCACAAATCTATGGTGTACTGCATCTTTAAAATACTCTCATTCAGTATACTGACTGCATTTGGATGATCAGCCATCAGTTTAATGATATATGATAATGTCTTCTGCCCATGCACAGAGTCTTTATGCCCATCCCTTTGTGTGAATAAGCTCACAAACCAGCAACTCTTTCATTAACTATTCTTTCCCTTTTCTTCCAGCACTGGTAACAGCTTTAAAACAAGCCATGGTGTTAAATCACAGTGTGCTTAAAGGCTCATTTGTATCTCAGGTTATTAAGGTAAAAAATGACTTTTTGAACTTTTCCATTATATTGCAATAAACCTAATCCCAACAAGACAGCAACCAATCAGATTAAAGTGTCCTTATAACGCAAACATGATTTCTATCAACATTTGGCACTAAGGAAATATAGTATGGTCATACATTAAATATTTATTATTTTAAAGTAAATTTAAACTTGTATCAATAGTTTAAAAATATATAAAGACATCATTTTGGTTTATGTTGCTTTATTTGCAAAATGCCAGAAGAGCTGTTGTTTTTAATTGCAGTGCTTTAAGAACACTGCCACTTGTCAGAAATGTTCTTCCTGCTTTGCCCCCATAGCAGAAGTGACAGAGATGCCTCCAGTAAAAGCTTGGGAAACTTTAAAATGACACAAAAGCCAGAAAAAACTAGATCACAGCTGCCTTCTTTTGCTGGCTCTGCAATTCTAATTTGAGTAGAATGAAGCAAATATGAAAAAGAGTGATCAGATACTGGTTTGGAATGCAAATTATTAAAACTGCTGGTGAATCCTTGCCCCCCTGACTCAACCATGGGAAGAGTTCTCATTTTTCATCACAAAAGAATGCGTCATATGAATTTCCTCTTTTAATAATAAATGTAACTCTTAAGACTGTGTGTATGTGTGCTTATCTCTGTGTATATGCTTGTGTGTGTAAAGTCAAGCTCATGCCTTAACTATGACTGTGTCTTTTGTCACCCCTGCCACACCATGAAGGTGCAACCAACAAACTTCAGCTTCAATTCGCTCTAACAGGTTTGTCAAACTAAAATGCATTTCAATGTAACATACATGTATTTTGTGTATATTTGCCAATGTATGCAATTGGAGTTCACAACTATTCACATGCCTCAACTTACCCCAATGACAGAAGTCAGAGGAAACCACAAAAAGATTACAAGGATCTGCTAAATATTTGCTGAAGAGTTTTCCAAATTCCTGTTCTTTTGTCTCACTCAGTGCTCCAACCAACACAGGAACAATGGTAAACTCATCCTTATGGCTTAAAGAAGAGAAAAATAAGTTTGCATTGTAGAGGGTCAAGACAAGATCAGTGCTGAATGCTTCCCTCACCCTCCTGAATGTGCTTCTCCCACATGCAACTTTCCCCCACTTCTTGTAGGCCTGCCTCCCATGTGAAAAGCACTGAACATACCCCATGGCACATATTCTGAATCCATGATTCAGCTTTATTTCTTAAAAAAAAGGAAACAATTATTTTAAAAATCGTTTTGATCTGTTGCCATATTTATCTAACTAGCACTTTCTAAAAGTTTGCACCTCATCAGCACACTCTGAATAGCACTTAAGCCTGACAAAAACAGCTTGCTGTAAAGCAGGCTTCCTCAACCTCGGCCCTCCACATGTTTTTGGCCTGCAACTCCCATGATCCCTATCTAACAGGACCAGTGGTCAGGGATGATGGGAATTGTAGTCTCAAAACATGTGGAGGGTCAAGGTTGAGGAAGCCTGCTGTAAAGAAACACAGTGTGTTTCAGATGACCAAGCCAGACTCTCTCTGTATTTCAGAATCAGAAATAGGTACTCTGGTAGTGATAGCTTCATAAGGAAAACAAGCTGTGTGTTTTTTTCATTGTCTCATGCCCAAAGGGGCAGTGATTTTTCAAACACTGTTTTGTTAAATAGGTATGTTTTATAGTCACAACTGAAATGTGTAGTCAATAGCTTATGCTTAGACTTGTATTTTGAAGTGGCTGAGTTGTAGAGTTTCTTGCTGAGTGAACCTTTGTAATTAATTTGACACTGTATTGCTTATATGTATTATCTACTATTATAAATTGTATTCATATAACTGTTTTGTTTGGATTTTAAATTATGTTACCATGTTTTAAACTGACCTGAAGCTATTTGATAAAGAGTGGTATATACATTTCTTAAACGTTTACAGGTGATTTCTTTATGGAAAGATGCTGCCGTTTTGTAGGATTTGGGTCTCCTATAATTGGAACAAGCTGCGCAAAGTGGGATAGTACACTTCTTTGATTTTTGCCAATTCTTCCAAGTCACATAAGGAAGGATGGAAGGAACATATAATAACAGATGTACTAAGTTGAGATAAAAGCCCTGACCGCCTGAACTCTACCCAACCCCTACTGATTTCTACTCTAAGAAATTATCTGTGTGTCTAAAAGTTACAGCCTACAGTTCTCTTACTCGTTTTAATGAGCTTAAGACACTTGAGGATTCCAGCATACTGTATTCTACATTAGTGGAGTATGGGAGAAACCCATACATAGATTTATTAAAAGCAGGGATTCAATATGTACATTCTACATATGGTGCAGCTTCTTAAAAAGTAAATGTACCTTTCCATGGCTTTAGCAGTATAAGGCAAATGCATTTCAATACTGTGTTCATCTTCATCTGTTTGCAGAGACATGCGCTCAAACATTCCAGTCTTCCATAATTCTGCATAAACTGAGAAGTTTTGAATATATTAGTCTGACTAAAAAAATACTGAATGAGAAGCTGTCTTTCTGCTTTATCAACTTTCTGGTTATACTCAAACTAGGATGAAGTGTATCTCCTCAACCAAGTACTGTGATATAAAGTGCCAAGTTAAAACCTTTGCCTTCAGGCTGTATTGGAAAGCAGACAGTTTATGTATTAAGATTACCAGTAACCACTGGATAGAGGCAGAATCAAAAATAACCTATTGGGGAATATCTGTTTATAGAAAACAATGATTGTAGGTGCCTACAAACGTTTTCATGTGCTCAGAAAAGCTCTCTCCCGCCCAATCCTTCTGTTAACTCAGCTAAAGTATTTTAACACAGAAACTCTCCTACTAAGTTACTGGCATGTCAGTCTCTTTTATGCAAGACAAAGATCCTGTGTTCCTCCAGATGTTGTTGGACTACAGCTCTCATCAGCCTTGGTGGTGCTGTTGGGGTCCAACATCTGTAGAGCCAATGGTGCCTCCCCTCTGATGCAAGATATAAAGACGATCACAACTGAAATTAGAGCTAAATTTTATTCTGTAACCCCTTCATGGACCACTGCCTTGCCGTGGCGAAGGGGCTTGAATAACTCAGAGAAGCTATGAGCTATGCCGTGCAGGGCCACCCAAGATGGACAGGTCATAGTGGAGAGTTTTGACCAAACGTGATCCACCTGGAGCAGGAACCGGCAAGCCACTCCAGTATCCCTGCCAAGAAAACTCCATGGACAAAGACAACAGGCATATAAAAGTTATGACGCTGGAAGATGAGCCCCTCAGGTCGGAAGGCGTCCAACATGCTACTGAGGAAGAGCGGAGGACAAGTACAAATAGATTCAGAGCTGATGAAGCGGCTGGGCCAAAGCCGAAAGGACGCTCAGTTGCGGAAATGCCTGGAAGCGAAAGGAAAGTCCAATGCTGTAAAGAAAAATATTGCATAGGAACCTGGAATGTAAGAACCATGAACCTGGGTAAGTTGGATGTGGTCAAAAATGAGATGGCAAGAATAAATATTGACATCCTGGGCATCAGTGAACTAAAATGGACGGGAATGGGCGAATTCAGTTCGGATGACTATCATATCTACTACTGTGGGCAAGAAACCCGTAAAAGAAATGGAGTGGCCCTCATAGTCAACAAAAGAGTGGCGAAAGCTGTACTGGGATGCAATCTCAAAAATGATACAATGATCTCGCTACGAATCCAAGGCACACCTTTTAACATCACAGTAATCCAAGTTTATGCACCAACCACTGGTGCTGAAGAAACTGAAATTGACCAATTCTATGAAGACTTACAACACCTTATAGAAATGACACCAAAGAAGGATGTTCTTCTCATTATAGGGGATTGGAATGCTAAAGTAGGGAGTCAAGAGATAAAAGGAACAACTGGCAAGTTTGGCCTTGGAGTTCAAAACGAAGCAGGGCAAAGGCTAATAGAGTTCTGCCAAGAGAACAAGCTGGTCATCACAAACACGCTTTTCCAACAGCACAAGAGACGACTCTACACATGGACATCACCAGATGGGCAGCATCGAAATCAGATTGATTATATTCTCTGCAGCCAAAGATGGAGAAGCTCTATACAGTCAGCAAAAACAAGACCTGGAGCTGACTGTGGCTCAGATCATCAGCTTCTTATAGCAAAATTCAAGCTTAAACTGAAGAAAGTAGGAAAAACCACTGGGCCGGTAAGATACAATCTAAGTCAAATCCCTTATGAATACACAGTGGAAGTGAGGAACAGGTTTAAGGATTTAGATTTGGTGGACAGAGTGCCTGAAGAACTATGGATGGAGGCTCGTAACATTATACAGGAGGCAGCAACTAAAACCATCCCAATGAAAAGGAAATGCAAGAAAGCAAAGTGGCTGTCCAACGAGGCCTTACAAATAGCAGGGGAGAGAAGGCAAGCAAAATGCGAGGGAGATAGTGAAAGATACAGGAAATTGAATGCAGATTTCCAAAAATAGCAAGGAGAGACACGAAGGCCTTCTTAAACGAGCAATGCAAAGAAATAGAGGAAAACAATAGAATGGGAAAAACCAGAGATCTGTTCAAGAAAATTGGAGATATGAAAGGAACATTTCGTACAAAGATTACCATAATAAAAGACGAAAGTGGAAAGGACCTAACAGAAGCAGAAGACATCAAGAAGAGGTGGCAAGAATACACAGAGGAATTATACCAGAAAGATATGGATGTCTCGTATACCCCAGGTAGTGTGGTTGCTGACCTTGAGCCAGACATCCTGGAGAGTGAAGTCAAATGGGCCTTAGAAAGCACTTCTAATAACAAGGCCAGTGGAAGTGATAACATTCCAGCTGAACTATTTAAAATTTTAAACGATGCTGCTGCTAAGGTGCTACACTCAATATGCCAGCAAATTTGGAAAACTCAGCAGTGGCCAGAGGATTGGAGAAGATCAGTCTACATCCCAATCCCAAAGAAGGGCAGTGCCAAAGAATGCTCCAACTACCGCACAATTGCACTCATTTCACACGCTAGCAAGGTTATGCTTAAAATTCTACAAGGCAGGCTTAAGCAGTATGTGGACCGAGAACTCCCAGAAGTGCAAGCTGGATTTCGAAGGGGCAGAGGAACCAGAGACCAAATTGCAAACATGCGTTGGATTATGGAGAAAGCTAGAGAGTTCCAGAAAGACATCTACTTCTGCTTCATTGACTATGCAAAAGCCTTTGACTGTGTCGACCACAGCAAACTATGGCAAGTTCTTAAAGAAATGGGAGTGCCTGATCGCCTCATCTGTTTCCTGAGAAATCTCTATGTGGGACAAGAAGCTACAGTTAGAACTGGATATGGAACAACTGATTGGTTCAAAATTGGGAAAGGAGTACGGCAAGGCTGTATATTGTCTCCCTGCTTATTTAACTTATATGCAGAATTCATCATGTGAAAGGCTGGGCTGGATGAATCCCAAGCCGGAATTAAGATCGCCGGAAGAAATATCAACAACCTCAGATATGCAGATGACACAACCTTGATGGCAGAAAGTGAGGAGGAATTAAAGAACCTTCTAATGAGGGTGAAAGAGGAGAGCGCAAAATATGGTCTGAAGCTCAACATCAAAAAAACGAAGATCATGGCCACTGGACCCATCACCTCCTGGCAAATAGAAGGGGAAGAAATGGAGGCAGTGAGAGATTTTACCTTCTTGGGCTCCATGATCACTGCAGATGGTGACAGCAGCCACGAAATTAAAAGACGCCTGCTCCTTGGGAGAAAGGCGATGGCAAACCTAGACAGCATCTTAAAAAGCAGAGACATCACCTTGCCAACAAAGGTCTGTATAGTGAAAGCCATGGTGTTCCCAGTAGTGATGTATGGAAGTGAAAGCTGGACCATAAAGAAGGCTGATCGCCGAAGAATTGATGCTTTTGAATTATGGAGCTGGAGGAAACTCTTGAGAGTCCCATGGACTGCAAGAAGATCAAACGCATCCATTCTTAAGGAAATTAGCCCTGAGTGCTCATTGGAAGGACAGATCATCAAGCTGAGGCTTCAATACTTTGGCCACCTCATGAGAAGAGAAGACTCCCTGGAAAAGACCCTGATGTTGGGAAAGATTGAGGGCACAAATAGAAGGGGACGACAGAGGACGAGATAGTTGGACAGTGTTTTCGAAGCTACAAACATGAGTCTGACCAAACTGCGGGAGGCAGTGGAAGACAGGAGTGCCTGGCGTGCTCTGGTCCATGGGGTCACGAAGAGTCGGACACGACTAAACGACTAAACAACAACAACAACCCACCTCACTTATCTCCCAATATTTATTTTAGTTACAAGCAGTTGCTTTATATAGTTTAGTGTACTGCATCAACTTTGTCAATGAAGGACAAGTGGTTACTGTAAGCAGGCAAAATCCCAACAGACTTTGTTCTACTAGGGAGGAAAATAAGATTCTAGGCTCCTGAAAGTGTTCAGTAGTATAACTGCACAAAGGCAGAACTATGGCTGCCACAGGAATCCTTGGACAAGTGTCCATTCGGTTCATTCATAAGACACTATTCTGTTAGTCCTGTTAGTTCCCAAGGTTTTAAGATACAAACCAACCAAACGTTTAAAAAATCAAAACATGAAGAAAACAAACAAATGAATGCCTTCTCCCAGATACAAAGCTAAGGCCACAGAGTGCAAATAAAACAGCTGGGTTTGCAGAAAAGCTGGTGACAGTCCAACAAAACAGACTGAATTATTTCAATGAACTCCTTTATTACATGAATTCTAAACAGTGCTCTTCCTTAAATAATAACCCATGTTAGATTTACTTCCTGTGCCATACCCTATTTTTATTTTATGAGAATATTTAGAGGTAAGTCAAATAAAAGGAAAAGTCACAATGGATTAAGAATTAGTTTTGCTTGTGTACTGCAGTGGTTGTGTATTTTATATGCAATTACCCTTTTGATCAATTCGCAGATCATATAGTGGGGTTCTATATATATCCACACTGGAAAGTGCACACCGGGAGAGGGGCACGTGGTGGGAAGGCCCAAGGATGAAGATTCTCCGTCTGAGGGTGAGCAGAAAAGATGTAATATTAGCGACTGTCTACTCAACAGAAAAACAATGGATTCCATGACTAGCTAAAGACAGGTGAATGGTTCCACTATCAACGTTAGCACTCCAGCACACATGGACATGCCTCCTGCTCCCTGGTTACATCCCATTACAGTTGTGTCCAACCAAAGGGTTTTCTCCTTGAAGGAAAAAGACAAGGCTCCCAGTTGGATGCCTTTATTACAGCTCTTTTTTATGTTATCACTGTAGCGTGGCAAGTGAGATGCTACATCATGTAGCATCTAATTTCAGAAAATGAGGACTGTATGGTCCTGATTGCATACAGTTCCAGGCAATTTTAAATACAACCCGAAAAATAGTGCTGTGGTCCAAACTGTCTCCACCCTATATAGAAATGTCTTCACATATGTGTGCTCATTGGTGCAATCTGGAGCCAAAGCAATTTGGCATCCTGATGGCAACCACGATGCCAAAGCTAACACAAGTATTGGGTGGGTAGGGTCAAGAAAAGGGGGCATTGACACTAGAACTTCACACAACATTTATCCATTCATTCTATGAAGTATACTGTCTCTCAGAGGCATTGTTCAATTTGCCCCAAGGATTGGGACAAAACAGCAAGTTATCTCCATTATGTGTCAGCCACTACGGTACAGGTATCCCTCTTTGCCACTACCTAAAATGGCTTCTGTCTTAAAGTCAGCATGTATGCAAATCAAGTTCTGTTGTACACACTCTAAGAATCTTCTAAAGTGACTTACGTGACTGAAGGATCCACTTGTTTGTACGCATGAGCTGCACACGACCCACAGTAAGTATAGCCTGCATGCCTGCAAAAAACAGACACGTTGTACAAGATTAACAGTCAGCATATTGCTGGTCCATATAGGGGAGCTTGCTGATGTTATGGAGTTGACAAGCAGCATATATTCAACTGGCTCTTGAAAAATGCAACAGCAGATATAAGCAGCATGCCCAGTTGGTACACTGACAATCAACAAGCAACTCAGCTTACTTACGTGACTCTCAGACAGCAGATATGTATATACCCTTATCAAGGTTATGTTTGCAAGACACAGCAGTGTCTTGCATGAATACTCCTATGACCTAAAATTGTGATAAGAGACGGCTGTAATTTGAAGCTATGAGCATTCTACTTCTTAAAGCAAAACCATGTTTAAGATTGAAATATATGAGTAGTAGTCTTCTGAGCAATTACAAACAATGCTGAAATGAAATAGCACACTACCTTTCATGAACACAAGAACTGTTCTCTCCTCTGGTGCTAGGGACTCAAGCGAAGGAAAAAGTCCACACATTCAGAGTAAGGGGAATACAAGATAAAGCACTCTCCTCCCTCTGAATTAGGATAGTTGATAGAAATAATCAAAACAAAATAGGACGAGGAAATCAGACTCTGAAAATGACACCTGTATCAGGGCAGCTAACCAAAGTGACAGACATGAACTGGCCTATTTCTCTCACTCCAAAAGCACCACTTTTTGCTGCAAATATTGGAGTGTGACAATTTGTAACAGTTCTTTTAAAATGGTCTACATGTGAAAATAAAGAAAAAACTTACGGTGCAATAATAGCTCTAGCAGGCCTCTTTGTAGATTGTACTTGAGAAAGCCAACCTTCTAGTTGTGCACTCAGCTGAGGTCCTAGAAAAAGAGATAAGGCTTTAAAAACAAGAACCACAGGAGAACCAAAGAGCCATCCTTAGAATAAGCAAAATGGCCCATAGCGGCAAACCATAGCTATAACTGTGCACAAGTAGCATTCTGGTGCATGCTGTTCAAATCATGCCTGTCCTGCTCCTCCCTTTGCCACGATGGGAGGAAACAACCATATCACTGGTTTAGCATTAGGTGTGAACCAATGTGCATGGTTTCTCTCTTTCCAAACAAACCACAGGAGGAAGCCAGAGAACAATACACCACTAGTTCTATTCAGCATGTGAACAGTGTCATTTTAATGCTTCCGGGTGGCTTCAAAGATGATACCTTGCTAAATTCATTTTTAATCAATAATGTTTGATATTTCACAGGGAGTCATGACAGGAAATATACCTAATAACATTTTGAAGAATTTGAAAAACACTTAGACATTAACCGGTCTATTGACAAACAGCCGCCAGCTTGATTGCTGCTTTGTATTAAACTCACATTAGCAACTGACCTATTTCAACCCAAAGGAAAAACTGCATTCAAGTGTGACCCTTTCCAATATCTCTGCAACATCCCCTCTCAGCGCTGCATCTAGTTGTGCCAAGAGCTACTGCTGCCAAAAACGAATTCAGAAGAGGATTGCTTCATTAACACACCACTTGCAAGTTCTATAAATACATGCTTAAACAAACTACACAATAAGGATAATTTTAAAAAGCTAAAGAGGAGTGTGGTAAGAAGTGCCTGGCTCCAAGGCATCATTGAATATTAACAAGGAAGGGTAAATATGTGAATTCATGGAAGCTGTATTGTTTAATGATCCACTGTAGTTTGAACATTTACATAGGTATTGGCATGGAACTGAGATGATTCTAGAACTGAAAGCACCTAATCACCTGATGCCATTGTTGCATCAGGTAAATGGCAGATGGGCAACCATCTGTCAAACTTCGTCTGAAAGACAAAATCCTGATAAAGATCTAGCCTGCAGAGTCAAGGTTTCCCACCCATGCAATAGTTTGGGTGGGATTTTACTTTGGCACATCCAGTTTAGAAAACCCAATTGACATCCCATAGTTCAGAGCAGGGCCTTGACAGCAGGAGCTACAGTTTGTTCTTCCTCCTTTAAAAGTTGGCCTAAATTTGCATCTCTAGATATAAATTATTAGATGCAAAATTGTGTTCTGGGCATGTGCCACAAGTCTTTTAAGTAGCAGCTCTCCACACCATGTATGTGAGCATCCATTTGATTTGGTAGTTCTCATTTCTAGTCTGCAGCTCCGCTTTTTTTACTGCTATCATAAAACCTAGACCTGGCTAGTGGATGAACAGTTGCCACACAATGACTTTCCCCCCTCCCTGTATAGCTGTGACAGGCAGCTACCTCCCATAAAACATTTGATGCAAGAAGATGCGCTGCATCAAGGCTGCCTGTGAGACAACACAAGATGGAGGGGCTGCAGGGAGTTGGGCGGTGCCTACTATTAAACCATTTCGCCACCTGCAGCCCTCACATCCTGATAAACAGGCTCATCACAGCAACCAGGGCTTGTAGCAAAAATGATGGAGTGTTCCTGTAGACACATCTTCACAATTTCTGAGGAAAATTAATTAAAATGAGCAAATGTTAATCTTTGTGTCTCCCTGGAATAACTGGATTTGAATTAGAACCCAAATAGGCCTCTGTTTTTAAATTTAAAAGGAAATGTTTTAACGGTATCCACTGAAGCAGTCCATACTGAATCAACAAAATGTGATGAACAGCAAAATTTCAACCACGTGAACAAGTAAATTATTATACATGCTGAAATAATCTACAGGGGGTTTTCTTTTTTGGGGTGGGAGGGAAGAATCTATCATTGGAGGCAGGGCCACAGTTCTCCAAAAATTTGCTCAAGGTCACATTGCCTGTAAATGTGTGCTCTTTCTTTCTGCTACAGCATAAAATGTAAACCTTCAACAGTAGTTAAGAGTTCATTTTGAAGCTCAGGATCTCTTTTTCAAAGGTAGAGCGTCACTTGCCAAATTAACAAAAATACAACTATATACGATGTCCAATCATTGCAGGCTTTTCATGGTTTTTTTTTGGGGGGGGGGACATTATCTCCTCTATGCAAGTAAATCCAGCAATTGCTTTGGTTACTTCCATTCACCTACTAGTAATTAGTTCACCTAGCATGTAAAACTTGGGAGGCTGCTGAATTTCTGAAAAACACAACATCTCATCCAAAATCAGCTTGTGTGGAAAGTACTTTAATGTTCACAGTGCATTTTCTTTTTTTCCCTTTCTTTTTAAAAAAAATCATTTCGTTTGTTCATTTAGCATGGAATGCCCCTTAATGGACTACAAACACCCAGTAACCTGAACTATATAAATTGCTAAAGTTCAAAAATCCACAAATAGAAAACAAAAACACCTATATGGAAAAGCTTGATGCTTCCATTGGTAAAATAAAACAGTATATGAAGATCCATTGGTCTACAATGGACCAAAGTTGCTTTCGTAAGTTATCTTTCATTTTTATAGATATACTTTTGAACACCACTTGAATGCAAGAGTGTAACATCATATCTTCCAATAACGAATTTTTCCATGACACAACTTTTTGTAGGTGCAGATATCTAATAAGAGTACACAGCTGCCTATGAAAACACATGCCACAGTATATGTTATGGTGGTAAAAACATACAAAGAACACAATTCAATGCATGTTTATTCAGATGCATGACCAGCTGTATTCAATGGTATTTACTCACTAGGAAATGGATGTAGGATTGCAGCTTATTTAAGATACATTTCAGTTGAACAACAGAAGCATTAACAGCCTCTGGAATACATTTTATTCACTATTTCTTTGGTTGGATCATAGTCTCCAAACTAAAGCCCGCGGACCGGATAAGGCCTGAGGGACTCGTTTATCCGGTCTGTGGCGACCCCCGCTGCCTGCTCTTACCGGCACTGCATGGCTGCCCACTTCCGGGTCGGAGGAGCACCGGAAATAGCATGTGCGCACGCGTATGGGCACGCGCTCCCCCACCCTCTGGCTCACCATGCCCGGCCCGAGGTGCAGTAAGTTTGCGGTGGTAGCTCTCACTTGCATCCATGACAAAAACAGGATAAAAAACTGTCCTGACATACTGTTTTTTCTGAATTTGTTTGCCTTGTAAATAAAATATAATTTGGAGTGGGTTGGCTTTCCTTCTTTCCTCCTCATCACAGGGTAATTTGCATCCAGAAATTTTCTGATGCCCCAGAGTGATCAAATTTAGCATTTCTATTTTACTTGTATTTAGCATACAAAGCTAAAAACTTTGAAACTGCCAAGCTTGCCTAAACTCTATCTGCAACTGGCATCTATTCAGTTACTAATGAGCTTATCAAACAGGAAAAATATCCATAGAAAAATAAAGCACTGTAAAAATTTTCACCCTTCATCATCGTTGCTTGACATATCCCTTTGTGATGCAACAACCGTTGGCAACTTGTTGAGAATGGTCAAGGTGCTTATCTTGCATACATATAAGTTTTACAGAGCTGTCAAAGATTGACTTGTATTTCATGGCCTTCTAACACATCCTTTTACATATTTTTCCACACATACATACACCAAGTAAGAATAACACTTTGTGCATTTGATGATATGGGCTCTTTTCCATGAAATCTTGTGCCATAATAAATATGGTAGTCTTTAAGAGCCACAGGACTCTTTCTTCTTTAAATGAAATTTGTGTTTGCACATCACTTTGTGGTTTGGCAGTTAGGTATTTGCTGCAGCAAAATGGCCTGGCATATACAAGTTTCTCTTGTAACTGCTAAGCTCACATTAGGTTTTTCTGTAGAGTAAGCAAGAGACCCCAGGAAACCTGTCTAGCCAGCCGGTTCAGTCTTCTTTGTCTTGTTGCCAGCTCCCAAGAGCAGAAAATGTGTTTATTCAGCAATGCATCCAGCAAGCTTGGACACTGCACGTGTATTACCAACCAGTTTTAAATCCATTGCTACACCTGCTAGAAGTTGTGAATTGACACTTTATCTCCTGCAGCAATAACCTCCGCACCCTGATTTCAACCTGTCAAAGTTAGGAAGAGCATTGCATCATCCGCTTGCATGACGCCCTTGTTCCTCCATCCACACTGTATTTATTGATTTATTAAATTTATATGCTGCCCCTCATCTGAGGATCACAGGGTTGTTTACAATATCAAAACACAAAAATACGTAACATAGTAAGAAACAAAAACAATACCCCCAGTTTAAAGGGTCATACCTTGTTTCATTAGCCAAAGGTCTGGGAGAAGAGCATGTTTTTGTCTGACTGCAAGGAGCAGTCAGACTTGTTTTGAGCTGCTTTGGGGGAGACCTGCTTTGCCTCATAACAAATCTCAAAGCATTCAGAAGCACCTTGCTTCAGTTCTGGATTCAGGCTTCCTCCAAAGTAGGTGCACATTCATGGCATGTATTGCATCCCTAAACCTACACTTCCAGTTGGAAACAATCTTTCTTATGACAAGCAATTAGGAGTGACTTCTAAAGGTTAAGATACCTACTACGGTTGCTAACAAGCAGACATGCAGCGAGCAAGTTGCAAGTAGCCAGCTGCAATGTACATATGCTTGTCAAACCTGCTGCTACCTTCTCTCTCCACATCATATTTTTCAGGTAAGACTACAAACCATCAAGCCAGAGAAAGTAAGTGTTTGTTTTCTTTCAGTCCTGAAGGTTCTTTTGTTTCTTTGTAAGGCCAAATGAAATATCTGGTTGCTGCATACAATGCATATAGGAAGAAAACTCATTCTGGAACATGTACGCCTTTCATCCTGCAGAGGGCAGTTCTGTGTGCAGCATTTCCTCAGGAGGGCCAGAAGAAAGAAAAGGGGGCAAAGACTGACAACACCACTGGTCCTATTTGCTCTTTTTAAATGGTATCAGAAATCCAGAAACACCAATCAAAAGCATTATCTCCCTCATATCTTCTGTGCCTGTTCACTTTAAAAACGCAGGTATGGGGAAACACAAAGACTTCCCTATAAGCATACAGTCGTTAAGTCCTTTGTTCTTCTTAAGAGTAATGCCTCATTCTCTGGGGGTTTAATAAATTGCAATGGTTATTTTTTAAAAGGGAAAAAACAGTACACTAGGCAGTACAAGATGCCGGACTTGACAAAATGCCTACTAGCTCGATTCAGAGACAACTGCTGCGTTCCCATAATCCATTTCTTTCCCCTCCCCCGTATTACCCTAAATGACCCCTTTTCATTCACACACTTCAGATCTTTGTCGGTTCCTTTAACTCGACACCGAACTACCAGGGGATTCTTCTCCTGGCTTCTTTTTCACAATCGCCTCTCCCGAAATGCGCTGTTTCCTCAGGGTATAATAAAGGGAATAGGAACCAGTACAGTTTCCTTACAATCCCCGGGGCGATCTCTGGGAATCTCTTTTCTCCAGGCGCCGATCTCCCCACCCTTCTGGAGCTTGGCCGGGAATTCAACCACGGCAGCTTATGGAGGGCAAAGGCAACCGGAGGTTCTAGAAAAGGCTTCGAAATGCCCGGCGGAAAGTGCTGATTCAGTCAATGGCCCACCTGCCGGGGCGAAGGAGAGGGGGAAGCCTTGTTCCCGACACAATCAACGCCGGATTCCGCGCCGCGATCGTCGCCTGCTGCCATCCCAACCTCCCTTCAATTCAGCGCCATGTGTGTGTGTTGCAAAACGCTCCCTTCCTTCGCCCCATGTCTTTTTAACGCCAATTACACACGCACACACAAATGAGTCTCACGGCACCGGAGAGATTCACAGAATTACAGGGCGATCCTAAGGATGCCTACTCATCACAGGTCAGTCCTACCGAACCCCTCAACGGGGCTTACTCCCAGGTAAGTATGAACAGGGCTGCAACCTCATTGTGTGACAGCTTTCGAGGGTTACAGGCCGCTTCACCAGATCGCTGCATCCGATCTCGCAGATTCTGGGCCACAAAAAGGTTGCGCGCCCGTAAATCAATTTGCCTTTAAGTGGCCACGAGATTCCTCGCACCCTGGAGTGAACACTCCAGGATTGATCACGGATATGCGTCCGTGGGGCACCCATTATCCCCCCACTTTCGGATAATTAAAAAAAAGCCTCGCATTCCCGGTAAGAGGTTGAGTTCGGCCCCCCTTTGCAACGACCGAGAAACCGCATCGTAGCGGCGCCGGGCGGTCAATTACTCGGGATTAAAAATCTCCAAGGGCTTTATTCGCCTCGGTCGTTTAGACACCGATCCCCCGCGTATAATAAATGGGCAAAGCGAGCTCATGGAGAGCAATCCCGCCGCCCGACCGAGCAGCTTAGCCCCTCGCCCCCACAGGCCCCGGAAACCCCCGCCGCCCCAGCGCGTACCTGAGGCCGTGTACCAGCTGCCGGCGTGGCTGGCCTCCCGGCAGAGCACTCGGTTGGACATCTTGGTGCCTGAGCCGCCTATGGTGTTGGGGGAGGCGGGGGTGAAGGGAGGCAGGGGGGCCTGGGGAAGAGTCCGGCCGCGGTGCTAATCCCCCTCCTCCTCCGCCTCCTCCCCTAGCAGAGCCCAAGCCCCCGCGAGGGGGGGCGGCGCTGCCGGAGGCACGGCGAGTAGGGCCGGCGACGAGGCTGGGGAAGCGGCGAGCACGAGGAGCGGGAGGGCTGCGGGCTCTGCCGGAGGCTCCTCCTGGCCTGGCCCGGGTGGGGGAGGCGGAGGAGGCGGCGGCGGAGAGGAGAGCCCGAGAGGGACAAAGGCCAAGGCAGCGACCGCCGCCCGGGCGAAACCCACAGAGCAGGCGGCAGCCGCCGGGTTTGGCCTAACTCGGCTCCTGTGGCAGAAGGACTACACCAGCGCGGCTCCCCATTGGGCCAAGGGAAGCAAAAGCCCTTCGGCGATTGGGTCGCTCTTTGCCTATTCCCTCGACGGGCGCAGCCGCGCCTTCCCATTGGGCGGCGGTCCGAAAAGCGCCCTCTCTATTGGAGGAAGCGGAGGGCGTGGGAGGGACCGTTTAAGATTGGCCGAGTGGAGTTGCCGTGGCAATGGCTTCTGGCCTTCGCTGATTGGCGGGGCTGTGTCTCTGAGGTGAAGGGAAGATTAGAGGGGGAAGGTTGGCTGCTGAAAGGGCCTCCGGGCGGGGAGCGGGGCGTCGGAGGGGCGTGTGGAGCCGCCCGGCTGCTGGTCCTGACAGCCGCGAGAGAGGCCCCTGTGACCCCCGCCCCGTCGCGGAATGGGCTCTACGTAAGAGTTGAAACGAGAAGTGCCGTTGGGCGCCGGAAGTAATGTGGTTGCTCTTTCAGCCTCCGCTTCTTTTCCGATCCGTTCTCTTTCCACTATTCCTTAATATGGAGGCAGGGTTCAGGGTGGAAGAAGTAGTGCGTGATCACATCCACCTTCTACATTTAAAGCACACGACTCCTTCCCCAAAAATTCCTGGAAACTGTAGTTCGTTAAGGGTGCTGGGAATGGTAGCTCTGCAATTCTGTAAATAACAGTTCCCAGGATTCTTTGGGGAGAAGCCATGTGCTTAAGATGTGCTTTAATTGTATGGTGTGGATTAAAATAGAGCACACTGCACGCCTGAGATACTTAACGAATCATCAGTAGGATGGCAGCCACAGCCTCCACTGTTCAGAACATAAAAGGCTTCACTTTATTACAGTATTTTAAGACCAAAGGTCCCTCTGGCTCAGGTCTTTTCCTCCCAAATGAAGCAGCTCTTTGAAATCCAAGAGCAACCTAGTGTATTCTGCAACACTGCAAGGCATTATGCTTTGAAGCAGCTCAGAATGACAAAATGGACTGGGCTGGCTGGCCCTAATCAAATTTGCCATAGGGACAGCTTTCTAAAATGGAGGGCTGGAACCACAAACTTTATCTTGCATCCATGACAAAAAGGCAGGAAGGAATTGTGGCCAAGTCAGTGAAATCATTTCAGAAAGCAGTGTGAGTTTTGAGCTCAGGAGCGGCTGTGTGACAGAGTACTAACAAGTTCCAAAATTGCAGTCCTGTAAGCATGTAAACAAATGCTTAGGAGTTGAATAATCCAGTGACAGGAGGACTGAAGTGTAAAATGCACACCGTTTTTATAGTTGCATGCTTAGGTTCACTTTGAGGGAGATGAAACTGGATCATGGTGGGTTATACAAAGGCAGCCACTTAATCCACTTCAGCTCTTCACCCACCCAATTTGTCATCTGGTATATTATTGGACCGCTGCCATGGAGACACCAGCAACCCTCAAAGGCCTCTTCTTCCAAAATAGCTAATAAGACTGAACTGGGGAGGGGGAGTGAACATGACGAACGTCATTAGATTGGAGAGAGGGAGTGAAAAGGAGGCAGAGCCCTGGAAGTCAGCAGAGGAAAAGCTGAGCAACAAAGCCAAAGGGGAGGGAGTCTGTGCTTTACTCAGGAATATCCCATCTATCAAAGCTTGGTCTGTGCAAGTACAAACATGCACCCGCAGCTCCACAATACCCTTGATTTTTTTAAAATGTTGGATGTAGTAACCCAATATGAGCAACTAGTACCAGGCAGCAAATAGGCTGATATTGTAATTCATAGGAAGTAGCAAATGTAGCTGGATTTGGATAACCATGAAATAATCTAGTAGCACAATTCAGGGTTGAATATCCTTTAAAATTTAAAAACCTAAACACTGTGTTACTAAACTTTAGGTTAATGTTAGTCAGGAAATACTGGAAACACTGGTTCAGATCCAGAAACCTTTGTGGCTTACCCAAAGGCTTAAGGTGGAGTAAGCAACAAGCAATTCACATTTTAAATGAATGGACTGGAGTGTTCAGTTTAAGGTAGCAATGCTGTGCAGACTTGTTTGGGAGCAAGAGCTTTTTGTTCTCCAGACTTTTAAAGTTTTGAGCCCTAGGCTGCAATTCTATACCTGAAAGGCCCATTGAACTCAGCGAGGCGTCTGAGTTTACATGCACATGATCACACTGTTAAGCAATTTAACCTGCTGCTTTTAATTGTTGGTTCCCTCCTTTTTGACTGGAAATATTCTGAGTTTCGTGTTGATTTTATTGTTATGTATGCCTGAACAACTCTGAAGAACCAACTGCCTAAATGCAGAATATAAATAAGTTATGTTGAGCTTAGTGTAATTTATTTGTAAGTGTGCCATGCATAGGATCCAGCTGGATTACATACAACTCTATTAATTTTAGGCAACTTGTTATTGGGGGGGAGGCACTGTGAGGACTGGGTATGTGAGATCAGCATATCAAGTGTCCTGTGTAGTGATGCCTTTAGGTATTGCTTATTCTCTGTTTACATGCAAGAATGTTTTAGCAAATGGAGGAACATCTGGAGTACCAACAGGATTTTCTGAACCCAGAACTGTATCTTGATTGGGCCCTCCACACAACCAGCATAGGGGAATAATAATACTGGCCTACCTTGCAGGGCTCTTGGGATTACAAAAATACTACGCATGAAACAATCTGAACATTTGAGATGTGCTATATAGATTAGTCAAATCTTTCGCCAGTAACTGTTCAAACTAGATTCTGAATTGCTTTGTGACATAATTATATGTCCCTGGTGCTGGTAGTCATGGCATTGAACCTAAATCCCCAAACAATCCAATATATAAATACCTCATGCTGGGAGCATTAGTCACCAAACTGGTTATCCTTTCAAGAAAACCGATAATTAATGCAATCCCTTTTATTTAATGGAGAGACCCTTTATCACCACACATTTGCTCCTGTGTTGATTGTTGTTGAAATGTTTAGGATAATCAGACATGATAATAGAAGATGGATTGATTGTTTGCGATTCAGCAAAAATTCAGGTTTGGGCAGTTCAGCAAAAATCTGAAGAAGAACTGGTTTTTAAAGTGTTGTGCTCAACCTATTATTTATCTGTATTAATAGCTTTTTCTGACTTGTAGTTTTGTGGTTCTATTGGAACATGCTGCTTTGAGTTCAATGCTATGACTCCATTTCCCACACACTTATTTTGCAGATTCATTATTCACCATGGAAATACATGGTGTGTGCAAGCACATGCACTCACACACAAAAATTCAGAATCCTGTTACACTATAAACATTCTCTTTCCCACCCCACCCCCTCTGCAAAACATGCTTTCAATTAAAAAATATCATTAGGGGCCTGTGAATTGGAAGTAGGGAAGGTCACAAAGGCAGACTGCTACAAACAGCAATTTTCACTTATGCCGGTTAAGGGTTGCTAAAACTCCCTGAGAAATTGAAGGCGCAAGCAGTTGTTATGAGAATCACATTCTTTGTCACTGGAATTGCTTGGCCAATTTTTCGATGGGATTCAATTGGGGTTGCCTGCAGAATGTCACTGTTTTGCAAGAGGGATTTAATTGTGTACTGGAAATTTAGGTTTGTGCAACTAAATCACTCTGGATTAAAGCACTCTGTACAACAAATCCACTTTTAAAAAGGAGAGTTATTGGGAAATGCACTAAAAATAATGACAGATTGACAGGTAGACCTATAACCTCTGTGAAAACTCATCAGGCTGAAATTAGGGTGAATGCACATTGTTGCACTCTCCCCAGAAACAGATTAGAATGAAGATAAAGAGCAGGCATAATATAACATCTGTGTCAACTTTATGCAAGCAAATCAGGATAAGTGGTTGATAAACAAGTTATCCTCCAAACTAAATAGTGTATTAAGTATCACTATTGCTATATAAGTGAGGAACATGAAAATTCCAGTACTGTACCTTATTCGACCACTTGTTTTCCCCCATGTCAGTCCTGCTACCTCTGGAACAACATAAAAAAGCTTGTTTTGAACATGCTTTTATCTCCATCTTCATTTGGCCTGGAAAAGCTCAGCCTTAGCTTGCCAAAAGATGCTTCATGTTCATATGAGAGTTACTGAAAGTGATTTTAGGCTCTATATCAAGTGTAAGAATTAGTTATATCAGACTGCTGATATTTTGCTTTGCTGCAACCTACTATTTCTTTCTCACTTTGACTCCTTAATAAATACTAAGTGCTTTGCAAACTTAGGATCATCTCACCAGAGTGTTTTAACTAGCTTGGGTCCAGACCAGAGATTTGTGAAAAGGTACTGGGAATTACTTGATTGATTCTGGCTCCAGAGGACAGGCAGATTTGAAGGATGTTCCTTCCCTGCTCTCAAGAAACCCCATAGCTCAGAAGTGCCTTCTGCTTCAGAGCTAAAGAGATAATGCAGGTGGTTGTGATGATTAAAGGGTCACTCTTCTCTTGGTGGCATTTCCCTTTTTGTTACACATCACAAAACTCCAGAGTTCTCGTCTATAGAAAACTACACCTGGTAGTGCTGTCCTGCTAGGGCCCTTGGCTGCTTCGGCTATGTAGCAGGCTAAATTGACTCACTTCTGGTGGCATGGGCAGGAGGAGGATAGGTGACAGCAGGAATCAGTACCTGAATTATGCAGGAAGATTTTGTCAAGCATTAGCCCTAGCGAGGTTGGGGTGCCTTTAGGCTTTGCTTCAGGTAGCGCGGCATCTTGGATCAGCACTGCTGGGCTTAGAGGATTTGCTGCATTTTCAAAAATGCAAAACAGATTGCACTATGCCTTGAAGACTTGAGACATCAGAGTGAAAGCTGGCAGGCCTACTGAGGACAAAATGCAAAGGATGGTTCCCCAGCACATGCACATACACACATTTTCAAGGACCAGGAACAAACTAGGGTCCTCAAACACTCTGCTTTATTGCTTCTATCAGGTGTTGCAAGAATTTATTGTACATCCTAGCATTGTTAACCACAGCAGAAACAGAGCTGTGCTTTGTTGTGTTAGAAAAGCAAACCCCTTTCAGAGTCGCTCAAATTTCTTGTTTCCATGACAGTCAGAAATGTAGTTGGTTTTACGGCTTCATGTTTCCTGCAGAAGACCTACCTAACAAGCCCTTTTGCAATGTACAACTTTGATTTATTTTTTCTTCCATCTGTCCTTCCTGGATAACAGGTGACACATCATATACTAAGATACGTTGACATGAATGACAGCTGAATGGTTGGAATGCTGATGGTGCCTGGCAGCTGAACTAAAGATTGGCAGGGATGTTAAGAAGATTGGTCTTTGAAATTCCAGTTTGATCTCAAAAGCGCATGGCCTCTGAATTGTTTGGAAACTTCTCTGCAAAGTGCTTTTCAGGTCGAATTCAACAATTCAGGTCAAATTCAACATGTGCCACAGATGATGTACCACCATCTAGTCTCGGTGTTTCATGAGATCAGAGGCGCCGCCTTCACCAGAGGATTGAGGGGGCCTGTGCACAACGTCCTGATGCACTGACGTCGTGGGGGGGTGTGTGCCTCTGAACATTGAGGGGGCCCGGCTCCTTTAAAAAAAAAAAAATCGGGATCCCACAGTGCTTCAGCCCCTAGGAGCCGGCGCCACTGCATGGAATACAATGGTAAATTCCAGAACTAAAGAAAGATGGAAGCCATTTCATTGTACTGCTTGCTTCATTTATGGAAAAAGAAATGTTATTACTCAAGTTAGTCTAGATTTACACTACCTGGAAATCCTTCCTTCTGAGATTAGGGAGTTTCTGTACTTACACCGGAGAGAGAAAAATGAACTATGCACTTGGCCAGGATACTTCCATGTATTCTTGCTTCAAATATTCCTCTCTCTAAACTGAAGTACACAGAAGTGAAGTACCTGGATTGCTCATTTGGTTAGAGTGTGGTGCTGATAACACCACAGTGGCAGGTTTGATCCCTGTATGGGGCAGCTGCATATTCCTGCATTGCAGGGGGTTGGACTAGATTATCCTCAGGGTCCCTTCCAACTCTATGACTCGAAAATCTAAGTAATCGTAATCTCCTAAGGCTCAACTCTGCCCCCATCTTCCTCCCTTTCTGCTGATTCTTGTGTCTATTTTTAGATGATGCCTCCTTGAGGTAGCAAACTGTAAAAAAAAAATAATTCTTTGACTATATGGTGCTATGTTAAATCTATACAGGTTGTATCCAATGATGGCTTTGCCTGGAAAGTGCTTCTGCTCATCTAAGTTGCCTGTGAAAGACATCTGACACTGAAACAGACTTCTTGGCTGTAGACCCAACCTGCCCCTTAGTCACAGATCCTTACAAACCAGTTCAGATGACAGAGTGATAAGAGGAAAGCACTCACTGAAAAGGTACAGAGTAAGGCGGCCAAGTAAAAGAGAGGATAGGGCTCCTGCACTTTTCATAGATGTTCAGAAGACCGGATTTCAGCAGGTGTGGCTTGCAGGACAAGCCGGATCTGTTGTGATTCTTCTACACAACCATTCATGCTTCAGGTCCCCCCGTTTCCTTCTCTTTTGAAACACCCCAAATCAGCTGCTTAAAACAGCTGATCCATAACATACAGTGTTAGGTGTTACTGCTTTTAACCCTGTAAGCTGCTTTATTTTGCATTAAAAGTGGTATATCTGTGTACTGTTTGGTGTTTTTTGAAATATTAAGTAATATATAAGTCTGAGTATGTATGTGTGTATGAACTTTTAAATAAAATAAATAGCATGGCACAACAGTGAGGCTTTTAAATATATATATATATATATATATATATATATATATATGGGTTTTACAGTTTGGACAGAAATAAACACCAGTAATCTTTCAACCCTAGTTCAGCATCATTTGTGTAAAATGGCCTTAATCTTTTTCTCAAGGGGTCCCTCTCCTGGCTGCTGCTTTGCCTGCAGTACCCAGTAGCTTAATTAGAAACAAGGGCTGAACATACTGAAGCATAAAAATAAATATCTGTATTAGAAAACAGTTTAGCTGCTGGAGAAACACGAGAAAGGAACAAGCAGAGTTTTACAGTAAAATGATAACAGATGCTAGAAAAGTTCAGCATATGGGAGGCTACATAATACTGAAAAGTATGAAACGTTATGGCTAAAATAATAAACCAAGTATTTGCAGAGAACATGGGTAACACTATTCTCCAAAAGGCTGTGTTATCTTTCAGGGGTACAAGCTTATCAACTAATAGTTTATTTATCAGTGGAGTTTAAAGATAAGAGTACTGAGGCTATTTTGATTACAGTGTGTTATTGTTATAAATTATTTTTTAAATAAAAAATGCCCTTTAAAAATGAGCAGAGTTTTTTTTTTAATGAGAGTTCTCTGTCATCTCCTCCAGTATCACCAAAGGGGACATGTATCACCAAAGGAACATGTAACAAAGGGGACATGTAACAATCAGATTTATTTAAATATAATGGAGTTTTTTTAATTCATCGGACAAAAAAAATCCAAAAGTTTATATTTAGCAATACTTTTACTTAATTATATCATAAGTTAGATCAGTGTAGTCAAATGCTTCTTACTGAGCAGTGCTGGTCTCCTGATTATGGAACTTCCGCCCCAAATGGGTGCATTTATTCCCTATGTCAGTGATTTTTAAGCAGACTTTGAAAACGCTTTCCTCAAAACTGACATTTTAACACTCTGCATTTAACTGCTGCATTTAATTATTCTTTGCTGCTTGGTTTTTGTATTTACACTAATGTTGTATTTTTACTGTCAACTATCATGTTTTAACTGCAGCCGTCATTGTAACATTTTAATATTTTGGTTGTTATTTTCTAATGTGTTATAATGAGCTTTTATCTCATGACCCACCCTGGTTAACCCTGAGAAGTGGCCTATGAATACCCAAGTAAATGAATATGGCTCGTGTCCACTGCCATCTAGGCAATGAAGCCTGCACTCTCTTTTAATATGTAGTTATTACTATATTTGTTTTTGTGCTGCAATCTTTACTCTTCAGCTTGAAATCATTACTGTTCCCATTTAAGTTAAATTGTCCATCCACCAGACAATTGTTCTTTGGACCTGGTAACTGATGCACTGGTTTGTTTGTTTTAATAAAAAAACTATTTAATGGGCTGTACACTACTAGTGTGGTTTGAGAACAAGGTAAACCATAAAAATCTGATGCCAACTCCGCCTTAGGTCCTTTATAACAATAGCTTTGTCATTTGCCATGTTGTATCTTCATTTCTAGGGGACGCGGGTGGCGCTGTGGGTAAAACCTCAGCGCCTAGGATTTGCCGATCGCATGGTCGGCGGTTCGAATCCCCGCAGCGGGGTGAGCTCCCGTCGTTCGGTCCCAGCTCCTGCCCACCTAGCAGTTCGAAAGCACTCATAAGTGCAAGTAGATAAATAGGTACCGCTTTATAGCGGGAAGGTGTGCTGCTCTGGTGCCAGTTCGCCAGAGCAGCTTCGTCACGCTGGCCACGTGACCCGGAAGTGTCTGTGGACAGTGCTGGCTCCCGGTCTCTAGAGTGAGATGAGCGCACAACCCTAGAGTCTGTCAAGACTGGCCGTACGGGCAGGGGTACCTTTACCTTTTTATCTTCATTTCTAGGTTTCCCTTTCCTCTATACTGGTATAGTCTAGCTTAGCTAGCCACAGGATAGGACTTGGGGAAATAGTAGGGAGCTTGATGGGCTATGGGACAGTCGACCCTCTGCTCATTCTTTGGACTGTGAAGGGGAGGCCTCTCAGACTGCACAAGTCAGAAGGTTCTGCTGATGACAATCAGTTGGTTGCAGGGGGTGGGGGTGGGAAGGAAGGAATGAGAAAGGAAGCAATGAGAGTCAGTGTGGTGTAGTGGTTAAGAGCAGTGGACTCCTAATCTGGTGAACCAGGTATGGTGAACCGGGTTTTGTCTCTGATGTGACTGCATAAGAAAAGTTGAGTCTGGCTCCTGCTTTCAACCTCAAGCCGCCCAAGGCTGCTGTCATCAGCTTGTGTCTGCCCTTGGTTGTACCTCCTGGCCCCTCCCACTGGCAAAAAAACTTTTTATTTTCGCTGTGTTGTATACTTTCCCCTTTCTTCTAAGGCTGTGCATGTATAGGCTACAGTGTCGATTTTGCTGACACAGCAGTGGTGTTATCTCCCCATGCCACTGACATAACTCAAGAAAAGGCTAAAGAAATTGAGCAAAAGTGATATTTTTGTTTTTGTAGGATTTATACATCAGACAGTGATTCATGGTTATTTAGCATATATACTGATCAGTCAAATGGTCCTCTGAAGATGAAATTAATTTCGGTCCTCAAACTGTGCCTTATTTTTTAACAGGTATGCTGCAAGGAATTCAATGGGATTTGGTGGTCTGAAAATAAAAAGAGAATAGTGGTTTTATACATACCTACCAATTCAAGAATTCTTTTAATCTCAATTAAATTATCAAAATTACCCACCTAAAAGTAGTTTCAGGAATGGAACCCACAGTATGTAGTAGATTTAAAAAGACTAAAAGTACTTGAGTGTTGTTTGGGATCACAAAACATTTTACTTTAATACATTACGGCAACAGTCCTAACCCTACTTATCTGGGAGTAAGCCCCATTGAATTAAACAGAACTTAACTGAGTAGACATGGGTTAGGATTCTGCCATAAGTAGCAGGCACTTGGTAAATATAGAGTTGCTAGTGAAAACATTTTAATTTCTTATATCATTAGCATTTTTTCTCTTAATTTCATCTGTGGTAGGCTAAATTCCAAAGTTTCAAAGAATGTCAGATTTTTACAGCTGTTCATTTGATCTGCTTTTTTATTTTAACTTGGGGCAAGTGTTAAATTCCTTAAAATGGAAATGAATTCCTTAACTCCTATACTGGACTGGCATGGCTTAAAGTTGTTGAACTATAATGTTACGTGGTTGTTGCTGGGCCTTAAAAATGAGGGGGAAATGCTTAAATTTACATACTTTATCCTTACTGTCTATCTCAATCCCCTTCTGCTTGGGAAGAGAAATGAGAGGAAACTACTCTGTACCCCTCTAGACATATGGAAACAGGGATTAAAAATATGTAGATTTAGGAATGCTTGGCTTTAGGAGCTCCCACCATCTCTTCCTACAGAAATAACAGGAGAGAAGTAGTGATCCAGTAGCAGTTCATCCCCCCCCCCAAAAAAAACAGGATAATGAATGCTGTGGTCTCTCATTAGAGCCATGTCAAATCACATTGTATTCTATTTACTACAGACCAGTCTTGATCTCCACCCTCATTCTTTTTAGACCTCTTCCAATTCCAGCTTTGCTAACTCTAAAATGAAACTGGATACTCATTTGCATCATGCTGTTCATAGTGCTTATCAAATTAAGGCTGAGGACCAGAGCCAGCATAACTACTTCCAGTTTGTGTAGAAATGTTCACACTTCACACACATGCATTAAAGTCTTATTCCCAAACACAGCAAATGAGGTGGCAATAAGTGTCAGGACTATATCAGTTCAAAATACAAGTGTGGGCTCACATGAATGAATTATTCTTCATACAAAAATGCTTGAAAAACAGCATATCAAGGGGTAAGGTCTAATGATGCAAAATGCTACATTTTTTTATGTGCAAATTATTATTTAGCATTCAAAATTCATTCACCTAAGCTCCTATCCACTGTTGTAAAGCCCAGCCAGATATTTCCCACCTCACTTGCTGTTTGTAAGAACTAGGCCTATATAACGACTGCAAGCAGAAGTTTGTGAACGTTGTTAAGAATGAAATCATGAAAGATAAACAAATATGTTACCTTTCTTTTGCAAGTACTGCAAGACCTTGTAGTAAGATAGGCACAACTGTCTGGTCCAAATAGGCACGTGTAGGTAGTGACTGAAGATCTACTTTCTGCTTTGATGTTTTCTCTGCACTTGCTTTCTCATTTTCCACTATTCGCTTAAAATGTAAACAAACACTAGATGAAGACAGCAATCCAGTGTTTAAGTTGAAAATATAAAGTCATGCATTTCTGAACTATCTAAAAATTGACCAAAAATCTATACATTTTACTTATTCAGTGAAATAAGTATGTTTTTTCAAAAAATCACGCAGAACCCCCATTAAAAATGTTTGTTTCCTTGAAAATTCTGTTTGCTTACTATGGCTCCATGAGACAGCCAATGCTGGTTCATTGCCTGATTTTTACAAATTTACAGCAAAAATGTCTAGATGAGGTGAATGGTGGTGAAATCACCTGGATGGTGAAATAAAAATTGTTTTGCACACAAATATACAAAGGCATTCAATAGGTGAACATCAATATGAGGATCTTCATATATGCAACAGTCTTTGTAATACTAATGCCAGGATGAAAGCAAAATAAATCTCTTTCATTCTTAGCTACATGAGCTCAGGCCCTTCTATAATAAATACCTGAGATTGTAAAGTTGTATTAGACAAGCTATTCTAACACACGACTGGATCAGAGCCCCTATCGCTAGCTTCACTCAATTCTATGAATAAACAACTTTAGCAAATTGTACTCTTAAAGAGTGTCAAGATGAGACTATTATTAATTTATTACCCACCCTTCACTCAAAGTTCCCAGGATGGGCAACAACCATTTACAATACAGTTAAAAAACTTACAGTTAAGAAATACAATCACAAAAAATATAGCAGATCCCAATTTCAACAGGGAATAGTTAACTCTAATGATAAACTTAGTTACCTCTACGTTCTCTGTAAGACCATATTCCGCATGAGGATTTTCTGGAACCTGCAAAGCATCACACAATTATAAAATATTTCTTACACACACAATCTCACTAAAGCAGGTATTGTTGGGGGTTTTGGCATTACCTGTGGCTGGCTCTCCATAATCTGTTCTGTCTCCATGATGTGTGGAAGTTAGCAAATACGAAGCAGTCTTGGTGGGGAGGAAACAGAAGGTTACTGATTTCACTGTGACCAGTTTTAGAAACTTCTCTCTTAAGTACAGCTGATAGTTCATACGTTACCAACAACTTCCAAGTGTCTTTTGGTATGGCACACTTCATATCTTCCCATTAAGAGATATTTTATCAGATATATTTTTTATTTTTTAAAAAAACCCTTAACAAGATCAAGGGGTTTGAATGTCAGTTGTTTTAAGCAGAAAGGTTAATTTCTATCCAAATGTTCTGGGGGGGAGGGGAGGAAGAGCCAGAAAAATGGGAGTGGGGTGGGGGAAACAGGATCAACTACATGCACTGCTGTAAAAAGCAATGATAGGGGGGGGGGCTTTGGCCCTCCAGATGCTGCCTACCTCAACCTCCACAACAAGCACAGGAAACAGGTAGGGATGGCCGACCAAGAGCATTTGGAGGGCCAGATTCCCCATCCCTGTTGTAATGGCTGCGTCTTGAACTTGCGCACGTTTACTCAGCAGTAAGTCCCCGTTATTCTAATGGATCTTACATTACTCCAGAGCAATCGTGCCTGCAATTGCTGCCTATGCGTCCGTAAGGAAAAGCTTCACCCGATCGAGGAGCAGCCCGAACGTGACTACCAACAGCCGGCTTGCCTGCCTGCTTTTCCTTTCTTAAAGGCAACCGACCCTCGTGGCCCCGAAGGACCCGCGGAGCCCGAGCGGCAGAAGCGCCAAGAGGGCAGCAGGCGGCCCGGGACCTCCATTTCCCCGCTCCCGCTCCCCGGCCCCAAGGCTGCCTCAGCGGAGGATGGGCGCCGCACCTCGGGCCGCGGCTCGGCAGCCCGCGCTCACCTCCGCTTAGCCGAGCGGCTCTTGGGTTCGAGGACGAAAAGCCAGCAAGAAAAAACCACCCGTCGCGGAGCAACGAGCGAAACAATCCGCGAGACGAGTCGTAAACAAGGAACTTCGGCTGTCGTATAGCGGCGCGCCGTAAAGGAGGGAGCCGGGAAATGTCGCGCTTCACAGGCGGTAAGCCATTCGGGCCTCTAGCGCGCCTGCGTAATGGAGAGAGCTCTCCAAGGCAGAAGCGGCGGGGTGGGGATTCGCTTGCTTGAGAAGATAGGGACTCTCGGTCGCGGTCGTAGCTCCTTCTGTCAAGGATGGGCTTTAGCGTGGAGGTTGGCGCTGTGGGTAAAACCTCAGCGCCTAGGACTTGCCGATCGCATGGTCGGCGGTTCGAATCCCCGCGGCGGGGTGAGCCCCCGTCTTTGGTCCCAGCTCCTGCCTACCTAGCACTTCGAAAGCACCCCTAAGTGCAAGTAGATAAATAGGTACCGCTTTATAGCGGGAAGGTAAACGGCGTTTCCGTGTGCTGCGCTGGTGCTGGCTCGCCAGAGCAGCTTCGTCACGCTGGCCACGTGACCTCTTAAGCTGTCTCCGGACAGCGCTGGCCCCCGGCCTCTTAAGTGAGATGAGCGCACAACCCTAGAGTCGGACACGACTGGCCCGCACGGGCAGGTGTACCTTTACCTTTACCTTTGGCTCATCGCACAAACCCTGTTCTCAGTTTCTGGCATGTGAATATTAGAATCAAAAAAAAGAAGACGAGTGGTCTTGTTCGCTTCTCTTCTCCCCGATCAAATGAGTTTGAATTCTGGTGAAGTATTTCTTCATTCTGTGTAATAATAAATCATCTTGTCTAGCAACTAGTACTCAAGATGGATGGCAAAGTTTTGTGCAAAATGTAAAAAATATGTAGGGAAGCAAGCAGTAAAACAGCTGTTGGTCATGGCAACCAGCATCCTTTAAAGCTGGGTTGTATGAAAAGAACATAAATTTCAAAGGGAACTGGGCCAGGTAATTCAAAATGTGCCTGTACAGAGAACCCACTAATTTAGCTTGCGGTGTTGAATTGACAGAAAGAGCAAACTCTCTCCTGAAGGGAGCAGGATATCCAGGTGGGATTGAGTAGTAAAGCAACTCTAGTAAGAAAGGAGTCACTAGGTTCTAGTCTACTTTCTTCATCAGGTTTCTTTAATTCTAGTGTAACACAAGGAGGGCTGATACATCCAACACGGCAACTTAATTTTAAATGCTGAGTATCAGTCACTCTACATTGGAGTGGGTGAACCCAATATTTCCTTGGCTCTGCTAACATATGGGCAATGGTATCATCCCATTCCCTGCAGTGGAGTTGAATCTCAGAAGCATCAATATTGCAGCGAAAGCACAGTCTCATTCCAAGAGCACAAAGAGGAGGAGGGGATGCCGGGATACAATATTAACATCCCAGGCAACCCTACAATTGGAAGAAAGGGTACTCATTCTCAGGGTATGACTGAAGTTTGCCTCCCGTATTCATCAAGAAAAAACAACTGCAGGTTGTCAAAATTTTGAGGGAAAACTCCTAGTTAGGAATATTCCATTTACTGATGTTATTCGACCCACAGGACAGATAATTGCATCCTTTAACAATGGATCTGATTGCCTTTCCTTGGCAGCATAATTGTGATAGGTACAAATTATAACGTCTGCAAATCCAAACTGATGCTTTTCCACCGCTTTTCCACAACATGCTTATAATTATTATTTGTGACATGAAAATTGTATTCTAGGAATTAGCTTTCATATAAATGCATTACTGATCCTATACAGTTAGGTATTACATTGAAATCAGTAGGTTCAAAAGTGATTAATTCTGCATAGGATTGCATTCTATGTGTACTAGAAATTAGATAGGTTATCTATATTTTATATGCCATCTTCCAATTATTTGATTTTTAAAAATTATTATTAATAACCTCATCACAGCCTGATGCCCTCAAAGCAGTACACAAGATAAAATGAGATAAAAACAACAAATAATAATACACACTCCAAAAACAATAAAACCATTTCTAAATATGAATAAGTAATATTCCATAAAAGGACTGAGTCACACTTCAGGGAAAGTCTTCAAAAACATCTTCAGTAGCCACCTAAACATCAAGACATGGAGCGCCTGTCTAATTTCAAGCAGTAATTAATTCCTGAGGGCTAGAGCTTCAACACTCAAAGCCTCGTTTCCAGTACAAACTAAGCACACCTCTGAGGCATACAGTATTCTCAGCAGTGCTCCTCTAGAGGTGTGCAGTTGCCAGGCAGGGCTATATGAGGCAAGATAGTCCCTTAGGAAACCTATTCCAACTTTTTTTAGGGCTTTGAATACTGAAAGTAAAACCTTTAATGGTGCCTGATAGCTTTTTGGCAACGAGTTCAGCTCCCACAGCAGAGGTGTTATATGGTGATGGTGAAAGAATATCCCAGCCAACAACCTATCTGCTGCATTCTGCACTGCTGCAATTAAGTTCAAGGGTACATAGATCCCACATGGAGCACATCACAGTAATCTAGCCTTGAGGTTACAAATATCAAGACCACAGTGGCCAAGCATCTCTGCGTAGGAACAGCCAGAGCTGCCCTAACAAAGCTGGTAAAAGGCATGCTTGGCTACCAAGGTAATTTGCACACCAAGAGACAAACATGGGTCCAGAGACGCACCCCCAGACTATATACCTGTTCCTTCAGAAAGAGTGCAACCCCATCCAGAACAGACAACTGGCCTACCCCCTGGACATGGGAAATTATATAGGAAGAGATAGTGACATTGTGATGAGCCATATGGTAAAATAATGTATTGGAATAGTGAATAGGGCTTCTAGACAATTCTTGTTTTAAATAGGTCCTTTCTTCAAAAACATAACCAGCATCACATATGTCTCTTGATGCTTTGCTGCATCGTTCTGTAGAATGTAATTTTATGTGTTTTATATTACTTCGAACACCCTCAGTTTAGTTTTTAATTGCGGGGATCTGTAAAAACCTTCCCTCCCTCCCTTCTTGACTTGACATTCTGTCAACAGGCTGAGGACAGAAGAAAGAAATCCTCACTCCCATTACGCATTGTATTCCCTTACTGACTACATTGCCCAGAGTGCACCGCTTCCACACAAAGCGGGAGCAATGTAGTGTGGAGGAAGAGGGGCATAAACCCTGCCTAGTACTGTATTGGCTTTTACGCCGACACTAAGAGACACACCAGGCAGCCAACCCGCTATCTCCGTTAATTACGTGAGAAGCATTGCGTGATGGCAGCCTTCCGGGTTGACCCGCCTCCTTTCCCTACCGTCCGTAGTGCCGACCACGCCCCCTATTGTCGCTTATGCGGTACGCGCAGGCGCAAATTGACGAGAGCGTCCAGGCGGCCGGCGAAGGGCTGCTGTTACGGCGCTCCTTATTCAGGAAGCGTCGCTGCGCTGATTGCCTCGTGCGCGCGCTTGCGCGTGCCCCCAGTGCCTGATAGCGGGGCTGAGGGAAAGGGGCGTAGCCTGGGCAATGGCAGGCCCGCGCGGCTGGTTGTTGTCAGTCGCTGGCAGCGGGTTATGGCGACGGCGGTGGTGAATGAATTCTCCGGGCGGGAGAGGGAAGAAGAAGGGCTTAGCTGCCTCCAGCTCCCCGACTCGGGCCGCCGGGACTTCCTCTCCGCCCGGGGCCGGGCCGGCTCCCTCCGTCCAGCCCCACCAGCAACAGGCAGCTGCGGCGACGGCGGCGGCGGCTTCCCCTCACAAGCGCAACCTCTACTACTTCTCGTACCCGCTGTTCGCCGCCTTCGCCCTGCTCCGCTTCCTGGCCTTCCAGCTGGGGCTGCTGTTCGCCTGGCTCTGCGAGCGCCTCTCCCGCGGCGGCGTCCTCATGGCAGCCGCCAAAGGCACCGCCAGGGCCGGCGCCGGCGACGCTCCCGAGACGGTGCGAGCCTGCCACAAGCGCGCCTTCGAGTGCATCTCCACGGCGCTGCGCATCGACGAAGACGAGGCCGGTAAGGGAGGCCCCGGAGAGGCGAAATGGCTGCGGCAAGGGATGGGGGGGGGAGAGCGGTTGTGTTGCGCGGCGAGGACGGTGCCGGTGGAGGGAAGGGGAAAGGGATGCCGCCCAGGAGGACAGGGGCGGGCGTGCGGCGGGAGAAGCCCCCTTTCGCCGTCGCCTCACGCCCGTCGGATGGCTGCGCTCGGTGCCCCCTAGTTCTGTCAACCTCCCCTTCCCGGCGCTGTGTCTCCTTATGCTTCCGAGTTCGCTCTTGTCGCCCATCTGCTCTCGCAGTCGAGGGGACTCAAGAGTGTTTTTATAGGTCCTCCTTGTAGTGTCGGCAGCGATGGTTCAGTCCCCGCGCAATTAGTTAGATAGGCAACGGTTTAAAAGGCGAGGGGCTTTGAAGAGTAGAATTGCTCCAGAGTGAAAAGTCTATTTACCCCATAAGAGGCGGCGAATGTTACAATGTATGGAGGGTGCTGACATGAAGGACTTGGTGGGTGGAGTCTATGTAAAGGGAGGCTTTGCTGCGAATGTGAAAGAGACTTTGTGTTACCCGCTTAGTCTCTTTGTTCTCCGAGTTCAGCTTGTACTACTGTGGTTCATCATACACCATCACCAGCCGCTGCGGCTGTTAACTTGTTTGGGCTGCATATCAAATTCAAGTTTCTAAGGAGTTCAGACAAATTCTTGAGATGGTAATACTGAGGGGGGGGGGAATGTGTAGAATGGTGAGCTCTATGAAGGCAAACTATTCAGAAAGGCCTTTTTTTTGTTAGGGTTGACTGTACTGTAACTTAAACAGTAGCTGTTAGTCTTGAGAGAACACGAGAGCTCAGATATTTTAAAGCTAAATCGTTTGCCATTTGTAACCTTCAATGCTTCCTGGTGTGACACTTTTGGTAAAAGATAAGCCATTGATAGAAGCTTTTAATATGCTGTAAATAAATAGGGACTGCAGTGAGGTTTGTTGTAAGTTTTACTTAATGTAATAGGTTAAGACCTACTCTTTCCATTTACTTATTTGGTGGTGATTTAGAATAAGAGTGAAAAATAACCTTTCCAATGCAGCAGTCATACAAATACAATAAGATGGATGTTGAAGCAGCCTTACACTGACCTAGACAACTGGTTGATTCTAACCTAACCCTGGGTTTCAAGCAGAGGTTATTCCCAACACTGCTACCTAAGATACTTTTAGCTAGAGATGCCAGGGATTGAACCTTTTACATCCAAAATATGTTCCTTCCCACAAGTTATGGTTCTGAACAAACAGCATTGGACTGTCAACATATGTAACAAAAACAAAAATTAAGACTGACATTAAGAACATGGTAAGAGCCTACTGAATCAGGCCAGTGGCTCATCCACTATCCTGTTTTCATAGTGGCCACCCAGATGCCTGTGGGAAGACCGCAAGCTAGACATGTGTGCAACATCATTCTACCCAACTGGTATTGAGAGGCATAATGCCTCTCACAGTTGAGATAGACCATTGCCAGCATGGCTTGTAGCTGTTTATAACCTTGTCCTGCATTGATTTTTTAAATCCTCTTTTAAAACCGCCTAAGTTGGTGGCCATTGATGCCTCCTGTGGGACTGAGTTCTATTGTTTAATTACATGTTGCCTAAAGTACTTTCTTTTAGCTGCCCTCATTATTCCAACATTCAGCTTCATTGGATGTCCATGAATTGTAGTGTTATGAGGGAGGGAGAAAAACTTTTCTCTAACCACTGTCTCCATGCCATGCATTATTTCATACACATCTATCATGTTACCTCTTGCCTTTTGTTATTTTTAGGTATTGATGGTGAATTCGAACCCCGTGTCCAGTAACTTTCAAAACATAAGCTGGAATTGGGTATTTTTTTCAAGTTGCCCACCCTTTAAGTTTCCCTACATAGTGATTGTGGCACTACATGGCTTTCCTGGAAAGTGTAGAAATAAGCAATATTCGGGAGTAATATAGCTGATTGCCCATTGTTTTGTATGAGAGATTAAACAAATCTGAAACATTAAGATTAAACCTTTCTATCTCATTTGTTCAGCAGAATCAAGATAAGGAAGTAAGTGAATGAGTTCAAGACAGTTTGACAAGCCAATGAAAATAACTTTCCATTTCACTCTGGGTGTGCTGACCCCTGCGATTTCCCCAAATGTGGGAAGCTTGACTGCATAATTTGTGGTAGGTTTAGGATAGGTTAGGCTGAGACAGTGAGGGAGCTGGGGTCATGTAGTAAGCTTCATGACTGACTTCTAGTATAACACTCTGATTCTTCACATGCAAAAAAATTACAGCAAAACTTCATGGACTGTATTTCAAACTGTGTCAACATATTAATGTGGTTTGATCAGTTCAGGATCTGAACTGAAAGAAATTCTCACATATTGAATGGGTAATTGCCCTGCTTGGCTGTGCTTTTCTCCCTCTAGCATGTGGATTTACTTGCTAATGTGAGCTGTCTGGAGCTCCTTGCTTTTAAGGTGCTTTTTATAGTTCACCTGAGATAACCATAGCCTGTTGAGGTCTGGAGTGTATGGATTTACTTGTAGCAGCTGATGTGTGGATGATCCAGCATTTCTGTGTGGGATTGAATCGGGTAACTTTCAGACTTTGATTGTGTGCTCTTGAGTAATCTGATATTAAAAGCAAGGCACTGTGAATTCATTGACTTCTCACATTCTCTTGTGATCCAGATTCTCATTTTTTTATCTAAATACTTTATTGACACTTTGTTTCTTTAAAACAAATAAAATTGGAATGTGAAGGCAGTCAGAGTAGCATAATGTCAAGGTGAGTTCTGAACCTGAAAGTCTGAGGTCACCTGTCACTTCAGTCATGAACTTCCTAGATAGCGTTAGTCAGACCACTATCTGTATACCTTAGCTTTCCATCTGCATATGGAGATACTTTTGATTTACTTGTCAGGCTGCAAGCAATCAAAAGCACAATATGAACGTTCTGTATTTCATCAATCCCATAACAACTCTTGACGTGTAACTGACTTTTCTGCACATATTGTTATTGGGTTGCTTTCTGAACAAGCTTTAATACTGGGTTGAGATCCAATATAGTGTGGAGCAGTTACCCCCTGTGGGCCCCCACAAGCCTCAAAATCTGTTCCAGAGGGTTGAGCAGATTTGGGTTGTTTGGAGCTGGAGGATGGAGAAGAGAAAACAGAAGTCTGAATGCGCATACTGGTAGCCATCTTCAAATAACTTCCTTAGGCTCTATACAGTGTCTGCAGTTCTGACCATTCTTCATAACGGAAAGTATGCAACCAACTTTTTCTCAGCAGGACAAAAGGAACAAGCTGTTGAATGGTACAGAAAGGGGATTGAAGAACTGGAAAAAGGAATAGCTGTGCTAGTTACTGGTCAAGGTAGGCCAACCTTGTGTCTCTGAAACTGTGAGCTTATTTTGATCCTAAATTTAAATGAATAAACAGAAGGAGCAATTGAAATCTGCAAAGAAAACCTAGTAAATCATCTTCTTTTTTTCAGAATTTTTTAAAAAAAGGTTTTCATGGTTAAGTTTTTTTCCTCTGACCTCGAGCCATATTACCATGGATTTTGGGTTTCCTTGAGGTTAATCACTGGTTGTTTGCTCCTGCTGCTGCCACACTGCCAGGAAACAAGCCATGGTCTAGTTTAGCATTATGGTTGGGGCTTGTTTGGAGCAAAAACTACAGACTTTGTTTAAAATATGTTAGCCACCAGACCACAGCTTGTTTCCTTGCAATGCAGCAGGAGTGGCAGAGGAGTAGCATTCATGTTAACTTTCAAATGTTTGTTGAAATTTTTTCTTTGCCCTAAGGCTTATGCAGACAATTAAGAAACATTTCCCATAGTAGTCAGCTGGTGATCTGTTTTAAGTGTTTATGTGGTTTTTATTGTATTATAATTGTTGCAGATGGCTTTGGTATTTTTCACAAAATTGAGGTAGACAAATATGTTTATAAAAAAAACAACTAAACCTTAGTTTATGTTTGAATGTGATGTGTGAACAAGGCCAGAGTTGTTGAATGCAATACACTTCCTTAATTGCTGACAGCTAATTGTACTTGAAATAAAATCTCTGTTTTGGAAATACTCAAACCGATACTCATTAAATTTTCTAAATAATAACCAAAAAAACCATCTGCCATTAAAATTGTACTGAATTAATTCTGGTTCAGGCCAATAAAGTCAGATCCTAAACTGATTCTGTTCCAGTTCATGTTGAATAATACTGAATTCATAATGGGATACAACAAATATTTAGGATTGATCATAGACAATCAGAACCATACTTTTAAATGGAATTAATCAGAGGTTGCTGGACTGAAGTTTCCAGCATCCTTGGCCATTGGTCATAGCTGTGAGGCCTATGAGAATTGGAGTCCAACAACATCTGGAGGGCTGCATGTGTGATTTAGATCAGCACAATTGCAAACCTTTTCTTTAGAAACTGCAGGCCTAACCAACACAAATAACAGCTTGCCCATAAGGAAACAAGCTCAAAACACTGTGTCTTTCATGTCAGAACTTAGAAATAAGTTTTATCATGACTTAAAAGTCTGATGAAGGCATTCTGTGGTGCCCAGGTGCTTTTAACCCCTTTCCCCACCATGCCATTATCCTGTCTGTTGCTAGTTACTTCTTTGAAAGAATGGAGTACACACAGAAATTTGACATAATTCAAGAATAAAAATCCTTCCAGCAGGAGTGCCACCTTGGCTGCATGACCATGGGTGCCATGCAGTAAGCATGGCCCTGGCACCGAAATTTGTAGGTGCCCAGACCCTTCACGGGCAATTTTGTGGGTGCTCGGTTAGCCAGGGCCCCAGCAAGTTGGCACTTATGCCTTCCAGATAACTCTGAACCACCCCGAGACATGTGGGTATAGGATGGTATATAAATTCAAGAAATAATAGTAATAATAATAATAATAATAATAATAATGGGTTCACGTGCTAATGGTTCACTCTTTTTTTTGGATAGTTTATATTATCTACCACTTGTTTCTTAGTTGAACTTGTATTTTGAACAGATAACCTGGATTTTGTTTTTGTTTGTCACAGTTGTGGTTCTACAAAGTATCTCTGTTGATGGTTCATGTTCTCTTTTCAGAGGGAATGGGGATAAAATTCAGTCAGATTTTTTGGCTCAAGTCAATCTTGCTACCTTGGCACTAACATTTTTGGTGTTGCTTTTAAAAGCAAGTTGAAAGCTTTAAATACATATTTAATTTTGATGTAAGAAGGCATCCTATCTGTAAATTGGCAAAACAAGTATACTAAAATTGTAATGTAAATGTGGAATGGCAAATAGTTAGCATTTATTAATATCTTAGAAGTTTTTGTTGTTGTTTAGAGATTATTGGGGCTAAAATCAATCCAAACGGTTGCACTTCATGTTCCTTTAGAATGGTTTTTTCATCAGTTTAGAAATCTGACATACTACTTGTCAGAAAGAGACCTAATACTACTGCTAGTTCCATATCAGCATTTTGAAATAATGGCAGGGAATAGAAAATATGAACAGGGAGCAGGCTAATTGCACATGTAATGGGAAAATACAGCTAGTCTGAACACGTTCTTACTACTGTGTTCATTTGCATATTTTCCTCATTTGTGCAAATGTCCCCGAAGAGAGAAAAGCATGCACAGACTTGTTCTAATGTTACATATCTATGCAGAGCATCATTTTTTTTTGCCATAAGTAAGTTGTAATTTTAATATTTACTTCTCTTTTTTGCTATAGTGTGGGACAAACATTGCTGTTGTACTTATGCTTGAATCTGAATATTTAACTTTCTTTTTAAGGAGATCATTGTGATCGAGCTCGCCGTCTCCAGTCTAAAATGATGACAAATTTGGCAATGGCCAAGGACCGTTTGCAGCTGTTAGGTATTACTTAATATTTTTATTTTGGAAAACGGGAAATGATAGTTACATAATGCATATATTTAAGAAACATTTATTAATCTGGCTTTTTAATTTTTGAAAGGGGTATCTCGGTATTGGATTTTAACTGCATAGAACCTATATACCCACTGTGACACAGATACAGGAATATTGGCAGAGCCGGGGTCTTTTAGGGGGAGGGATTTAAAGGGGCTGTGAGAAAAACAGACTCAAGACTCTATTAAGATGAAGAACTAGAGTTCTGGAGTTCAGTTGGCTCTCTGAACTAGAGAATTTATTTGGTACACCCAGTGGAAGTAAATCCATGTTGCACCTAAAATAAACATTTTAAAAGGTCTCTTTTAGTAAATCTGAGTGAATTCACAGTTTGTCATTCTTATATCAAGTAAAAAGAATAAAGGACCAAACTAGACAGTCTGTGTAAGAAACCAGGGGCCAGTGTGGTGTAGTGGTTAAGAGCGGTAGACTCGTAATCTGGTGAACCGGGTTCGCTTCCCCGCTCCTCCACATGCAGCTGCTGGGTGACCTTGGGCTAGTCACACTTCTCTGAAGTCTCTCAGCCCCACTCACCTCACAGAGTGTTTGTTGTGGGGGAGGAAGGGAAAGGAGAATGTTAGCCGCTTTGAGACTCCTTCGGGTAGTGATAAAGCGGGATATCAGATCCAAACTCCTCTTCTTCTTCTTCAGCCTTAGGAGGATGCAAGTTTGTGTGGAACAATGGCATTGAAAGAGGCTGCTTAACCCTTCCCCTTCAGACTGTTTTTCTACTTAAAACCCAACCACTCCTGCTGCAACTAACTGGGCAGAAAAATGGATACATGCCATATGTTAAGCTGCCTACTCACCTCCTGGCATACCTCCACTCAAACCAGCAGCCCCCTGAGACTGGTCTTAGTGTAAGAGATGCATGCAACTTGCTGCATGTCACATTCCTAAATTGCAGTAATGAGTGTTGGATGTAAGAACTTAAGTAAAGCTTTAGAGCTGATGACTGAGTCACACTAAAAAAAATCTAATTATATTCTATGGCCATGACATACAACTTGTTTTCAATAGAGCATAGTAAAAACTTAAAATTAACATCATATAGCTATAGTATGTACTCTGTTAACACAAGCTTCTTAGGTATGAGAAGTCTGGCTTAAGTATCAGTCTTCCTGAGCTATAACTGTACCTCTTGCCCCTCCCACCTGCCCTTCCATTCTCTCCCCCTCACCAGTGGGTTTCCAGTCCTACTCAGAGTTTCAGTCACAACATAGTTTAAATGTAACTCTGTTTTTTCTGGAACGCTCCAAATTAATCTTGCTTCTTTCTTCTTGAGATGAGGGCTTCGAGTAATTTATTAGTCCTGCTGGTACTTGGCAAAAGTACAGAAGGAACTGAGTCCTTAAGGTGCCATAGGACACTGCTTTGTTTTGCTGCAGCAGACTTAACATGGTCGTCCCTTGCAGTAAGTCTTAGGCCAGATAGTAGCCCAATCTTACGCATATACTATGTATTCAGTAGTCTCCCTAAATTTAATGGATATGATTTAGATCATATGTTAGCGTGCATATGCCTGTAGCTTAAAAGTAAATCTGATAATTATTTGTCTTATTTATGTGTTGTTTTATGGGAAAACTATAATTTTAAAAGAATTTTTATCGTAGCATTTATTGTTAATAAGGCTTTAGGTGAGTTATTGCCATTGCATAGATAATTTTGACATAGAGTGTAATACTTAACATGCTTTGTTTATAAGCAGCAGAAATCTGTTTGAAACTTGGTGCAATTATGGAAAGAAACCACATTTAGTTTGGGGGGCTGATAATGGCTTCATAGTGGTTTTTTCATTTGTGGAGTAGCATAGGGCTCTGTATTGTTGTTCCATGTTTTTAATATCTACATGAAACTTCTGGGGGAAGGTATCCAAAGGTGTGGTCACAGTGTCATCAGTATGCTGACAGCATGCAGCTGTGTGTTTTGTTGCCATCTTCTGATGTAATTGAGGCTGTTAAAACCCTAAACCAGTGCTTGAAGGCATTTGTGGGACTGATGAACTGAGGTTAAGTCCAGGCAAGACAGAGGTGCTCTTGGTTGGAGATTCCTGGCTTCAGAAGGAGGATTACAGCTAGCACTGGACAGGGTAACATTATTCCCTAGAATGGGATGGATTCCCTCCCCCCCAGCCCAAGGGTTGGATCAAGGACTTGCGTTATTTTTGGGGGGCTGGGAGGGACCACCTACTTTTAAAGTCACCTGATGTCATTATCAATTCAGGTGACAGCAGAGGAGCTCACTTTCAGCATCTGATTGGCACTGACAACAAGCCCTTTTGAAGCTGTCAGTTTGCAGATGTGATTTGAATCCAAACCACACATGTGAAAGGACACGTTCAAAGGGGCTCACTGAAAGTGTCAGTTGGTGCTGAGAACGGGTGCTGCTTGCCAAGGAACACTCAGGAGTGCATTTTAAGCTCCCCATTATTCCTTTGCAGCTGTGTCTTTAGCTGCCTGGCATTGCATATGGTATCAGGTGTGGGAAAGGTAGGCATGGTTTGGCAGAAAAGGTCTTGTGGGCCAAATAAAGCCCATGCAACAAAGGCTCCCCACTGTTGCTGTTAAAGGACCCAAGTTCTCCTGGCTTCAATACTGACTGGGGGAGCCTAGGTAGCATTTGTATCCAGGAGTGTATTTTATCGACTTGGTACACTAAGTACAGCCCTTTCTGGAGCTGACAGACCTAGCCACAGATCTGATCCATGCTGTGGTCACATCTAGACTGGATTTAATATTGTAATGCACTGTATGTGGGGCTATCTTTAAATATAGTCCAGAAACTTCAGCTGCTTCAAAACATAACCACCAGAGTTCTGATGGGTGTATGGCAGTCAGCTTCAATAACACTTGTATTCATTAATGACACTGGCTCCTAATATGTCTCCAGGCCCAATTCGAAGTGCTGGTTTTAGCCTTGAAAGTGCCAAATGATTTGGGCCCAAGTTACTTAAAAGGCTGCATGCACCATACCATCCTGCCCTCGCACAGATATCTCAGTTAGAGGACCTCTTGATGTATTCACCTCCTAGATCTATTATGTGAATGACTAGGAGACAGAGAGGGAGTCTTTTATGGCTCCACAGTTTGGACCTCTGTCCAAGTAGAGCTGTGGTGGTCAGCTTTTCAGAATGTTTCAAAATATTCATTTGTTTCAAATTGCCTTCCCTGGATAATTTTTTGTTCCACTCACTTAAGGAAGCTGGAATGTTTTTGTGTTACTAAAATTCTGAGTTTGTATTTATCTGTGATCTTTATTCTTGATTTTAATGCTTGTAGTTTTTATTGGTTGTAAATCTCTTTTGATAGTCTTTGCCTGGAAAAGCATCACACAAGCATTTTAAAATAAAAATAGTTTAGAGCATGCAGGTGAAATCTCTCAACATCTTCACCTTCCATCAACAAGACATAGCCGTTTCCATAAGCCCTAGGTAAAGCGTAAAGGGACCCCTGACAGTTAAGTCCAGTTGCGAACGACTCTGGGGTTGCGGTGCTCATCTCGCTTTACAGGCCAAGGGAGCCAGCGTTTGTCCGCTCCGCAGACAGTTTTTCCGGGTCATGTGGCCAGCATGACTAAGCCGCTCCTGGTGCAACGGAACACTGACACCAGAGCAGCGCACGGAAACGCCATTTACCTTCCCGCCGGAGCGATACCTATTAATCTATCTGCACTTTTAGTGTGCTTTCAAACTGCTAGGTTGGCAGGAGCTGGGACCGAGTAATGGGAGCTCACCCCGTCGAGAAGATTCCAACCAGCGACCTTTTGATCAGCAAGCCCAAGGCTCAGTGGTTTAGACCACAGTGCCACCCGTGTCCCTATGTTGGAACAAAAACCCAAGGAGGCATGTAACTAAATTTGACAAGTGTTAGAAATAACTGGCCGTATGTTTGGCTCTAGGCCTCTTATCGTGCCACTTTGTCTCTTGACATGTGATGAAATCATCAACTGGGGTCACCTTTTGATCTAAAGACAAGTGGATAACAATACAAGTACAATAAAGTGTACTTCGCCTGATCCAGCAGGCTCCTCTTATGTAACTGAAGAATGCATTTTGTGAGCTAAAACTACATTGAAAACTGTTGCTTTTTGACAGTGGCTGTTTCTCTTTTCTGTGTGGGTTGGATTCAAACTTGCATGCAATGGAGTTTTGATCATGTGAAAATCGGCTAGAGGAACAGAGAAGGGGAAGATTATTTTTGCAAGTTCCTCCTTTCCTGTGTTGGCCTCTGAAAAGCTGATATAAGTGGCTGCAGGCCCCTATGCAACAATGGGCAGTGACAATGAGGACTGCAGGGAGAAAGGGGGATAGTAGAAAATAGCCATCTATTCCAGCATAAGCTTCTGCTAGATCAGAATCACTCCCATATGCATTATGGCAACCCTGCACCCAACCTTTCTTTTGTTAAATAAAATGGGTGTTGACCCCTCTTTCTAAAACCAATTAGTGTGAAGAACTCCAAATAAGTTAAGTGTGTGAATGCTGCAGGGTTTTATGACAAGTCAAGTTCAAGAGGCTGTTTAATACAAGAGAAACTATGTTACTTCAGAAAGATGACAAATAATGATTGTCATAAGGGCTGGAGCATTGGAATTGAAGCAGTATAATTTCTTGGAATATTTCTCAAGTACACATCATACTTTAGAAGTGGCAGAAAGACTTCATCAGTTTACCCCAAATCTGCTAATTGTACAATAATGCTACACCCCTTTAAGAATCCATTTTCCCTTTAGGATATTTGATATTTAGTAATGTAGTGTTGCAGTTTGAAGATGCTAATTTGATCAGAAAATATTATTCTTGCTCAACCTTATTAATTGAAGAATTGTCTGACGTGATGTAATCTGCTGAAGCAAGCATTAGCTGTTAAATATGGAGTGGTAATTATACACAAACATTTGCCAATAAAGCGTACTATAAAGATAAGATCTGGCTGCAACATGTACCAACTGGTTACAAGCTCTCTCACCTAAAACCTTCTTTTTCCCATGGATAGAGATACCTGTGCATACAGCATTGAAAAGTTTCCCATCAATCTTTTACATTGTGATTTCTGACTAACTTGGTTATTGACTGTAATTCACAACCTTTTCATAATAGTATATCATCTTTTAGATGTTCTTGTAGCTTCATAATATAGCAAACATAAGACACATGCTTTCTAACTTTAATCCATTTCAAGTCAATCAAAGGCAAAGTCATTTTTTGTGTGATTTAGTGTACGTAACTTCCATGGGTTCATTTTTTGTTTTTTATTTGTCCTTCCCCACCCTTCTGTTTTGTTGCATAGAGAAGATGCAGGCAGTTAAGCAAATTCCCAAGCTGCAAATGGAAATCTGTAGTGACAGTACTAACCTGGTATGCCGCAATGGACATCTCCAGTCAGGTGGGTTTGGTTTTACCAGCACCTAAATAATTAGGGGGATGTCTCAGTATATATTATGTAACAAAGAAAATATGCAGTGCTAAATTGCCTGCTCCTAAACAATTTTTAAAATGCTTTTCTACTGAAAGGTTTCTGTAGTACGTTCTGTCCTCAAAATTGTGTTAACATTGCGCTTGTTGAACTCCTTTCCTTGTACTTTAAAGTTCACCACATTTTAAATGAAATGGTTCCTAAGGAAATCGTTAATTTTTAAAAATCACATGCTTTTAAAATGCAGTTTTAACAGTTTGAAAAAAACACCCTGCATTTTGTGAAATATCGTATCAGGAAAAAAAGCTGGGAGATTTTAGAGGCAGCTACAAAGTGATATAAGGCGAAACTATATAACTGGATTGTTTTGAATTCTATTTTATATTAACATCAACCAAAACAATATTTGAATACACTTCCCGTTAGTTATATTCTACTTTTTATTATTGGTCATTTCTCTTTTGCTGCTTGATGTTAGAAAGTATGCCTAGAATTATTGTAAAAGGCTGCATATATGTGAAGGTTAATTGTGTTGTTAACTAGGAGAACTATATGTGAGAGTTGGTTGAAGTCATATATTTGGGGGAAGGATTGTAACCTGACATTCTGAAAGTATGCACTAAAAAGGAAAAGTGAACTTAAAACAGCAGATTGTGAAATGTTCATTGTTAGCTTTGTAATTTTGTTAAGCGGGGTAGCCTCTCTGCATACTATTTTCACTGTTTGTAGGACAAATGCTTTCAAATGAACAGATGCAAATATTGTTGAAAGCACAACTTAGCTAAAACATAAGCATGGTGGCTTAATATTTTTGCTTTAGAAATTTGATATTTTAGATGAGAATCCCCAGAGATTTGAGGTGGAAGGGGTTTCCTCAGTTGTTGTTTTTTTAAATCTGCCTGTTACTTTTAGGCCATAAATACTCTCTTCATTCTTGTTAACCATTCTTAAATGAGGCTTTGAAATACTACCCGCCTTTCATATACTTTTGCTTAGCTTATGTACACGGCTGGAGCTTCCATAGAATCATAGAATCTTAGAGCTGGAAGGGATCCCAAGGGTCATCTAGGCCAATCCCCTGCATGCAGTAATCTAAAGCATCCATGACAGATGGCCATCCAACCTCTGCTTGAAAACCTCCAAGGAAGGGGAGTCCACCATCTCTCATGGGAGTCTGTTTCACTGCTGAACAGCTCTTACTGTCAGAAAGTTTTTCCGACTGTTTAGTCAGAATCTCCTTTCTTGCAACTTGAAGCCATTGGTTCGAGTTCTACCCTCCAGAGCAGGCACCCCCAAACTCGGCCCTCCAGCTGTTTTGGGACTACAATTCCCATCATCCCTGACCACTGGTCCTGTTAGCTAGGGATGATGGGAGTTGTAGTCCCAAAACAGCTGGAGGGCCAAGTTTGGGGATGCATGTTCCAGAGCATGAGAAAACAAGTATGCTCCCTCCTCCATGTGACAGTCCTTAAGATATTTGAAGATGGCTATCATATCTCCTTTCAGTCTCCTCTTTTCCAGGCTAAATATAACCAGCTCCCTCAAGCATTCCTCATAAAGCTTAATTTCCAGACTCTTGATCATCTTGGTTGTCCTTCTCTGCAAACGTTCCAGCTTGTCAACATCCTTCTTAAGTTGTGGTGCCCAGAATTGGACACAGCATTCCAAGTGTGGTCTGACTAAGGCATTGCCAGATATCAGATGAATTTTAATTAGTTTTTGAAGGAACAGTATAGTTAGGTTCCGTTTAATGCAAGTTGTTTTACTAAATAATTTGATTCTGTGCTGATTGAGAATCAGTAATATCTTCTTAATTGCATCATAAAGCTGTTAAAGTTTAGAATAAAATTGCTCTTCCCTAACCATATTTGGGAGGTACTCTCAAGTAAGGATTACTCCAAAGAAGTCTTGCTCACTTCACATAACCCAATCTGGTCTCTGGTTTAGCAGTGTGTTACAGGCAATGAGGTGAAACAGGAAAAATTTAGAACACATGTTAATCTCAAGTGTGAATCCAGTCAAACACTTATCAAGTTGTCTTTGTGACGGTGATGGTGATGAAGAGTTCTCTGCCATTTTTACATCCTAGATCCTTGGAAACATGCTGTGATATTGCTGTGTGCTTCCAGGACAAAGTTCTGTCCTGAGTTGGTATCCAACTAATTTTGCAGTTCGGTCTTCTTATGCTTAGAGTACCTTCTAGTCTAGTTTTGTGGTATGAGGATGTAGGTAAGGGGGTTGGAGAGGTGCTGCCTGCTTAACTGGTTCCTTTCTTGGCTTATTGCATCTAGCCTATACACCTATTTACTAGAAGGAGTGATTCCAGCTGCTTTGAAATTAACAGTTATGAGGTTGCTTCTGAAGAAACTCTCCCTGCACCCCAAGAGCCATAAAAATTGTTGGCTAATCCCAACTCTCCTCCTTGGGCAGAATGCTTGATGGTTGGTTGCCAAGAAATTCCAGTTACTCTTGAATCAAACTCTCAGCAGTATTGGTATAATCAGCCTCCTTTTGGAAAGACTCCCTGATTTCAGAGTTGAAATCACAGTAGTATAGTAGTAGTAGTAGTAGTAGTAGTAATTGTAATTTATTTATACCCTGCCCATCTGGCTGGGCTTCCCCAGCCACTCTGGGTGGCTTCCAACAAATTATTAAAATACAGTAATACACTAAACATTAAAAGCTTCCCTAAACAGGGCTGTCTTCAGATGTCTTCTAAAAGTCTGGTAGTTGTTCTCTTTGATATCTGGTGGGAGGGCATTCTAGCTGAAGGGCCACTTCCAGCTACTACTGTTGGATCCCATAGGATGACGTTCTAGCTGAAGGGCCACTTCCAGCTACTACTGTTGGATCCCATAGGATATATGTTCGTTATGTGGTCCTACAGGGTTCTTTTTTCTCCCCTCTTCTGTTTCACATTTACTTGAAGCTGCTGGGTGAGGTCATCCAAAGTTTTGTAGTGTGGTGTTTCCAGTGTATACACTCTTGTCTCTCCTTGACAATGGATTTAGTCAAGGTAGTGGAAGTGCTAAGTTGTCCACTGGAATCATGAATGGACCAAATGATTGCCAACAAACTGAAGCTCAGTCTTGTCAGGATTTATCTACTGTTAAAAGGTGTTTTGTCTAGGGAACCAGTAGTCAACCAGTTCTGAATGGGAGTGCACTCCACTCTGCAGATTTATTTATTTGGGTGGGAAATACTCATGGTTCTAGCTTTAATACTGTTCTTAGCAACCCTGAAATCAGTGGATGTAACAATATTTTTAATTATAACTGGTTTTAGACTATTTTAACCATTTTAGAATGTTTTTGAATTGTAGGTATGTTTGCAGCCTTGGGCTCCTGCAGTAGGTAGGACAGGATATATTTTCATTTAACAAAAGATACAATAGCCTGTCCACAGTTATCAGTGCTTTGGCGGCTTCCAGAGTAGACAACTGCAATGCTTTGTATTTGGGACTGCCTTCTGAAGTTCAGTTAGGTTACTAGCTGGGATCAGGAATATAATGCTAATACCTAAAAAGAACTTCATTGGCTTCTGATCTGTTTCCAAGCACAGTACAAAGCCCTGCATAGCTTGTGACCTGTCTCCTTCCTTATCAATCTACTTAGGTGTTAATATGAATGTTTGAGGCCCTCCTTCAGATACCCTTGCCAGATAAGTTGAAGATGGTGATGACGTGAGAATTTTATTTATTGTGGTGCCCAGTTTGTAAAATTCTCTCCTCAGAGATTCTTACTTGGTGCCTATTTTTCTAGGACTATAATGCACAAGACAAAGATTTGTTGGTTTTCCAGACTTAAAATTCTTTTTATCTTTTGACTTCTTAATGTTTGCTGCTGTTACTACTTCATTGTTCATTGTTTTATTTATTGCCCTTAACGTTTTGTGAAGTGCCCTAGAAATTTCAGACTGAAATATGATACAAAGTTTTAAAATAAGTGGAGAGTGAGTCTGACATTCTAAGATTTACAATATATTTTTACTTCTTTGCACTTTCAACTTTTACACAGTACACTGAAGTGTCAAAAATGTGACTTGGTAAAGATAAAGCATGCTGGATCATGTTGGTCAGGCCACATAAAATAAATATGTTAGTTGATTTTCAGGATTATTTTCAGTTAAACATGCAGCAGTGTAACACAATTCAAATAATATGCCAATCAATGTAAGAGATGAACTATATTTCACTCCTTGTGATTTTGTTGGCATTGTGTTTCCCAGAAATGAATCACAGGATGTATATTGGACTTGGCTGACATAAGCCATATCCAGCTAGATTTTTGGCTGCCTCTTCCTATTCTAAAATCTTAACACCATTCAGATGCTGCAGAGTTGATACTTTGCTTCATACAGGTATAATGTAGTGATTAAGAGACTCGGTCCCCTGTTCAGATATTGTCTCTGCTATGAATTCATGAGGTGGGTCAGTCTTGCCATCCTCCGTTGACAATATGTGGATAATAATACTAACCTACCTTACACTTTTCTATTTCTTATTAAGGATTGTAACATTGGTTTAGAGTTTTGAATATTCTAGGTGCTATGTAGATGCCTAGCAATTATGATTATTCTAGTGGTAATTACAGTTCATCTGTATCAAGTGAATGAATGTATTTGTAGGATTCTAAAGACCAGAAAACTTATTTGCTGTAGTACTAAATGTGATGGTTGACAGCTGCATGTCCAGTAGTGTTTAAACAACTAATAGTTAAATAGAATTTGATTGACTAATCTGAGTTTATGGTGGTCCAGGAGTGGTATTAATGTAGACTTACTGGAATTTTCTACCAAGCAAAAGCAATTTTTACATCACTAGTAAAACAAATATGAATATGACTCCTCCACTTTAAAAAATGATATAAAGCAGTACATTTGATCAAGATGTCACTCATTATTTTTAAACAGAGGATGGTGTGCAACTAGTTGTTTTGAGTATACCTTATATTGACATATCTGTGTCTTTCTTTTTGTAGAAAGTGGGGCTGTTCCAAAAAAGAAGGACCCATTGACTCAAACGAGTAACTCACTCCCTCGTTCAAAATCAGTGGCCAAAACTGGATCTGTGGGGCTTTCAGGGCACCAAAGGACACCTAGTTACAGTGGCATATCCAATTTTTCTGTACCTAGACAAGGAACTGTTCCCACAGCTTCAACTCAGAAGGTAAGGCAGTAGGCTCCATGTGCTGCTTGCTTGCCAGTTTGTCTTCATAACAGAAACATTACCATTCAAAATTGAAGAAATACATGGCAACAGAGAGCTTTATTTCAAAGCTTAGAGTCTTTAATTGCAAAAAGAGTTTCTAAAGAAAAGTGCTACTTTTACTGTCCTAGCTCTTTTTTGATTGAGACCATGTGTTAGAAGTAGGCAACCGGTAGTGCTATGCCTGCTTGAAATCATTTCACAAAATGGCTCCAAGGGTATGTAGGTGTGCAGTGGCTTCATTTGTGATTCAACTGCTTGCTAATAGGAAACTAAAACAGGTGTCCATACAGTTGATTGTCCTTGATCATCTTTCTGAAAAGATGGTTGGGTTTTCCTCAGTTTAAAGTGTGTCAGAAACCTGCACAATTTGTTTCATTAGAGGATGCTACAGGATAGTAAAATGTTGTGTCACTATCAAACCACTTCCTCTCCACCATTACTCTTAAAATCTTACACCTGTTGGTAGTCTGTGTTCATTTTTCTCCATGTACTTAAGGAGAATGCTTAAAATAACGGTCAAAATAGAATATCCTGGTAAGAATTTTCAAGAGTCCAAGACCTCCAAAATATTGTTGCATGAGCTAAAAATCCTAACATACTTGTTGATTGGTCTGAACTGGTGGCGAATAACCAGGAAACAGAGCTTGAGAATGTGGTGGATAATCTATGCAAAAATCAACAGAATGTGTGGCAGTGATGATAAATGCAAATTTCTTACAAGGGTTGATTAGGAAAGGGACTGAAACTAACTCAGCCGGTATCATTCTGCTTTCATACAAATCTCTGGTGCAGATGCATTTGGAATATGTGTACAGTCCTGATTACTCCATCTCAAAGGATTTCAGAATGAAAAAGCCACCTGAATGATCAAGGGATTAGAGCATCTCTACCAGGGGTCAGCAACCTTTTTCACTGTCCCTCAGACCTTGTGGGGGGCTGCACTATATTTTGAAAAAAATATATGAACGAATTCCTATGCCCCGCAAATAACCCAGAGATGCATTTTAAATAAAAGCACACATTCTACTTATGTAAAAACACCAGGCAGGCCCCACAAATAACCCAGAGATGCATTTTAAATAAAAGGACACATTCTATTCATGTAAAAACACGCTGATTCCCGGACCGTCCATGGGCCGGATTGAGAAGGCGATTGGGCCGCATCCGGCCCCCGGGCCTTAGGTTGCCTACCCCTGATCTACAAAGGGATGCTAAAGTGTGTGAAGCTCTTCAGTTATTTTTTAAAAGAACAACTAACAGGAGGAAGGAACATGATAGAGGTTTCTACACTTGCATGGAGTACAGGAAATTGATTCCTTTATTTATGGAAATCGGTATTAAAATATATGGTGATTGCCACTGACTTGAGATGGCTCTAAAAGGGGATTAAACAAATTCATGATGTGTAGCTCTGTCAGCCATAGTAGCAGTGGAACCTCCAGATTTAAAGTCAATATTCCAAGGAACTGGGGGCTGTCCTTGTGTTTTTTCCCCAAACAATATTGAAATATTTTTTAAAAAATTGTTTCTTCAGGCTACTCCAAAAAATAATAGAGCCAACAAGCCTTCTACTCCTACAACTGCTGTGCGAAAAAAGAAAGACATGAAGGTTTTTAGAAACGTGGATAGTAATCTTGCTAATCTTATTCTCAATGAAATAGTAGACAGGTAAGCAACATCAGTGGTTGTCTTTAATAAAGACAGGGTTATTTTTTTAGATTGCTATGTAAGAAAAGTGGGTTTCCCCCCCAATAGGGCAATTAAGATAAAACATATTAATTTTTCTGTATGAGTTGATAGCAGAATTTAGTTTTGGGGGTCTAAATAAAACATGCAGGTGTGGTTATAGGAAATGAAACATTGAATATAAATGTGGGTAATTTCATAATTTTAATGGATTTCTTAAATGGCAGTAATGGTATAAAACTAGCCAGCTGTACTCCAGAGCAATGAAATGTCTATTGTTGCACTAATTGGTATTCTGTATCTGTTAGTGGGCCATCTGTCAAATTTGATGATATTGCTGGGCAAGAGCTGGCTAAGCAGGCACTGCAAGAAATTGTTATTCTCCCTTCACTTAGACCTGAGGTAAGCAATATGTTTCCTATCAGTTTTTATATTGCACCTTAGAGCCTTCTGTTCTTTGTATAAATGATGTATGCTATTTATGTTAATGCTGCTCATTTACAATTTGGGATTAATTCACATAATGTACCAAGAAAAGGATCAAGACTGTTTCCAGAGAAATCTTGCTATATTTGCATCTCTTCCTTAAAAGTAGTAATAAAAACCATGATTCTTAATTGTAACCCAGTAGGGTTGTGAATAATTATGACTATTCAATGGAGTGAAACTTATCTGGTTGCATGTAGCCCTCTTGTCCATAGTATCTATTTAAAATATTTATAAACTGACTTTTTTAGATCTAATATGTGTTCTATATATAGCATTGTAATATGTATACTAAGTAGTAGCTAATCACAAACCACACACTAGTGCTGAAATGCATTCCCATCCACCAAAATTTCCAAAAACTCTCTTCTATGAATTTTGGTGCTAAGTATCCACTAAAGAAAGGGGCAAAAATGACAGCCAAAGTATACAAATCTCACAGGAAGGAGAGGGGGCATTAGGTTGCAAAGACCTGCTGATCACACGCAACTTCAAATTCTGATAAACATAGATTGAAACACTATAAAGTTAAATATATACTGTTATGCTGACATAATGCAAGTCCAAAATTATTATTTAAAGGTAAAGGTACCCCTGACCATTAGGTCTAGTTGCAGTCGACTGTGGGGTTGTGCGCTCATCTCTCTCTATAGGCCGAGGGAGCCGGCGTTTGTCCGCAGACAGCTTCCAGGTCATGTGGCCAGCATGACTAAGCCGCTTCTGGTGAACCAGAGCAGCTCACGGAAACGCCGTTTATCTTCCCACCAGAGCGGTACCTATTTATCTACTTGCACTTTGACGTGCTTTCAAACTGCTAGGTGGGCAGGAGCTGGGACCGAGCAATGGGAGCTCACCCCGCCGTGGGAATTCGAACCGCTGACCCTAGGTTCTGTGGTTTAGACCACAGCGCCACCCGCGTCCCTAAATAATTATTTGGCCAACATATTAATAAATATCCTTCTATGTTTAGGTATCTAATATAAATACAGCCACTGGATACAACCTACAGTGTGTGTCAGCAGAAGGAAGCTTGCAAATTATTTATTCTTCCCTCCCCCCTCCCTCCTGCAGCACCCTGTCACCCTCTCCTGGAGCTAGAGGGGCAGGCAACTACTTAATAGTATGGGATGTGTCATACAGGTAGTAATGGGTGGGAGAAATCACCCTTAATTGTGTAGAGGAATCTTGGACCAGTGGAGCTCTGTTGGTGCAAGATTCTTCAACTCAGTTTCATGTGATTCCCCCCCCCCCCACCTCCCATTATAGCTTTGCACGAAAAAGCCAATGACGCTGTGAAGAGAGTTAACCTGGCCCTGGAAAAAATGTCCAGCAGTTATGGGCCGTTGGAGAATATCCCTTTCCTGGGCAAGGTACAGGAGAGAGAGTAAAGGCTAGTCAACTCTAGATACTCTTGGATGAAACTGGCTTTGTTGATCCATTTCAGTTAGGCTATAGGCCTTATTTTGGGACAGAAGCTGAAATGTATTGATTTATTACGGTCACAGACCAGAAATACAAGGAACAGAAAATGTTCATGGTCACCCTGTGGGATGACCTTTCTAAGGGGGCGGGTGCAATGTTAATTTGCTTGGGTCTTTCTGACGTTTGATGCCATTATCCATAATATCTTCTGCGTCTGAGTTGCTTATTGGAGGAACTACTTGGCAGTGGAACTTTCTGCTGAGTAGCTGGCTGATAATACAACAAAACACACACTTTTTGTAAGATAAATGTAGGACTGCTCTGACAATAGATGAGGAAGAGCAGAATGCTGGAATTGATGGTTTGAAAATAGGTGGACCTGCATAGAGGAGTATTTTTAAAAAACTTGTCCAACTCTGGGCTACATACAGATCACTTCTGTTGTGTTACAGCTAGATGATCCAAAGCTATTCAAGCTAAAACCCTGTCCTTTCCTTTCCTTTTTTCTTCTTTGATAGGGCCTGCTCTGGCCATCCTCCTCCCCTCTTGTTCTCTTTCCCTATGCTTACTCTACTGCTGATATTAAGTTGCAAGTCTGGGTTGAGATAGCAGGTCTTCCAGTGGTCTGGAATGACCTGTCTTTTTGAAAGTTATATACAGTGGTGCCTCGCAAGACGAAATTAATTCGTTCCGCAAGTCTCTTCGTCTTGCGAGTTTTTCGTCTTGCGATGCACGGTTTCCCTAGGAACGCATTGAAAATCAATTAATGCGTTCCTAGGAAACCGCCTTCAGACCAGGTCCGGGGACAGTCTGTCCCCGGACCTCTTCTGAAGGCTGGGGGGGGGGCAAGGGCTTTTCTTCCCACCCACCCCAGCATTTTAAAAAACCCCGGGACAGCGGAGGACTTCTCCGCTGTCCGGGCGATCTTAAAATGCTGGCGGGCGGCATTTTAAAATCACCCCGGGACTGCGGAGGACTTCTCCGCTGTCCGGGGCAATTTAAAAGCCCCTGGGAAGGCAGGCAGGGGGGACAAGACTTTGCCCTCGCCAGCCTTCAGAAGAGGTCCTGGACCTCTTCTGAAGGCGGGCGGGGGCGAAAGTCTTGCTCCCCCGCCTTCAAAAGCCCTCCGGGACAGGCAGGCAGGGGAGCAAAGACTTCGCCCCCGCCCGCCTTCAGAAGGTCTTCCTCCCCGCCCGGCTCGGAGCACCGCTCCGGCCGGGCGGCGGCGGGAGGTCTTCCTCCCCGCCCGGCTCGGAGCACCGCTCCGGCCGGGCGGCGGCGGCAGGTGTTCCTCCCCCGCCCGGCTCGGAGCACCGCTCCGGCCGGGCAGAGGCGGGAGGTCTTCCTCCCCACCGCCCGGCTCGGAGCACCGCCCGGCCGGGCAGAGGCGGGAGGTCTTCCCTCCCCCCGCCCGGCTCGGAGCACCGCTCCGGCCGGGCGGCGGCGGGAGGTGTCCCTCCCCCGCCCGGCTCGGAGCACCGCTCCGAGCCGGGCAGAGGCGGAGGTCTTCCTCCCCCCGCCCGGCCTCGGAGCACCGCCCGGGCCGGGCGGCGGCGGAGGTGTTCCCTCCCCGCCCGGCTCGGAGCACCGCCCGGGCCGGGCGGCGGGGAGGTCTTCCTCCCCACCGCCCGGCTCGGAGCACCGCTCCGGCCGGGCAGAGGCGGGAGGTCTCCCCTCCCCCGCCCGGCTCGGAGCACCGCCCGGGCCGGGCGGCGGCGGGAGGTGTTCCCTCCCCCGCCCGGCTCGGAGCACCGCTCCGAGGCTGGGCGGCGGGGGAGGTCTTCCCTCCCCACCGCCCGGCTCGGAGCACCGCTCCGAGCCGGGCGGCGGCGGCAGGTGTTCCCTCCCCCGCCCGGCTTCGGAGGGAGCCTTCCGAGCCCGGTGGCGGCGGGAGGAGGTGTCCCCGCCCGCCGCCAGGCTTCGGAGGAGGTCCGAGGACAGTGGGGAAGACGCGCTGCGCTTCCCGCTGTCCCTGAGATTTCCTATGGGCTGTCGTCTTGCGAAGCAAGCCCATAGGGAAATTCGTTTTGCGAAGCGCCTCCAAAACGGAAAACCCTTTCGTCTAGCGGGTTTTCCGTCTTGCGAGGCGTTCGTCTTGCGGGGTACCACTGTATTTTAAAGAAACATCAGTGTTAAATGTATGTGTAGATACTGCCAGTTTCTATATAACCTTATGCTTGTTTACAGTCACAAAACTGTATGTAACTCTGCTATTCTTTCAGCTGTTTACAGGGCTTAGGGCTCCTGCACGTGGATTGTTGTTGTTTGGCCCACCAGGAAATGGAAAGACGATGTTGGTGAGAAATCTGTTTTGCACTCTAGCATGTTGTTCAGCTCAGCTTTTTGAGAACTTTCCACATTTGCTTTCTATTTTTATGAAAGAAAGGTGTTGAATAATCTCTTTGAAATAGGAGAGTATTTTAATTTTGGGCTGTTTGCACTCTGCTTGGAAGAATACTGAAAATTTTACAGTATCTTATGAGGAAAGTACAGATAACTTGCATCTTACACTTATTTTACTTAGGCTATCACAGCTTTGAGGGAGTGGGTGGGTAAATTAACTTGGAGAGATGGCCCTAGATGGTTTAAGTGAATTTGGTGCTTGGTATTAACATGCAAATACCCTCTTTAAGTTAAGAGTAGGAATGAGCTGTATACCTTTATGGGGGAAAAACAATGCTTTTCTTGATCTTTCAGTAAATTGGCATTTTTTTAAAAAAAGCTTGTATAAGATGATGCATTGTGGTGCTTTAGTGTAGCACATTTGGTACATTGGGATTTGTAAAACTGTTTTGTTTATTTCCTAATACTTTATGAATAAAACAAAAAATGAAGTGGAAAGTTTGCTTCATAAACTCATGTTATCTCAAATTCAATAGAGGAAGTTGGTTCTCATTCCAGTTTTAATAGTTTATATATGACCCTCACTGTACAGTGGTTGACAGCCTCAGATTAGCTGCATACAGTTTTTATGAATAAATTTGAAGAGATAAAGCATTTGAAAATTCAGCTGACTACCTTGGCAGACATGTCACACTTTTAGGGAATGACATGCTATATATTGCTAAATCAATGATAGATTATTTGGATTTTCCATAACTGTATTGTACTATTTCTTACACATTTAGTAAGAATACTGTAAACCTTTTATGTGGTAGTCCTCACTTGGCATTTTCTCTTATTCAAGGCCAAAGCAGTGGCTGCAGAATCAAATTCAACTTTCTTTAACATAAGTGCTGCAAGTCTAACGTCAAAATATGTAAGTAGCAGTTGTATATTCTAGTTGTACACTTTTGAAAAATACCTGGAGTTCTTGATAATGTAGGTTTGGCTCAAAAAAAAGTAACCGGCACCTGGGCTTTTTAGGAGCATTTGGCAATGAAAAGTTGCTATAAACACATATTTCTAAATAAATGTGAAGAGGAAATCATTTAAATTTCACTGCAACTTGTCAAAACCTATGACAAAGTTATTGGCTTGGATCCTAACTAAGTTCACAGAAAGTTTCTCACCTGCATTCCCCCTGCAGCTACATACACCCTGAGAAATCATCTTTGTAAGGTTGGGGGTAAAAGAGGAGAGTGCAAAATACGGTCTGAAGCTCAACATCAAAAAAACTAAGATCATGGCCACTGGTCCCATCACCTCCTGGCAAATAGTAGGAGAAGAAATGGAGGCAGTGAAAGATTTTACTTTCTTGGGCTCCATGATCACTGCAGATGGTGACAGCAGTCACGAAATTAAAAGACGCCTGCTTCTTGGGAGAAAAGCGATGACAAACCTAGACAGCGTCTTAAAAAGCAGAGACATCACCTTGCCAACAAAGGTCCGTATAGTTAAAGCTATGGTTTTCCCAGTAGTGATGTATGGAAGTGAGAGCTGGACCATAAAGAAGGCTGATCACCAAAGAATGGATGCTTTTGAATTATGGTGCTGGAGGAGACTCTTGAGAGTCCCATGGACTGCAAGAAGATCAAACCTCTCCATTCTTAAGGAAATCAGCCCTGATTCAGCCCTGCTCACTGGAAGGACAGATCCTGAAGCTGAGACTCCAATACTTTGGCCACCTCATGAGAAGAGACGACTCCCTGGAAAAGACCTTGATGTTGGGAAAGCTGGAGGGCACAAGGAGAAGGGGACGACAGAGGACGAGATGGTTGGACAGTGTTCTTGAAACTACTAACGTGAGTTTGACCAAACTGTGGGAGGCAGTGGAGGACAGGAATGCCTGGCGTGCTCTGGTCCATGGGGTCACAAAGAGTTGGACACGACTAAATGACTAAACAACAACAAAGGTTGGGGAAATCCTCTTAAACAATGTGCGATGTGGCAAGGGGGCCTGTTGGGGGGCATTGCCCCCAAAGTGAATGGACTTTTGTCCAATTTTGGCACAAGATTTGAGTAATTTCCACTTGCCAAGCGGATACCCCACCCACAAACTTCAGGAAGGCCTCCTGAGCTACAAGAGAAGCTTTTTGAGGAATTCAAAAGCAGGAAAGGCCGTGCACTTCTTTAAATTGATTTTCCTTCCATGCACTTCTTTAAATTGATTGTGTTGGGATCCAAACCATTGACTTTAGGTTTTTATTCAGGAAGGCAGATAACATCTATCGCAAGTACCAGCACAGAGTTGGTGTCAAAATTTGGTCTTGGTCTTATTTTATATAAATGAAAAGGATGAGAATGAACCATATTAACAAACTGTTTTTCTGAAGTATATGCCTTATCTTCTTTTTAGGTTGGTGAAGGAGAGAAACTAGTGCGTGCTCTTTTTGCAGTAGCCAGAGAACTTCAACCTTCTATAATTTTTATAGGTAAAACTTTAGCATTTTGTATTTAAAAAAGTAAAGCAGCTTCAAACTTTAACTTGTAAAGCAACCTAATGTTGTGATCAGGTAAAGCTGCATCATAAGCTATTGTCCATTTATTGGATTTGTTTTATAATTTAAGTAAGTAGGATGTTTACAGAACTACCAATATTATATTGGAAGCTGCTCTGTGAATATATATTAAAAAGTCTGGTATTGATGTACTGAAGACAAAAAAAGACTTATGCATGCTCGTTCTCAAATATGTTATTAACTTCATGGATCTCAATAATAGATTTTGAATAAAATGCAAGTTATTTTACTTACTTCAGTTATACCATTATAGGAAATGTTATAATGTTGCCACTTTCAATTTTTAGATGAAGTGGATAGTCTCTTATGTGAAAGAAGAGAAGGTGAACATGATGCTAGTAGACGTTTAAAAACGGAATTTTTAATAGAGTTTGATGGTGTAAGTATTAGCTTTGGTATGAAGCTACATCAATGCATACCGATTTGTTGTGTTTAAACTGTGGATTATCCCTTTTATACTTAGTTCTTTTTAATCCTGAAGAGCAAATAGAGAAGGGACAAGGAATATTTTATTGGGGAAAAGGGAACTGTTTTCTTTTCCTATTTTGCTGAACTCCAAATGTTGTCCAAAGTGGTGGCTGGTAAGGTGGTGCAATACGAAGTCATGAAAACCAGTGAAGTTGTTTGCATTTTTATAATACGGAACACTAAGCAAAGTTATTGCTTAGCAAAAATTAAGAGTTTACCAATCTATAACATTAAGCTTCTTCAGGTAACTATTTTGTGGCAGTATTAATTTCCAATTTCTAAATATTTAAGCTTTGCTCTTTTGGAAAAAAATAGGTACAGTCTTCAGGAGAAGACCGAATACTTGTAATGGGAGCAACTAACAGGCCACAAGAGCTTGATGATGCTGTTCTCAGGTACTTTAAAACATGTGTTATTAACAGCTGTACATTGTGAGGGTTGGCATAGTAGGTATTCTTGATCATTCACTTGGTATGTGTTGGGTTCCAGTATTTCAAAGAATAATTTAGGGTGTGTTTGTGCACAGAATTATTGGAATCTGCACTGTAGATGTGGTATCACACAGGGGAATTATTGAAAATATTTCATAGCTGCTTGGAATGTTTTTAATAGGAATAAAACAATCTTACAATTTTCCTTTGAAAATGTATGAGACATAGGGTTAAATCTAAAGGTGCCTTTCCAATTACAGAAAGTCCTATTGCTTCTGCTAATGTATGGGAGGATGTGATTCTTTTTCTCCAAATCCCTCCTTTCCATGCCACATCCCATACTGTTTTCCGAATATTCTGCAGGGTCACCCCAGTCCTCTAGAGCAGGTTTGTGGATCTGTAGAAGGGCAATAAAATGGACAAAAATCTCCTGTTCTGGTAGCAGGTGCAGAAAGTGACCCTTCCATGAGCAAAACTCTTTGTTCATGTGATCATAGGATCCAACCTATGTGATTATTAAAATCTGTTTTGTATACCTTTGGGGCCCCTTTCTTGAATGCTAGCATTTAAATATTGGTGGCTGGGAATGATGCTACCTCATTAGCAACTTTCCTTGTGGACATGGGGCTGTTTTTCAGGGTGACTTAACACATCAAGTGGCACAGCTGAGATAATGAGGGCCATAAGTGTGATGGGGATGAAGCTAGCTCTTTAGCAGAGGATATAGGCTGCTGTGGGTAGTACAAATTTACTGTTAGAAAATATTGAAACAATTTGAGCTGAATAATAATAAGGACTGGGAGATCTACAGATCAGTCTTGACTGCCATCTGTACAGGCATTATGTATTGGATTTGCTAAAACAACAATGTACAAATTATAAGCTTTCTAAAATAAGGGATTCCGCCCCTCCTTACTGGCTGCTTCATTTAATAGACAGTTGCATTTTTCAGGCATCAGATGCTATTGAACACCTCTGTAACGTCATATTTTAGCCAAAAATATATCTGTGAAAACAGTGCATTTATTAAAATTATTCATGTGTAGTTGTAGTTTTAAGCTATTTTTAGTATCCTCTTACTACAGAAATTCTTCTTTCATACCCTCAGAGTGTGATGTTTGTGCTTCAATTGTGGCATGATATAGAAAATGGGCTTTTACAAACCATGCTTCCTTAATCATAGTTTCTGTATCAATATTTGTGTTTTCAGGCGATTCATCAAACGAGTGTATGTATCATTACCAAATGAAGAGGTATGTAGCTTGTGATTGCATTTTATACACAAGACTGCCCCACTGCTTGTTTTTGGTGCAAATTTGTGATAGATTGAAATCTTTCGTATAATTGCTACAAACATGAATTTTCAGTGAGCATGGTTTATAAAAGAGTTTACAGCATAGAATACATCCTTCCAGCTCACAATCTGCTTGACTTTTCACATTTTTGAAAATCTAAGCTTTCAGTAAAAAGGATTTCAAGTCATATGGAGGAAAAATATTAATCAGATGTTGTCACCATATGTTCAAACTTTGAGAAAGGTCTGTGGTTAGGTGTTACTGCCCAAGCTGAACAATTCCTCTTTCATTTTTAGTTCCTTTTCTCCTGCAAACCTCTTAATAGCTAGTGCTTCCTTCTTTCTCTACTATTATCCCATTTTCTGCCTAAATTCCATCTGGCAGATAACCTTACAATCTGGATTGGTATATATGGGAGGAGGTAATTTTTCAGGTAATCTAGACTCATAGTACAGAGAGCTTTTACTGAGGCCAAACCAACACTTTGACTGTGTAATATAATCATATTGGCCAGTTTATGTCTTTGGCAGGCCTCTTGTTTTAAGTATTTTTATAACATTAACTTACACAAGATTTCTTGTTTGTATAGTTATAAATAGTGACCGTGAATATTGTGCCTTACAGACACGACTGCTTTTACTAAAAAATCTTTTGAGCAAGCAAGGAAATCCATTAACCCAAAAAGAGCTGGCACAGCTAGCTAGGTGAGTAACTTTTTCTTTGTTGTTCATTACAGCTGGTGTATGTGTAGTAGGATTTGCAGCTGTTGCACATCAGCAGGGATTCTAAAAATAATTCTTTTGAGTATGTCATGCAGATGTCTTCCTTCCTTAACTGTTTATGTAAATATCAATACTTGATGCATCCATCAAACATAACACCACTGACCGTTTGATACTAAAGCTAAACTTTCATTACAGAAACATTATACATTCAATATAATACTAATTTTAAATTAACATTTTATTTAGGTTTTTTTAAAAAGCAGGCTGCCTTTGCTACAAGCTAGTGACTTAAAATATTGTAAACTTGTTGAGTTTCTTTAATGCAGTTATCCACAGGAAAAAACTGAAATTGTGTTCACTTTCTCTTTACAAAGAATGACAGAGGGATACTCAGGGAGTGACTTGACAGCATTAGCAAAAGATGCAGCACTGGGTCCTATACGAGGTAAGCTTGGTTACCTGTTAATGAAAAAATTAGATCAATGAACACTTTTCTGTTCTGTGCTGTGCTAGATAAAGCCTTGATTTCAAATATTTTTTAAAATACAGCTGGATAGTATTAGACAAGGATTTTTATTGTGCCATTCACTATGAAGAGATTACATGATACATGTTTACCTTCCCACCGCAGCAGTAAACCATTGAGCCTCTTGGACTTGCTGATTGGAAGGTTGGCAGTTCGAATCCATGTGACACATGAGCTCCCATTGCTCTGTCCCAGCTTCTGCCAACCTAGCAGTTCGAAAGCATGCCAGTGGAAGTAGATAAATAGGTACTGCTGTGGTGGGAAGGTAAACGGTGTTTCCGTGTGCTCTGGTTTCCGTCATGGTGTTCCATTGTGCCAGAAGCAGTTTAGTCATGCTGGTTGCATGACCCAGAAAGTTGTCTGTGGACAAATGCCGGCTCCTTTGCCTGAAGCGAGATGAGAGCCGCAACCCCATAGTTGCCTTTGACTGGACTTAACTGCCCAGGGGTCTTTTACCTTTACACCTATTTATCTACTTGCTCTGGTATGCTTTTGAACTGCTAGGTTGGCAGAAGCTAGTACAATGCAATGGGACCTTTATAAAAGTATAAATACTCTGTTGTATATACATTCTAGAACTAACAATTTATTCCAAAGCATCTGATACATCTCTCAACAAAACTAAGCCTAGTATCCAGTTTTAAAATGCTAAAAAAATCATAAATAGAATGAAGCTTTAAAATACGAATTCATTTCTTTTTATTTTAATACTGTCCTAGAAATAATAATTTTACAATATAACCTTAGTAATTTTTCAGATCGGGACTGAAAAAATAATGGAACCAGGTGATTGCTGTTGATGCCTTATCTCATTTGACTATTACTTAGTGTGTTTCACTTTCCAGTACTAAGATAGGGATGTTTCAGATATTGGGACTTCTGGTGGGAGATATTTTTTTCAAAACACATTTGATAGTTATTTCTTTAATTTACAGAACTAAAACCAGAGCAGGTGAAGAACATGTCTGCCAGTGAGGTATGCTGTTTTAAGATTTGCTTTGCCAAACCAACTAGTTATTTTTGCTTGTTTTGTTTTTACAACTTCTATGAAATAGAATCACTCTCTTGTTTTCAGATCTTTCTGCCTTATATTTTCATAATGATTTTGTGATTTTTGTTATTGCTGCATTGGTTGTGTAAATGTGGTGTTCACTTTAGGTTTGGAGATATTCCTAAGAGCAGAGCAAAGCTGTCTAGCTTTTAATACTTGCTGCTGCAGCAATTCACCTTGTAAAACGAGTTGCCTGATTCATGTATCTAATCCACAAAAGACAACAAAACAGCCTGAAAATACTTCATGGGGAAGAAGATCTCTAAGTAACATGGGATAGAGCCAAATTTGCCCCTCAGGGAATGTAATGTCTTACTCCATTTGCACATGGAACCAGGATCCAGCAGAGGTTCTGCACCCCCACCCCCACCAAGATGAAGCAACTCTTAGAGCCCAAGCCCTTCAGATAGTCTTTCAAAGGGGTCACAGGAGGCTGCAGATAGAAGGATGAATTGGCAGGACCACTTCTCCTTGATTCAGCACAACTGAAACTCTGAGGAGTGCAATTCTGGATCCAGCCTGATATCTGTATACTAATCGAGGATTGATAACATAAACACATGGTAAAAGTGGTCCCATTCCCTTTTCATTTCAAATTTAATGACGTACTACTGTATCCCTCAGTCTGTCTCACCAGCTTGTCCTAGCAAACACTGCCTGCCAATAATCCAACATCATTTATAGATGGAAATAATCCCTTAAAGGACAGTTTCTTATCGCCAGGCCTATTGCCAAGCACAACAGCACTAAGATTAAATAAGCCTTTTGCATGTTCCTTAAGTGTAAAGGCAGCATTTACACCCACCCCAGCACTGGAGTGGGGAGAAGTTATGCCTCCCCCCCCCACCTCTGAACTTAGCAGTGTAGCGTTAGACACTCTGTGTGTGTGTGTGTGTGTGAGAGAGAGAGAGAGAGAGAGAGAGAGAGAGAGAGAGAGCTGTTTGCCCACATGTCTGGGGGAGGTTTGTGACAAGCGGGGGGTCATAGAGGCCCTTAGGTTTTTCTCTTTTGTGCTTTTTGCCCCATCAACTTTTGTCCTCTCCATTGAAATGAGGCTCCTGGATGGTTGGTTATGTTGAAATCAAGTGCTCGGGTTGAAAGCAGCTCTCCATCTTGGCTTTAGGATTTATAGCCTCCTAGTCAGTACAGTGGTACCTCGGGTTACTTTGCTTCAGGATGAGAACAGAAATCGTGCAGTGGCGGCATGGCAGCAGCAGGAGGCCCCATTAGCTAAAGTGGTGCTTTAGGTTAAGAACAGTTTCAGGTTAAGAACGGACCTCCGGAACGAATTAAGTACGTAACCAGAGGTACCACTGTACTTAAACACTGCAGGCCAAAGATTCAAGTCCCAAAATGTATTTCTGTACTGTTTAAAACACAGTCAAGACTATAAGGCTGAAAGTTAAAAATGTTCATGCTAAGCAAATACTTTTTTAGTGACAGGAAATAATTCATGGCCTGTGATTTTGACTGGACTTCTGTTCTCATGTATTAACAACACCTGGAATTAAGGCAGGATTAATTTTGTTCTGCCTGTTACTGATACTTTTCCCTATGATCCTGACTTTTGTAAGTTTAATAGCTAAACAAGCATATTTGATATTCTGATTCAGTTCAGTCCAAAATGCAACTTAGAAAGCAAGCATCACCAAGGTGGTTAATGTAAAAAACTTTCTTTGCTTCTAGATGAGAAATATCAAATTGTCAGACTTCACTGAGTCCTTGAAGAAAATAAAACGCAGTCTCAGCCCACAGACCCTGGAAGCTTATATTCGCTGGAACAAGGACTTTGGAGACACAACAGTTTAATATGCATCTTTGTCAAAGGAAGGGAAGAATGTTGCCAGCAAGGGACGGTTGATGCAAACTGCTGCTGGAATGTGACCAGAGTTTACAAGACTTTATAGAACTCTAAATATCTGCACTAAAACAGGGAACTGACTTAAGGAAAAAATGAATAGAAATAGGTTGATCAACATCTCATAAATCTTAACATCTGGATTTACAGAACCCAGGGCACTGTAAGATAGAGCACAGTAATATGACACAGGGGAAGAACTCTAGCAATTGAACAATGGTAGGAAATGTAATTTGTATATTTTGTTGATGAAGTATTCCAGTAGGATTCTCAGTTGGGAAAACCCTTTTTTAATTTGCTCATGACATTTGCTTTTGCTTTGTTCTTGTAAACTACTAATTGTAAGTGTATGAGTCATTCTCTTTTTTCTTTTCTTTTTTACCTATGTATCAATAATGTGCCAAATAAAAACACTTCATATGCATCAGGAAGGACAGCATTGTGAATACTGGGACACAAAGAAACTGGTCAGCCGCTCTTCATTCTCTTGGAGTTCTACAGTCATAAAACAGCTTAGAAAGCTTTCTTTCACAGAGCAGCGCTGACCATTTCAACCAAATGAAACTCTGAATGGATTAAAGTTACCAGTCTTACGACATTCACTTCCTGCAGCGTCTCTCTAATGTATTTATATAAACTTTCTGTGGTAGGATACTTGTTTCTATACTGTTGTCTCTTAGACCAAGAGTAAGGATAAAAGGACCGCAGTATTTCTCTTTGGTGTTAAATTTCATATTTACAGTGACAGAAACCCAAAGAAGGTTCTTCTTGGGTAATTTTATAATCTTCTGGTAATCGTGGTCTTGGTTACTTCTTTAATTGCATTAGACTTTTTATATCCTTCATGTGCTTGGTTTGTAGAGGCACAGCTGACTTTAAAAAGGACACTAAATGTAAGAAGAAAATTTCCATCTTTGATACATTGATGGACGTTGTCAAGAGGATGGAAAATTAGAAGAAACAAAGAAAATTCTGTTGAGAATAAATGTATGCATTTCTTCTCAGTGTTTAAAATTATGCCTTATAGTTCTAGGGAAGATTTAATTTGACCATATTGATTTGAAATGGGACTGCCAAAATTCTTTTGAGAAGATATAACTCTTTGCCATTGAAGTAAAAAACAAAACCGATTGATCTTGAACTGAGGAGCTTTGAGCACTTCTACATAGCCTTCTTTATCTATTGCAGGCTATCGGCGTTGATAGCATGCTAAAAGTGCAATGCCATGCTAGTTGCGCACATGAAAATCTAAATAGTTCTAAGACCTATACTGGTTGCTAAAAACAAACAAGATTTGTTAAGGCACTGCAACTGGATATTTCACTATAATGGCTGTTATCAATAATGGCTGGTATCTTCATTAGTGTCCGAAGCTTCAGAGTAAACTAATTGTGAACAGCCTCTGGAAGCTGAAAAAAAACTTGATATTTCCTCACACTTTGATGCCTTCAACGTCCTTCAAGTTTGTTTGTAATCTTTAAGTTTTTTTGCACTGAAAGTTCAATGTAGGTGGCTTTACTTGCTGTTTGGGCTAAAATTTGTCAGGCGTATTTAGCTAGGGACCATTGAGTATCATCTATTGATACATAACTAATCACAGATTTCCTTTCTTGGTCTATGAAATAAAGTCAAGGCCACTTCCCTGTATCGTCTGAAGGTAGAAATATTGTGCAGTGCCCCTCATTGCATGAATGGTAAAGTAGGCCCTATGTGGTAGTACAAGTTGACTGCCTACATGGACAGAAAAGTCATTATTTTTGAATAGATACCATGAACTATTTATTAGACGATGGATAAATTTATGCGTGACATACACCATGTTTTCATTGTGAGGAAACACTGATGTGATTATGACATGATTGTGTGTAAAGTGGTTCCAGTTGTATTCTATCTCACGTACAGTAAGCTAATATAATAGTTTTAACTTTTGGAAAGATCTTACTTGTATAAGTTGGATGACCCTGTCATGAATTCCCAATGTTTTCGTAGAGCATTGAGCTTTTATATTTTGAATCACCTTCCTAACTGAATATTGTGGTTAGGAAACCTGAATAAGATAAACAAGTAGAAAAGCTTTGTTAAAAGCTCAAAATAGTTCATGTCTTGAAAATGTATGTGGTGATCCTAGTCACTGATTAGTTATAACTTAAGGCTGAAATTGTTTGCTTTAAGCTTACTAACTACATGGGACTAAGAACCCCTAACTGAGTTCAGGCTTACATCCAGTCTGACTAATTCTAGAGCAAGCAATTTTATGTAGGCAGGAGTGAAGGACTCGTTGCTGTTTGAGAAATTGCCCTCTAAAGGCAATATTCAGGAAATGTGTTGAAGAATTTTCCTGCTGTTTGAACCTAGCAATACTTCATGCTCTAGATGCATTAAATTCTGAATGAGTCAACTGAATGGGAAGACTTCAGCAACAGCTGCTTACTTGAACAAAATACAACTCTCTGTATCCTAGTGTTCCTTATGCCCTTTTGTGCTCTGTAATAGTTTTGACCATTCTATGTATTTCCAGTTGTTCCACAGGAATTACAAATGTTTTAGTTTGGTTAACTTGTGTGTTTTTTTTCATTGGTGGGAATGGCAAGCCTTTTACTTTTGTACTCAAGTTTGGTGTTGTTTTTTATTTAAAGATTATCCAGAGTTCAGTTAAACAATTTAACTCTTAACACATACCAAATTCAAAATGGGGCTGGGGAACACAACTGTGTGGTGCAACTAGTGGTTACCTAATGGTGTAGCTCTTACACTCCTAATTTTGTACTAGCTTAAGACAAATGTGGACATGACTAATGCAGTTTCATTCACCCTATAGGGTGATAGCCAATGTTAACCAATACTTAGAGGAGATCTATTAAAATAAATGAACTGAATTAAAGTCCACTGAGTTTAATGGGTCTACTCTATCACCCATATTTCAGTAATATGATTTGGTCCTTTGCTTGTTGTCAGGTGTCTTAAGTAGTTGCTAAATTCATATGTATTCTAGCATAGACCTTAAGCCATTAGAGAAAACCTGGTGATAACTCGAGTTGAGTCCAAGATAATGACTAGATTTGTCTATTGGTACATACTGCAATATTGTATGTGACCATTTGAGGTATCATATGTTATAGTACTGGAGCCCTAGGCAGCTGAAACGAAACTACAATAAAGTATTAGACTTTCCATCTAACAGATGCATTATGCTAGTCATAGCAAAGAACAACATATGTATATGTAGATTACATTGACTTGTTTCCTGAAAATGCTATTAGGCAGCTGTCACCTTTTCTGTCATTGAGGGATTTTCTAAAGTAGCATCCTTTAAGAAGGACCATGAGATATAAATAGCTGTTTTGAATTTAAAACCAAAAGTGCTGCCAAAACCAGCAGCACTGTTCATACTGAGCAGTTTCAAAGCTGTGGAAAGACTACGTTATGTTTCCTCAATGAGAATTCTCAGATGGCTTCTCCCCACCCCAACTTTTTCTGAATATTGGACATAGTTATTCAGTATTAAGATATGAAACCTTAATGGGAAAATGTGTAAAAGCATGAAAAATGTTCACATTGGATTGAGAAGTTTGATTTTCTTGATAACATGTTGCAATTTGTCTTCATGTACAGTTTTAGTACTTTCCTAGGTCCAGATTCATGCCTTTCAGATCTGTTGCCTATGCTGTTAATATTTCTCATGTGAAAGAAGATCATGGAAAATTTTTGAAGATTATTTCCATTTGGTTTCTCTGAAACAGTACTAAAAATTAATGCAAGTTCTAATGAAATAAAATGTGTAAAACAACATTTTTAATTTTTATTACCTCAATTTGTTAAGATTCTAAATAAAAAAGTTAAAACAATAATTTGGGTGATTACTTTAATATTACAAATGCTGAAAGCAAGCCCTTGTCATATGCAACATGTAGATAAATTTAAACTAATACCTTTGTTCTACCAAATGTGAAATGTAACACTCCTCTAAATATTTTCATCTAAGTATTTTATCAAACTAACCACGTTTTCCAGGTAACTTTTGCCATTATGAAGTTCCCCTACCATAATCTCTTGGTCAAGGGATGGGAAACATCCAGCCTATTGGCCTAATCAGCATCTTCCTCAGCCCATGTATCCAGACCAGGATGGGGATGAGAATTGCACCCTTTCTGTGGTGGAGTGGAGAGGGCCTTATTTTCATCTCCATCATGGTCTGCTGGGTCAGGGTGGGGAGGTTTAAAACTCCCTGCCCTAACACCAGGAAGAACTCCCTCCCAGTGTCTGGATGGTAAAGAAAACTTGAACCTTCCCTGCTGCTCAGCAAAGGTGTGGGAGGCCACAAATTTTTCCCCACCCTAGTTGGAGGGGAGGGTTAAATCCAATTTCCACCCCACTGCTGTGCACTAGGCATTACAAATAGAAAGAAAACTGATACCACCTCTCAGTGTAGGAACAGTGTAGGTTTAGACCTCCCTGGAGAGGGTGCACTGCAATGGGATGTAAGAGTTTGCACAGCTCAGCGGAGAGTGGGAGCAAGGAATGATGTCCTTGGGCTGAAAGAGTTCCCAGCCTGTTCCTGGTGGTTGAGAGCACAATATTTGTTCCTAGTGAAGGAGGTGAGGACAGGTGACCCCACCTAGGCCCGAAGTCACCCCCCCTCAATAATCAGCCCAGGCCTCAAAACTGTCCAAAATTCCTTTTCTGCCTTCTAAAAATCCACAGCTAAAGTTTTCCTCTGCTTTCTCACAAGATGCTGTGGCAAAGGCAAACCGTTACTTTTATCAGTACGAGAGAGCTTCAAAAAGGCTAATGAATAGGCTCTGTCATTGCCAAGAATACTCAGGCCTGGGAACTGACTCTTATCTCATTCGGTTGTAACACATCTTGAACATGCTGAACCGCAAGGCTCCTCGACCCCCTTGGCTTCTCACCCCCTTTCCTAGGAAGAGTCCCAATAGTCCCAAGACAGGAGCTTTCTGTTCATGCTCAGAGGAACTCATGAGGAAGGACTCTTGAAGAGGAGGAGAAAGGGGAGGGAACTAGAAGGGGGATATATGCTCTGTGCAAATGACTGTGAACCCATGCTTGTTTGTGAGTTATCACACTTGCTCCTTCTACCAGTTCGGATGGTAGAAATAAAGCTTTTTCTCTGAAACTATTCCTTGAGTGTCTGTTTGACTCCCTCTCCCGGGTGCAATACTTTTTCCCACCCGAGGCCAAAGCCTCATAAGGCTACACTAGTTCTACAGCAGAGAGCATAACCATAGCAAGAATCTGAATGTGCTTGTGGCACTTGTACCAGATTTAACACTGACTTAGAACATTGCGCTCTTCATTCCTTCTCGGCGGTCGTCTGCAAGGCGAGGTTAAAGAGGGATACAACAGGGGTACACATGATGCATATTGATGATGAATAAATAAACGAACACATTGGAAAAGAGAGAGACGGTGTGTAAAAGCCAGGGTGTGTAAAAGCCAGGTTTTCCCCGTGATCCGTTTCCGACAGCGACCGGCCGCCTAAAAGCGCACAGCTCCTCCTCGACGTGGGCGCCAACGACGCTGCGGCAACGCTACCGCCTTTACTAGACAGTTTCCCCGTTGCTTCATTCAGAGCTGGCGCATGCGCAGCTGCCTCCCGCCCTCTTTTTTCTCTCTCTCGCCCCGCCCTGCCTGCCACAACGCTAACTAAGGCACCGCGGCATCTTGAGGCAGCGCCGGGGCGAAGGCGTCGCGTCAGTTCCTGCTCCTATGCTGGGCTCGGCCAATTACACGCCGGCTCCTTCGGCTCCCGCCTCGTCTCCATGGTGACAGGAGGAGCCAGCCTTTTCCGGCCCCTTTGGGGAGCCGCTTGTTCCTCAACATGGTGAGTTTGCCTTCTGTTTTCACCTCGAAGCGGGGCGCAGGGGTGGGGAGGAGACGAGGGACGACGGTTGAGGCCTCGGACTCAAGCTGGCGCGGGGAGAGCCAACGCGCACGCGCAGCTCGGGGGTGCGGCGCGAGGACCTCTCAGAACCCCGGTTCTGGCTTGCCAGTTCTTAAGGCTTGGCTTCCTTTCATTGGGTCACTTTTCTGACGTCACTTTTCAGAGGTCAGGCTCTCTGCGCCTTGTCATGGTACCGTGACGCTGCTTCTTCACAGAGGCAACGCGGTGTAGTGGTTACGGAGCAAGGCATATGAGGTTGCCAGCTTTCGAACCGGGCCCTGCAGCTGTTCCCTTAGCAGCAGTTCGAACTGCAGCCATTAGCAAGTTGGTTGTGTGTTTAAGCCCATGCCATATAAAAAGGTTCTCCTCCTCTTGTGGACTGACTTGATAAGGTGTTTGAAAAGCAGGGTATAAAAAATTAGCAACAGTTTAATGCAGTGGTTCCCAACCTTTTTTGGGCCATGCTCCACCTAAGCATCTCTAAAATCCTGGTGTCCTCCCACCTTGTGACATAAAATTCTTATTATTCAAAAAGTGAACTCCTATTCACGTGGAGGAAGCCTAAAAGTCCATTAACTGTTAATAACTCATTCTCGAATTGCACCCCTCTTAAAAATCAAATTGTACCCCACGTTGGGAACCACAGGTTTAATGTGTATCAGATTTCTACAAAGAGACCCTAGCCTGGACTTGAGGGGACAATCTTGACAAGGATACCTGAGTTCAAACTCCTTTTCAGCCACAGAGTTCAGTGGTAGGCCCCTGAACAACTAACATCTGTTAGGCTAACCAAATTTATAGAGATATAGTGGAGATAAAACCACCTCAAAATTATCAGAGGCCAAATGGGTTAGAAATGTGATAAATTTAAAAAAACACCAAATAAACACTTGGTGCAGGATGCTGTGATAATGAGAGCTTCACTTACTGCATTCCTGCCTCTTATATGGGTCTTAAGGGCACAGGAGGTTTTCCAACCCTGGCTTGTCCCTGCTTGCCAGGGTTAACTGTATTTATTCTTATCTCCTAAGTAAGTGTTACTTTGCAACAGTGTGTAACATTGGTGAAACAACTTTCCTTATAATAAAGGGCAACGTTCAGAAATCAAGCTCATTTTGGGGAATGTGATTGAAGAAATGGAAAGTTTCAGTAATTAAGAGATTGACAACGATTTGTGCTATTGCTTTTTTATTTGCAGGGGACAATACACTTATTTCGCAAATCACAGAGGTCTCTGCTTGGCAAGTTAACACAGGAATTTAGATCAGTAGCTGCTGATCGAAGGGTAAAGTTTTCTTTTACAGTACAGACACTAAAACTCTAGTTACATGTCTTCTCAGAGAAATATACCTCTTTGCTTGCTGTAACAGAAACTTGATTACAATAAATATTTGTTTTTTAATAGAAGATATGACATCAATGAATGATTTAGGAAGAGGGACATACTGCCAGGTTGTTTCAGACAATGTTTATGCTGCAATTGTCTGTCTTTATTTGCTCTTGTTTGCTTTTAATTTGTTGTGTGATTTTGTACTACTTTCTGAACTGATGAGAGTCTCCTTGCTGTCTGTGATTTTATGAAGTTAGGGATGAATACACTGGCTGTATACTCCTCCCTCACCCATCTCCTCCTCCTCTCCTGGTTTATTTTCATGGCTAGTTACCCCTAGTTCCTCAGTTTAGTAATTTTGTCTTAATGTAAGCTAGGATCTTTGCGCTGAAAGTGGCACACCAGAGGAGGGAGGAGCACACTTCATAAATCGTTTTTGAGGCTTTGAATGACCATCTGAATGAAGTGTGGATACAGCTGTCTAGAACAGGTGTGGGGAACTTTTAGCTTACCAGATGTTGCTGAACTACAGCTCCCATCAGCCCCAACAAGCATGGCCACTGGCCAAGGATAATGGGAGCTGTAGTTTAGCAACAGCTGGAAGGCCAAACATTCCTCACATGTGGTCTAGACTAGCAGTGGTTCACAATTAGCTAAGTACTGTGGATCCCCTGTTTTTCAAAATCCAAGCAATGGAGACCCTACTTTTGAAAATTCAGATATCTCTACAGTTTTTTTTGTTATGTGAATGGTGCCAAGGACCCCCTGGGTGGGTTACACAGATCCGGGGGGGGGGGTCCATGGACCACCAATTGGGAACCATTGGTCTAGAGTATGCTTTGCTGCTGTCTCTTGAGATCAGCAAGAGTGTTAAAGCTAATGGTGGCATAAAATGCTCATTCAAAATGGTGTGAGTGTGTTGCAGGATTGTAAAGTTTTTTATGACAAATAAGCTTTCTTGCAATTCCCTTGTTAAGTAGTCACTTTACCTATTGTCATTTACAGTCATGGAAGATCTTGTTGTTTGGTGCGATAAACATAGTATGTACTGGCTTCCTCCTTATGTGGTGCAGTTCAACAAACAGCATAGGTATGTTTATGTTATTGCATTTAAATGCTTCTGCATAGTAAACTGATAATAGGATTAATATAAAGAAGCAGAATCCTCTATGTGTAACAGAATTAAGCAGTCTATATTACAATTAGAAGAGTTGTAGATCTGTGAGCATCTTGTGATATCTAACTGTGTCTATCTTGTACTTCTTCCAAAATGTATTTTAAATGGTTTGAGCATTCTTCTTGTTCCTCCCCTGGAGTATTCTTGAGGCAGGGCCTATTAAGAATAATCCTACAGTCTGTAAGCCTTTGTCTGGATCTGCAGTTTATTGCCAGGTCGGTACCAGATGAATGCTCCTTGATCACATTAGCACTGTTAGTTCTTAAAGTACTTAGAAATCTGTGGAGCTAGCTACTTTTGTGCCTTTAATACTGTCCAGATTGAAGAGGGGCACATTTTCCCACATTGCAAATATGCATGGATCACGGATATAATGACTGCTTCTTGTGAGTGGAGCTGATCATGACCATGTGCACTTTTTTGCCTTGGTTGTCATTTTCATTCTTGCTTAGGTTTTGCAAAAGCATGCCCTTCTTGGGTTATGTGGCTTGTGCAGTTATGTAGAGTTTTTTAATTTTATTTTTAAAGTTAAATCTGTGGCTCTGGTGAGTGGGTAAGATAATTCTGACATGTATGGTGCTCCTTTGCACCTAGTGCCTTCCTTGTTTCCTGGCAACCAGACCCCTCATCTTGCTCTAGGCCAGGGATGGGGAACCAGTGGCCTTTCAGATGTTGGTAGACTAAAACGCTTGTGGGCCTGGGCCACGCAGTTTTCAGGCTGATGGGAGCTCAGTGATACAGCAGATACTTTGCATGCAAAAGGCTCCAGCTTCAAACAGAGAGATTCATGTCTGAAACCTTGGAGAGCTACTGCCCATCAGTGTAGACGGTACTAAGCTAGATGGACCAATGGTCTGACTTCGTATAAGGCAGCTTTGTCCCTAACATGTGGAGGGCTAGAGGTTCCCTATCCATGCTCTAGGCATTGACTTGAAGGACAGGAGTGGAGTAGATCAGGCTTCCCTGAACTTTATGGGTCTAGGAGCACATCAGAAAATTTAAGAAACTGTTGTGGGCACTAGGGCTAGGTGCTATATTAATATATCGTCCAAAACTGATTTGAAGTCCATATTGTGATATTGGTTTCATAATTTTTGACATGGCCTGCCAATATATTGTGAATCATGATGTGTGAATGTGCTGTGCAAAAATCGCAATGCTTCTCTCAATTCCTGCAGTCCCTGTTAACACTGCCAGCTCAGCTCTTTCCTACTTCCTGCAGGGGGCAGCAGATCACAAGAGCAGACGCTGGCAGAAATCACGATGTGAGAAAAGTGAAGCCAGCCAATACCTCTACATTGCTCCATCCTTATTCCAGACATTGTGATATATCAGTATATCACAGTGTTTAGCTGGTGATGGTGTTGAAAACCAGATATCGCCCAGCCCTAGTGGGCACCACAATACAGCCATTTCATAGATGAAAAACTGGTGATACTCAGAACATCCCTAAACATGCAGTACTCTGAAACAAAGAACAGGCAAAAGAAAGAAAGAAAGAGGAACCCTGCCCAAATAGGTAGCCCCTCCCACCAAACAATCCCCACAAATTAAAATCAGACATTAAAAAAATGAGCAATTTTTCTGAGGGCACCATGGTGCCCATGGGCTCTTCATTGAGACTTCAGGAGCAGCTGCTTACAGCTTTAGCTGCTGCTTGTCTTCCAGCTGCAGTGGAGCAGTCCCAGAATCTTAGCACTTATAATTCCCTTGAGCTGTATTGCAACCCACGGTTTGACTACTGAGCATATGAGCATAAAACATAGGCAACCAGTAGTCGTGATGCAATATTTGGAGGGTCACAGTTTCCCCACCACTATTGTAAAATGTGTCTTGTATCTTTAGAAGATGTGGGTGTATGTAGGTAATGGTACGAAGCGTTTAATCCTTGCAGGCAATATTTTGCAAGCAGGAGAACTTGAAGCTTCTTTACTATGTATTCATTCTTTATTGTGTATTTATGTGTAAGTAAAGTATAAACCTTCTTTCCACAGCTTTAACTGCATATACCTACCTAACTATCTTTGATCTTTTCAGGTATGTTTTACTTTTTAAAAATCCTCATCTCATTTTGTAACACTTCCATATAACGTATGTGACATTTTCTTTGTACTATTATCTAAAACCAGTGTTAGTCATACCTATGGTAGACCCATGGAAATTAATGGGCATGACTAATTGGGTCCATCAATTTCAGTGGGTCTAATCCAAGTACAATGTACCAGGAACTAAGACCCGTTGAACATAACAGAGCTTATTGCTCTGTCTTTCTGTATGCATTTGCACTGCCAAAGCAACTTTATTTTAATGAATTATTGGAAACTGAGTTTTTATTAGCTAGATTTTGCTTATTTGAATTTACATTGTTTTCTTTTAATATAGTTTAATAACATGCTTGATAAGTTATTGGGTAATGATGAAGAAGCCCAGCCCAGCTTATTCATTTGGGTAAGTGATATGCTGATATTTCATGTCTCCTGAAAATATTTGTTCTAAAGTATGTGATAAACATGTAAGGGGTTTTTAAATTAAAAAATGTATCAAAGTCTGTCTATGAAAATGTGCAAAACTTGTACAATTGGCCATATTTATATAAAGAAGTTTGGAACTTGCATGCAAAAATGGTATTCTGTGTAAGATTTCATTCTAGCCTTGTTTTTGCCTGATACCAGCATATATATTCGCTTCAGGTGCTAGACCTTTAATGCAGGGAATGCCAACTTATGCACCTATAGGTCAGATCAGCATCTGTCCCCTGCCCTGCACCATTTTATTTGGTCCCTGAAGGCCTTACACCATTTTAACCAATCTATGAGAAAATAGTTTCCTCACAGTTTATTGTACAGGACAAATAATTTAGCTTTGCAAGCAAGTCCCTCTGAATGTGCTGAGAGTTTTCTTCCTGATCAGAATACTTGTCTGCCTATATTGATTTTAAAATGTTTGACCTCTCAAATTTCAGGTTTGAGAGATTTGAAGTCCTAGCAGTATTTGCTTCCACGGTTCTAGCACAACTTGGGGCGCTCTTTATACTCAAAGAAAGGTAGGAATATTGCTTGCACTTATGACTGATATGTAACAAGAGGAACTAAATAATGCTAGAAGTCAATTTTAATTTTTGACACAATAGTCCTCAGCTTGCTGCTTTGCGCTGGTGTACATACATCTGATGTGTGACTAAGGCTGTAATCCTTTGGTCCTTGGGATTTTGTGAATCTCCCTCTCCATAGGCAGAGAAAGGGGTGCATCTTTGGAGACGGAGGTCCAACCATGGGGGCCTCCCTGCAGCAGCAAAATCCAATGGCAGAGAGGGGTTCTTGGGACAGATTGAGGAAGGCATTGGATCTGCTTGGTCCAAAACCCTCCTAGTCCTCTAACCCTGTCCTGGAACGAGGCAAGCGGGGGTTGGGGGGAAGTGAACAGGCCCTGGGGCTGGTATATGTATTTGTGTGTGTGTGTTATTTAAAAGGAGAACCTCCAAAGGGGAGCAAAAAAAGAAAGATGGCCAATCCCTCATCTTCTACCCTGCTGGCATGAGCTCCGAGGGATTTGGATCCGCTATGCCTCCTGTTCCACCAGTAGGATTGCTTTGTAACAGACGTCTTGAAAGAACAGTTAACTGTAAAACTATTATTATTGTGTCTTATAGTGCTGAACGATTTCTGGAACAACCAGAGATTCACACGTAAGTGCTTTTAATATGCAAAAGTATTGAATTAAATTTTACAGGGATAAAGGGGCATGGCTAATACAGTATTAATTAGCCACATTACTACATTGTTAAACGCAGAACAATAAAGTTTACGCTGACATGATATTGAGGCCATTGGCAAAATTCCTTTTGAATTTAATGTCTCTCAATTGTATTTGTAGTTATAGATTAACTCATGGTTGTGGGGCAAGATATTTTAAAAAAAGATGTTCATATGTTTGCTGCTGGGATGTAACACTTATTGATAAATATTGTAGAGCAGAACTGTAATTCTACTGTATACATTGGAATAAGATTAAAGAAATACAGTGGTGCCCCGCAAGACGAAAAACTCGCAAGACGAAAAACTTGCTAGACGAAAGGGTTTTGCGCTTTTTGAGCTGCTTCGCAAGACGAATTTCCCTATGGGCTTGCTTTGCAAGACGAAAACGTCTTGCAAGTTTGTTTCCTTTTTCTTAACACCATTAATACAGTTGCGACTTGACTTCAAGGAGCAACTCATAGAACGCGGTGTGGTAGCCTTTTTTGAGGTTTTTAAAGACTTTGGTGATTTTTGAAGCTTTTCCAAAACTTCTTTTGCAGCCATTTGGTAAGTTAAACTTTAAAACTTTTTTGGGGGTTTTTGGATTTTGGGTTGGGGTGTTTGGAATTCAAGGACTTGGTGTTGGGTAGGGGTTTGCAAGAATCTGGAAGCTTGTGTGTTTTTTTCTGCATTTTTATGATTTTTGTGACCATTGGGCCACTCTGCTGTTTTTTTAAAAAAATTCCGGATTTGAATTTCTGTGTGGTGGGTGGCTGGGGGAACAGTTGAGGAGGGGTTTGCAAGAATCTGGAAGCTTGTGTGGTTTTTTCCTGAATTTTTGATTTTCTGTGACCATTGGGCCACTCTGCTGTTTTTTAAAAAAATTTTCTGGATTTGAATTTCTGTGTGGTGGGTGGCTGGGGGAACAGTTGAGGAGGGGTTTGCAAGAATCTGGAAGCTTGTGTGGTTTTTTTCTGCATTTTTATGATTTTCTGTGACCATTGGGCCACTCTCCTGTTTTTTAAAAAAAATTCTGGATTTGAATTTCTGTGTGGTGGGTGTGACTTTAAAGAGCACTTAATAAACTCTTGTTGTACCAAATTTGGCTTTGTTTGGACTTTTTTTGACCATAGGAACGCATTAATTGAATTTCAATGCATTCCTATGGGATTTCGTGCTTCACAAGACAAAAAATTCGCTAGACGAAAAAACTCGCGGGACGAATTAATTTCGTCTTGCGAGGCACCACTGTAAGTTTTCTATTTCAATAAAAGCTGATTAAATGTAGCTAAATGAAGAAGAAAAATGGGATGATACACAGGTTAGTAAATAAAATAACTGGCTAACGTAACTAGTACTTGGTGGAATATTATGATAGTCAATGGCATTAAAATTGATTTCTTCTTTTTAGGGGTCGATTGTTGGTTGGTACCTTTGTGGCACTCTCCTTCAACCTGTTTACAATGCTTTCTATTAGGAATAAACCTTTTGCTTATGTCTCTGAAGGTACGTAATGAATACATGTGTTAAAACTAATGGATTTGGAGATCTGAGTTACTTACAACAAAAACAATATTACTTTCTGGCTAGCCACTATTTTTGACTGCCGCCAAGCCCCTCCTCTCCCCCAAATCTTCTTGTATGCCTAGAGGGCTTGGGAGAAATGGGTGGTGTTTTCTCATTTGCAGTGGAGAAGAAACATGCTCTCCAAATTGTACTGCCAATGAGAACTCTTTGCTGAGTGATGCTACTTGCCAGAGAGCCTGGGGCAATTCTTCCTGACAAATGTACTTGTGGATGCCTCTGAGTAACAGTTGTTTACATCTAGATGATGCTTTATCTAAAAAACAGTTATGGAAGGGGTGTAAATCTTAAGTTGATGAGGCTTGCTTATGCACATGCCAGAGGCTGATTTAGGACAGAGCCTCCCGCACAGGTTGCTGAGCCAAGGGGGCACCTTTGTGCCTCCTCAAGGCCTAGTAAGGACCTGATTTGGGAAGAAAGTCTGAGGGCTCTGACAGGGTCCTAGAGTCCTCCCACCTCCTTCCCAAAGTCTAGTTAGCACTTGCCCAGCTTTGAGAAGGAGTCGTAAGGACTCTAGGACCCTTTCAGAGTCTTCGCGCCTCTTTCCCAAAGCCCAGCACCTCCCTTACCTGGCTTTGGGAAGGTCGCAGGAGGGCTGTGGGGAGGGCAGCAAATTTTGGCCTCCCCACAGTGCCATATTATCAAGGTCTACACCTGCAAATGCCTTTTATCAAAACGTTTTAAATGTCAATAAGCTTAAGTGTTCAGTTTCATATATATACTTGTCAAGCTATTGTATTTTTTTCTGATCTTTTTATTCACTGGACTTTGGTTACTGTTGCTGGGGGAAATGTTTTATTGGATTTTCTCTTTTTTTGGGGGGGTATAGGATGATTTTAACTTTTGCATTGTTCATTTTGTCATTTTGCATTTTTTATTTCTGTAAGGCATGTTGGATTTCCCAGAAAGGTAGCCTAGAAATATTTTAAAATACTGTTTTAAGAAACACCTGCCACTGAACCCTGACTCACACCTGTGCAAACCAATCTTACAATATCAGAATACTATTATTAAAGTAATGATGGTAAAGAACACTGTAGCTATGCTGGCACAATAAGTGAGTTGACCTGGAACAATAAAACATATATCCAGACTTATTATTTTCCTGCAGGCCTGACATAGAATTGCACTTGCAGTTTTCAAAAATAAGTTTCTGTGTGTTTTAGTGACTGACATGCTATCATAAGTATTCTAATAATAATATTTGCTATGGTGGGGTTTTTTTTGTAGCTGCAAGTACAAGTTGGCTTCAGGAACATGTTGCAGATCTCAGTAGGAGGTAAGTTAAAAGGATGATATGGTAACAGAATCATGGAGCCATAGAATTATACAGTTGGAAGGGATCCTGAGGATCATCTAGTCCAACTCCCTGCTGTGCAGGAATTTCAACTAAAGCATCCATGACAGTTAGCCATCCAACCTCTGCTTAAAAACCTCCAAGGAAGGAGAGTCCACTACCTTCCAAGGGAGACTGTTCCACTGTCGAACAGCTGTTACTGTCAGAAAGTGCTTCCTAATGTTTAGTCAGAATCTCCTTTCTTGTAACTTGAATCCAGTGGTCGAAATCCAACCATCTAGAGCAGGAGAAAAGCTTCCTCCATCTTCCATGTAACAGCCCTTTAAATATTTGAAGATTGCTATCATATCTCATCTCAGTCTCTTCTTATCCAAGCTGAACATACCCAACTCCCTCAACTGTTTCTCATAAGACTTGGTTTCCAGATTCTTGATCATCTTGGTTGCCCTCCTTTGCACATGTTCCAGCTTGTCAATATCCCTCTTAAATTGTGGTGCCCAGAACTGGACACAGTACTCCATATGTGATCTGCCCAAGGCAGAATAGAGTGGTAGTTTTACTTTCCTTGATCTGGACACTATATTTCCATTGATGCAGCCTAGAACAGCATTGCCTTTTTTCTTTTCTTTTTTTGCTGCTGCAAAAATAAGATGTTACAGATCAGCAGCTGGCAGCCCTTGGACTAAATCTTCCCATGCTTGTTGCCAGTGAATGGCAACGTTTATATAGAAGGAATAGTGGGTTTGGCCATGGGCCTTGCTGGTCATGCAGTTTGACAAGACCAAGGACTGCCTCTGACCTGCACCCTCTTCCCCCTATGAAAATGGCCTCCCTGTAAGATGAGTTACTGAGCAGAGATAAACAGAATTTAGAAGACAAGGTACATAGTTCCTGCATTTCCCCAAAGTATTCAATTGTGGTGGTCTGTGTTTGCTCTCATTTGGTGTAATGGTTTAGAAACCTGACATCCTTGTTAAACCAACTGTCCTATGCTTCCATCTGGTCTTGGGAAAAGTCCTGGAAAATGTTTCTAGAAAATGTCACAATAATATGAAAGTGTTTTGAATTTGCTAGGTTGATACTTGATGGCATCTGTCTCTGCTCTGGTTAACATTGTGAAACACCTCCCTCTTTATGAGTGAGTGTAGGATCAAGCAGAGTTTGAATTCCCCAATAACCTTTGTATCCTGTCCGTCATCAGATCATATGGTGGCTGGTGATGGCCTTCATGTTAAGTTTCTTAAAATACATATATGAAAAAGCAAGATGATTCCCCATGTCCACTTTTGCATAAAAAGCTGCATTATACCAAATCAGACTATTTCTCTGCCTAATCCATTCTGTCAACACTTGATGAGTAGCAGCTTTCCAGGGTTTCAGGCAGAATTCTGTTTCCCAGCATGTGCCACCTGATCCTCTTAACTGATGAATGATGCCAGGGATTGAATTGAGAACCATCTGAATGCAAAGTGTGTGCTCTGCCACTAAATAAATAAGTTATAGTTGGAGAGGCCGTCATGTCATTTCAATAGCTAAAACCTTTTGTGAAACTGGGCACCATCAGTTAGAGCTGGGAGGAAATATGTGTAACTAAAATTGAAGAGCTTTTTCCTTGATTTTATTTCAGCATTTAGGTACCCTCCTGTCCCTTGTATCATTTCCCTCAGCAATAAGGCTCACACCTGGGTCAAGTAGAGTTCCCTGTCTGCAGAGGGCTGCCATAAGAGCCATCACTTACCTATAAATTGCATGTGTAGCTGTTTAACTGGATGTTTCCACTACTGATCCATCTTATTCCCCGCTCTCTTTTAGTTTGTGTGGGATCATTCCTGGGCTGAGCAGCATCTTTCTTCCACGCATGAACCCTTTCATCTTGATCGACCTTGCGGGGGCTTTAGCTCTTTGCATTACATACATGCTAATCGAAATTAAGTAAGTACTCATGAATTTAAAAAAGACATTCATAGATACCAAAGGCTGAAAAACAGGTGTGCCTGCTAACGTTACCCTTGTTTCTTTCAGTAATTATTTTGCAGTAGATACTGCCTCTGCTCTAGCCATTGCCTTGATGACGTTTGGTACCATGTATCCCATGAGCGTCTACAGTGGGAAGGTATTGCTTCAGGTGAGCCAATGAGAGAAGTGACTTTGTGATAGCATCTTTCAGTATAGCCAAGGTTGGCATCACCCATTTAATTTTAAAAAACCACACACAGCCTCTTGCTTTATGAAATGTTAAAAAATGTTCCATATTACACCTAATATGCAGGATTTGCAACAGCTGCCTATATGATACTGTACCCAATTTAAGATGCTACTGTTGGTATATAAAGCCTAGAATGACTTGGAACGTGGATAACTGATGGAGCACCTCTCCCCATATCAACCAGCCTACACTTTGAGATAGTTGAGGGGGCCTCCTTCATGGTTCCAGTGCTGAGTGTGCTCTGTCATGCTGGGATGCAAGACAAGCACTTCTTGGTCATTGTGCCACAACTCTAGAATTCCATCCCCCTGGGAGTGTGGCTGGCATAATCACTGGTGGCTTTCCACCATATAGTTAAAAACAGAGCTTTTCTAGGTCTTTAGAGGATCTGATTAGTTCTGAATTTGAGTGCTCTACTGCTGTAATCTTTTATTTGTTTTACTTGCATTTTGTCTTCATGATTGTATTTTTTAAGACTGTGGGGTAGTGTTATGGGACCATCTGGTGGAAAGCAGTTTCCAAATTTTGCAATGAAATAAATGTAAATTTTAAAATATTTCATTGAAGTGTAAACAAAGTCCTACAGGGGCAGAAAAAGGCCTGATGAGAACTGAGCATGCTCAAGTCCCCCAACAACCACAGAATGATGCATGTCAGTCAGGAAAGAAAACCTGGAGGTGTGGGTGGGGAGGGTTACGGAATGGAGTATCCTGGGAGGAGAACATGGCTAGTTTGCTAGAACCTTGAGCAAGAACGCCCCTATTAAGATGTGAAACACAGTGTCGTTTTTTAGAGTTCCACTTTAGAGTCCATAGTGTATCCTCAGCAGAAGCTGCTTTCTGGGTGTAGGGGATCTGCTATGCTAACTTCCTGGCATGTGGGCTGCTATTCCCATAGCAGCTCCACTCCATGTAGTGAGCCACTTTTATTGTCTTTATATTGTTGAGTCATTTAAGAACTATGGGGGGAAACCCTCTTTGGCAGTTTTTAAAAGTAATAGTGTTTTTTGTTTTTTCAGACAACGCCACCTCATGTGATTGGACAGCTTGATAAACTTATAAGAGAAGTAAGTTAGTTTAAAATGTTACATTGGTATACAGTGGCCAGGGCCACCCTTGCCCCAGAGCATGCACAATATATATATTTTATGGGTTGTGTAGCCAAGGGAGAGGAGGCAATATTTCCTTATTTTCTAATACTGGTGTTTCAGTTTTCAGGATCAATGAAATATTGTGCTTTTTGTAAGAATTTGGTAAACAGCATCTCCCATTAATTTTCCAACGATCCCTTTGTTCACATTTTAAGTTTGGATACTATAGAAGCTATATATACACATTTTTTTAAAAAAAAGAACATTGTTAATACTTTACTAATAAATTAATATATAAATATAGAATGTTCAGATCAGTCTTATGAGATGTATCTGATGCTGTCTTGTGTTCCAAGTGGAGTAGCCTTTTGAAGAATGCAGTTGGTGGAAGTGTAAATAGGCTTACATCTTGATCTTCTGCATGTTTACATAGAAAGCACATTGATTTCAGGGAGGCTGGACTCCAAGTGAGCTTTTCTATTAACACAACCCTTGGGGCTTTATGAATAAGCTGTCAGAAACATTAGCATTTTAATACTAATATTGTGATTCATTGTGTGTCTTCAATTAGGTTTCTACATTGGATGGTGTCTTAGAAGTACGAAATGAACATTTTTGGACATTGGGATTTGGTTCTCTGGTATGTATCCCCACACCTGACTTTATTTTATTTTTTTCAAAACAAAGCATGTCACTCTTTTTAATAACATCACTCGAAGATTGTTTCTCTCCTGCACAGTTTGTTTGCTTCAAGTGCAGGGGAGCGATGAGCTTATTCTTCATTTGCTTTCTAGGCTGGATCAGTACACGTGAGAATTCGAAGAGATGCTAATGAACAAATGGTACTTGCTCACGTGACCAATCGGTTGTATACGCTAGTGTCTACGTTGACTGTTCAGATTTTCAAAGATGACTGGATTAGGCCAACCTTGACCTCTGGAACTATTGCAAACAATATGCTGAATCTTTCAGATCATCACATCATTCCAATGCCACCTCTAAAAATGGCAGAAAACTCTAACGTAGCTACATCTACTCCAGCTAAAGCAAGTAGTCCACCTCCAGAATTCTCCTTTAACACACCAGGCAAAAATATGAATCCAGTCATTCTCGTGAATACTCAGACAAGGCCCTACAGACTAGGCTTCAACCGCGGAACTGTACCTTACAGCAGTGTCTTCACACAAGGATTTGGAGTCCCAGGAATAGGGGCAACCCAGGGATTCAGGACTGGTTTAATAAATGCTCCCCACAGATATGGAACTGGCACTCAAGGTCAGCCCAGGCCACAATAAACTATTTTCCATATTTATTGTTTGATTTATTTTTTTTATCTATTTTATTGCTCACTTTTTTCTACAAGACTATTCATATTTTTTAGATGGACCAGGATCAAATATTTCCAATCATGAAAATGTGTTTTTGTTGTTTCATTTACTATCTCTGACTATAAAAGTTGCAGCTATACAATCGGTGAGCTTATTCATGTTTTATTTTTGCTTTTGTAAGTGATTACAGTACAATATATCAAGGAACTTCAGAAGATAACAAATTTGGCCAGAAGTGAGGTTCTATATCGTTTTCTTGATGGTGATGAAGAGTGTTTCCAATTACCAAATTTCTCCAAAACTTCTCTGCCTATGATGTAATCATACAATCATTTTTTAAAGTTACATTTTCCTTAATTGGAAAGGTGTGTGTCATATATAAATGACCACTTGGAGGTCCAACAGACCCACTTGAAATCTTATTTGACATTAAGAGATGCTTATCTAAATAAATACTTTATATTGCTGCCAGGTTCACAAGAGTTATCAACTCTCCTATGGTGTTAACTATCACAGATTCATTTTTATTTCTGTCATCTGTGTTTGACAGTGTGCTGGGAAATCTTAGGGTGGCCCTTTTAAACTATTGTTAATCCTGTTTGAAGAGTTCAGAGTAGTGGCATGGTATGTGGAATGAATGCTTTGGTTAACCTAGTAGCATTTTTTATTTATGGAAACACTGATTTTAAAACTTCTTTCCAGCTGCTTTTTAAAAAGTGATGGTACCTCTCTGCATGAAAGTAAGCAAGGTGCTTAAATGGGAAGTATAGCAACAGGGCAGTCACTCTGTTTTTTGTTAGCCGTTTCAACTAGCATGGTCAGTAACTGATTTGAGTGCATATTTTAATGTTTTGCTAATAAGTATTGTGATACTTTTTCCTTCATTCTGTTGCCAGTGAAAATTTGTATACCACCTGCCTACATTATATACTGTACCTAGTTTTCCTTCAGTAAGTCCTTACCTACAAGGGCACATGATTTAGATTAGTTGGTGACCAGCATCAACTTTACTTTTCTACCATGGAAAACCACAAAGTGTGGCTGCCTCTTTCCTCCACCCTGCTCTCCAAAACAGTCACACTAACAGCATGCATGGAACCAGGTTGCTGCAGCAGGCATGTGGACTCTTCCACCTTCTTCCTACCTCCAGGTTTCTCTCCACAACTAAAAGCAGCCATTTACATTCCTACCCCCTCCTGTTTGTGATTCAGAGGACCCTTCTGCAAGGAAGATGTGGGGGTGGTGATTTGATTTCAGGATTTGACTTTTCTACCTTCCCTTTCACAAATGCCTTGCTGGAGAGAGATACCTTTCCTTTTCTAGCATGTCCGCTGCTGGGTGTCTGGTTATTTTGATTGTGAGATATATCCATTTATTGCTAAAAGGGCACATGATGTTCTTTGAGCCAGGACAACTGTACCAGAGCCATTTCAGGTTTTCCAAGTCACTCTCCTTGATGTGGAAGAAGTTTATATGCCCTCTTCCACCCAGCTCAAAGAGGCGTGTGTCATTGGGTGTGGGTAGAATTTAAAACAGGGCTGAATCCAATGTTGCTGCTCTACATGTGCAACAGATTTCCATGTGCCCAGTGGAACTTCCTCTCTAAGCCTCAAGATCAACTGCAAAGGGATAGGGGTCCCTGTGGAACAGATTTGGGGGTGTTGGGTTCAAGATCAGCTGCAAAGGGATAGGGGTCCCTGTGGAACAGATTTGGGGGTGTTGGGGGGAGGAGAGGAAATGGAAGTTGTGTTGTATGAGTGGAACTCCCTTTGGTATAGCCCATACATTCCTTTGGGCTGTTTGTATTCTGCTAAGCCACAGAAGATGTCCAGTAAAATCAATTACAGTCATACCTCGGGTTGAATGTGCTTCAGGTTGAGTGCTTTCGGGTTGCGCTCTGCGGCAACCTGGAACTAACAGAGCACGTTAATTCCGGGTTTTGCTGCTTGTGCATGCGCAGACACTCAAAATGACGTCACGTGAATGCGCGGAAGCGGCAAAACGCGACCCGTGCACGTGCCGATGGATGTTACATTCCATTCAGGATGCGAATGGGGCTCCAGAACGGATCCCATTCGCTTCCCAAGGTACCACTGTACCTTACTCATTTTGTATATCTTGGTCCTTCAGACTAACATAACTCTGGAGAACTAAGCGTGAGGGAGAAAACAGGCTCCAACAGACTTAACAAGTGTTTATTTTATTATTCAGTGCCAATATACAAGACACTTGCTTATCCAAATGTAAACACAAAGAATGGTGCTCTGTTTTTAAAGACTACATCCAGGCCACTACATATTCAAGAATTAGATACAAATCAGACTTCAGACTTTTATCTCAGAATAACTCGGTAGTGTAAATGTTAGATCACCTATCCAAAGTGGAAAATTTACCAACAGCCATAAGGTAATGCTCTTAATCCTGCATGCCTGGTACATGGTTGAAGGTTTAAACATTCTTTCTAACAAATGCATTCCCAAGTTTGGGGTATAATGAAAGAGAATGGTTATAGTGTGTTCAATTGTGACATGTGAGACTAGAGTTAAACTCAACACTCGGCTGTAAAGCTCCCTGGGTGACCTTGGTCCAGTCATTGTCTCTTGACTTAACGTATCTCACCAGTTTGTTGTGAGGATAAAGTGTCTCATCTTGTTCTCCTTTGAGGGATACACGTGTACGCAATAAATTCCCACCACTACCATATACTAAAGCCCATAGTTACAACTATTTAGAAGGATATAATTCTGCAGACCATGCTTGTGTAATTGAAGTATTGGAGCTCAAATGTATTTGCAGACATCCTGCCATAGCAACAAAGCTCACAAGTTGCAGCATTATGTTCCCACACAGGCCCGAACTCTGAAGGGAGATGGTGGGAAATAAGCAAATTGAGGGAGGGAGGCAGTGAATCTTAGTGGTGGAAATGTTCTGTGGGTTCATGTACAGGGAAGAGGGACAGGAACTGGGAGTTGACCAAGGCCATCAGAGGACGATGTTTTCGCTGTAGTGGCAAAACTATTCTGGTACAATTAAAGCAGGGGTCTGAGATTGAACTGTACAATGAAATCTGCAAAATACTACCACTGATGTGCATTGTGTGTGTTTCTAAAAGGATCTAAAAATGCATCCTGAAAATGTGTTACATTAAGAGTCAGGGTGACTTGATATGTTCAGTGGAATTTAGTTAGGCATCAAGCAGTTGCTTCATCTATGATTAACCTCTAAGCTTGAATTCCACTGCTGAATAAATGCCTTACACAGTAAGATGGGATGACCCTTCGCCTGATAAATGATCGTAGGGCTACTCAATCAGGGCATTGCGTAGTAACAGTATGATTTTAAAAAGACCCTTATCCCCTTCCCCACCTTGTACAAAATGGTAATCCAGGCATAGGGACGCCTTTTACCTAGTTAGACTACAAATTATGGCACAGTAAATGAACATTTATTTTGTAACCTCATACAGTGGACCACTTCATGAGATTCATCTGGACAGAAGGATATTAGAAGAAATAAGCTACAAGGATGGATTCCTCTCATCACCTATCTTCTATTCACATTTAACTGCATACCAAGTATGCACTAAATTATTATCACTTGATGTTAAAGGAAATAGCACTTACCGTATTTTTCGCCCTATAGGATGCACTTTTTCCCCTCCAAAAATGAAGGGGAAATCTGTGTGCGTCCTATGGGGCAAATACAGGCTTTCGCTGAAGCTTGGAGAGCGAGCAGGGTCAGTGCGCACCGACCCCTCTCACTCTCCAGGCTTCAGGAAGCTATCAGCAAGCCTGGGGAGCCCGCGGGACTTCCTGCAGGGCTCCCTAGGCTGCGGATAGCAGCCTGCCGCCCGGTGCGCAGGATGTCCTGAAGCAGAGCGCCCCGCGTGCCGGGCAGACATTGGCCAGTCCCACAAGCTCGGGGGACAGCGGGGAGGCGCAGCGCCGCCATCCCGCTGTTCCCCGACCTGGTTTTGGGGGGGAAATAAAGGGGAATTTTTTTCCCTTTATTTCCCCCCCAAAAAACTAGGTGCGTCCTATGGGACGGAGCGTCCTATGGGACGAAAAATACGGTCCTTTTTTGGAATGTTGCTGTAGCTAAAATCATGAAATACTGTACTAAATATCATTGTGTAACATAATGAAACTAAGCCTTTTCATTTAATTTTTTTCTTCTTCAATGAAAGCTGAACAGTTGTGTTTTTCCTTCTACTTGAAAACAGTTTGGTATAAATGTTTATTTTCCACACTGCCAGAATTTGGTTTACCCACAGTTGTGTGTACCACTAAACCTTGAAGAATTGCCATTCTTTCCAATTTCCTCTAGGGGGCAAAGATTAAAAACTAAGCTATTTTATTCCTATAGTCTCCAAAAGCCTGTTTTTGGAAGCAGCTAAAGAGGAACCAGTGGTAGCCTTAAAAACAGAGCAGGAGTTGTGTGGGAGCCAACAGTGTGCCATCACAGATTGAGATATTCCAGCACAAATACTTGTAGAATCTTGTTGAGGTTGTCAGTGGTTGGCTTGTCAAGATTTTCTTCATTGTCTTCCATGGTGTGCCACACTCTAGGGAAAGGAGCTGGGATCAGGTGTAGGATTGGAACCCCTGGAGAGAAGAAAACAAAGATGATGATTCTGGAGATTACTGGACTTCTGGGCATGTACTTTACTTGGTTATATAAACACAATAGCACTGTTGTGTTGCATTCTAGTCCAGTGATATTTCTTTAGTGAGTATTAGATCAGCGCTTACTGGTAAGAGGGTAAAGAAATTAGAAACGCAACCATATAAATAATAACTTTAAAAAAAATGATTTCCACCTTTCAAGCCCTACAGAAAATGCAATAATATCACATCATTAGTTAATGCTGAACATGTTTATGTTTATATTTTAATGTTAATGCAGGTATGTATAAGGGCCTGCCTTATATCCCTTCTGCCATTGCCCCAAGTTGTCATCTTTCAGACCCTGCTGCCAAAAGTATAATGTATAAAAAGCTGTCATACCTCTTCTTAAAAATGGAACATGGTCATCCTCTACTGGATGTCTTCGTAAGTCAGGCCGGAAATAGGGCCTTTCAGGAGAGTAATTGTTTAGCAAACCCAAAGCAACGAGGTTTTGTTCTGCAGGGGTTTTTTAAAAATTAAAAAAAAGTTTAAACAGTGTAGCAATATTTTGTTAAAAAAGCCAAGACCCTAAATTTGAAATGTTTTAAACATTTGACCATCCTTCCCTAACCCAAGGTCCCCAGACACTAGCTAGAAATGATGGAGGTGTAATCTAACAACAAGTGGGGCTCGAAGGATAGGGAAGACTAACTTTGATGCACAAATGAGTAATACACACCCCACACACAATTTCACACAGTACAATGACCTTGTGAATGATGCAGCCCATGTATTGTGGGGGATTAGTAGCCAAACGAAGCTACTGACATGAGTTTGACCAAACTCTGGGAAGCAGTGGAAGGCAGGAGTGCCTGGTGTGCTCTGGTCCATGGGGTCACGAAGAGTCGGACACGACTAAACAACAAACAACAAAGCAGCCAAACAAATGCATATTCTTGCAAGTTAGCATGAGAAGGCGCTAATACCACAGAGCTGTATTGTTGATAGGCAGACCACAGAAATACAAGTGGTAGAGAGGGCTCTGTGTGATGTCATTTCCCCTCCTTTTCCTGGAGAGGAAGGAACACAAAATACTTCCTGTTCCTCTTTTCCTTTGACCAGTGTTAGATGCAGATATGTCTCCACTTGCTGCAGCTCCAGGCACATTCCTGAAGCTGCTTATACTGTAAATATTTTGCCTGATAGATTTGATGCTGCCTTTGTTGTGATCCAATGCATAATTATAAAGTAAACCTTATTTTTAAACTTACTTTACCAGTTGTCGCCTGATTCTTAAGCGGGTTAAAAGGGGGAAAGCCAACTTCATAGTTGGATTTGCTCAAAACAAGGTTTTACAGCCTAATTCCTATTAATTTTGCTGCCAAGGGTGGGATTTTGAAACTCTGTTCAACCCAGATGTGTGGGAGGAATAAATTGCAATGAATATAAGCTCTGCTACCTATTAAAACCCATCCCCACATGTACTACCTGTGGCCCTCCAGATGTTGGTGGACTCTCAACTTCCCACATCCTTGACCACTGGCCACAAGGGCTGGTGCTAAAGGGACTTGTAGGCCAATGATGCCCCATCCCTGATTTATGACTTCTCAGGTTGAAAACAAACCAGTTTGGGCTTCTCATATGAAGCACAGTCCTCCCTTGGTTTTTGAACAGCTTAGTTCTCGAACATTTTGGTTCCCAAACGCCACAAACCTGGAAGTGAGTGTTCCGGTTTGCAAACTATTTTTGGAAGCCGAACATCCGATGTGGCTTCCGATTGGCTGCAGGAGCTTTCTGTAGCCAATCAGAAGCCATGCTTGGGTTTCTGAACGTTTTGGAAGTTGAATGGACTTCTGGAACGGATTCCATTCAACTTCCAAGGTACAACTGTACTGCTAAATGCTGGCCAACTAGCATCCCATGCTAGCAAACTCACTATTTGGGTAATATCAGCTAATATTTTTATCTTACAGAGTTGGGTCTGGAAGCTTGAAAAAGAAAGGAAGAACTTGGCTATTGTCTCAGATGTTTATGAAATATGAACTCTGCTGTGAATCAGCTGTAGGCGGTTGTTTATTGTTTCAGCTGCTTTGTTTTTTTTAATGAATTAATTCATTGATATTAAATGATTTGATCCTGTGAGGCTTATGAATATTTTAATAAAGAACATGTGAGATGGGTTACAATATGATATGTGAGTACAATAGCCAGAAATAATTCTTCTCATTAAGATTCCACCCCAAGGCAAAAACAATTGCCATATGCAGAGCTGTAAAATTTGGAGAGTAATTTACAGTCAGAATTTAACTCCTACACACATGAAGCTAGAAGAGCTTAGCGTTCCTGTTATGGCAACCATTGTTTTTTAAGTCATTATGTTTTGCATAATCTGATCTTACCGATCGCTTCAAGTCTCCCCAGCCACCGGGCTGTGTTCAGAAAGTAAAGGGGGAATGTTGGGTTCCGAGCACCGATTAAATCCAGTAGCACAAAAAGATCCTATGAGAAATCAATAAAGAAATAGGCCTTTTAAATGTCACTCACAGAACCCTATAAATGTGTTGTACTGACTGGCCCAAATCAGGGACTGTTGACAGACCCAGGGCTTAGCCACACGTACCTCCCCTGTTTTCGAGACCCAACCCACACTTTAAAGCTTTTTTTCTTTTTTTTGCTGCAGAGTTTTCCCCACAAAAAAACCCCCACTCTTTAGAGCAGAATTGGAGCAAACTGCAATCTTTGGAAAACCCAAATTGCCATTTGTTGCACTTAGAGCTGGATTTCGTGGGGAAGTTCTGGGGCCCATGCCTGGAAAAAGCGAGGCAAATAGTAATTGAGGATAAGCCCCCAGAGACATTTTGTGACACAGCCATTCACATGGTTGAACATTCACTATGGACAGTGGCTCATACACAGCCCAATGGCTACATACTGCTATTTGAAACATGGAAATGATTTCTTCCACAATTCCAGTGAGAGAGTAAGTTACATGCCAAATTGCCTCCCTTTTAAAAATCAACAAGACTTTGGAGTGCTTAATTTTGGCTGGATTATGCCCAAAATGTCATGCAAAAAAAAAGAAAGAAAATAAAATGCTCTGCATCCCATAGCTATACCCATCAAAAGATTGTAAAGCACTTTTCTGCCTCCATATACCCCATATCCTTCACCAAGTAGAGGCTTTTTCTGGTCCTGCTTCAAAACATTTCAGACAGTTGCACCAATGAGAAATATATAAAACAATATTTCTCAGATTTGTTGTCTAGATCAGTTACTTTAGTGCATGCACCTCACCCCACTTCCTTCTCCCTCCATAAAGTTCTCACTTACAATGCCCTGAATCTGAGTTGTATGTGCGGCGCCGGGAGGGTGTGGAGTCGATGCCATTTTTTGGGCCAAGTGCCGAGAGCCATATAGAGAATCTGAAGGGGACCATCGGACGAAAGCTTCTTCGCCGTCAAAGAAAATGAGCTGCAGGGAGAGATCTGACTTGCCATTTGTGACGGCCTTCTGTGGGATGAGGGACGGAGGACAAAATGCAAGGTCAGTTGCCACGCTGTGGTTCATGGTTAATGCAGAAACAAATGCAGAAAAGAAGCAAATACCTTCAGACAATGAAGCTGCGTGTCCAGGGAACGTGCCAATTCTAGCATCATAGCACAGGGCACCGCTGAGTCGGTGGCTCCGACAAACACTTTGCCGTCCGACTGTGGGGGGAAGTATTTTGAATCGTAATGGCAAGCAAGTACCAAGTGGCGCTTGGCAAGGGGATTGAGGGTGCTGATGATGTTTGAAAAGGTGCGATATCCATAAGGTGTATGGCTCTGAAACGTGTCTTCTTCAACTACCCAGCCAGCCTGTAGTCCTTGAAGACGATGCTTGATATGCTGAAATGTATACGGCCACAAGTCAAAGGAGGCAAACATTTATTATTTTCAAGCAAAGTTGTATTAAAAAAAACTGCCTAGAAAGGTGTGTCATTATCTACTGAAATTCAACACTGAAAGGTTAAAGGTAAAGGAGCCCTGGATGGTTAAGTCCAGTCAAAGGTGACTATGGGGTTGTGGCGCTCATCTTGCTTTGAGGCCGAGGGAGCCGGCATTTGTCCACAGACAGCTTTCTGGGTCATGTGGCCAGCAGGACCACTTCTGATGCAACAGAACACTGTGACGGAAGCCAGAGCGCACGGAAACGCTGTTTACCTTCCCGCCACAGTGGTACCTATGTATCTACTTGCACTGGTGTACTTTCAACTGCTAGGTTGGCAGAAGCTGGGAATGAGCAACGGGAGCTCACTCCGTCGCGGGGATTTGAACCGCTGACCTTCCAATCAGCAAGCCCAAGAGACTAAATGGTTTAAACCACAGTGCCACCCGCATTGTTAGCCGTATGCAGAGCAGAACCGTGGAAATCAAGGGGCTTTAGTCTAGAAGGCCAGATTCAACTAAGCTGGAGTTCCCAAATCTGCTCTGGAGGATCAAGAGAGCATCTAGAACACAGTGGGAGGGGAGGGGGATCCTCTTGCCCAGCAAGCAGAAATCGGAAGAGCACAATGTTAAATTTGTCCCATGGATGCCAATGTGTCTACTCTGACCGTACCACCCTACCCATTATTGGGAGTAGAGGTGGTAAGTTGTTCTAAATTGTTTTTAACATTTTGTTTTGATTATTGTAACTCACCCTGGGACCTGGGGGTAATGAACTGGAATTGAATTGAATTGTAATAGTTTGGGCCAGTTAAAGTCCAGAAGATTAAAGGTTGTTCAGTGGAGGCAGCCAGAGATAAACCTGGGTATCCACTTGGTGTCAGCGGTGAAGTTAAGATGACAGAGCAGTTGGTTTGCTTGCCTCCCTTTCCTCTCCTAATGCTTGCTAAAGCCTGTGCTGTCACAGAAGGCAACCAGGTTTGGGATCCTAGCTGCTGTCAGTTAATGACATTTAATTGCCCCTCATTGATGTTTCCTTAGCAACGTGTCTCATCTGCTTTAGAAATGGTCCCTGCGGCACATTTCATGTTATTGGAATAAAGGTTTAACAGGGCATCTTATATAACACTTCAATACGTATGCGTAAGAATCATGCTGTACAAATGAAGAGAGATGTGACTAAAGGATAGCTCTTGATTCACTTCCATGAAATCAAGCCAATGAACAGGAAATCCTGGATTCAGTGCTTATGATAAGCAATATGAGAAGCAATAATTAAATAAGATGGACCAGCAGTAATGGAAACATGATGCTCAGTGGATCCCTCTGTGCATTATGAGGAAGGAAGCCCCAATAAATTACATTTAAGCCCAAGGTCCGGAGAAGCTGATGCACTGCCATCTGTAAAACTAAGCGGGTGAAGACCTCAACAGTTTTGGGGTGGGAAGTCAATAACCTTAGAGATTACTGAAGGAACAACAGAATACTAATGAAACAAGAAAGCAGGAAAATGCACACAAGAGTTCAGGACAATGGTTCACCTATCCTGTGGTGGAGACTGATATCACACACACACACATACACACACACTGAGAATGAATATTGTCCACTCCAAGCAGATAGTGCTAACCTGCTATTTGACATTGGAAATCTATACCTAAAGGAGACATTCTGGTAAACCCAATTTCCATTCAATTGCATAATTTAATATTCTTTCTAGGAAGTTTTTACTTTGATATTGCTCTTCTCCCCTAGCAATACAGATTCTTGTCTGTACATGCCCAATGACTGCTGTGCCAGAGATGTCACTGTTTTCTCTTTGTTTGGGCTCTCTGCCAGTAAATCTCCAAGGAAACTACAGCACTAAATGCAATAGATACTCTTTGAAACTGGCTACCCACCTCCCCCTCATCAACTGCAGATCATTAAACTCACCTGTCTTCAGGTTGCAACTGCAACAAGATGGCTCACAGCTGTTTGAGGGCCTTTCCAAGGGATAAATGCTCAGCTGTTACACATTCTGTGTTCACTTTGTGCAACTTCCCTCAAAGTTCTACTTCCACTGAAAATATTTTTGATATTTCCCATCTGCAGCGTAGCTATTTTATTTCATTTTTTTTGCAACTGAGGAATACAATTCTTCCTCCAGCAAGCAAAGCTATGCCATCTGGTCCATTATATGAGAATGTGATATTATATTACTGGTGCTAGATCAGATATATTTATTATTATAACTATTATTTATTATATTTATATACCACCCTTCATCAAAAGATCTCAGGGCGGTTCACCAGATAAAAGCCCAAATAAGTAATGAAAACAAAAACAACAAAGCAATACAATAGTTGGAAGTGGCTTCTTGCTATAGTAAGGTAAAGGTAAAGGACCCCTGACAGTTAAGTCCAGTCGCGAACGACTCTGGGGTTGCGGTGCTCATCTCGCTTTACTGGCTGAGGGAGCCGACGTTTGTCCACAGACAGTTTTCCTGGGTCATGTGGCCAGCATGACTGAGCCGCTTCTGGCGAAACCAGAGCAGTGCACGGAAACGCCGTTTACCTTCCCGCCAGAGCTATTTATCTATTTATCTACTTGCACTTTGATGTGCTTTCGAACTGCTAGGTTGGCAATGAGCTGAGACCGAACAATGGGAGCTCACCCCGTCGTGGGGATTCGATCTGCCGACCTTCCGACTGGCAAGCCCTAGGCTCAGTGTTTTAGACCTCAGTGCCACCTGCGTCCCTTCTTGCTATGGAGGCTATGTTCTATTTCTACTGCCAGAGGCAGTATGCCTCTGCATCCCAGTTGCTAGAAATCACAAGTGGGGAGTGTGCTGTTGCCCTCTTGTGAGCTTCCCACGGACATCTGGTTGGCCACTGTGAGAACAGGATGTTGGGCAGCTGGGCTACTGGCCTGTATCTGCAAGGCTCTTGTGTTCTACAGAGTTGGGAGGGCCAAGCCGCTGCTGTGTATGCAGAGATTCTTATGGCAAAATGTGACCTATAATCTATCAGGTTGTTATAATAGACCATCGTGTGAGTAATTTACCGAGAACCAGTGCGAACCAGCGTACTTAGAACTGGTGGACAGTTAGAGGTATCCTGGAAACAGAAAGGGAAGGATTATTGCAGACATCAGTGTGAACTGCACGTTCAGCTCGTCAGACTCACCTGACGCACAGCATAACTGCCGGGTGATCCTGGATATCGCTCAATCAGTATCGGGTGCAAATCATTTTGCCACATTCGGTTGATATCTGTGTGAGCAGCAACTTGTTGGATGCTAGTTGCATTTAAAATGGTTGGACGGTGGGAGTACTGAGGAAGGAATTGGAGGCAAGATTATTTTAACATAATAAATAATCATAATGAATGACTGGATGAATTTTGCTATAGTGTTTTGTATATGACAGTAGTGTAGGAAGTATTATTTAAAAGTACCCATTAGCAGTTTTCTGTTAAAATAATCATCCAAAGTGTCAAACAATGGAAGTATGTATACACATGTGTCCCACCCCCCAAAAAGAGAAAAACATAGAAACATATCAGCATAATAGTTGCTGCATATAACTGGTGGGATCCAGACTTTGCTCCGATCAACAGAGAGGAGGGTTGGGGACCCTTTAGAACAGGTATCCCTCAAGGGCCAATAGCAGAGGCCCAAATCCTGAAATGTTCTGTGATTGGACATCATGTATCGAATCAGAACACAGGAGCTCAGAATCCTTAGTCCAGACTCAAGCTCAGGCAAACACAGACCACTGAAAACATAACAACAGTAATAGATAAAAAACACTTATTGAAGATTGCTGACCCATCTGTTTTGGGGCTTGGTTCTTTTCAGGTCACCGATACAACAATCTTAAAGAATAAACTCTCATAATAAAGATCTTATTGGTTATCTGTTACTTGCACAGACATCCATTTCAGGTTTTTCCATGCCACTGTGCCAGCAGTCATAACTAGCAGCCTGGGGCTGACTTCAAAAAGCCGGAGTATGTGTAGTAACTTCCTAATTCATCTGAAAGCAAAGTGGAATCTCAACATTAAGGGAATGTCATGGGATAGAAAGGGTGGTGGGACTTCATAGCATATGGGGACTATCAAGAAGGGTGGTAAAAAATAAAAGAAAGGCAAGGCTATGCAGGTGAGCATAGCTGAGGTAAATAAGCACACACATATGTACATTTGTGTTTTGAAAGTATACACATCATTGTGTATACTGATAAAAGTGGGATGTATATATGAGGTGTATTCCTGTAATTACCATGTCCTTGCTCCTGCCTGTTACAAAGGTCAGCCTTCTAGGTATTGCAGCCATCTGGGGATATCTGGTGGGTGTATGTTTTTGAAGTTATGTATAAATGCCTCATGTTCAGATTAGTATAATGACTAAGTAGGCTTCGAATGCCACGTGTGCCAAATTTAGGGTCTGCCTCATGTGGAAGTAAATATACTCTTCCTCAAGAGGTGCAAGATTCCAGGGGTGCAGGCGCTTCTCCAGAGTATGTGTTTACAGTACTTGGGAAATGAGACATAGCGGAGACTGTGGTGTCTTTATGGTATATGGTTTATTTACACATATCTACAACCTGAGCCTAAGATGGAGAGGTTCAAAGCATTACACTTCAAGAGGGTCCTCCCGCTCCCCTTGCTGCAACCTCCAGTTAAAACTGACAGCCCATATTGTGCTCTGACCCCTCCTCTCCAGCTTGCTATGTTTAACAGACTGAGACCTTTCCCCCTCAATCACACCACAGCCAACTGAAATCATAAAACTTCCTCCTAACAAAAACTCTGTCATTGTCTTCTGACTAAGGATCTCAGAGCTCAGGGAGGGGCTCCACCCATTTGTTGGCTGGCACAGAGTCTTTGCTTTGCTGATAGCTTTCTTAATAGCTCTGCATCTTCCCTTTTGTCCTCTTTTAATGGTCCATCTTCCTGTTTGATCTGTATTTTAACATGATAAATCTAGCATCTGGTAGCCCATTTTAAGACTCCAAGCATCGATTAAATTCTAACACTTACTAAACACTTACTAAATCCAGAAATTATGGGTACCTTGCACCCACAAACTCTGGAACCCAAACTCAAAACAGTATAATATAATTTGAGAAGTATGAAAATATGCAAATAGTTTGGGAGGGAAGTCTCAAAGCTAAAGAGAGAGGGTCTTTGCGAATTTTAATCTTCTTCTTTTCTTAATTTTTAGCATGCTCAGTTTACAGTGGTACCTCGCAAGACGAATGCCTCGCAAGACGAAAAACGCGCAAGACGAAAGAGTTTTTCGTTTTTTGAGTTGCTTCGCAAGACGAATTTCCCTATGGGCTTGCTTCGCAAGACGAAAAACGAAAAAAATGAAAACGTCTTGCAAGTTTGTTTCCTTTTTCTTAAAACCGTTAATACCCAGGGTGACTTCGAGGAGCAACTCATAGCACGCGGTGTGGTAGCCTTTTTTGAGGTTTTTGAAGACTTTGGTGATTTTGAAGACTTTGGGAAACCGTGTTTCGCAAGACGAAAAAAATCGCAAGACGAAAAAAATCGCAGAACGAATTAATTTCGTCTTGCAAGGCACCACTGTACTGTGATTCTTAAATTATAGCTTTCTTGAAGTATGAATAGTGGAAAGCATTATGCATCTTAGCCAACAGGGCTCTTTGAACCACAGTGAGATTAGAATGATGTTAGCGGGGAGAAATGAGCACGCTTAGCATGAAAATCAATAAAAGACACATACGGCAGCAATCTTCCTGGCAGGACCAAACAAACATTTACTGTAGCCAGTGACTGCCATTATAAGACAAAATACAGTAATGCTATAATCATGCTAATGCAGAAGAATACATTTTCTTTGGAAGCACAAGAAATAAATGGAGAAATGGAATTGCTAGGTCTGATCACTGATTAAAGGCATTATAGTTTTGAAAAGTTGTAACATGCCTCCCCTCCCTATAATTTCATGTTGTAAGCTGAGCTGGGTCTCCTTTTGAGTAGAAAGGCAGGGGGGTGTATATGTACATCTTCTCCCCCCCCCCCCAAATTAAGGAAATAAATGATTCACATTGTGATATGCATGACTTTCTTTATGGGTTTATTTAAAAAACAAATAAAAAGGAGCATTAATAGAAAACATAACGCACTTCCAGACGACTACAATTTTGGAGCGGGAATCAATCACATACAGTTATAATTGCTTGGGATGTTTTCTGCAATAAATGCAGTACCCCCAAATATCAGACTTTTTGTGATAAGGAAAGCGATGGGAAGACACAGTGGAAAGTGTTCAACATTGCCCAGCCTCCTCACAAACAAATTAGGATGAGTGCTCAATATACTGGTAATCTGGAAGCTCCCAAAGAACCAGGCTGTGATATATAGCCCGGGTTCTCTCTGACCACCAGTGCTAGGGCTGTTGTGTGAAAATACTGGTTGTGCTTCCAGTGCAACAGCTGTGCAAATGGAAGTGTATTATGAAGCAGGAAATATAGGAGTTACAGCAATCTGTGGTACGACGTGTTTCAAATGTGCTTCAAAGATATAGTGTGTACGCAGCTGCAGAAAGGGAAAAGGAAGTAGCACTAGATTTTGAGCTGACACATGGGTGAGCAGCAGGAAGTTAAAACAACGGCAGCAACTGAAATGCCATGTTTACTTGCCCTTAAGTGGATAAATTCTGCCATTATTTTTCTGCCTACTTTGGCATAAATCCTGGACTGCATCTGTGGCCCCATTGTATGTGTTTTAACATCATATGCACACAGACAGAGCCATTATTTTATAAGACACTTTGATGTCAGGAAATCATATGTTCTCTTAAAATGGATGATCAGAAGCAGCAGAAAACTAGACAGCGCTTAATGTTGGCCACAATTATCACAGACTTCATAACAAAGATATTACAAAAGTACAGCATTAGGGACTCTCTTGTGAACAGGGGGGGAAATCCATATTTAGGCTTGGCATATGATCTTGTAATAAGGAACTTACAGATGCTACCTTGCTTGCCGTGGTCTGAAATCTGGGATGGGGAAGCTATGCTCCTCCAGACTACAATTTTCCTTGGTTATGCTAGGTGGAGCTGATGTAGGTTGGGGTCCAACAGTATCTGGGGAACCACAGGTTCCCCATCACTGCCCTAGATTACATCAAACCTGTGACAAAAGCAGCAGGGGAAGGAGTAAATAATTGCTTGTCCTTAAAAACATAAGGCTTAAAGACGCATCAGGGCTTTCTGTGACACACTAGTATTAAGCGTATAGTCTACTGTGGTTAAAAATAACCCCCATTTCCCCATTGCCTTCAACAGGAATTGAATTGAACCCAGGAGGCCTGGTATCTCAGGGTCTAAGGGACTAATTTGCATTTACTTTATGCCAGCATAAGAGTGCTAACCAGGCAGTAAACATGTAGCATTATTGAATGTAATGCAATGCATTATTAATACGGTAGGATAGCACATAAGTGTCCGAAGTTAGCATTTATAGGCAAGCTTGCATGAAGTTTCAAAACATGCTTCCTGAACTTCTTTGGCCACACAGAAACCCTCCCCAAAACACAATGCAGTGCATGTTGATTGTTCAGCTTTGCACTTGCATCAGTGGCTGAGCCAAACCTTCTACAACCACAACCACACTTAACAGCAGCACACTATCTTATGAGAGCCTTGTCCAGTTTGGTTCAGAATGGTTATCATAGGGGAAAAGAAGTGTGCATTGTTTAATAAGGTTGAAATCTGATGTGCCTTGGAGTAGCAGGACACACCTGACACCCCACTGCCCTCTCATTTTTTTATTGTAGGGTTTGTTTTGTTTTGTTGGTAGGGGAGGGCTGCCTGTCTTTTGGAGGGGGTCTCCTGCTTTCTTCGGTCTGTTTGTTTTGGGGTGAGTAGGTGCTGATTTGCAGAGAGGGGTTCTGAACATGCCCAGTTTTTTATTCAGTGAAATGGGTATTTTGTGGTGCCCCTAACCATTTCTTTAGATTTGAAAATGTTCCTCTGGGGCCAAGAAAGTTGGAGGCCCCTGCTATACCCACTTACTTTGGAGAAAGCTTACTTAAACTCAGTAGGAGAAAACTTAATTAAACTCAGTATATACAATTGTCCATTACGTGTCTGTCTCCATCAACAAGCACCTTGATATATATAAAATGGTAACCAGATCCATATATGGTTATAACCATATAACCTAAGTATATAGCTCTAATCTAGTTACAAAGTTAGCCACCATTTTAGTTTCTGAGCAGATTTGGAGAAGCTTAATTTGAGATTCCTGGGGTACCAGCATATACCAAGTGTGTGCTCTAAGGTTACCTCAAAATACAGTGCACCATTCTGGTTTAGGATTAAGTCCAGTTGAACTCATTGGGACTTCTGAGTGTATGCAGAATTTGACTGTTGTACATGCAGTGAAGGTTGTATTGTAGGGTGCATTGTAGTTTGTCCTTTTACTTAGTGCATTTGTACCCTGCTTTTCTTCCATCATGGAACTCCACACACACACACACACACACACACACACACACACACACAAGCCTGCCATCCAGGCACCAATCAGACCCAGAACTGCTTTTGAAAGGTTGGCACATCATCTGCCTTCAGACCATGCCCTCTTTTGAGTCACTGTGATTCACTCTCAGCCTGTGTCTAGAGTGCATTTGCTTGTCTTTCCCTCCTGGTTTTTTGGGGTGCTCTGCATTGTGTCAAGATGATTGGGCTGAGTGGGTGGCATTTACTTGTACACCACCCTGCCAGATCGCCTATTTTTAACATACACAATCGCCCTACTAGATCATCTGCCTTAAGGCCCTTCTGAGAAATCCACATATAGAAACATACACAATTATATAATAAGTGGAAATATAAAAGACATAATAGCTGCTGGAACACCACAGAGAGTTCATTCCTCCCACACACCCATATTATCATCTTAAAGGCGCACCTTGGCACCAGTGATTTGCCAGTAAGGATAGAGAAATCTGATGCCTGATAAACTATTTTAAATCCTGCAAAGCCGTGGTGACTGAGAGGCCTGTGACCTTTGCCCACACCAAATCCCTTCATCCCTGTCATTCCCTCCCTCCACATGCTACACGTAACCCTCCACACAGAAGCAAAATTACAAAAAGCCACCAGAGAGAGGGCGAGAGAGACCCCCGACATACCTTTTCCTGAGTCCAGTCCACTCGTCCACTCACTCGCTGAGGGAAAGAGGCCAGGGCCAGGGAGAGTGTCCAGGCCAGGCATAAGGATGCTGCAACCTGGCTGCCTCTACCTCCCCCAGCCATGCCTCTTCAGAAGCGGCTTCTCCTGTTGATGTGGCAACACCCGAGGCTGCCAGTTCTCTCGCTGAGGAGGATCTCTCTGCGCAGACAAGAAGCAGCTTCGAAGTACTAGGCTGGAGGAGGAGGGAAAGGGGGCAGAGCTGGGAGAGCAGGGCAGCCTTTCAGCTGGGAGAGCAGGCATGAGATGTGTGCGGCTGCATGTGATTCACCCGGCAGCCTCTACCTTTGCATCTGCTCTCATTAATTAGGCACCTTTTCTGCTTCTTAACATGCTTCCTGCCTGCCTGCCCTACAGAAAATGGAGAGGGATGTTTATTCACACATCCAATCAATCCAGCTTCGCCTATCATTTCCTCAGGGAAGTGAATTCTGTCCCTGGCACCACGTCAGCAGCATCAGGAGGAGGACATATGACTAATTCCTCAGACTTGGGCAGCAGCCACAGCAGGATGGTCTCTCCCCTCCCTCATTTCCTCTCCTCTTCCCCCAGAGATACAGGGAGTGTAGCAGTGCTATGATACGGAGGAGGGTGGGTTATTTTTTTTACAACTAAATACATAACGAGGTGCACTTTGTGATTCCCCCCCCAAAAAAACCCCCAAGATCCCTATGAAATAGTATGGAATCAAACCACATTGTCTATTTCTGTTGAGAGTGTGTCATTTCAGTGCGTTAAGCCCCAAGCGCCAGCATAAATTCACAGGGTTTTTGTTTTTTTTAAGCCACTTATTTTAATCTCCTACAGAAAGCTTAAGAGCCTAACTATTAGGTCCTTTCAAAATAAATTGCACTATTGTTGTTAATCTTCTGTATGAGCCTTGTTAATACATCAGTCTAAGGCTGCAATTCTGTGCATCCTTATCTGGGAGTAGGCCCCACTGAATATACTGTATGCATTGTGGGGTGCCTGGACTCTCCTTCTAATTCCTGGGTGCCAGACACTGGATTTAGCATGTTAACATACAAGTCAGGAGCCAGCCTGGTAATGGCCTGTTAAATATAATGGGGGGACAAAAGGAGTAGTTCGAGGGGGCAAATGGGAGGGGCCCCTCCCTCAGCTCAGAATTAGTTAGAAAGACAAGAGCCTCTGAAGTAGTTTTAGAGTTGGAAGAAGAGCAGATGTTTTAGGATTGCAGTTGACGATGATGTGGGCTGGAGGGAAAATAGTTGCAGTCTGTTAAACACAGCAAGCTGAGCAGACGGCCACGGATGATTCCTGCTGGCACCCAAGATTGTGGCCATGGGGGAAGCAAGAACCTCTTGGAATGTTAATGCTATGAACCCTTTAATGGCAGGCTCAGGTTGTATACATGTGTAAATAAACAATGTATCATAAAGACACCACAGTCTCCACTGTGCCGCATTTTCAAAAGGAAACATGAACCCAGGGTAAGTTCCTGGAATCCCTGGAATCTCACACCAATTGGGGTGGCATATAAGCAAGTAAGCATACATAGGATTGCATTGTAAGTCTTTGCAAAAAGATGGGTTTGCATTTGGGTCTCTGGTATTCCTTAAACACCATCTCCAACTCTTTGAAAGATTCCATCAACAGTGTCTCCGAAATATTTCCCACATCACTTGGGAAGACAGGCGAACTAATATCAGTATACTGAAAGAAGCAAAGATCACCACTGTTGAAGCAATGATTCTTCAACATCAACTTCATTGGACTGGTCATGTTGTGTGGATGCCTGATGATCATCTTCCAAAGCAACTACTCTATTCCGAACTTAAAAATGGAAAGCGTAATGCTGGTGGTCAGCAAAAGAGGTTTAAAGACTGTCTCAAGGCAAATCTAAAAAAATGTAGTATAAACACAGACAACTGGGAAACACTGGCCTGCGAGCACTCCAGTTGGAAAACAGCCTTTACCAAAGGTGCCATGGGCTTTGAAGACACTCGAACTCAGGACGCAAGGGAGAAACATGCTAAGAGGAAGGTACGCTTGGCAAATCCACACCGTGATCAACTCCCGCCCGGAAACCAATGTCCCCACTGTGGAAGGACGTGTGGATCCAGAATTGGCCTCCACAGTCACTTACGGACTCACTGTTAAAACCGTGTTTATGGAAGACAATCTTACTCGGGTACGAGTGATCTCCAAAGAAGAAGAAGATTCCTTTCTTCCTTCCATCCTGTGAGCCATAGATCCAGGGTAGCACATCTGCGTTTTGTGCAGAAGGTCCTTGGTTCTCTCCTTAGCATCTTCAGGTGGGGTGGAAGATAGCCTTGCATGAAATTCTGGGGAGTCACTGATACTCAGTGTTCAATACTGAGCTGGATGCTCTTACTTGGAATAAAACAGATTCCTAGGTTCCAATTATTTGGCAAACAAAGCTGGTAAGATGGCCCTGGTTGTGAAATGAAGGGCACATGGCTAAGAGGAAAGTTCTGTCTCATGTCATGTCACACAAGCTTCCCACTCCTGCAGGCCAGTTGGTCCCTTAGCAGTTGGCTTACCCTTTTATATGCAAATTCTGTATCATCTTTTGCAGGAGGAAGGCCCAGAAGGCCCAGAAATTAATCAGGGGCCACACATAATAAGACGTCTGACAGATGGACTAGCAACAGGTGAAGATTTCCCCACAATTGTATTTCCATGCTGGAAAAAGCTCTGACTGAAAATTTCTGACTACTGCCCCCGCTCTGCTTTTCTCCAATGCCACCTCTAAATCATGCCAAAAACAGAAGTCACATGAATTGAAAAGCAGTTATTCAAAGCCTTATACATCTCCAGCCAAGATACCTGAGGAAGCACCTCCCTGCTTAATTACATCCCAACTGTTGGGGCTCAGCAATTAATCTCTGCTGTGAATATCACCTCCTTTTGAGGCTAAATTGTCTCCCAACAATTTACAGAACATTCTGTCACAACCCCATGTTTACTGCTTGAGATCCACCCATTCCAAGTGCTTGCCTCAATTAGACAGCCTATTATGTCTTCCTTCAACAGCAGGCTTTTCACCTCCAAGTTTTCCTTTAACAGTAGGCTTTTCACCTCCAAGTCTGATGGAGTATACTTGGGTTGCTGTTATTCTCCCTGCTTTGAAGATAATGCTGTTTACATTTTTTTCTTTGGGTTTTGGTTTCTATGGCAGTGTTCTCTGCTTTCAACCAGCTTTGTCAAGTCGGGCAAAGCTCCTGCTTACCAACAGATTACTTGTACTTCCTTAGAATGGGAAAAAAGAATGTGTGGTTCTTAATACATTGTTGGACTTCAACTGCCATCAGCCCCAACCAGCATGGTTAATGGTCAGGGTTCATGGGATTTGGAGTCCAACCATGTTTGGAGATCCACAGGCTTCCCATCCTAACTGTACAATCTTTTAAAGTGAATGGAAGTCTGACATGGAACTTGACCCATACAGCTGTTGCTGCCAGACATAAAGTCCCACCTAAAGACATTTAACTTTATCTATAAATTACCTAGCAATCAATGGGCTGCAGAGGACTCATTCTATGAGTAGGGAAAGGTAGAACTAAGCAGCTTAAGCATCCCCTGGAGCAGCTCTTTGAGACCAGGATCTGAAAAGCAGTTACAGAGTAGGAAGATTTCTTTTAATGCATCACCCTAGCATAGATTATAACTAAATTGCTGTACATGCAATCTAGCATTCCTGTAAACAAGCTACAGATTATTCCATCACATCTAGTAGCTGGTGTGGGAATTGGATGCTTTCCTTAAGGCTGATAATTCCACTTAAAGTGGGAGAATTAGGCAATCACAAAGAAGGGAGGGCCCATAACTAGGCTGCAGCTAAACTGCCTGTTGTTTGTTCAGTTGTTCTGATTCAACATCCTGTTGTGGATTTGGCTGTTTTGATCCCCTTGAATGCATGTCAGTGACCCAACAAAAGAACATACGAGTTTCTTAAGGACTGTGGATGTTTTATTGAATGGGTGATTCACCTGCCGGAGTGGAGTCTGAGATCAGTGTTGCCTGTAACCTAACTAAGGAATTAATTTAAACACTCAGCTGAGTGGATACTTTAGTTGGTTAGAGGGTGGTGCTAACACCAGGGTTGCAGGTTTGATCCCCATAAGGGACAGCTGCATATTCCTGCATTGCAGAGGGTTGGACTAGGTGATCCTTGGGGTCCCTTCCAACTTTATGATTCTACGACCTGTCTCAAACAGGGTCGTCCACCCATGAGGCAAGGTGAGGCGACTGCCTTGGAGGGCAGGATCCACAGGGTCAGCAGATCTGGCCTCCAAGGAATGAAACACCAGCTTCAACAGCTGCAGCCCAGTCATTGGACATCAGATCTGCCTCCTCCTCAGTAGCCCTCCCCAGTGCAGCCTCTACAGTGGCCTCTTGACAAATGGGAGATGCTGCTGGTCTCCTCCCATCCTTATGTAGATTTTTATCCCTTCCTTGTTCCTGATGTAGATCTTCACCCACCCCTTCTTCCCTGGTGGGGAGCAAGCATTTTGTGGTTCACCTCAGGTGCCAAAATACCTTGGGCTGGCCTGGTATCAAATAACAAGAAGTCTGGGCTTTACTTTTTATCCTCCCTGTAAAATGGTTTATTCTTATTTTCAGGGCTTTATGGGACAATGTAAAGGCATTGTATTCAAGGACTGGACAGTGCTCCCATGATGAATGTGCGTATATGCATTCTGCATTGCCCTCTGGCCCTGCAACTAGATGTGATGTGGAAGATCCTGTTACCGGGGTTACATGCAGTTTTTAAATATGAATAGTAGCTGCAGGCACTTCAACTTTGACTGAGACCAGAGTGCTGGGGAAGAGAGTTAGCTAATTCTCACTGCATTGTTTTCACTCACTTCACTCATCGACTGAAAACACAGAAAAGGGACTTGGAGCAGCCAGACTAGTTCACTTCACATAAACTGGGGTGGCAGCAATGGCTCACAGTTTGGTTTCTTAATTTTTCCCCTTCCTAGTGAAAAAATGAAAAATAAATGTCTGGGTCCAGTAAACCTGTACCTTTTCTACTCTTCTCTCAGAGGCTCTGGAGCCAAGTCAAATGTCTGACACAACATCTTATTCAATCTTGTGGGATTGGTTTCAATTGAGGTGGCATTCACTACCGCAACTGTAACTTCTGTCAGCCACCTATACATAAACCACAAATAGCGTTCAACGACTTTACAACCCACATACGAAGGTCGCTGCCAGGCATACATATAAGAGACACTCTTAATAGTCAAATCACTAATAGACTCATTCCTCACCTCCGCTGGACCATCCAAACTGGATACTAATACTAAAAATATTTATACCCCACCCATCTGGTTGGGTTTCCCCAGCCATTCTGGGCGGCTTCTAGCAAAATATATATAAAAATAAAATGTCAGACATTAAAAACTTCCCTAAACAGGGCTGCCTTCAGATGTTTTTTAAAAGTTGTGTAATTCTTTATCTCCCTGACATCTGATGGGAGGGCGTTCCACAGGGAGGGCGCCACTGCTGAGAAGGCCCTCTGCCTGGTTCCTTGTAACTTTACTTCTTGTAGTGAGGGAACTGCCAGATGACCCTCAGAAGTGGACCTCAGTGTCCGGGCTGAAAGATGAGGGTGGAGACACTCCTTCAGGTATACTGTGCCGAAGCCATTTAGGACTTTAGAGGTCAGTACCAACACTTTGAATTGTGCTTGGAAACGTACTGAGAGCCAGTGAAGATCCTTTAAGACTGGTATATTGTCTCAGCGGCCACTCCCAATCACCAGTCTAGCTGCCACATTTTGGACTAATTGTAGTTTCCAAGTCACCTTTAAAGGCGCATTGCAGTAATCCAAGCAGGATATAACCAGAGCATGTACCACTCTGATGAGACAGTCTGAGGGCAGGTAGGGTCTCAGCCTGCATACCAGATGGAGCAGATAGACAGCTGCCATGGACACAGAATTAACCTGTGCCTCCATGGACAGCTGTGAGTCCAAAATGACTCCCAGGCTTCGCATCTGGTCCTTCAGGGGCACAGTTACCCCATTCAGGGGTAACTTTTTAAAGAAGCGGTTTAATAACCACCTCTTTCAGTGGGTCTGGGAAGGCTCCCTTCCAGAGGTAAGCATTCATCACCCTGCAGAGCCCATCGTCCAGCCCTTCCCGGCTCGCTTTCATGAGCCAGGGTAGGCAAGGATCAAGAAGACAAGTGACCTATTTCACTCGTTTAAGCAGCCTGCCCACATCCTTGGAGGTAACAGATTGGAATAGATCCCACACAATTTGACTAGACAGGACTCTAGCACTCTCCCACCCTTGCCCTGCTCCCACAGTGGAGTCTACCTCTTTCTGAATCTGAGCAAAATCATTGCAGGATATCTTGGGGTCCTCACCAGGCCCTGATGGCAACAGTGGTTCGGTTAAATTGTGAACCACCTGAAAGAGTCTCCTGATGTTATTTTCTGCAGATGCAATAGAGGCGACGAAAAATCTCCTCTTCACAATCTCTATTGCCACTTGGTAGGCTCGACGTTGATCTCTAACCCGTGTTCGATCTAATTCAGAATGAGTTTTCTGCAACCGGCGCTCTAGCCGTCTCAGGGAGTGTTTCATCACCCTCAGCTCTGGGGAGAACCACGGGGCCATCCAGGCTCCATGTCATTGGAGAGGAGCCAGACACTTGATAGCCCTGGTTAACTCACATTCCAGCGTGTCACCAGGGAGGCCATCAACATGGGATAAAACATCCCCTACCACTCTCTGGAAATCATTTGGAGCCATTAAGTGGTGGGGGTGGACCATCCAAATCGGTCCCACCTCCCTGCGGAGGGGAAGGGTTGCGGAGAAGTCTAGTTGCACGAGGAAGTGATCTGACCATGGCACTTCTTTTGTTTCACTTTTACTTACTGTCAAATCACCCACGTCCAAAGAGGTGAACACCAGGTCTAAAGCATGTCCACAGCTTATTCAGGGACAGCCCCATGGAGGCCATGCTTTCCACGAAGTCCTGAGTGGCCCTTGTAAGGTTGTGTCAGCATGGATGTTAACATCCCCTAGGACAACCAAACTAGGTGTCTCCAGAAGAACATCTGCCATGACCTGAAGCAGCTCGGGCAGGGAATCCTTGGAGCAGCAGGGAGGTCAGTACACCAAAAGGAATCCTGTACTGCCCCTATTGCCCAGCTTCCAGAACATGCACTCAGAAAACCGGGTCTTCCCAATAGGACGCCTGGTGCAAACTAATGACTTCCTAAAAATCACTGCAACCCTCCCTCTCCACCCACATGTCCTGGCTTGCTGTGCATAAGAGAAACCTGGTGGACAAACAGTGGCAATAACAGGCCCATCTGCTTCAACCAACCAAGTCTCTGTTACATATGCCAGGTCAATTCCACCATCCAAGATCAAGTCATGGATGGCGGTGGTCTTGTGAATCATTGACCTGGCATTACACAGCAGCACCTTAAGGACATGTGGGTCACCCTTGTTGATTCCAGTATCCTTCTGGTCAGGACCAGGCCTGGAGGCAGGGAGAGACCTCAAACAGTGACTAAACTTGCCTCCTCGGTAATGACATGGTCTGGTCCTAGCATAACTCCTCCTATCCGTGATCACCAAGATTGGGTGTCCCAGCGCATCCCCCCTAGTGGAACCTGCCCCAGCCATTCTGCTGGCTAGGGCCCACTCCCGGGCCAGCCCTGAACCTATCGCCTTAAAAACAAGTTTTCTTATACAAACTACAATCAAAACAATAAGCCAATAGAGAATGAAAAGAAAGACAATTTGCAAGTACAAACAGATGATGGAAAATGATAAAATTATTTTTAATTATTTTTAGTAGAAAACTAGCACAAAACATTATTGAGTTTTAAACATACCTTGCTTGCTTGCTGTTCAATGTAATGTTACAGTGCCACCTGATGGATACTGAACAAAACAACTCTTACAATCAACATATTTTATATTCTTAGTTCTAAATACATCGTGGTTTAGAATTTTCTATCATCCCTTTCTGTAGGTGTAGTCAAGATTTGCTGATAATATGAGTCCCTGAGGTTCCATCACACTGCTGTATGACACACAGCAAAGGGGCAGACCTGCAATTGAATATCACATGCAGGCTCAAAAATCAGCGAGGTTGGTTGGCATCTGTCTGTCTCAGGAGACAATGGAGGAGTTGCCTTTGGGGGTGAAGACAAACCATTGGAGAGTTACAGCACCTGTTGTGACTGTAGAGACTGATATGGGAGTGAAATGTTTATTACAGATGGGGCAGATGAAGGCATCTGATGCAGGTGTGCCATGGCGTTTCTTCTTTCTGTGCTCTTCCCAGCTTCATTCCTCCTCTGGTCATTGCTGTGGATGCACATGGTATCTAAAATTAAACAGCATAATAAGTGCTTCGGCATCCCACTGATTTAAACGGGACACTTAAATGCATGCACTGATGGATTCCTAATTAAAATCAATGGGGCTCTTGACTGTACTGCTCTTTAAGTCTATTTTTTGCAAACACAGTTCATGCCATAGCTGTGAACTCTATGGGTAAGAAGATATAATTCATTCATTCACTTCTCTTTTCTTTCTATGAACTGAGACTAGGCAGAGATAACCTTTCAGTTTCAATAGACAACTGCACTGCAGGAAACCTCAAACCACCTCGGTGTCTTATCAGGAAGTGATAATTTACATTGCCACAAGCACATACAACAGAAAATAAATTTTCATCTGGGGAACCAAATGATTGTTCTAAACTTGGATATCAAAACAATTATTGATGCTATAAAGTATTTAATTCACAGTGGCCTGAATCCTATGATAAGCTACCATAAGAAAATTTGCAGAAGGAAACTTTAAGCTACAGTCCTAACCTCACTTCCCAGGGAACAAGCCACATTGAATTAAATACAACATTTATGAGTGAGTAGATGTTTACGTTTGTGCTGTTACTGTCCTTTGCTGCCTGCAAGTTAGTGAGGCAAGACTTGCCCTTGCAGAAGACATGCTGGCTCTGCTTCAGCAAAGCTTGTTCTTCTATATGCTTGGTTGTTGTTTTTTTAACGGTACTTTCCACCAGTTTTCCTGGGACAGATGTTAAGCTAGCCAGCCAGCAATTTCCAGAATCCCACCTGGATCCCTTTTTAAAAAATTGTGCTGCACTGGCCACTTTCCAGTCCTCAGGTATAGAGGCTGACCCAAAGGACAAGTTACACATTTTTAAAGAAGATCAGCAATTTCACATTTGAGTTCATATCTGGTCTCAGTGATTTCTCAGTGTTTATTTTGTCTGTTAGGCCTAGACCTTCATCTCTTATCATCACTATCTGCTTCTGCTCTTCAGACTCCCTGCCTGCATAAACTAGTTAAGGCTCTGGGATCTGCCCCATATCTCCCTCTGTGAATACAGAGGACAGGACTGCACTGACAGTCACTTTTATGTAAAACTATGTTGCAAGCAGTTTATGCATAGTGCGACTTGAATTACACACAAAATAAAACCTAAGCAAATTAAACAGTTCAAAATCAATGTTATTTAGGACCTGGGGCAAAGGGAGAGACACTGTGGGATTGTTATAAGGAACAATGCTACACTAAGTTCCATGTGAGCTGACCATTTTAATTTCACTTCCATCTAATAGAGGAAGAACAACGCTAAAGAGCCGAAGTGTGGGAGCTATCTCCAACCTATTTGTATCATAGCAACCGAGGGGGCTTCCAGATGTGGACAATTTAGCAGTAATTATTTCTGTTCTACTTTAAGCGGGAAGTGAAATAGCAGCTCTGCTTTCAGACTTCTTGCACCTTTTCTCCAGCACTGGATTATTTTTGGATATGTGACTTTCATTAGGATTTTTGTGTGTGTATATTTTGTTAAGTATTTGTTACTGAATTTCTGATCGTAATCCCTGCCTGCTGAAATTGGGGGGCAAGGGGAGAAATAGATGTAACGGTACTGCTATTTGGAAAGGGAAGGGATGAAGTGATAAAGCTGAGAGGCAGTCCATAAAGGAAATGACTAGCTAGAGCAATCTATGGAAGTCAGAATAATAGCATGAAAGACCACCCACAACAGTAGAAAGTTTGCAGGTATTGCATTGAGTTTAAAAAGTTGGATTTTTCTTAGCTCTTTTTAAGTTGGAGGAAGGAAGCTGAACAGAGAAAAAAGTAAGAAAGGTATGTTTTGTTCATGCACTGTGTAGATGCCTTGTAAAAAGTGAACAAAGTGTAGGTATTCCACAGTAAATGCCCACTGTGGAAGCAGCTTAATACAACTTGCACTACTGAAATGGGAAAAAGTTTGCTATGCTTCTCAAAGTAACTAAGGTGTGTAATAAAGGGAAGGCTCTCAGAAAGCCACTGTTGGTGATCTGTTCATGATGTATATGAGGAACAATTAAAGGGCCATTTGTCTTGCACAGGGAAACAAGAGACTAAAATGCATAATATGGGGAAAGGGTCAGTGGTGTGAGGGCAGTGCTAAGGGCCAGCCCATGCTAACCCTGTTCCTTCCAGACATTTTGGACTCAATTCCCATCAGCCCCAGTCAGCATAGTTGGGGCTGATGGGAATTGCAGTCCAAAACATCTGGGGGGCACCAGCTTGGCCAAGATGGCCTTAGGCTGTGATGTTCCCATGGCTACGCTCTTCTTTGTTGCTTGGCAGTTAGTGGAACCATTGTGTTGTGAAATACTGGGTTGGTTTTCAAGGGAAAGTAAGGGGTTGGTATTGTCAGAGCACAGGGTAAAAGCGGTCTTGCCTGGCAGTGGTGATTCTGTGCACAAAGAGGCAGTGGCATAGCGTGGGGGTGCAGGGGGGGCCAGCCGCACCGGGCGCAACATGGGGGGGGGCGCTGGGGGGGCGTGCTAAAATCCACGGGTTAGGGGGCGCAAATTACTTGCCTTGCCCCGGGTGCTGACAACCCACGCTACGCCACTGCAAAGAGGAGATGTTGCATCAGGAGACAGAAGTCTGTAAATATTTAAATAACTTTACAATAGATTTTGCCTCTGGTTTCAATGTATTCAAGCAGTGTCTCCCTGAATAGCTTCATGATGGTTTCTAAAAACATTAATTTCTTTAATTAATATGTAAAACTTTAAGAGGGTGGGAAGAGAGAGAAAAGGTCATTTCTACACACACAGAAGCAAGCTCGATCAGATACTCAGAACCTGATAATGGTCAAGAATGCATAAAAAATAGAATATTGTAATGAGTTTTTTTTGGGGGGGGGGGCTAGATCCCCCTAAACGTGTTATGATTTAGAATTAATCCAGGTTTGATTAAACTTTGCCAAACACAGAAACCCCCTGGATTTAGTTATGCTTAGGAACCAAGCCAGCTGGCAGAGCAAGCTGGATGGGCCATTAGCAGGGGGCAAAGGCTGATGGTCTGTCAAGACTGCCAGGCAAGGGGATCTTCTGCAATAAATAATTGATGAATATTCTCTACCAGCAAGGCTTTTCCTGCTCTGTTCCATTACATGAGGATGGATGTGACTATAATGAGTAAAAAGCTAAGAGAAAATGATACTACCTTCACAAGAAAGGACCTTTGTCTGGAAAGGTCTTATCTTGCAAAGTAGCTCGGGCAGCAGTTAAAGTGGAAGTAACAAAGTAGCTTTCTGTATGTAGTCACACTGAAGCTGTGATGTTGCAACCTGGCAGGAGCTCTGTGGGTACCAGAGGCAACTGGGGATGGCAGACAAAGGTTCACCACAAGGACTGCTGAGACTGCAAAAAACAATGTGCTGCCAAAAAGGATTGGGATGACTTCAAACAGTAGGATGCAGAAATAGAATTCTGTGGGGGGGAAATGCCAAGGAACTTAAGAAAAACAAACAAGAAGACAGTAACTCTTCCATTTGAATGGACACGGATTGACTGATACTTCCTTGTACTGGCTCCAGCTTTCAGAGCAAGTTGCAGAGATGGCCATGCTTGCTTTTCTAAAGTGTTATCTCAGGTTTATTGTACATTACATTATAGTATCATGGATCTCTTCTGGCTAGCACATGCCACAGTAGAGTTGCAATAAGGATAGCAGAAAAGGATAACCTCTGCAGGGTTTTTAAGGGGAAGGAAGTGCAGTTGTACCATGGTTTTCAGACAGCCTAGTTCTCGAACATTTTGGCTCCTGAACGATCGAAACCCAGAAGTGAGTGTTCTGGTTTTCGAACGTTCTTTTGGAAGTTGAACATCTGACAGGGCTTCCACAGCTTATTGGCTGCAGGAGCTTCCTGCAACCAATCAGAAGCAGTGCTTTGGTTTCCGAAAGTTTTGGAAGTCGAATGGACTTCTGGAATGGATTCTGTTCGACTTCCAAGGTACAACTGTAGATTTGAAAGAAACCAGGGTAGACATTTGGAATCTTGGACATTTAGCAAATAATGGCCATTAGTGAAGTATTTTTCCAGTACAGTATGATACATACACACACATCCATGTTTGAATACAGGAAGGAATCTAGCTGTTGTACTCACAGTACTAGAACCTCCTTATCCAGGAAAGTGACATTGGCACTTTTTTCCACAATAGAAAGGGTGGTATAGTTTGATGGAGGTGTGTGGCAGAATATTATTTGATGACAAACCACTCACAGCAATATACTTAGTTATTACCAAGTCCTTTAGTAAGTGAGTGATGTTTTAGTAGAAAAATAATTGACCAAATAATTGTATTAGAACTTGCGGGGAGGCATTAAGGTTGCTTTTATGGTTTTTTAAATAAAAAAATATGCAGCCACAAAAGGGAATGGTAGGTAAATGAGCAAGTATTATTGTGAAATAACCATTGTGATTTCACATCACTGAGGTTTATGTCAAACAAATAGATTAACCATAACTCTGTGAAAATATAACACTGCTACCAAGTATATTTGAAGTACTTGACAAGTCACAGAGTTATTACAGAGTTGAGCAACTGTACATTTTCAAATATGGATGGAAATATTTGTTCCCAGTGTTAATGTTAATACTACCACATAGTGGTCAGGTTTAGCACGAAGTGTGCTTGACAAGAAATAATTCTAGGGAAGTTGGAAAGAATGGGAAGCCCTCACTAACCGCTCAGACTTTGCCAGCTCTGGAAGCAAAAATGCCCTAGTATTTGTAGTTCCAGTGATCAAATCATTAGTAGTTCCCCCCATAAAATCTTGTGACAATTTGGAGTTATGTTTATTTGATTCCTGAGTCTTTAGGATATTGGACTTTCTATTGTTTGCAACAAGGAGCTAAATCATACTTTTAACAGGCAAGGCTTGCAATCTTTTCACCTGTATGTGCTCTGTGTATTTAATTATATTACATTTACTATTATAATTTGTTATGGCCTTTGACTGTACTCCTGCTGCTCTCCTGATCTCATTCATCCTTGTGTGACACAAAATTGCAAAGAGACAAAATACAAAACAATGCAAATGGATTGTCTGGGGGTGTTTGCTCACATCCACCTGGACTTAATCCTAACATGTAGTCTATAGGACTCCAGATTCACTACCATTACCAATCGGGAGAAAGAATGTTAAATGGAGGAGTGTTGTGTCCCAACATCTTATGTGGTCAGTCCTGGACACTATTTCAATGGATGAAAAGGAATTCCTTGTTAAAAATGTGTTTTCCAACCTCATGGGGATGGGGTGGGGCCTGGAAACAGATAATGATTGCTGATTGGATGCATGTGTCTGCTGGCTTGTGGCTGATTGTCCTCCAGAGACAGCAGCAAGAATGAGTGATCTGATTGAAGATTATGTGTGCAAGAGGGTATGGAGAGTGAGCTTACCCAAAGATAAATTTCTTGCTACCCCACCAAAGAATTTAAATCATCAGTGTCCTAATAAGTAGCATGATTTCAGTTACATTGTACAGTATAAGCACATACATGAGCTCTGCATTTACAGTTACATATAAAGGTGATCAAAAGCTACAATGAGATTTAATAGTAAAAACAAAATGTCCCCTCTGGTTTAGTAATGCAGAATCAGAAAATAGCCAAACATCCCAAATGGATGTGTTATTTTACAGACTATTAATAATGATTTTACCTAATCCACTCTCAGTTCTAACCTATGAAAAAGCAGCTAGCATAGTTTAGAGGAACAAATTAAAGAAGCATTGAATCTAGTGGATGTTATATAGCTAAGCTTTACAAAGAAGCTTAATTGCAGCCCCAAAATGGTTGCAGTAATACCCAATATCCATCTGTTATTATTCATAAACTGATATACATTTGGGAGTTGCTGGAAAATATGCTCTGTATACAAGAGAGCTTGCTTAAAATACTGAATCCAGCTTTTGCCTTTAAATCTGTTTATACAACCGACCCTGATGATGTTCCAAATGCTGGTGTGTGGGAGCCACACTCAGGGTGAAAAAAGAAACAAAGATTGCCCCGAACTATTTAGCATAGCACTTTAGCAGCAACAATAACATCTGTTCATTGAACATACATCATTAAAATGAGCCCAGAAGGCATTCACTTTTAAATGTACAAAGCAACATGCCTCTACAAATGTTATTTAAAATACATCGGGATTTCAACAGTGATAAATTCTAGGCAAATTATCTGGTTGTAGGGTTGCAACATAGCTTTGTAAACGATCTCTGACTGTGGAATGTAATGGAATAAAGTATTCTCCCCTCCAAGTTCCTTGGAATATAAAAAATCATAACTTTCTCCATTCTTTTTCTTTGCTTACCTATGTGTGACATATTTGTGAGAAAAATGGTATAATGCTGATATTTTGGGGGGTCCTCTGGAAGTCTTTTTTTAAATTGTGCATTCACAATGCTTTGTGTTCATGATGGTACTGGGTTGGCTAAACAAAACACTGCTCTCAATTTTGTTTGTTCCTGCAAACATTTTAGGGCACACATACTGCTTCATTTTCAATTGGTGCATGTCCTGTATCTTCCTGCTGAAATCCTGTAACCTTTTATACACAAATGTTCCAGTTTATTTTTGTCTGCTTTCATTGCACTATAGTGCAAGAGTGCCCCTTCAGATGGCAATAATCCAGTAACACTGGGGAAGCACCACTGGGGAAGCCCCACAGAACAACTAGTAAAGCTGAATGATGTGTGGATAGGTCAGTATAAATCCACCACTAATGCAATATTATTGAGCCAATGACATGTTGCAGAATGCACCCACAAGAAAAACCCAGTTATATTTTGCAAATATGATTTTTGCCATTGAATTTAGACTTCTAGGAGAGCAAATACAGCCATAGGCATGAGGATGAACAAAGTTATATTTGCCTACTTTCATTTTCTGTAAGGTATTTCAACTGTTAATAATTGGGAGTTGGTTTGCAATTTGTATTTTAATGGATTAGATGTAAATAAATGGGCATATTATCAAAACATCAGAATCTATATGGGATAGCGAAGGAAAAGTTAAGATACCCTACAATGTATTAAACAAAGCCTCCAGTCATTGTTAGATGGGGTAAAAAACCCAAACATCTTTAATATTGCTCATTCCTAATTACTGTTACCTTAAGAGAATAAAAAGCCTAAAAAAGAAAGGCTTGCACCCTGGTTGGCTAAAGATTTCTCTCACCAATTAAATATGGCCTGCAGCTATGGCCATGATCCAGAAAACCACCAAGCTAGTTCCATGATTCCAAGGTTGCTTTAGACTTGCCTTTCTTAAACAGCCCTCCACCATATGACAAATTGCTTTTGAAGCTGAAAAGTGCTTCAAAGGCTGTTCGAAATTCTGTGATGGCATGGGGTCGGCTGTTCAAATAAAAAATACACTGGGCTAGTGCAGGCTCCTGGTGTGAGCCCAAGCAGCTCTTTAGGTCCACGGCTAACACTGTGGGATGATTAACCTGCCAATTAAATCTTGCCACCCTTACTTTTCATCAGGTGAAAGAACAGAAGTCACAGTGTACAAAAGTAAAAATGCGCACAGAATCTGTGCAAATTTGTGAGGAAAAAGGAAAGAGTGAAACATATAGAAATGGATCCCATGACTAACACTGAGCCTTTTCTCATCATCCAACAATTCCTTCTATGGGTGGGTGCATGGAAGTGTTGTAATGGACATGTCTGGGCCATCTTATCTTAGTGTAAAACAACAAGATAGCAGTAAGCCTTGAGCCCTCTCATGCACTCCCTTCCTCCCTTGCCTGAGGCGGCCACCTCATTCTGCCTCATAGCAGGGCTGGCCCCGGCACAGTTCCGTCACCCTGGAGTGCAACAAGAGCTGGCTTATTGGAAAGCCTTTCCTATTGTGGCTGTGAAGTGAACCGCATCAATGTATTTTCATTGCTGCCAGGGCAAAGAGAGAGACCTTGTGGGACACTGATTGCAGGATAACCCACAAGGTCTCTCTCTCTCTCTTTGCCCTAGCAACCAATGAAAATCTGGGCAAGGGTTATTATTAAGGAGATTGCAGCTGACTGCTTTGGGGGTGCTCTTATTTAACCATAATATCTTTTAATATATATATTTAAATCTATATTAAATTTTACCCTTTTAATATGCTAAGTTCTATATAGGTTACATGTGATCAATGTAGTATTGTAAAGATGGTAGGTTTTACGTAGGATTCTTCCAGGCAGCAATGTGATTTTTATTGCAGCATTTTATACTGCTAGGTTATCTTATATGTGAAAGGTCTATGACCCAAGCATTAACAAATGACATAAATGTAAAATCGTTAGCAGGATTGAAATATCACTTGTAGTTTAAGGTTGAATTCTGGACATAATGGATGAGGTAAAGGATTTGGATTATCATAAAAGATGCAGGAGGAAAGAATGAATAACAGGACCCGCAAAGGGGAGGATGGAAGTCTAGGTGATTCCTTGGAATCTTGTTTTTATTATTTATGTTTGATATAGCTCTGTAAAATTTTAATTTGAAAACCCTTTTTTTTTAAATTTAAAAAGGAACCAAAAAATAATAATATATAAAAATAAACGACATAAATGTGACGAGCTGTAAGCATCAAACCTCTGGGTTGTTTTCGTGTGGGGGGGAGACACTTTTTTTTTTAAGGATCTTGAATGACCACGGATTTAGCTTGTCCTCAACGCGGCAGTCCAGGGGAAGCGAAGGCACTTTGGTAGATGCTGGGAAGAGAAGGGGATGATCAAATGCGCTTGGAATTCGGGAAGGGAACGAGCCGGGCGCCGCTTTCTGGCTTCCTTCACCAGAGGAGCTTCTCCCGAGCAGCAATAACGTGACGGAGCCTTGGCGGGGCGCCTGCCTCACACCAAAGTCCTGAACAAAATCAAAACTTTGCGGTTCCCCCTCGCATGTTTGGTCCACATTTCACCCCCCCCCCTTTTTAAAAATTGGTGCACCTCCAGCCCCCTTATCCCGCCCGTTTCCCTCTGCCGCTCATTACTTTTCTCCTCCGCCTCTTCCAGCGACTCCCTCCATTCCCCGCTCCCCTCACGCTCCCTCGCGCTATAGCGGTTTAGAACACCAACCGCCACAGGCACTAGAAGTAACGGAAACTCTGTCCGGCGGCCCGGCGCCTGCGCCGTCTCAGCCTCTTCGCCTCGCTCTCGCAGCGGCCCCGCGGTCGTTGTAGTTCCCTGCGCCGTTCACCTCAGGAGGGAGGAGGGGGAGGAAAAACTCCCCTTCCCAGCATGCCTCTCGGCCACCCCCTCCCACCTCCACCCCACTCCCCCTGTCCCATCTCGGGCGGCTGAGGCTTCTCAGTGTGTGTGTGTGTACAGTAGATGGTGTGTCGCTCGAAGTGGGAGCGGCGGTAATGAGATGCGTGTGAAACCGCCCAGTCCCGGGAGGAGACGGAGTTTCGCCGAGACGCGAGTGAGTGGTCGGGAGTTGGAGGGATGAGGGGAAAGAGAGGGAGTCCGACCGAGGGCGGGAGGAGGCGGAATGGGCAGAGGGGGCAACGTGGAAAGTTCCTCCGGTCGCGTCGGGGGCGGCAACACCGCCCTTCCCGGGTGGGTGGGGTGCGGGGAGCCGAAGCGAGGGCAGCGGGGGCGCCAGGCTCGGGCTGAGTCCCAAGCGACTCCCTCCTCCCGCGGTGACCATCCAGCTGTGGTCAGCGGAGGTGGGGGTGTCAAGAGGAGGCCGGGTGTGCCCAGATGTGGAGGGGCCGGGGACTCCCTGAAGGCCACATCATCCCTGCCCCCCCAGCTGTGAGGGATGCTTCCCGACGAGGCTGCCCCATCTTCCGGGGGGGCTGGATTCGCCTCCTTTCTGAAGCAAATTCTTTCTCGCCCAGAGCAGTCGGTGCCCCGGGATGGAAGAGAGCCACGCGCTCCCGTCCTCATCCTCGCCTCCTCTGCAGCTGACGCCCCCACGACTTTTGGAGCTTTAATCTGGCCACCAGCTTTCGCCTGAAGTGCTGCAAAGGAGGGTTCAAAACGCTGGTGAGAGGGATCTGGCGGGGGGGAATGACCAATCTCCCCCCTCCCCACTCCCCGCAGCAAGTTCTCAGCCTGGCAACCTGTTGGATTGCGAGGGAATTAAGTAAAGATGCCCATGTGGCTTTAATGTGACCCATGTAACACTTCAGTGCTTTTTTTTTTAAAAAAAAAAGTTGTAAACTGCTAATTTCAATGGGGGGAAATGTCCTCAAGCACAGGGACATGTAAACTGGCTTGCGAAGCATAATATTTAGTGTGAAGAGTGTGATTAAGAGTTTTTCACTTAGTGAAGGGCTTTTGGGAATTGATGGTAATCTCATAATAAGGAAGCAGGAAATGTAGCTTTGGGGAGCAATGGAGGTGTAAATAGAGAAAGAAGTGAGTCAGTTCAAATTGTGCCTGACACCCACAAACCACATGGGGATTATGTTGTTCCCTATGGCAATTGCTGATAGTTTGGCTTTACCAGAGGCTATCAGGGTGTCTAAACTGCAAAAAGGACCGCAGTGCACTGGAATGCTGTGTTTTTCAGCTGGTATCTGCAGTTGCTGAAACCTTTCTTTCTGATCTTTTAACTTTAAGCCCGACATTTACACACCGGATTTTATTAACAAAGGGGGTTCCCTTTTGGATAGGTTGCATCTGTTGCAGTTAGGTCCACAATGTGTTCAGCAGTATAGAGTACAGTAGCCTGTCAGTGTGCCAAGTACCTTCCCAAAAACTAAAGCATACAGTGCATGCTTTCTAGAAAGTGAGAATTGTTGAATTCCAACTTTCTTTCAAATAAATTTGCATAATTTTGGTCTGCACAGCCCCATTGTTAACTGGCACCTCTTTACTGTAAAACTTATTTCCCTGCAGCTGGCATAGTGCTGCATTTTGATTGCTATGTGTTTCAGCTTTAGGAACATTAGGAAAAGCTTCCAGAATAATCAGGGCAAAAAGTAGTTGTCGGCACCCTTCCTCTGCCATTGGTGGTTTGGTCTTGTGTGGCTCCTTGCCACTCTTTATTGCTCTAGGTGCCTTGGCCTCATAGTGGCTAAGGACACTCTCTGCCTCCCATGCCACTTTGTCTGCCTTGTGACTGAGGCATAGCAATCAAACAACAGCCATCTTTCCTCCCAGCTACAGAGCTGCAACTATGAAGACGACTTCTGCTGCACCAAGGTTTGAAAGAATGCTGGGCATGTCATGTTTGCCAGCAGATGAGTGTGAAGAAAGAAAATATGGAAGCCTACTTGTGGCTTTTGAAAGTAGTTTAGGCAAAGGCAAATAGCAGGGCAAATAGATCAAGATCTGAACTAGAGTGATTACATAAGGATTTGCTAGCTTCTGACTTTGCAACTGATTCTTTGAAATTTAGCTGATTTTTTTCTGAAGAAATTAGGAATGGTTACAAAATGATGTTCCCTAAGTTAATCATGTCTTTAGTCGTGAATGAGTCAGTTTTGGTTGCTATTGCAATTTAGAAAGTGGAAGAGAGCCATTTCTAAATTGAATGTATAGTCTGATCATTGTGGTTCTTCACCTCATAGTCCAAATTAGCTTGTACAAGGTTTAGAGCTGCACTGAAAGTCCCTTTAGGTGTAAGAGTAAATCTTGGAATGATGTAGGCAAACTCTTTCTTGACCCCATTTCTAGCAATTTCTCTTTATTTGACCACTTACCTTTCTTGCTTAACTATTTTTTATTTGGTCCTTACACTTGGAGTTCTTTTCCCAAAGTTAAAACTGCTGCAATAATAACCATGGTACTTAAACTGGAGCAAATTGTAGTAATTGAAGAAGCATTCTGAAATTGTTAATTTAAATGACACAGTGCATTCCTCCTTTCTTTTGTTCATCCATTTATTAACTTGATATTGCCATGCCAATGAGAAATGACACTGAGTTCAATAATCCTAACAGTGCTCTCGTAAATGAATTTGCAGTAAGATTCACCAGGCACTTCTTTGCATTTACCACTAAAAAGCTCTCTATATCTTCCTCCATTCTCACCTCAGCTACTGCAGCCTCCACCCCTCCAGCTGGCTCCTTACATTTTATTCAGTTCAGATTACCACTGCTAAAATCATGTCTTTCCCCTGTTGGCCAGACTCACTGTGCAGAGTTTGTCATATTTTCTAGAACAGTGTGACACCAAGTAGTAGTTTGTTACTTACAAAACACTGATATTTCAGATTTTCACCTCTGGATTTGCTGGAGTTTTCACTGGCAGTTGCACAAATATGCTTCTCTGGCAGCTACTTTTGTAGTTATATTTTGTAAAGGGATGTGCCATTTTTTAGAGGCCTTGAAATGTAATAATTCATAATCAGTTTGTGAAACATTTAAGAATTTACAATCTTTTCTGCTAACACTACGTAGCTTTGTCACTTAGTCCGCTAAAGAGAAGCTTGTTCTAACATTGTATATAGTACCAATTGAATCAGCATTTAGGATTTGATATATCTGCAGTCTTGTTCTTCTAGCGTTAGCATACTTCTATGCCAAATACCTTGTAAAGTAATATATGCCTGGTTTTCCTTTGTGTCTTAGACAAAATGGCTACTAATGAAAATACCTCTGATGCGTTAGTTAGAAATTATATTAGCACTTCTTCAGAAAGGTTGAAACAAAAAACATTGCCAATTAACTTTGAAAATTAAAAGTTAAAATGAACATGAAATTGCATATTGTTTTAGAAGAGACCCACCGTACTTTTCTTAAGTGTGCAGGAACATTGAGCTATGGTAGGGTAAAGCAGTGGTGCTTAACAAATCCTTTGGACCATTCAGTAGTAGTCATTGTGGGAACTTTATCAGTGGTTAGCTACAAGGAGCTGAACAAGGAGAGGAAGTGTAGGTATGTTGTGTGTGACTTCCAATGCTAGTGCAGCTAAAGCACGGCATGCACTTTCAATCCTTCTTGATTCTCTTAACATCTGAACTGCAAATGGGTGAAATGCATGTGGAGGGGAGGGATCACATTCCACTTTTTCCTGCACTATTCCTTGCACTTTCTCTTTACTGCACATGCACTAGACTGAAAGCACAAGGTACTCCTTTTCAGTCCTGGATTTAGCACTGTGTTTTAGAGACACTTATAATTTTAGTGAACTTTTCTACATATATTTAACTACTCCATATATCCGTATTCCAAACACCTTCATTGTGGACCTCCCACTCCCTGATGTTAAGACTTTTTGAATATAACTGTTTTCAGTGTCCCTTCACAGCAGCATTATTTTTATCGAACAGCTTTGCAATCAGTGTGTTGAATGTTATTTTTCTGCTGCTGCTATGAGCCATGCTAGATTAGATGTAGCAGTTATGTCGAGGAGCTGCAACATCTTGTTCCTGATATAATATACATGGCAGCTCCCTAAAAGATAGAAGAATAAAGTGAAGTATCTATGACTTAAGGAAATTAAAGCAGAAATAGGTTGTAGCATATGCATTTGGCCTCCCAGTATCATTTCTGCTTTAAGTAGATTGATTGTGGTGTTATGTAACATTTCTAGCATGTGTGAAATGTATCTTTTTTCCCCTTCTACTAGGCAGTACTTAACACTTCAAAATGCTGCAGACTACCACTGTGAACCCAACAATTCTGCTCCTTGTACTTGTATTCGTAGAAATTTTCTTCCTTCATTTCGTAAGATGAACATCTTCCAAAAATGACGACTCAGAGACCATTGAGTGGAACCTTATTTTTTCATCTCTATTAAATGAAACAATAACATCTGAAAGTTGAATAAATTCATTGAAGACAGTACTTTTGATCCAGGACATTATCCACATTTTTTAAAACTACAGTGTAACAAGAGTATTGACATAAATTTGTAAGTTGAATCCTTGAGTGCAATACTTCGAAGTGTGCTGTTTAGCAGGTTTTTCTCCTCCCGCTGAAGCAAAGTCTAAGGTTGTCCTAGAAGTAGTGAAATGAAGAGGCTGTGTGAAAAAACAATGTCTATTTCTGTTTCTGAAGAGAACAATTTCATAATGATGTAAGCCTCTCCCAACATCTGGATGTGGTGCTAAAGGCAAAGCATTTTTGATCAGCTGACGTGAAGCTGTGCAAAGAGGACCTTCATTAAAATAGCTTCTTGCCAAAATAATCTTAAACATCATCATGCACAGACTGAAAAGAAAAATGAAGATGACTGAGATATGAGGATGTTTCCTTGAACCTTGAAAGAGAAGTGTGAAATTACACTTGCAACATTGCAGGATAAAGAAATAAAAGAATTTTCTTGACTATTAGACAGGTCTTGACAGATTTAAATCAAGTCAGATGTCATCAAACGAATCTTCTCCTCCATCCTTACAGAAGTTTTCCCCATCTGCGTCCCATGTTGCTGCTCCACCTACCCCTTCTTTATCTTCAAGTCCACAATCTGGACTCTCAGGCCGACTGTCCAATGGCAGCTTCAGCACACAAAGTCTCACCAACTCCAGGGGCTCTGTGCATGGCATCTCCTTCCTGCTGCAGATTGGTCTCACTCGCGAGACTGTTACAATTGATGCTCAAGATCTCTCCCTTTCTGTTGTCAAAGACCTAGTGTGCTCCGTAGTTTATCAAAAGGTACAGTACAACATAGAACATTATTGATTTTGATTATATTATTCCCACCATTATTTTTTTTTTGCCCTCAGGGACTTGGGATAGATATCTTCAGGCTTAAAGTGGGGAGGAGATGTGCATGCAATCCTCCCTGTGTCTGCCACCTCCACTTCAGACCTTCCAGGGCTGAGCAGGAATGTCTTTAGGAAAGGTCTAAGCATATTCAGGCAAAGTCCTGAAGAGGGCTTAAACAATCAGAAATGTCTGCATGGGAGTTAAATGTTGCTCTGAACCCAGAGTATAATTGTTTATTTATTGAACTGTTTGTAGCATTATAATTTGTCAGAGGGAACTAATGAATGTCAGGTTTTTCATCATTAAGGTATGAGTACCTCTTTTGTAATTTGAGTGTTAGCAGCAAATTTTTACATTTGACACAGTTTAGAACATTTGATATTGTATCTTTTCCTTCTTCTAAGAAGCTCAGAGTGGTAAGTTAGTCTCACATCTATGCTGGGAGCAGACTCTCAAGAAGGCCTGTTTCTATTTCTGAGATGTTTCTTATTCGGTTCTCCCCCCACTCTTCTATCTGCAGAAGAATGGGTTTTGGGTTATCCCCCTTTGTCTCACTGTGGAGAGAAGTTAATTTTCTAAATCATAAAATCTGACATTTCTCCCATCGTGAAGGGAGAAAGAAATGGGTGCAGAAATTCAAGGTCCACTCCCAATTTTGCCCTGGATAAAATCATTGGGGAGAATATATCAACTCAACAGGGTTGTGGGGGCTTGCCAAAAACCACAGAGAAATGCTTCATAGCAAGTGGGTATTTGAATGGGTGCTTCTCACGTATGAACTTGACACTCAGATGTCTGCATTATGCTAGCTTTTTGTACAGATGAGGAAGACTGCAGCTTGTGTGTTTCCTAGTACCGTGAATAAATTGGGCATTGGAATTCTGGAAAACTGGGGAATGAAAATTCATTGCATTGTTCTTGAATGCTTTTGATCCCCCTACATACTAGCTGTAGAAGGCTTGGAATTTCCTTTCCATGTAGTGTGAATCTGCCCTGCTTATTGCACAATATGTGGCTGATTAACCAAAATTCCATGTCCTGCGAAAAGGACCTGATGCTGCTTACTAGGATATGATTTTGCATTGGGTTTGACTACTTGATAATAGAATCTGAGTTGAATTGATCTCAATTGAGTACAGCCAACACTTTCTTTTTTGATCAAAAATGTATTATCAGGCCCAGCTTTTAGAAAATGAATGAAGCAACATGAGTAATAGATACAGAGTATTGATGATTTAATTTTCTAGTTACTCTGTGCTTTTCTGAATTGTTTCTGTTGTGTAGACTTATTAAATTTAATATGCAGGTACCTGTTCCTCCCTGCCCTGGATTTTAAAAGTTTAAAGTGACATTGGATTTTTAGAAATTCAACTCTTTTCTCTCTCAGTTAGACAATAGTTTCTTTTTTATCAGTTTAGAAGCTTGCATCAGCATTTTGTTTAGTTTATGCCCAAACTTTGACAGCATGCTTGGTTTTTATTGTAGTTTATTTGATTTCATTGTATTGCAGGCTAATCCATATTTCTGCCTTTAGAATAGTTTGTGTGTATGCACACATGTACACTATCTTCTAACACTTTATTGATCTGCTCTTCCTTATTTTCCTGATTTCACATTTGTCTCATGTTTTTCTTTCTTGCTTAAGTCTTTTAAGTTTGTCTTCCTGCCTGTTCTTGGCAACTTCTGCTTGAATCAACAGAAGCTCAAAAGTACATTATATAGGGAGCCAATTGTACTGTAAAATGACTAGGACTTCAGATTCTGGTCTTGTCCTGTCCAATTGGCTTTAGTACAGCTTTATGTGAAGGAAAGCTCTGATTGTGCTAGCATCAGCTGCAGAGTGAGCACATGTCCTATCCAGGCAGCACACTACTGATCAGGAAATGGGGAGGAGGGATGCTTATTTGTGGTGGATTTCTTTTTTATAAGTACTTGTGCAGCTGGTGCACAGGTGGCAGTATTACTCCAAGAGCACCGGCAGATTTTAAAAGTGCATCTGATCCTTGGCTAGGTCTTTGAGGCACATCTATAAGTACAAAGATCTAAAATCAGATTATAGGCAAGTATAATATAAAGACTGTCCAACTTGAAAGCATTTCTCTACCAAAAAGGAGTTGATAGCAATTCTGTAATGTTAAAGGCTCCTCTGTTTTTGCTATTCCATTGCTGGGAGAAGTTTTTTCCCTTGGTGTTGATTGCTTTGTCAACTTTCTGCAATTTAGGACCTGGGGATAACATCTCTATACTTGTGTTTTTAAAAATGTATGTAATTCAATATTCATTTGTGTGCGTTATGTTTATAGCCCACCCTTTCTCCCAAGATCTCAGGCATACATGAAGTTTCCACACCTTTATCCTCACAACAACACTGTGAAGTAGATTTGGTTGAGACAGTGTGATTGGCTCAAGATCACCTAGGGATCTTCAAGGCTGAGTGCATTTTGAACCCAAGTCTCTGTGACCCAAATTTAACCTCTCTGCTAGACTATGCAGTTCCTCTTCACATTTTACTTCCATGGAAGGCACTGAATGAGGAGGAGTGAGATTACACTACTGCCAACAACACATGGCCACTTTAGCTCTGGTGTCACCATTTTGAGCACCAGTGTCTGTAGAGGAATTTTTATGCATAAACAGCTACTCATGTATAGTGGTTGCTTTTAGACACATACTCTGTGGTTGATTCCAGGGATAGTCCTGCCACTTCTACATGAGAGTGGTCTTCATGTAAATGAATTGTGTATCCTGTAGAAACTTTTTTTTTTTTTGTAAAATGTAAGACTTCAAGTGTCTGATTTATAATTAGGAATGTGCCTTGATGGTGTCTCAATTACCTTGAACTCCATAGAATGAAACTTGCAGGCCATGTTCCCTTTAGGAGTAAAGTAATATTATTTCACCATCATTTTTCATGATTTATATTTCTGTAATGTGTGTTGAGGTGTTTGTGTGCAACAGAGCACTTTAAATTGCAGCTGTTTTTGTTCTAGCAAGAACAAAGTTGGGGCATTCTGATGGCAGTACTACAGAAGAGTTAGTGCTTAAATTCCAACCTGATCCTTGTTTTGTACATTTGCCTGAGTAGCAACAGTTGGTTTTACTTTTTTGAAAAGGTTCCTCGCTTCTGTATTTCAATCCAATATCAGTTCAATTGTCTGCCTCCACTGGCTACTCTTGCTCTTCTTTCCATTCTTCTATTTTCCTATTACTTTCACCTGCCAGCCCACACTTTGAACCTGAATCCAATGTTCTCTGTGGTAACTCACAAGAGCTTTCTACAGGTTTCTCTACCTTTGAGAAAAGGAAGTATCAATGTGGCACAGGAAAACAATGTAATACATAAATGTTTGTTGAATTCAAATACACTCAGAATAAAGTAGCCGAAGGAGTAGCTAACATGTTGCCATACAGCTGTGGTTGGACTACAGCTCCCATAATTGACCATTGGCCTTACTAGATAGGGCTGTTGGGAGGTTGGAGTCCAGCTTCTAGGGGGCAGCATGCTGGCTACCTTGGAAGTAGAGTAACCAAAATAAAATGGAATGAATGTTTCTCTGGAACGTTGGAAGCTGTTGTATACTAAGTGAGACCATTTTGCTATCTATTTCTCACTATGGTCTACATACACTTGCAGGCTGTGACTCTCATCTTGAAACTCTGCAGAATCTTTCCTTATCCTACCTGGAGATGCCAGGGCAGAACTTGGGACTTTTCGGATGCAAAACTTGTTCTTTATGACTAAGGTCCCTCCCTAACTGTGTCTTTGATCTGTGAAAGGTGAAAGCTATAGATGTAAATTAGGAAGGTTCCAGTTTGCACTAGTTTTAACTATACCCTAATTGTGCAGGGTGATTAATAATCCCTTGTTTGTTACTGTGGTAGACAATGGGGTTTTCCTGATAGCAACCTGGTATTTCAGAATGGGAGACTTAAAAAATGTGTGTGTGAACATTTTGGGTGTTGAGTGTCATGTGAGCAGGCTCTTGCAACTGGACTTCTCCTTCCTCTCTCCCCCCTGCAGCCCATAAAATCTGTTTTGAAGGATTTTTCAACCCTTGTTCTAGTTCTGGTGCTGTGAACTATGTCATGCTTTGCCTTAGGGGCAGAGGTTTTCAACCTTTTGGGGTCCATGGCTCCCTTGACTAACTACATTCTTTCTGTGGCATCCCTGTGGGGCTCAGGAGCCCAGCTATGTCATCCCTTGGCTGCAGAGCTGGCAGCCTCTCACCCCTTTTCGAACACCCTCCTTTGAGTGTTCCCTCAGCCTCCTCTCTTCTTCCCTCTCCTTGGGAGTCCTCTGGGCAGTCGCAGCTGCCACTCTTGGTCTCTGAGATGCTCCCCTACCCCAAAGAGAGGTGCCTTCTCATACTGCCCCACAAAGGCCTGGAAAGCCCCCCCTGGCCAGCCCCAGAGGCACCATTCGCCTGGGGAGCTTGTAGTCAGGGCTGCTGCAAAGAACAGCTGTTCAAGCCTTTGGGAGGCAGAGATGCAAGAGGGCATCAGAGGACGGAGGGAAAGAAAGAGGGACAGAGGCCAGTGTTGCCCATGGCACCCCGGCCATCATTCAAGGCACCCCAGGATGCCGTGGCACACTGGTTGGAAACCACTGCCTTAGGAGATTGTCTGACCCTGGACTCATGTTCCATCTCCTCAGTTCAACAACAAGCTGTAAACCAGAAACAAACCATGGTTCCAGCTCATGGTTTGTCTGGACTGAGACAAACTGGGGTTCAGACAGTATGCTAAGCTAAACTACACTTCTGCCAGTAGGTTCAGAGAAGGAGCAAAGTGGCCACAATCTCCTTTCTGGAAGCCCACACACTGACACTAAGCTATGGGTTGGCTTAGCGTTACGTGCAAACCTAGGAACTGTTGGATGTCCGCCTTTATCTGCTAGCTGGCCATTCATTCTCCATCCCACCCTCCCAATCCATAATTGTTATTATCATGAAGTTAGATTACAAGTATTATTTGTTTTTCCTAAGAATTTCTGTAGCGTTTTATATTACTCATCTTTCCCTGATTTGCCTTCCATTTTTCATTGCATTCTGGCTTTTCTCTTATCTTAACTAATGGCTCCTACAGTGTTTCCTTTAATGGCTCATCTTCTCATTTCTGTTTCTGGCATCCCTTAAAGTGGTTTTCTCCATTATCTGCTCTTTTGCCCAATCTTATATGTGCTCTAATTTCTTTGAACTGCCAGCACTCATCTGATTTTGCATTCTTCTGGTTTCTAGCCAGCCTCTCCCTCATGATTCAGCTTCATCCCTGCATTGTTAGAGCAGCTTTTTGGCTTCTGCTATTTATCCTTAATTGACTTTCTCAAAAAGTTAACCTGCTTCTAATAAACTTATTTCTATATCCATTAACAATTTCTCATTATGCTGTCTTTAAGACCGGTAAGCTTCTTTTCTGCTGCTGTGCTATGTGACTCTTCCTAATTTTGCTTTTTCTCTCACCTTAATCTCAGACTAATCTTCTGAGTCAGCCCCACTCCCCCTCTCTCCCTCTCTCCTGCTCTTGGTGTGCATATGTGAAATATAGAAATGCATTTTATTTGGTTTTAAAATTGATGGCCATAAAGGAAGATCAGTTCAGAACTTCATTTTACCCTTCCAGTGTGTGCTATCATGTGGTGAACAGATGCATTCTCTGTGAACTAAAAGTTTAGTTCTAAAAGATGGAGAATTGTATACTTTTTCACATTCTAACTTCTTCTGGTAGGGAAGTGTATTTGATCATTATTATGGCATTATTATGGCTTCCTTACCCATTCCATGCTGTTTTCCCCTGAATGTGAGCATCTGCCACACAAACATCTCTATCATATTGGGCTTGTGTATTCATCCCTCTTCTCTTTCCACATGTCCAAGAAGAGAATTTCTGCTGAGTTTTCTTTCTGTTTTAAAGAATTTTGGCTTAGCCTTACATAAGAGCTAGTAATCCTGGTTTAAAAATGGTTAAACAAGTCAGCTTTAAACCATGGTTTATGAACTTGGCTTGTTTTAACTAACCTTTGTTTTAAACTAGAATTCTTGGGTCATTTGTATTGCTAAGGCAAGATTCTTTGAAATGGAAAGTAAATTTGAGAGAAGTCCTGCTCCTGGGTGAGGGATGAGCATACAAGCCCAGACTTGTCCATGTATGCTTTAGCATCACATGTGAACTAGCCTTTTGAATTAAAGGAAGCTTTCCTATGTAAATGGTGAATCAGTTTGATTTTTCAGATATAAATATTTACACTCTACCTACAAAATACAGATGGGACTCATCATCCTTGGAAGGTAGCCCATCTAAGAGAAGTAAAATTTTGATCCTAAACTTCCACTGCCTTGCAGGACGTCTTCAGGAGAAAAAAAGGCTAAGGAGTAAACTCTGCACAAATCCGGAGTGGAGTCCATATGATTTCTTCGCCTCCTTCTGGCATCCTCTGGCCAAATGTATTGCTCTGCTTTTATTTGAACCATACCAGCAAGGTTGAGAGCGGGGTCTTGTTGTCTGGGCTGCCCAGGACCTCCATATAAACTAACCAGGCTTGCGCCCTGAGAAGGTCACTTCCAACATAGTGATTTGACTTCACCCCCGGAAGCACACTCCATTGTCTCTTGAGACATATGTCAGCAACAACAACCAGACAGAGGCATTACATTTTTACCTGCTGAAAACAAAACTCCTACTCTGCCCAGAAGCTGTCAGACTTTGCTTTGTTCTATTAATCATGGTCTCTTCATCTTTGTTTAATACTTGCTTCTTTTGTGAGAGTAGGGCTGGACCAAGGCAGAGTAAAGCAGAAAAGAGCAACAGTGGAAGGAAGAAAAGACAAAATTGACCACTGAAAAGGTTCTTATATCCTCATACTTAAGCTGCAATAGGTTCCATTGATAGGATTGCACTGTTAATAGTGCAAAATGTCATAGGCTCTTGCTGGCAGACTTCATATGGGAATATTTAAGAGGCATTCCCTTTGTAGGTAAAAGAAGAAAGCATGCAAAATGTATTCAATGAGATAAACCAAATTCAGGGCCTGGTTGTAAAAATGAAATAATACTCTAGTTGTAAACGAACCACAATTTAGTGGTTAGATTTGTACCATTATTTAGGAAATATATCAAGAAGCATCAGTGGGAAACATATTTTCATTCAGTAATTTAAATGGGGCAACGGAAGAAATACATTTTTGGTATCTCGTATTTTCTGGAACCAATATGACAACAGCTGTCTTTATGATTGCCTCATCCTCTCAGATTTCCTTTAAATGCAATGTTTTCAGATACTTTAAAAGTGCTTTCTCTCCTCCTACAGAGGCATCACTCTTTTTAAAATCTATCTCACTGCATCAAAGTTGTTTCTGTGTGCTGTTTCTGCTTATGTCTGAGTATAACTTCCCTACCCATTTAGCTGTGTCTTTGAAGCTGCCTTCCATTGTTGTCTATCTTTTTGATCATAATGTCTTCTGTGCCATCTGCAAAGAATACATTTCAGACATGACCTATCTCTTTTTCATCTCATCTCATGAATGTTAAGTTTCCCCCTTAAACAAGCATTCAGCAATGTGTGTGTATTTATATCTATCTAAATTGCTAGATACTTATAATTAAAATATTTTTTGCCAAAATCATAAGCAGACAAAGCTGATTTTAAATGTATGTAGTTGTGAAATAATTTTAAAAGCATAGTATAAATTAGCAGAAGTGTCATGCTTGTTTTGAGCTTGCATTTTAAGCAAGAATCATTTCCTTTTTAAAGTTGAATTAGACATTTAATTTAACCTGCAGTGATTTGTCATTCAATACTTTTCGTACTACAACTGCTGATTTCTATTTTATTTTTTTAATGCAAAAAGCACATTCCTCTTATTGTTTTAGCTGCTGTGATCAATCAAACATGCAGAATTTGTTTCCCCTGAAGATTGTAGTTTTGAACAAATTGTGGTGAGTGTGGTTTCATGGCAGCATCCACTCTCAAACTGTGTATAGCATATACTGTACAAACCTACAGAACTAAATGGGGATGTCTGGGAAGCGTCTTATAGTTGGTTCAATAATGGCATGGACTCTAATGTACTTCAGAATTTGAGAGTCTGAGGTAGTATACCTTCAGGAAGCAAAAAGAAAATCAGTAGCATGTATGAATGCAAGTTATGAGAATAATCGTTGTTTATATATTTTATCCAATAAAACAATTGCTTCCACCTTATTTCAAGTTAAGAGATTTTTGGGATCCTGTGCTTGCCTACATTGGCTCCTTATTTGTAGTTTACTTGGCAAGTGGTTCCTGATAGAATAAATTGTTAGAGCAAATAAATAAACTGATATAAGGAATGTTGGGTGTAGTGAAGGGTTAACCTTCTGTGTCTCGAGGCTGAGAGGAGGCGCTTACAAGGGAAGTAAGCCAGGACGTGACGAAAGCAGCTTGGAATGCTGTGAGCTGAGTGAAAAGTGAAAGCAGCTTAGTTGCGCAGCTGCAAGCTGAGAGAAGGACGCAAAATGCAACTTCAATCAGATGGTGTTTCCTGATTGTAAATATGCTACTTTTGAGCAAATAAAGTGCTACTAGGAAAGAAGAAACGTGTGAGACTTCTTTTACTGCCCTTCCAACACGGACGCTGTGCAATTCTGCTAATTGCTTTACGACCTGCAGAGGAGTGCAGGGGAGCGTGCCGGACGCCAAGAATAAAGCAATAAATCTACCTAACATGGTTATGGACATGATTATGGGTCAACGTGAAGCGTGTGAGGAAGGGCTTTGAAGCTTTATCTGCTGATCGTCAGTTTGATCGACTGCCGGAGACTTCAAAGGGGCAGATCGGAGGAGGCTGGGAGCTAAGAGCCATGACGTCCGGAGTTCCCAGTTTGGCTGAGTGAGTGAGTACCTTTGGAAAAGCCAACAGAAGGGGGCAATGGCTCAGCCCTGTGAACATGGCTTTGAGTTTAAACTGCCATGTCAGAAACTGACTAGCCAAAATTGGCTGCAGTGGAGATTTCAAGTGGAGCTTTTGCTAGTTGGGGAGCAGCTGTGGAATGTAATTCACCCCACACAGAATGCAGCTGGGAAAGCAGAGGCTAATAGGGCTGCAGAGCAAAGTGAAGTTGAGAAGCGTGTGCTTGCTTTTTTGGCAGAAAGTGTGGATGCTCATCTGGTGCCTGTTGTCCTGGGTGCAAGAAAGCCAGAGGCCGCTTGGCTAGCACTCCAAGAAGCTTGTGGAGCTGGAGTGGGAAGCAAGGGCCGAGAAGTGGCTGCATCCGAAAGGGAGAGGCAAGATGGCGCCGGCCACATTCTTGAGTGCCGATACACAGCTGGGAGGAGCTGGGAGCCCCCACAGGGGGGCGAAGGGACTGTTGCTGTTGTTGTTGCTAGCAATGCTGCTTGTGCTTTTGCTGAGCCTGGGAGCTGTGTGGATGCTGCACCCATCAGGGGGGGTGCAGAAAAACGTCCTGGAGACCCCATGAGCAGTGGGGGGGCAGTGAGCAGTGAAAGCTCAGAGACGCCTCTTTCTCCAAAAGCTGCCAAGAGTTGTTTACGTCGTGAGTCGGAGCCTGGGAAGCTGAAAAGAGCTAAAGGCTTCAAGGTCAGCCACCTGCAGCAAGGACAGATAAGAGCTTCAGAGTTGTGTGGGAACGCCGAGACAAGTCCAGTCTCCATGGCAACTGAGAGAGTTGCATCTACGGAAGCTGTGAAGGTCGTGGGCAAGTCTTCCTGCCAGGGGGAGTCTGTTGCCGTGACGACCAGAGAGGACATCTGCAGAAGCCCCAAGGAGGGGGGTAGTGAGGAGATTGTTGCCCTGGCGACCCAGGAATGTAAACAACAAGACTTTCTCACTGTAATAATACTCTGGTGCCTCAAATTCGTTGGTGCCATCTCCTGGTCTTTTGAGGAATTGCAGGACAGTAAAAACTGAGAAGTATGTTACGTTTGCAGGTGGAAACAGAAAAAAGCTAACAGAGACAGGACTGTTCTTCTGTCCTTTCCTTAAGCATGAAGTCAAAGCTTATGCAGTGCCCGGTTTAACTAACTGTTTGTTAAGTGTGCATGATCTATCGATCGATGGTTTCCAAATTTCTTTTGCAGGTGACAAATGTGAATTTTCCAAGGATGGGAAACACGTGTACACAGTGCAGTCTAAAGATAATTTGTTTGCTGTAAATGTGCCTTTTTCCACAGGAGAGGATGACACCGAAGATGCGAAGGGCCAATGTGTGAATGTAGCACCCCACAGTGGTTGTTCACATATTTGGCACAGACGCTTCGCTCATTTGAATTGGAAATATCTCCAGAAAGCACCAGAGCTGACACAAGGGTGCAAATTTAATGCTTGTGACAAATTTCTAGATTGCAATGCATGTAAACAGGCGAAAGTTGTGACATGCTCATATCCAAAGTCAGAGAGGCAGACCACACAACCCTTTGAATTAATTCATGCAGATTTGTGTGGACCCATGTCTGTTGAGTCACTGGGAGGTTCTAAGTAGTCATTACTTTTGATTGATGATTTTTCGAGGTCTGCTTGGACCTTCTCTCTGAAAACGAAAGGGGAGGCGGCTAAAATGATCAGGGATTGGATCACCGCAGTTGAGGTAACTTTTTCCACCAAAGTTCGTGGTTTTCAAAGTGACAGAGGTGCTGAATTCACTGGTTCTGCTTTACAGGATTTCTTTAGGGAGAAGGGGATTAGCCACAGACTGACCGTTCCTTACTCTCCGCAACAGAATGGGGTCGCAGAGAGAAAGAACAGGGCGGTGCAGGAAGCTGTGTCTGCGATCCTGTGGGACGCAGGGCTACCCCAGAAATATTGGTCGGAGGCTTGGCGATATGTGGTCCATACCGAGAACAGAGTGTACAACTCTAGTGTAGGAAATACACCGTATTTCTTACTTCATGGACGGAAGCCTAAGGTACACTACCTTCGTGTGTTTGGTTGTGAGGCTTGGGTGCTTATTCCAAAGGCTCTACGCAAGAAAGGTGAGCCAAGATCTAAAAGAATGATCTTTGTAGGGTATGAGCCTGGCTCAAAGGCCTGGCGGTTTGCGTACCCAAGTGGAGACCAGTCTAGGTTGGTTATCAGCAATAGCGCTGAGTTCTGTGAGCAAGCTGGTTGGAAGCGTCTGCACGCTAATCCAGACGTGCTTCCACAGCAGTTCTATGGACTCAGATGTTGAGGAGGAAGAGGAACTTGTTGCTGGGGACCACGGTCCAGAGCAACAGAGTCCAAGGCAGGGACAGCTCAGGATCCCTCAGAGGGGGGAACCTAGAACACCTCCTCAGGCAAGTGTCAAGTTTGAGCCAAAGAGTGAGCCTTCTTCACCTGCTGGACTAGCTGTAAGGCCCAAGAGGCGCAGCAGGTCAGAGGGGGAAGACACTGAAGTTGAGGATGATTTAGCTGGACCCAGTGAAGCGGCAGGGTCACCAGGAGTCACACTGAGGAGATCAGCGAGGACAAGGAGGCCTCCTGATCGGTACGACGCTTCAGGCATCTGGGTAGGTTCTGCAAGATGTGAACCTGAATCCTTCGAGGATATTCAGAGTTTACCTGAGGAAGAAGCAGGCAAATGGCACAGGGCAATGGACAAAGAGATGAAGTCCATGAAAGATCTAGGTGTGTTCTCACTCACGGAGTTGCCACCGGGAAAGTAGGCTGTGAGTTCCAGGTGGGTTTACCGCTGGTAACCCCACTGGTGCTGGAGAGCCGCAGTATAAAGCCAGGTTAGTTGCTCGAGGATTTACTCAGAGGAAGGGAATACACTTCACGGAGGTGTATTCGCCAACGTCACGAGCGGAGACTCTGAGAACGCTTTTAGCTTGGGCAGCACAGAGAGGCTGGAAGGTAAACCACTTTGATGTGGATGTTGCCTACCTTAACTCAGATCTCCAGGAGGAGCTGTACATGATTCCTCCTCCGGGGTTTGAGAACTCAAGGCAGGATGTTGTGTGGAGATTGCACAAATCCATCTATGGATTACGTCAATCTGCTAGAAACTGGAACATGTGCCTGAATGAAGCTTTGGAGAAGCTAGGTTTCAGGAAGAGTCTTGCTGACAGTTGCCTGTTCCTTAGAGGATCAGGAGACTCACAGGAGCTGGTGCTGATTTTTGTTGATGATGTGCTTTTCTTCTCAGAAACAGATGAACAGGCGGAGAAGTTTGCCAAAGAGCTAGGTAAACGATTCAAGCTTAAACAGCTTGGTGCTGTCAAAACCTATCTAGGTGTCAATGTTGAGCGTGCACAGGATGGAAGTTTTTGCTCAGCCAGAGAGGTAAAATTGAGCAACTGCTTCAGAAGTTCAGGATGAGTGATTGTGCAGGAGTGAGAAGTCCTATGGAGACTAGTTTTGTGAAGGACAGCCAGCAAGTAGAACGCACTGCGTTCGAAAATACTGAAGTGTTTCAGTCAGCCCTTGGGAGTTTGTTGTACTTGTCCCAGTGGAGCAGACCTGATATAGCGTTTGCTATCAATCTGCTTAGCAGGGAGGCATCAAACCCTAGTGTGCAAGCCTGGAATGGCATCAAGAGAGTTCTGAGGTATTTGCAGGAGACCAAAGACTTTTGTCTTAGGTTGCCAGCACAAGGAGAAGTGAAACTGACTTGCTTTGTGGACTCGGATTGGGCTAATCTTGAGGATCGAAAGTCTGTGTCTGGCCTAGTGGTGATGTTTGGGAACTCAGTAGTTGGATGGAGGTCCAAGAAGCAAAGTCTTATAGCGCTCTCATCCACTGAGGCTGAGTTTAGTGCTCTTTCAGAGATGTGCAGAGAAGTAGAGTTCTATGCTTGTTTGGTGCAGGAACTCTGCGAAGTGGATTGTCTGCCGATACGTGTTTTCGAGGACAATCAACCATGCCTGCGTTTGGCAGAGTCAGGTCAGTTCAAGGCCAGAACTAAACACCTAGACATTCACTTTCGGAATGTGTGCCAGAGTGTTCAGGAGGGATTAGTTGCGCTGAAATACTGTCCCTCTGCCAAGAACCTAGCTGATGGGTTCACGAAGCCACTCACCTTCCAAAGACATGGAGAGTTTTGTGAAGGTCTGGGTTTGGGACGACCAAAGGTCGATTCTCCCCTCAGGCGCGAGACAAGAGGGGGTGTTGGGTGTAGTGAAGGGTTAACCTTCTGTGTCTCGAGGCTGAGAGGAGGCGCTTACAAGGGAAGTAAGCCAGGACGTGACGAAAGCAGCTTGGAATGCTGTGAGCTGAGTGAAAAGTGAAAGCAGCTTAGTTGCGCAGCTCCAAGCTGAGAGAGAAGGACGCAAAATGCAACTTCAATCAGATGGTGTTTCCTGATTGTAAATATGCTACTTTTGAGCAAATAAAGTGCTACTAGGAAAGAAGAAACGTGTGAGACTTCTTTTACTGCCCTTCCAACACGGACGCTGTGCAATTCTGCTAATTGCTTTACGACCTGCAGAGGAGTGCAGGGGAGCGTGCCGGACGCCAAGAATAAAGCAATAAATCTACCTAACATGGTTATGGACAAGGAAGGTATAGAAATGAGGTATAGAATGGAAATGGACTATTTATAGATTTTTATATAGAATGTTCTAATGTAGAAGGCATTGCTTACTAAATTCATAGATCACAAGAGCACAGACAAGTCTAATTTCAGTTTTTATGTGACACTCATTAATGCTTCACCAGTATAAATTTTGGCAAGGCTTTCTATATAAAAAGGATATTATAAGGTACTTGTTGTATTTATAAAATAACACTTTTAAGAAATGTGCTTCATGGTCTATAAACCAGCTAAGCCAGAATACTGGTATATGTTTTCAAGATAACATAATACCTTGCAACAAAAAGGGCTGAAATGGAGTTGTAGGTAATTGGTTGGGGTAGCTATCATTTATTCTCAGAACTTTAGGTTGCAGTCTTAATTCACACTTAACTGGAAGTTTGCCCCATTGAACTCAATGGGACTTACTTCTCAGCAGACAAGTGTAAGATTGCATTGCTAGTGTGCTTGTGTTTTTAAACAGGATCTGTGACCTCACCTGGAAGCTCTTCTGCCATATCTGATGGCATAAATTCCTCCTGGACTCCTCCCCAAACACTGGAGTCATCTTCAACTTCCATATACAGTGGTATCTCAGGTTAAGAACTTAATTTGTTCCGGAGGTCCGTTCTTAACCTGAAACCGTTCTTAACCTGAAGCACCACTTTAGCTAATGGGACCTCCCACTGCTGCTGCCACACCACCACCGCATGATTTCTGTTCTCATCCTGAAGCAAAGTTCTTAACCCGAGGTACTATTTCTGGGTTAGCAGAGTCTGTAACCTGAAGCATCTGTAACCTGAAGCGTCTGTAACCTGAGGTACCACTGTACTTTTTGGCTGAAATGCCTACTTCAAAATAAAAAGCAGCCCTGTCTCATTTAATAATTAATAACGCTATCATTTTTTGATGTGACTCCCTAACTGAGAAGGTGTGGGAATTTTTGAAACTAGAGATTTTTGGGATCCTGTGCTTGCCTACATTCGCTCCTTATTTGTAGTTTACTTGGGGAGCTGCTTTCTCCCCAAGACTCCTGTAGAATCTATAGCACTGTAGTTGGAAGAGACCTAGAGGGGCATCTTGTCCAGCCCCCAGCAGAAAGGAGCATAGCTACCTGCTCTGCTGCTTGTTGAAAGTCCAGTTAAAAAGTTGATTCTCCAGCTTCTTGCTCTGAGGAAACACCTGTGGGCCATTACAGCGAGAATTACAGCTGGTGAACAAAGAGTAGAGCTCTGGCTGATGCATTCCAGAGACTGGAGGCGGGAGAGACGGTACTGGATAGGAGGAAATACAAACAGAATCTATTGTGAAAGCAGAGAGTGCAGTTTCAGCTGAAGAGCTGAGATCACAAAGTGAACTTGACCTAGTTGTCACAGAGGTGGTAAAACCATTCCTGAACTGCACTGCTTGACATTATAGGTATCACATAATTGAATTCTGCTCCCTGCAAAAAAATGGACTGCATGTAGAAAACTAGATATTGGGAAAAGGTGTTCTAGTTTTTTAAACATAGGGGGGAAATATGGGAAAAATATGGATCAACTTTCAGTTATGTGAACCCATTCTGCACTCTCAGCGCATACAGGCTTCTCACCTCAGCGAGCAAAGGCTATTTCTTTGTTGTCCAGCAGCTGTTATTCAGATGCGTGCTGCTTCTATCCTGGAGTCGTGACTAGTAGCCACTGATAGGCATGTTCACGGAGAGTAAGGCTAATCCCCTTTATACAGTGTCTGTATAAAATTGTGGAAAATTGCATACTGCATGAAATGAATACTGCACAGGCTATTGCTGGTATGCTTGGGAGACATGTAACATGAAAAATAACAGATATAACTAAGGATTGTTTGATCTGCATTTCAAAGTGAACTGACCTCTTGGGCTAATGTGCAAATTGGAATGCAGTTATTCTCCAAATTTTGCAATGCAGTTCTCTGCTTAGAAAACTAACCAAAATTCATATTTTGGGATAAAATGTTACACTGGGATAGAATACCTTCCAAACTATGATTTTAAAGACAATTTTTGTGCATTTTTTTGTAGATTATACAGAAATAGGGCAGAAAGGATTTGGGAATAAATACCTACAAAACTGACATGGACTGGAGATGGATGACTTTGTCCATCCCTAGATATAACCCTTAGGCAGGTAATATTTTATGATGCTCTAGAGATCTTTCAGCTTCTTATATGTTATAGGAATTATGTTCCCTTCTTAGGTTTACTGTAACTTGTTAATCTTCGTGCATTCAGTGCAGTCCAACGTTGGGAACTGCTAATGTACTGTTGCCCTAGGTTGTGAAAAGAGCCGCTCAATGAGCATCAGCTATGGACAAGTGCTACCCTCTTTCCTAAGCCGAGGTTTTTGGCAGGAGGCCACTTATTTCTGAAACTCTTCCACTTAGGTGGACAAGCAGGTTTATTTACTCTGCAAGGGAAAGTGGTCAGGCTTTCTCCAGGAGGCACTTCATGCAGTCAACACTGCTGCTTTGGCATGGATCTGGCTTAGGACCAAATTAGGCATTGCATTAAACATATGTCTGGCTCTTGGATGCTTGGCTTTCCTTTACTAAAAAACAGGTGAAGCTGATCCAGATTGGGAACATGGTGTGGAGGAGAATGAATCTAACCCTTTGCCCCCGTTATGAATGGTGTATGGAATTAATACTCTTTGATTTGGCTTATTCCAGAGGGGCTTTCTTATTTTGTACAAACGATTCAGCTTTCAGGGTTTTCATCTGTATGTATTGAAGTGAAATTCATTGTACCTAATGCACCAGCATTAAAAAAAACTGATTATGAAATTATTTAACTGGGATGGGCTTGTGAACAGAGAGAGATTGGCTTGTTTTAGTTAACATGCAGCTTATTTTGGACTGTACTTTTGTTTTCCTCTTAAGGAGGGGTGTGGAAGAACATTGGTACATAGACTTTTAGGAGTTTGGAGCTTATGAAAATAGTATCATATTTTTGCACCAAAAGAAAATTAGTGTTTTGCTGTTCAGTTTCTGATGACCCAGAGTTGGTCATTAGTGTATTGTGCAACTTTGAAGCAAAACCTCACCTTGTGATTTGCTCATTTTCCTGCTTTTAAGCAGAGATAGTTGTATGAGGCAATTTTACCCACCCTGGCCATTGGGCTATTATATATATTTCCTGTGGAATAAGTGTGGTATCTATAGTTTCAGCAGCAAACACTGCCCCTCACAGTGTGTTCTGATGTGATCTTTGTTTGAACAATATTTGGTGGCAAAGAGGACATGATACAATATGTATTTTGATTTCTTGCACTCAGTGGTTGCTCACTGAAGTGATGGTGCTTAGATTGGTGATAGTGTGTGTGTAAAATAGTAGAATTTCAGTTTAATCAGACTGTGAATTCTGACCTCTATGTTAACTTCTGAATTTCTGAGAGAACTAAGTTTTTAAATATAGTATGTGTACATCTAACTGTATTAGGTTAAGTTTTGAACTGAGTATCTCACTTTTGAGATACTAAATCTCCCAGTGTTGTGATAGATCCTACTTGGGTGCCTTTCAGTGATGGGGGTGGGATTGCTGGCTGAACTACTTATCAAATATTACATTAAGAAAATGGTTAAAAAAAATAAAACTTCCAATATCATAATGCCATCGTTAAAATCTATTGTGTGACTGCCCTTGGTATACTGTTAACAGTTCTGGCTACCACACCTCAAAAAAGGATATTGTAGAGCTGGAAATGGTTCAGAAAAGGCCAGCCAAAATAATTATGGGGCTAGAACAGTCTCCCTATGTGGAAAGGTTACAAGGTGGGGACATGATAAAATTGTATAATATTATTCAGAGAAAGTTGATAGGGAACCGGAGCCATCTAAATATTGGAAGATTAAAGACAGACGAAAGTAAGTACTTATTCACACAGTGCATGATTAATCTGTGGAATTTGCTGTTTTTAAGTCACATTTTAGTCAATGTTGTATATTTGTTGTTAGCCGCCCTGAGCCCGGTTTTTAAACCGGGAAGGGCAGGGTATAAATAAAAAATTATTATAATATTATTATTACTAATATGTGGCGATGACCATTAACATGGATGGCATTAAAAGAGTTTAGACAAATTTAATGAGAATTTAATGTTGGGGGCAGTATGTCTCTGAATGTCAGTTGCTGAAAATCACAAGCAGCGAGACTCGATTGTGCTCATGTCCTGCTTATAAGCTTCTCATAGTTGCTTTGTCAACGTGAGAACAGAATGCTGGGCAAGATGGGCCTTTTGATTTGATCTATTAGAACTCTTGTCTTATGTCCTTAAGTTGACTGCTGTGCCCTAGCTTGGCCTAAGACTTCCAGGGAAGGCCTGATGGAAGAAGTAGCCCGTATAGAAAATGACACAGTAATGTCCAGAAAAACAGTAGCAAGCCTGATGGTCAAGTCCAGGGGTCAGCAACCTTTTTCAGCCAAGGAGTGGTCCACCTTCCCTCAGACCATGTGGTGGGCTGGACTGTATTTTTTTGGGGGGAAATGAACGAATTCCTATGCCCCACAAATAACCCAGAGATGCATTTTAAATTAAGGGAAACATTCTACTCATGTAAAAACACACTGATTCCCGGACCTTCCGTGGGCCGGATTGAGAAGGTGATTGGGCTGCATCCGGCCCCCGGGCTTTAGGTTGCCTATCCCTGGTCAAGTCGATGGTAGGCTATGCCAGATCGCAATTGGCAAGAGGAGGGAAGGTATGGTGTGTCAGGACCCTGGACAGGTCACTGTGGCAGGTACTGGTTGAAACTCACCCAAGGGGAGCTGCTACCTTGGCAGCATGTGGAGCCCTTGTGAACACTGGCTGGTCTGGATTGGCTATTAATCCTGACTCCTTTGAAGAGCTGCCTATATTTTTAAAGAATATTGTCTGATTTTACAGCTGCTGGCTCCTACAGCATGGGAGTCGTGAGGACTGTATTGTGCAGGGCAGGTCATCTTCTGAGTCTGAAGAGTCTGGTCTTGATAGTTCTGTAGTGTGGGATGATGGCTTCCTAGGTGATGCCTCTGAGTTAGTGCGGGGTTGATACCAGAGAACATGACATTGCATGCTGAAGAAGAAAGCAAATCGATGTTGAATTTGCACAAGAGTTGTCATACACATTTGTTTAGTGTTGTAGAATTCACTACAGATATCTTTGCATCAATTATTTTATGAGCTGATGAGGACATAAAGCAACAAATGTAAGTGACTACAAATATTACACTAGGAACTGCCTTCCGCACAGCATTCTGTACACCTTCCCAGCCCATAGAGTTTTACATCTTGCCCTTAACTTTCTGCCTTTTTCCTTCCCACACTTTTTAGGTTACTCTTTTGCCATTTCCCCCTTTTTCTTTCCCACCTCCCCTAGTTCAAAGTATTTTGTGCATTGTGACCAGAGAGTTTCTGCCACAATGAGTTTAGCTCTGCAAGAGGACCATGTCTTCATCAGTGCGGTGAAGTTTCTTGAAGCCATATTTAGTGTTTGTACATATGCAAAAAATAACTGACATGTAACTGGGGGATCTGGTAAGTGTTAATAGTGGTTTTCCTTCGTTTTCCATTTGCATGTATGCAAACTTCCAGTCTTGCAAAAGTCAAATATTTTAATATTGAACACAAGAGAAAACAGACTTTTCTAAGACATTAAATTTTGTCCTGGTGATCTGCATAAAATATGTACTAGGGGAAGAAGCCCTCAAAGTTGGAAGATACCATGATGAACTAGTTGTTGATTACTTACAGCAGTTGCATTTCACTGGTTGCATTGTCTGGTGAATGTCCTATTTAACTATTAGCAATTTGTGTTGTTTTTCTAACTCCTTTTTCCTAGTTCTGCTTATAGGCAGCTGTGGTGAGCTGGTGTGAGAGTAAAGCATATTCTTAGCCAAAATATGCATACTTGTTAAGGCCAAAGTAAGTGCAGATGAGGTAACTCTTCTTTTCCTTACCTAAATAAATAAATAGTGATCTCATTCAAACCCCGAAATACACAGCAACCAAGAACCAGAAGTCAAGTGGTAAAATTTCAGGAATACTTCTCCATAATTTGCAAATAGGTGAGTAAAAGATGGAGAAATCAGAGTTCAGTTAGCCAAACCCAGGAAATATTCCGGTTATCCTCAGTTGCCCTGTGAGTTAAAAAGTAAAGTCCTGGGCAAAGGTTTGCATCCTTTGCTGTGGGCAAAGAAAGGTGACATAGAAATATGAACTCTTTCTGTTAAACACAGATTGGGCAGCTATGTGAACATTAATGGATGGTGCAACATGATTCATAGGAAAGTACCAGTTATTGAGTTGTGTATACAGGCAACCATTCTGAGAAGAGGAACTACCGGTAATTAGGGCAGTGGGAAGAGAAGTATAAATGAGAGAAGATCCTGGTTTTATGCGGGAGGCAGTGGAAGACAGGAGTGCCTGGCGTGCTCTGGTCCATGGGGTCACGAAGAGTCGGACACGACTAAACGACTAAACAACAACAGGCTAGTGATAAAGCGGGATATCAGATCCAAACTCTTCTTTTACTCATCTTCTATATTGCATCCTGGACAGAGAGACTTCAAGCTGGTAGCCTAAGAGAATGAAGAATTGTTTAATTTTGGTTCTTACATTATAATTCCCAGATCTCTTTTCTGCAGCTCCTTTAACTTTTACCTTCCTTTTTCCTTCATACTGCTAGTTAGGATGTAGAATGTAGAGATCTTACATTCATCACATATGTCAAACTTATCGAGCTGTTACTTCCTAAGTGTATAGGAAGGTCTTAACTATTCATTTGAAAACAGCAAAATTATGGGGTTTGGGGGGGTAGGTGGGGAGGAAGGAAATGAAGCTATCTCTCTGGGTTTGAGCAAGCTTCTGTTCAGATTGTGTCTCCCCATCTACTGCCAGTTCACCAAATGCTGACACTTTATTCACTTCTCAATTGTGCAAAGCATAAAACTGACCTCTCAGACAAAACTTTTCACATCTTACCACAGGTGTTAATGGATACATCCTTGGGTGTTAATTTTTTTATATGTACCCCATGTTTTCATAAATTGTTGTACAATTAATCTCAACTCTTCTTGGTAATCTGTTTCATTCTTAGAGATCCAAGGGAGCACTTCTAATAGGATAGCAATGCAGAGTTGTTTTAATTGGTACCATGTGTTTTTCAGTATTTTCTGATGTCTCTGAACATAGCCAACATAATAACTGTGTGGCTTCATAGTACACTAACAAACTTGGGACTGTAAGTCCATCCTTGTGCATTGGGGCCTGTTTAGTAAGAGCCTTCCTCAATCCTGTCCAATATCTTCTGCCAATTTTCCAGTTCTTGATCATCTGAAGCAGAAAAAATATGAATACAAATAAAACTTAATAGTTGTAACATTTTAATTGTACAGATTAGATAGTTTGTTCCAAAACCAGAAGTGAAAGTTATGGCTGCTTCATAGAAATAATATTTCTGTGTAATTTTAATTTGAGTTGTGTTTACCTGAACCCAATGGCTTGGATTCAGAGGAATGCCAGCTGAAGGGTGTTGATGGAATGTGACTTTCCCACCCCTGTAAAGCTTCTCTTAAGGATCCTGGCTGGGCTGAGGGAAAAGGTGGATTCCAAAAATGAAGCAGAAACACTTTCGACGAGCAGGAGATTTGTGATTAGTCATTTGGTTTAGAAAAGTAGATGTAATTCAGGCAGGGAGATTCTAGTCAGTAAATAGAGCATTGCTCATTAATGCTGGGTTTTCATAACCTCCTCAAGGACAATAGAAGGCTCACCAGCTTAAGCTAGTGAAAAAAATTGCGACACCTTGCAGTGTTTCTCTTTGTCAAAAGCAACAAGGCCTTTGGGCAGCACACATCCAATCATTTATAGGATGTGCTGGGACACAGCCCATCTCCAAAAGTAGTTTAGGGAGGAGACAAGGCATATTTCTCCTGGTCTACCTTACTGTGGGGCTGGAGTTAGGAGGAAACTTCCTCTGGTGGGGCTGGGGATAAATAACTGGAATTCTCTTCATCTCCCACTAACTTCAGGAGTTCTCTGCTTAGGAACCATCATGAAGCTTGGCTTTTTCAGCACCTAAAATGCCTTACATCATGACTATTCAAAAGTCTCTCACTGATATTGGCATGTTCTCCTTCTCTTGAACAATAAGCTTTCATGAGGATTGAAATCCATGTTTTCCATTTGTTGCTGACTTTTGATGATACACTGATTTATTGATAAAAGTATTGGTTGGAAACAATTTTGTAACCATAAAACCTAAATGCTCTTGTTAGTGTAAATAGAGTGTGATGCCAAGAGAATTAGGTAGTAACCAAGGATGTGGTGATAACGGGGACATTCTGGTGAGGTGAGAAATGTAGTTCTATCTCACTCCCTATCAAATGGAAATGATCCCATCCCTCATGCTGAAGGGTGGTTGAGCTTTTCATAGCAAGTGGGCTGCAAAGGTAGTACAACATGGAACCCATGGGCTGCACACTGCCTTGTTGCACACAGGGGAAGCAAGGCCAAAAGTTGACCCCCCCCACCCTTGCGCTGCCTTCCTAAAGCTGGCTAAGCGAGGTTTGGGGCTTTGGGAAGGAGGCAGAAGACACTGGCAGGGTCCTAGACCCCTTCTTCTTCCTCCCCAAAGCTGGGAAAGCACCAATTAGGCTTTGTGACGGAGGTGGGAGCACTCTTAGGACCCTGTCTGAGCCCTCATGCATGCTTCCCACAGCTCAGCATCTTGCTTACCTGGCTTTGGGAAGTCAGTGTGAGGGCTGGTGTGTGTGCCAAATATTGCTGAGGACCACCAAAAAGCCTCAAGGGACCACCCTACTCTAGAATATGGTGCAATGCGAAACACAATATTCATTCATCAAATCTGGTTGGCACTTTGAAGAAATGACGCGAAAACATCTTGCCTATAGTTTTCTTTATCAGAAACAGCAGCTATTCCATCAGGCTGAAAGGCTCTTTTGGGGCTCCTCTCCTCAAGTTTTTCCTAGCTGGTCGTTCCTCTGTAAGTAAGACGTTTCCTCCCCCGCCCATTCCAATCACCTTCCTTTTTTATTACGTATCTTAGAGTGTAAATTTGAGGGCAGGGATTGTTATCAGTGCCATTTGTAAGCCACTCTGGGAGTCATCTTTGGCAGAAGAGTGGGAAGAAAGTTCCTTAAATAAAAAAAACTAATTTTACAGTTTGTTCAGAAAGTTGTCAGGAAAGTGTACATTTTGTAACGTAGAAAGGTTCCGACCTTCTCTGGAGTTCATGCACCTTATAGACTGGATCTGAACATTGGAACATTTAATCATACACGCTTAGCTGGCTTCTGGCTGTTTCCCTATATAAATAAGAAATGGGGAGGGAGAGAAATCTATCTGAATCCTCTAGTCAGTATTTCTTCTGCCTGGTTCACATACCAATAGTAGCATGTGCCAAGTTTCACTTGCTACGTCTTCTATCTGAAGAGGAGAGATTATGCATGTTTATTCTATGGTTTCATTACGTATATTGCACATGGTCGTGTGGCCCATCTAACCTGTAATTAGATTTGAGTATGTTTGAGATTGAAAAAACGCATTTCACCTCATTGCTTTAAAATCTTACAGTATTAGCAAGGCAAGTATATTTTTTTTATGGATAGCTGTTTTTGTATGTTGTAGTTCATCACCAACTACTCTATCAAGGCCAATGAGATAATAGCACAAAAACTTTATATCATTCAACATTAGGTAGCCTCTGTTGCAAACCTTTTAACTTTCAGCTTATCTTCATCAACACATCTATTTTTCAGAAGTTATTAAGGTATTAATAGGTTTGCTGTGTTCTAAAGAATGCATGCATTCAGGTTTTCTGTAGCTGCAATAGTTGGAGATTTGTATCAGTTTGAGATGAGCAAATTATGACATGCTGTAATTTGGAGTCTGCTTTTTTGTTGTTGCAGTTCCCAGAGTGTGGTTTTTTTGGCATGTATGACAAAATTCTTCTGTTCCGCCATGACCTGAACTCAGAAAATATTTTACAGCGGATTACATCAGCTGAAGAAATACGTGAAGGTGACCTCGTTGAGGTTGTTCTCTCTGGTAAATAGGTTTTCAATGTGGTTCCCTTGTTGTTACATAAAGCCATGATATTACCATTGCTTCAAAATGGTTGAAATTTGTGGACTGCTTTATAAATATTAAAGGTTACTTGAAATAAAGTAGATGAAATGACATCTTACTGAACCAGCCTCTACAGATGAAAACTGTTGAATTTGCGCGTAACAATTGGATAATCTTAATTATCTTCTGAATTTTTTGGGATTAGTAAATTGTCAGTTACTTGATCTACAATAGCAACCACTGTGTTCTAAATAGTGTAGAAAGTTCTTCATGCAACCTTTATTAAAAAACAGGTTTGGTTTTTGTTTTTTTAAAAACATTTATATAGTTGTATGTCTTAAAATGCATGCTTTGTAGGAGTTGAGCATAGTCATCAGTTTCTACCAAAGGCAGTTTGCTGAGGCTACCATTATTTTTAAAAAATCATTCCAGTCAATCATACTTATAAATATTGCTGTAATCAAGTGGGACTCACTCCTGTTTTATAATGTATTTTTTAAAAGCATTGGCTACAGTCGAAGATTTCCAGATTCGTCCTCATATGCTATATGTGCATTCTTACAAGGCTCCCACTTTTTGTGACTATTGCGGAGAGATGCTTTGGGGCTTGGTACGACAAGGGTTGAAATGTGAAGGTAAGTTTGTCAATAAGTGCATCTTAAGTATGACATGTATCTATGTCCATGTATCTATTGTCCATGACAATACACACTTTCAGTGATTTTGTGTATTGTACTTCAGTCATAGCGGGACGCGGGTGGCGCTGTGGGTAAAACCTCAGTGCCTAGGACTTGCTGATCGTAAGGTCTGCGGTTCGAATCCCCGCGGCGGGGTGAGCTCCCGCCGTTCGGTCCCTGCTCCTGCCAACCTAGCAGTTTGAAAGCACCCCTAAGTGCAAGTAGATAAATAGGTACCGCTCCGGCGGGAAGGTAAACAGCGTTTCCGTGTGCGGCGCTGGTGCTGGCTCGCCAGCTGCAGCTTCGTCGCGCTGGCCACGTGACCCGGAAGTGTCTTCGGACGGCCCGGCTCCTGGCCTCTTGAGCGAGACGAGCGCGCAACTCTAGAGTCGGACACGACTGGCCCGTATGGGGAGGGGTACCTTTACCTTTACCTTTACTTCAGTCATATTTAAAAATAAAACATAGTAGGTGTAACTCAAAGAGCAAGACATGTTATTATTTGAATTCGTTTTTCTAAAAGTCTTATGAAGTCAGCAACCACATCCTCCCCGATAATGGCTTTCTTCTGTGGCAAGCAAAATTTCTGTTTGACAGTGCTACAGAGATATAAACAACCCAATCCTAAGGGTTTTAGGGCTGTCCTATTAGGTTTAGGGTATGCAAAGCTAATGTCAGTGCAACATTGGAAGCTGTAGCATTATGCCAATGCTGCAGACAAACATGCTGGCACAAATGTTTTGGTCTGACGTGTTGATTAGAGAAATGTTTCCTTTTCTTGTCACAGCTTTTTATAACATGCAAATAAAGTTCTGAATGGGCATACCTTTTCATGTGGCCCTTGTTCAGTTGGCTGCAGTACCTTCCTCAGTTCTCCTGTCAACAGGCTGTTGTCCAGGTATTAGTAACATGACACTTCATGCTTAATGGCTTTTACTCAACTCCTGTGGTTCCAGCTGAGCCAGGAGTACATTGTTTAGATAGTCTGCCAGGGGAAAGAGAGCTGAGGAAGATCAGCAGCAACATGTATTGCATAACAGGCCCCGTTTTCAGGCTTTAGCTAGGGTGAAGCAGGGTCAGAAAAGCAAGTATTCAGGCCAAAAAAATTCCATGCATTACACAGATCTGCTGATAATTACACCACCACTCCGTTGTGCTAGGAGATTATTAAAATTATATTGAGAGTCAAATTCACCATGTTTTGGCTTGATCTGTCTTTTCTGAAAATATGATCCTAATTTATTACTGTCAATTCTATTTAAATGAATGGTATCATTCATAATAAGTTGTTTATCCCCCTTCCCTAATGCTAATTTTATTAGGGTGTGGATTAAACTACCACAAGCGATGCGCCTTCAAGATCCCAAACAACTGCAGTGGTGTAAGAAAGAGGCGTTTATCTAATGTATCTTTACCAGGATCTGCACTTTCAGTCCCAAGATCAGTGCAAACTGAATACACAGTCGCAGTCACAGAAGAGGTATTTAGATGATTTTTCTCTCTCTTAAGGTGGGATTCCATTCAAGTTGCATATGCTACTGTCATGTGTCAAGGCACATAACCCCAAACCTTCCTTTCGTAAATATGTGGGGCTCTTGGAGCTCCTTATCTGTGTTCTGATTTAATATGTGCTGAGGTTCAGCTGCTCAAATAGCCTTAGAGTATGCAAGGTATAATCACTAACAACTTCCCCTTTCTTATTCTACCCCTCCAAAGCACAGCAAATTTAATATGATTTTCCTTTTTTGTGTGTTGTGTGTGTTTATAACCAAATCAGTCACTTAACACTAGGTGATAAAGGTTAACAATGGAAATATTACATATATTAGGTAAAAGTAGAATTTAAGAACCTGATTTATTGCTATTCTGAATGTAATAGGATGAATATATAGTTCAGCAGTGCCCTATTGCTTGAAAGGTGGATGGCTCCATTCATGAGTGTAGATGTTACAGTTGTATTAAATTAATAAAAATCCACCCCGTCTGCAATCCAGTAAGGGCTTGATCAGGTTAGATCAGGCCCTCAGTCTGACTTGGACCCTCATCTCACTCACTTTAAGGAATTAAACACCAGCTGGTGGCCATAGCAAAAACAAGGCATGGAGCTTATTAAAAGTGATGGCGGATGTCTTCTGAAGTATTAAGGAGGGCTGTTTAATATCACTGGTAAATGCCAACTATTTGGTTCCAGCTCGAACCTAGGTTGGTGTAGCAATATATGGCTTCTGTGTTATTTAGATTCCTTATTATGGATACTTTTTCCAGGCTTAAGTAGAAACATAAGAAGAGTCCTACTGGATCAGACCAAAGACCCATCTAGTCCAGCATCCTGTTCTCACAGTGGCCAACCAGTTGCCTTTTAGTTTGCTATAGTCTTGTTGGTAAAGGAGGCCCGGAAAGGATTGGGGAGCTAGGAATGATAGGAGCCTAGGGAAAATATCAGGAGAATTAGGTCTGCACTACAAGTTCAAGCCCTGCATGTCTGCTTTTCTTTTCAGTGTCCCCTTCTAGAGCCCAGTAAGAGGATTCCTTCCTGGAGTGGGCGTCCAATATGGATGGAAAAGATGGTGCTCTGCAGGGTGAAGGTTCCACATACCTTTGCTGTTCATTCTTACACTCGACCCACCATATGCCAGTACTGCAAACGATTGCTCAAGGGTCTCTTTCGCCAAGGAATGCAGTGTAAAGGTAAGAGTATTCACTGCTGCAAGGTTAATATTGTTATTTGTACAGCTTTTTCACATTCTTAGCTATACACCCAAAGCCTGAGTTAAAATTATTTCAGCAAGAAGGGATGCAAGCTTTGAACTACTCCACTAAGTCCTCTTTGTAGCTTTTTTTAAAAAGAGAAGTAAAAAACCAGGCAAAACTATTGTGGTTTTTCACGAACATAGAATATCCCAAGTGCACAGAAACTCCTACCTTCTCACCTTCACTCTCTTAGTATTAGACACGGGACCACAAACTTTGCAATTGATATGCACAGCATCATAGAATCATAGAGTTGGAAGGGACCCAACCCCCTGCAATGCTGGTTCACAGCTAAAGAAGCCCTGACAGATGGCCATTCAACCTCTTAAAAAACCCTCGATGAAGGAGATGTGAGGGACCAGATGGGAGGCTGGGGTGTGGTCCAGCAGATTAACCTCCAGTTGCAGATCCCTGTTGTAGGCTATTGGCAAAGCAAGTATTTATAAAGCCATCCCCACTTTAAAAAAGCTGTTTGCATTTAATTTATACTCTTACTAAAACTTTAAAGAGTGTGTAAAATATAGTATTACTATACTTAGCTGAGAAATCCACTTACTTTCCTAAGTCTCAAATGTAATCTGTGATTCAGCATGGCAGTATAGTTTTGTTGTTTATATGCCATCAATAGCCTGTGTCTCCAGATCATGGATCATCTTTTTTCTTTCCCCCTGCAGACATATGCCTCTGTATATTTACTACTTGGTATGAACCCTTGTCTTATATTTTGTATGTAAAGTGCTTAGTTACTTGTGGCACTCAATAATATGTTGTTTGTGTAGGGATTAGTTTTTTAGTTTCATAGCAGTAGAGATATTTTAAGGTAGAGAGTTCAGTAATAAAGTTTGCAAATTAACACACACAAAATATTTTATGTACAATTTAAAAGAAACAGTCTGGGGACATCATTTTCAAGAACATAGCAGTGGTAAATAAACCTGCAAAAAGAACCTGCTGGGGCCTAGCTGTGTTCTTCCAGCACCCTATTGCTTTTCTGTGCTGCCTTTCCTCTGCTGGCATTTTTCTACTGGTTTTTCTCCACTGGCAGCCCACTTGGTTTCTGTGGAAAGCAGAGAGGAGGGATGGTTCATACCCCTGCATGCAATTTCTTGTTGCACATGGCTACTTGGTGAGTGCTTAGATACAAAAACATCCCCAAAATAAATAAAATGTAGGTGTCATGTAAGGGATATTTAAAGAGTTTCTCCATAAATGTATGAGTGAAAGCAAACCATTTTTTCTTGCTTTAGACTGCAGATTTAACTGTCACAAACGTTGTGCTTCTAAAGTACCCAAAGATTGTCTTGGAGAAGTTGTGTTCAATGGAGGTAAGAGCAAACATGTTCTGAAATAGTAAAGAATTATTTGTGTATTAATTTTCAGTGTGACTTGCAATATATTTAAAAGGTGAGATAGAAGTATGTAAATGTTCTTACATACTTGAGTTGACTGAAAGTGCTCTCTATCTGCTGAAGTGAAATATATTAACAACTTTGGTCTCTTCAGCAAAGTTGATAGTGAATTTCCATTGAAAGTATTCAGTCTTGTGGTCCCTAGGAGAGTGTCTCAGGAGCCATAGGATATTGTGCTAGGGTAGGCTGCAAGGCTCTCTGGGTAATTTATGCTGAGTAGCACCACCACCACTGTTTCCCATTTAAGTATTACTAGGTCTGGCAGTAAAGAAATCTAGACCTGAAATATTTATAGTATACTGAGAGTGGGGAATGCTTTTCTAGACTCCTGCCTTGCTTATGGCAGCAGTCCAATGAGTAATTCTCAGTTTCTCTCCTTAAAAGCATAGAGGGTGGGGAAATGCTAGGCAAGGTGAGTAGACCAGATCCCACAGCTATGCAAAAACATAACCAATCCCAGAGTTCAAATTACAAGAGCAGATTTATTTAAAGCACTGAAAGAAATAGAAAGCTGTTTTAAATATAAGGAAACTTCTATTTGCTATCCAAGGCAATCTTAGTAAGTTATAAATTATTTTCAGCTGACATGCAAAACAGCATGGGTCATCCCAGGCAATTCATAGAAGGCATTCAAGGGAGAGATGGAGATCATTTAAAAACCTTGCCCTTTCTTTTAAAAAAAACCCCTCTGAAGATTCAGTTGGGGGTGGTGGCGGTTAGCTGGCCAGGTAGGTAAGGTATCCACCAACCAAGGGAAGGCAGTTCTACTTGGAATCTTTGAGGTTCATCACATATGCAGATGGAAGGGATAAGAAGTGTGAATGGGCAAATTACCTGATTTTCCTCAACACCACCCCATGGGGTCAGAATGGGGTAAGCAATCTCACATGCATGTGAGGCAGATGTTTTAGATGTGACTTGTGTGTCCTAAAGAAGGACACCAAACCATCAATTTCAGTTGGGTTTCTGCACAGTTCTAAGTGGGATTCAGTGTTGGTGAAGTGTAGGATGCGCAGTGGGGAATATACTATTCCCTCCAAAGTCTTGCTGGCCTGTGCAGCAACCTTACCCAGTGTTTTCCTTTTACACAGTTTCCCTTCACATTCTATTCTCTTTCCCTGCTCTGCCTAATTTGTTTCAATGATGGATGTGGTTTTCAACGGGTCCCTCCTCAGGGTACCTGGGCTAACTCATCCAACTTCTTCCACCCCTCATCCTGATCTGGAACCCCCCCCCCAATGTCTCATGATATTAAGGCCCAGTCCAGGGTCTCTTTGGAGAATGAAGGGTCTTGGATTCAATGGATCCAAGCCTCTGCTGGACCCTTCAGAATCCCGAGTTTGGGGGCATAAGTTGCTTTGGGGCCTAGTTGTCAGTGGTAACTGTGTTGGTAATATAAACCTATTGTACCTTTGCAGACATAATAGGGGCTTCTGCAGTGGTGGTGCCTGCCCCCTTGGTAGAGGTCTGTGGGGGGACCTACCTATGTGCAGTTCTGGACCTTACCAGCCATGGGATTTGGGGATTGGGATCTCTCCATTAGATACTGAAACTGAGGGAAGAAGATAATATGTTTGGACAGCATATGCTTTCACTGGTGCCTTAAGCATCCCACTGCTTCTCCCCTGTTGCAATAAAACTTGAAAGAATTCTTCTGCTGTAGTCAGTAGAAGACTATTTTCAAACATATTACAGTGGGTGGGTGTTTGGATTAACCTTTGTATGCTGAGCTGACACACTCGCCTGCCCGGCTTGAAAAACTCACTAAAATTAGGGTTGAAAATTGACTCCCAATGCAAGGCTTTTTTCAAGCCTACTAGTTGGGGGGGCGGGGGCGGGATCTTTCTTTTGGGAGGGAAGGTTAACCCTAATGAATAGCAGGGTGGAAGTTTGAATGTGTGTAAGTGTGGTTGCGGTGCGCAGAACAGTTTCTCAGGTTCTCAGATTTATCCACTGCACAAAAAAGTTGGGCAACACAATGCCAGAAGTTGATTATGGAGCCTCACAGTAGCTGCCATTGATGTATTATACCCTTTGCACTCTGATGGAACTGGCTTCCTAGTTTGACACCTCTGTTTTAATTGCTAGCATTACATAACTCCTAATTTCCTCTGTGTAGGGGAGAATTTACAGAATCTTTTCTAAAGCAGAAATGTTGGAGAGCATGTTTGTGTAAAATTCCTTCTTCATTATTTTGTCTCTGTGCCTGTCTAAAGATACTAGAAAAATCAACCCTGTGTGTGGCAGTTGTGACTGCCTATCCTTGGCTGCCCTGCTCTGTTTGAAGCAGCAGAAAGCTGGGTTTAACTTGCATTAGTATTGAACCAGGTGTAAAGAGAGTTCTGTTCTCTGATTCCCATCCTGTCCACACCCTTCCCTGGAAAGACATAGTCATGATGTTCTTGCATCAGAGGAGAGGGAGTTGGCTGGCACAGGAGGTGGAAGAACTGTGATGATGCCAACTTTCCACTGATGGAGAATTGCCCTGTGTCAGGAAGTACCTACATAGCATGAAGTGGCCTTAGTAAAACAAAAACATAGCCCAATTGTTTTTACTTTTTCTCCTGTCTTGGCTGTGTTTGATTGTGTATATTTGATTTTGTTACATATGTACTGAAGGCTGCAACAGATTTCTAATTCATTCCTGACTAAAATTGTGGTGTAAATGATTTTTCTAACATGAATAATATTAATGAATAATAATATTTTGTAACCTTTTGTTTTTATATGGAATAAGAACCGGCTAGTCCAGGTCAAGATATGGATATGCCAATGGAGGTTGACAGCAGTGAAATGAACAGTGATGGAGGTAGGAGCTTGGATGATACAGAAGAACCCTCTCCCCCAGAAGACAAAATGTTTTTTATGGATCCAGCAGATCTAGATGGGGACAAAGATGAAGAGGCTGTCAAAACTATCAGGTTTGTAAAATCAAAGTATTCCATTGCATGTCTGTGAAGCTCCCTATTAAAAACATTTTTCTGTTGAGAGGAGAATTAATTTTGCTATTCACTTATTATTATTTATTATTGGTTTACAAGAGATGCTTTCTCACTCTTCAGCATAAGTGAAAAACAGCAATTAACAGAATTGATTAAATGTGAAAGTATGTAGGCTTGAACCTATTGGAAGTAGAATCCCCTGTGAGCGTCAACATGGAAATAAATTACATTATTGAAGAATGCTTAGCTATACTGACTAGTTGATGGAAAATGTTATGCTGACCTAGATTTATAGGGCTACTTTATTCTCCTGACCTTAGGCCAAACTCATTCCAGTCCTAATGCAAGTCAATTGATTGAATGGAGTTACATAAGGAATCAATTTTGCTCCTTGTGTGTGTTGCAAGTTAGGTTAAAGGAAACAACTTTTGGCTCATTGGATGTGACCTCTAAAGGGTCATGTGCTTTTACTCGTATATGTACTACTAGAGTAAATTATTTGAATTACAGCTCATACTATTGTTTATAAAAGATGAGATCCAGTGTAGTTTATGGAAATAGAGCAATGGATTTAGAATAGTGTTCAGCCATGGACTCATTAGGTGGCCTTAAAGAAATTTAAGCCTTAGCTCCATACTGTAAAGTAGGAATAATAAAGACAGATTTCACTGGGATGTAGTGAGAATGAAAGTGAGGATTGCAAGACTATTTATCTACCTAAAACTCAATTCATGTCTACGGTGTGCTTCAAATCATTTTCCTCTGTAGCAGGGTGGGGAACCTCATGCCTGGGGGCCAGATGTGGCCCTCCGTGCCTCTCTATCTGGTCCTTGAGACTCTCCCCAGCCACAGCTCCTCTGCCAAGGCCACTCCCCTCTGTAGAACTGCTTTGACCCTCCTTGAGTGTTTTTGTGTGGAGGGCGTATGTCCTTAGATTCTGATTTTGCTTCCTGCTTGCCTGCATGGAGGATAGAGAAGAGTGGGTGGATGTGTGTTAAAACTAGTCTACCTTACAAAAGTAAAATTCATGTTCACGGCTCTTTCTGTTCCCGTCCCCACTTCTGCTTGTGGCCTTGCCTCCCACCAGCATGTGATTCCCGGAAGGTTGCTTAGAAGGGAATGCAGCCCTCGGACTGAGAAAGGTTCCTCACCCTCAATGTACAGACAGGGCTTGGACTCAGTACATGGCAACCAGAATGCAGGGCCCTGCTTGGTACCATCTTTCTTAGGCTGTGCTTGTCCTCTCCTCCCATGAGAAGATTTCAGAGTGGAAGTGGAGCTGAGTTCCTGTCCTACTGGGCACGATTCAGGATAGCTGCTATAGTACTTATCTCTCCCTTCAAGAAAAATAGGAGCACAGGAAGATGGTTTTAATTTAGGATAGGACTTAATTTAGGATAAGATTTTTGCTCTTTGTTACTGTCTCTATTGCTGTTGGATGTGTGTATATGTGGAAAGAGGACTGAGTTTATATTCAGGCTTGGTTTGATGAAAGAGATCATCCTAGGACCCCTTGTTTTGTTGGTTCATAGGGCAGGTTTGGGCTTTACTGTAACCTGCTGCCCAAGAGTTAATAAGTCTGCCTTGGCATCTTCTATAATGTTGTAAAGGACTTTGACACCTCATCTAAAACTGTGTCATAGCCCCTTAACATGGTAACGTGTCTTGCCTAATCTGGGTGGGGGAGGGTTAGTGATTTTAAAAACAACTCTCTTGTCATCTGTATGATCATGATGTGCCCTACATAATGTTTTATTTTTAGAAGATTTTTGTTTAAGATGCAAGTAATAGTCAAGAATATTCTACTTGAAGTTTATCCTGAATTATAGCACAGCTGTAGGATGTCCTGAAATATGTATGATTAGAGACATGCGTTTCTTTTTTCAACAGCCCATCGACAAGCAATAATATTCCATTAATGAGGGTTGTGCAATCAATCAAGCACACAAAGAGGAAGAGCAGTACAATGGTGAAGGAAGGATGGATGGTTCATTACACTAGCCAAGACAACCTGGTCAGTAATTTTACCTCTACTTTTCAGTGTGATATTTACTTTTAGTTATTTTAAGTCTGGGATGGGGAAACTGTGGCCTTCCAGATACTGTTGGGCTCCCAACTCCTTCAAAGCAAGCTAGCGTGACCAATAGCTGAGTTTATGGGAATTGTAGTCCAACATTTAGAGAACCACAAATTCCTCACCTATTTTTTGCTTTAAAAATTGCTTTAAAACTCTCAAGAAAGGAAATGATCTATGCTGCTCTGTTTATGCAAGCAGTGCTTCTTCAGTACTAGCTATGGGAGGAGAAAGAACTCTCTGTACTGGCTGGGCTCTGTCTGCCATTGTAACCAACAGAAGCCTTGTTTGTATGTTGGGTTCAGGATCACAATGGTGTGGTAGGGTCTCCCTTATCCAAGACAAGTTTCCCGAGCCAACTCTGTTGCAGCCTCTGAGGAGCAGCTAGAAAATGGGGTCACAGTATTGTTCTCCCCGTTCCACTGTTTTCCTGCTCAGATCTCTTGAGTCTTAAAGTCTTTGCCTGATGGGGACTTTCCCAAAGTGTTGGGACAGTGATACCTACTGCTGCTGCCCTGGGATAGGAGGTGGTCACAGAAAACATCTTGGTCCTATGCATTGCTGCACAGGCTTGAGCTTTAGAGTAGGCACTGTTTGAAAAAGCATAGCTGATAGTACCTTTAAAGGTCATCATCAGTACAGGCCATTGAAATTGCTAACATGGATTCTGCTATAGGGTACCAATGTCTGTGTCTTAAAGAGAAACCCTCTCATATTTGTTGCAGAGAAAAAGACATTACTGGAGGCTGGATAGTAAATGTCTTACACTATTTCAGAATGAATCTGGGACAAAGTATTACAAGGTAAGTGATAATATAAATCTCTTTTTTTTTTTTTACTTATGTCAGTTTCCATCTAAAGTGTTGTTCCCCTAATGTTAATCTGTAGTTGAAATCCTTCATTTACATCCTTTTCTCTGCACAATACTGTATTTGTGTATTAACTGTTGAACCCTAAATATCATAGGTATGTTAAGATTGAGATGTTTTTTTAATGAAGGTGCACCGTGTCTCTTGTGTACAGTTCTTTATCTGTTTATTTGTGTGTTACAGTGCCCAGCCATGCATGGATATTTTATGCCCCTTGAAACCAGACTAGTGAATGTTTGAGGGACTGGGGTAACAGAAGTAGAATACTTACTGAAGAAAAGGATAGCATATATGGGAGGAGGCAAAGGATTGAGAGAGCCAAAATTGATCATGTCCTGTGACATAGCTGGGAATAAGAAGGCTTACAAAGCACCTGACAGGCAGCAAAACTGAAAATAAGCAATTATGTCTGCTTCCTGAGTGGATGGTGAAAGGTCTTCTCACTTTGGATATGGTGTGGTGATTCTGTAATGATGAACTGGGTCATCGGGCTGCTATAGAAAGATTGATTCTATGGACAATGTAGCACCAGAGATGAAAGGCAATTCTAAAGTGTGTCGTGGGAGGAAAATGCCAGTTGGGTCCAGAGCAAAGACAAAACTTTATTAGTGGCCCTTCTTGATTGTAATATTTGTGCAATCCCTAGGAACCTAAAGAGGGACTAAAGCGAAGGCCACTCAGTGCTATCAAAATATTTCTAGTTGAGTTCAGTAGCATACATTTTGTTATTGTTGCATATGCCCTCCACTCCTAGTGTTTAACACCTTTTGTTTCCTTTAGGAGATTCCGCTTTCTGAAATTCTTCAGGTGACTCAGCCGCGGGACTTCTCAAACGTGGTGCAAGGCAGCAACCCACACTGCTTTGAAATAATCACTGACACTATGGTGTACTTTGTTGGCGAGAACAATGGCAGCAATCATCATAATCCTGTTTTGGCTGCTACTGGAGTGGGACTGGATGTAGCGCAGAGCTGGGAGAAAGCTATTCGTCAAGCTTTGATGCCAGTCACGCCTCAGGCTAGCATTTGCACTGCTGCAGCACAAGGGAAAGATCACAGTAAGAGCACAGAAGCACTCTCTTCTTCCTAATGGAGATCTGTGAAGTAATGGGCCCTGGTTCAACAAAATATTTTATGGGTTGCTTATGCCTGCAACATGTCATGGGGCTGGCTCTGTATTTGAACCAGACCTTCAACTGCTACATATTTAGCATTAGTTAGTATGTCAGTGCTGTTCCTCTCGGAGTTGATTCCTGTCTTGCTAATTCTACATATGTAACAATTAAGGGCCTGGTTTTAAAACTGAAACTGTGTGGAATACCATACGAGTAAGCAATGCAACTCTTCCTCGGCCAGTGTTGAAAGCAGGCCTCATGCTGCTAGTGTAGCCTTTCCAAAAATTCTTTCCCTTCCTGTGTGAGTTGTAGCCATTGACTAAACTCATCTGAAGTCATGCCATTTATATGCTAACTATAGAGCAAGCAGGACCCTGCTCGTAGAATGCTGACATATAACACAGCTTCAGTGGAGGAACTGAGAAGTCAATTTGGCTTACAGAAAAAAACATGCAGAGAACCGTTGTCCTAGGAGCAGGAGGAACTGTGTACTGATGGCAGGAAGAGAGAGGGTGGTGACATGGGTGTTGACGGTGAAGAGGAGGATTAGAATCCTGACAGAAAGATAAATGAGTAGGCAGTGGGCTAAGGAAGGCATGACCTGAGGGGAGAACAGGTGGAATTACAACATGCATGCTTCATAGCCAAGAACAGTGCATTTGTGTGGGGTGGGGGACAGGGAGGGCTTAAATAGAAGGGTAGTGGGGTGAAACAGCTTGGACTGGATTTTTCGTGATTCTCCTTGTATTAAAAATAAGGCTGAGCCCTGGCACATTGCAGCTCTGAGCTAGAGGCAAAGAATGGAGAACTTGTGATGAAAAGCAGGACTGGGTTGTCTGACTGTTGAATTAAAGGAGATTCTGGCAATGCCTAATGCCCCCAAAGACTGGTGTTTAGGTTCAGACCTGTGTAACAGTCATGCAATACATTCTGTAAGCCTATTTGACTGATACATAAGAAAAACGCATGTGCTTACAAATTCCTTAGTTCCTTCGAGGTGGAGACATAAGGAGAGCAAATGTCTTGAAGGAAGGAGGAACACGGGCAATGTTGATGGCCAGTGACAAAATAGAACTGAAGAAAAATATTCTGTGTTGTTGTGGTAGAGTTCAGTGCGAGGGAGATTTTGAAAGCTGTCTGTTAGGGGAACATAAAGAGGTGTTTGGAAATGTGATGCAGAGTGCCAAGGCTACATTTCACATATTAATTGGCATGTCAATAAATGTTTGGCTGCTAGGACATTGGTCTTTCATTGTAATACTGCTTCCACATTAAAAACATGTATATTTTCTCATTGCAGAAGAATTATCTGTCAGCATTTCTGTTTCAAATTGCCAGATCCAAGAAAATGTGGTGAGTCACAAAATGTAAATACTATTGTAGCTGGATTGTTATCAGTTGTCCCCCGATGGCTATTTTATATCAAAATAATTGGAGATAAAGACAAATGAAAAGCTGAAGAACACATTGTTCCCATTAGGCAACCTAGCTTATTTAATACAATGACTTGTCTGAAAAAAAATCTATATATGGTAAAGTTTCTTAACCTTTTTAGTAGTGAGCAATGCAAAAAGAGAAGCCTTGTAAATGATACTTTATAAGTTTGATCCCTTCCCCCACTTGAGAGCCAGTGTGGTGTAGTGGTTAAGAGTGGTAGACTCATAATCTGGTGAACCGGGTTCAATTCCCCGCTCCTCCACATGCAGCTGCTGGGTGACCTTGGGCCAGTCACTTTTCTCTGAAGTCTCAGCCTCACTCACCTCACAGAGTGTTTGTTGTGGGGGAGGAAGGGAAAGGAGATTGTTAGCCGCTTTGAGACGCCTTCGGGTAGTGATAAAGCGGGATATCAAATCCAAACTCTTCTTCTTCTGATATGCAGGAATTGAACTAAATACAATAAAGATTACTGACAAATTTTGAACCTATAATTTAAAACCATTATCAGTTGTTGGATGAGAATTAAGGGTTGTTATTATTATTATTTTAAAAAGACTATTGTTGGGGGCTGCCTTTTTGGTAGTTATTTCCCAAAAGGAGGAATGACTTTGTTCCCCAAGCATGAAATGTGCATCCATGTTCTGATCTAAAACCATACTCCAGTGCCTTCTTATAGTAGGTTATCTGGGGGAAGGGAAACCCCATAGTCTAGGAAAACAAATGCTGCAGTCCTTTGCCCAGTTACTCGAAAGCAAGTCTCATTGAATTTGACAGAACATCTAAATGAATATGTATAGGATTTGCAGTTTTGGTAGAACATTGGTAGGCTAATTGAAATGTTTTGGGACACGGGTGGCGCTGTAGTCTCTTGGGCTTGCCGATTGGAAGGTCGGTGGTTCGAATCCCTGCAATGAGGTGAGCTCCCGTTGCTCTGTCCCAGCTTCTGCCAGCCTAGCAGTTTGAAAACATGCCAGTGCAAGTAGATAAATAGGTACCACTCCGGTGGGAAGATAAATGGCATTTCCATGCACTCTGGCTTCCATCACGGTGTTCCGTTGCTCCAGAAGCGGTTTAGTCATGCTGGCCACATGACCCAGAAAGCTGCCTGTGGATAAACTCAGCCTGAAGCGAGATGAGCGCCACAGCCCCATAGTCACCTTTGATTGGCGTTAACTGTCCAGGGGTCATTTACCTTACCTTCACCTAATTGAAATGTTTTATTTTATTGGTAGTTTAGGTGATGTGTGGTTTGTACTCTTCTTCCCTAGTCTTTTGTTTATTATATTAGTGATATGCCTGTCAAGTTTGCAGGATAGAGAACCTGTGTTTCTTGTTCGTGATCTCTGGGCATTCACACATGTTGGTTCAGTGCCTGTTCAGAGCTCTTTGGGAAATGTCTCTAGCTAGGCTAGAGTTTTAGTAGGTGTCCTGTCCCCACCTTTCATGTGCCCATATCAAAAGGGCATGGCTTCCACCTTTGTGCTCAGTTTTCTTTCTCCCTCATCTCAAGGCTGACTTTTGTTTGTGAGGCAGACAGGTTCTTCTAGTCAAGCACTTCTTAGTGTGAGGTCAGAATGTTCTCTGGAATGTGCCCAGAAATTCTGGAATGTTTTCCTGTGGATCACCTTAGAGCAGGTCTGGTGGTAGCTAAATGAGTTTCACCCAGTGCCAGTGACATAAATGAGGCAGTGATGCCAAATCTGGGGCCCAGCCCTACTCTTGCTCATATTACAAATATGTGTGACAATGTGCTTACTACAAGTACAGTTGTCAGGAATCCATCATTGGTTGCAGCTCCTCTTTTGCATATACAGAATACATCTACAATGTGGCAAATGTTCTTGACTGGCCATGCTAAAGAAACAAAGATCTATGGTTCTGATGGGATTTTCATATAGACTGGCCTTAGCATATGAGCACACATTCATGCTGACAGAAAGGCTGGTTTGTATGCTTTATTGTTACACAGCTGGAGACAAGTTTAAGGAATACAGATTGCACTGCAGTTTGTAAATTTGCAAATAAATTACAAATAAATTTGCAAATGTTAATTTTGTATGCTGTTCTTATCTCTGTTACACAAGTTACTATACATGGTAAACAATGCTAGCATGAACAGGTTTTAACAGGTGGGAATGGACCTTTTTTACTCCCCTTTTTTGGAGTAATTTTTAATTGGGTTATAAAGAAATACTTTCTTTCCCTTTTTGTGTCCATGAAGTGTAGCTCTTAAAGCTTCTGCCTCTGTCACTGAAGTAATTGAACATAATATTTACCTTCCCCTGCCTGCACCCTCTCTTCCCCTAGGATATCAGTTCCGTATACCAGATCTTTGCTGATGAGGTGCTTGGCTCTGGTCAGTTTGGTGTTGTGTATGGAGGTAAGTTTGACTAAACAATCACTGCAAGTTCAGACTTGTGATATTTGGCTTTGCTTCATGCTAGATCTTCTCTCAGGTTAGGAGAAAGTAATTCAATAGTTGCAGTTCAAGAGACAGTTTCTGTCTCTTACGCAATTGCTTGCCTGGTTTACAAAATTAATTCCCATTCAGTTGGTTCTTCTGTTACCTTGCAGAAGTTATGGAATGTTACAGTTGGGTTGCCTTTCTTTTTAATCTTGTAAAAATAAGCCTATATTTTTTGTACCTTTTACTTACACTTAAATCTTTAAGGCAGGTACTCTTTCTGCTTGCTCCATGCAACTATCTTCCAGAGCAGTTATTGTACCCTGACTAATTACAGAATCACCAGTACTGAATAAAGAACTCCAGGTGAGGTCTAGCTAGGCCTCTAAAATAGTAGTAGTGTGGTGTCCTTGTAGCATTTCTTTAGCATTCTTTCTGCCCCTTATGTATATTTTGTGCTTATCTTAAATAAACTGATCAGCTTTTCTCATTAATGTTATATCAAGGCTTTTGTATGTTTTGTTCCATATCAGCTAAAGTGCAATGTGATAGAAGCTAGGGTTGTCCTGTAGGTAGAATCTGGATTCTGATATTCATCCTTTTATTAACTCACTCAGTAATTCTGGACCATTTTATTAACTCAACCTAAATTCCTCATCTGTGGAAGATAAGTAGTAATTTTATTTTATAAGTGAGTGTGGCTAAAACTAAATATAAGCAAGTCTCTTTGCACATTCAAAGCTATAATGTTTGTAATACATGAATAGTCCCTGAAGGAGCAAGTTTTGAAATTCTGATTTGTTTCAAGCAAACTCTGTTGCCTCTCACTTCTGCACTTTGAGAGCGGAGCTAAACAATGATTTTGTTGAATTAGGCTCTATGCCCATATTAGTAAAGGTGTACCAAAAATATCCCCATTCAAATTAAGGACTGAGAAGAAGCCCACCCCACTAAAATGAAAGTATAATTCTCTCCTTGGACATGCAGGGATTTTGGTCTTAAGGTGAGATTAGATCTTAACCACAGAGATCTAGACAGCAGAGCAATAATTGCCTTAAGCAGGGAGAAGCACTTTGATATGATGCAAGCTTCAGCACTTTGCATGCTTCATCTGAGATTGTGATTTGGGTTATACTACTTCCCATCCTCTTTCTCATGTGATAATCATGTAGACTTCACATTTGCATAGGAACCTGAATGCTTCAAGTCCAACAGATGCAGATGCCTTATTCATGCAAACTGTACATTATTAATATTGTGGTGTACAGATCATGTGGCCAGAGCCCCTATGCAAGCATAAAATCTACCATGTGGATGTCAGGTGGGGATAAGAGGCAAGCTCTCTCTTCTCATGGGTATTGGCTGAAAATCTGTAAATGACAGATATATTTCCCTCTCTGTTTTTCAGTGTAATATTTAAATACACATTTATCACAAATATCTACCTTCTGTGCAAAACGTTTGTTTTTGACTCTCCTTGTTAGGTTGGAGATACTAAAGTGTGTACTCTGTGTGTGTTTATGTAGGAAAACATAGGAAGACTGGAAGGGATGTGGCAATTAAAGTCATTGATAAAATGCGATTCCCCACAAAACAGGAAAGTCAGCTGCGCAATGAAGTGGCCATTTTGCAGGTACAAAGATTATTTGAATCTGTTCTGTTACATCATAGGAATAAGTTTATTATTGAAATACTGTGAGTAGGTGAGCAATCAGAGGCTTGAATTGTACAGAGGCTTGAATCTGCATGTTTCAGAGTTGTGAACATACAGCGTTTCTGTGTGATCATTGTTGACATAGCTGGGTACAATCTCTGCGTAGTCTTGCTTTTGTATATTTTAATATTCCTGCTATAGTAGTTTCTGAGCTGTACAGGAAAACTGTAAAAAGAGCCATAGCTTGTGTTTTCTCTCTACAAATATTGCTAGGGATTGCTTGAGTGCTTTCTAAACAATTAAGCATAGCCAGGACCTAGGCAGATATTTTCTGATTTTCAGTACATAATGGTGGTACATTTTTCATGACAATATTAAATATGCTTCCTAGAATTTGCACCACCCTGGGATTGTAAACCTGGAATGTATGTTTGAAACTCCAGAAAGGGTTTTTGTTGTAATGGAAAAACTTCATGGCGATATGTTGGAGATGATTCTTTCCAGTGAGAAAAGCCGGCTTCCAGAAAGAATCACCAAATTCATGGTCACTCAGGTGAGTCTGCTCTTAATAATGGCTTGTACAGTTCTGTTGTCACACATTCAGGGCAGGCTACAACTATTTAAAATAGACTGTTAAAACAATTTAAATCAAACCACAGGAAACTACTTTTTCATAACATTTCAGAAAAGTATTATATACAAAGTAACCTTAAGTAGGGATCTGGATCTGGATCCCCTAATATTTATTACCGTATGTACCAGGCAGGAATCTTGGTAGACTGAGATTCCTTTTTATTGCTGCTCTCGAAGAAGCACCTTTCACAAACAAGCAGTCAAATAGTGACTCAGGGTTGTATTCAAGATAGTGCTACATTAAAGAGAGTTAGTGTTGAACTTACTCTGTTAACATGTCACTTGGGGGAAAACAGATTCCAAAATGAATAGCTTGTATGTGTATGCTAAAGTTGTAGAGGATAGAAAAATTAAAGGTAGTTTCACAACATGTCTGGTAGTGCAGCCTCTTGCACAACAAGTGAACCTGTTGCTTTCGACTCCATGGCATGGTTCAGCTCCTGAACCCTCGGCCTGTAGAATCTCCTGCTGCCTGCACCCTTCTTTGTGGTACCAGTAATGTTCTCTTCCCTAGCTGCTCCCTTTTATTTATTTTTAAAAAATATTTGTTGACCCTAAAGTAGCAGCAGCCCTGGCACCAAAGGTCCTCTTCAGAACCAGGCACTCTGGGTAATGTGACCAGGAAAATGTCTGTCCAATTTCCATGGCTTGCCACGGCAGGGAGGTGGGAGACTTGTCAGTCCACCATGGATTGGAGTTGCACTTGGCTTCTCAAGCAAAGCACTGCCTCCTAGGCTCAGTGGTGGGTGAGTGGGCAGCAGGTTGGGCTGGTGAGCTAGCACTGGTTTGTGGGCAGCATTGAGAAATAGACCTCTACTAGTGCAATGGTCTTTGCACTGGGAACCTAAGAAGCTGCCTTATACAGGAGCAAGACCATTGGTCCATCTAGCTCAGTACTGTGTACATTGATTGGCACTGGCTCTGTAGGGTTTTAGGCAGAGTCTTTCCTAGTCATGCCTGGAAATGTTGGGGATTGAACCAGGGACCTTCTGCATGCAAGGCAGATGATCTGCCACTGAACTATGGCCCTTCTCGACTAACGATTTGACAGCATTGGCTCCAACCTCAGTCTCATGTGAAGGTGGGCCTTTTCTCCCCCTCCTTAGCCCTAACATCTTTCAGAAGAGGGGCTGAGGAGGACTCCTGGTGATCCTTAAACTGAAGGTAATTTCACCTGTCTTTTAGGCAATTCTTGGACACATAATATGTTGCATCTCTTTCTCTCTGATTTTGAAAATACTTTTTTCCTTTTATTTTCTTAGATACTTGTTGCTTTGAGGAATTTACACTTCAAGAATATAGTGCACTGTGACTTAAAACCTGAAAATGTACTATTAGCATCAGCAGAGCCATTTCCTCAGGTGGGAAAGAATGAAGTATTTTTTTTAATGGTTGTATATTCTGCAGGAGGATATACAGGATAAAATGTTCATTAACTCTGTATTTTATGCCATTTGGGAACAAAGCACCATCTTTTGTACTTTGAATACATCTCATAAAACAATTCTCCGCACACCAGTGTTTGTAGGTCTCTGAGAAAATTGTTACTAAGCCCGAAAGTTAGAACCATTCCATATGATCTACCAAGTGGCCTGGTTGGACACTTCAGGTATAGCGTGTCATTTTTCTAATGAGCAATTCTTGCAAAATTGTATGTTGGCGCACAACTCCCTACCCCCATCTGTTTTGTTTTAAAGAGTTGGCTATTACAGTTAATGAATTTTTGATACTGATGTTCAGTTCAAGGTAATTTAATCAAGGGATATTTGTTTTATAGGTGAAGCTGTGCGATTTTGGTTTTGCACGTATTATTGGTGAGAAGTCTTTCCGGAGGTCTGTAGTGGGAACTCCAGCTTATCTCGCCCCAGAGGTGCTTAGAAGTAAGGGCTACAATAGATCTCTGGATATGTGGTCAGTGGGAGTCATCATCTACGTGAGCCTTAGTGGTACATTTCCATTTAATGAGGATGAAGACATAAATGACCAGATTCAAAATGCAGCATTTATGTATCCACCAAATCCCTGGAAGGAAATATCTAGTGAAGGTAAATATACTCTAGAGGTTTTGGATATAATATCTTGGTTCATAATATTTTCCATGTTTCTATATTTTAGACTATAAGGCATGGCATTTAGTGTGAATGAGACCATGGAATTACAAGAAATTTAGGAGGAAACAAAGTGCTGTTATTCAGGAGTTATTGCAAAACGTTTGACTGTAATAGAAAATATTCATTTATTGCACTTTTATTCCACCTTTCCTTCCAAGTAACTCAAGATAGTGTATAGGCACCTGCCTCTACCCTGTTTTTTATCCCTGCAACAACCTTGTAGGGTTTGTAGACTGACAAATAGGCAAGGTCACCCAATGAGATTCATGGCTGGAAAACAGATGTGAATCTGGGTCTTCCAGGTCCTGGTTGAACGCTATCCACTATACTGCAGATGGGTCTCCAGCACAGATGGATAAAAGGCTTTAACTTTTATGTTGGAAACCTTATGCTTCATGTTATAGGGCCTGGTTTGGAGGGTTGTAAGATTAAAATCTGGAGGTATGGCCCTGTCAGGCATTATATTTAGGGCTTTCCCAATGCCTGCTGTAGAAAGGAAAAGAGCCACCAATTATCATAATGGACCCTGGGAACCCTATGTGAAAACATGCCTGTAGATCAGTGTTTTTCAGTTGGTGTAATGTGTTATTCAGCAATGCACTTCTTTGTACACAGCCCTTTCCAAAGTTGTCTTGCTTCCTCCCATGCCTGTAGTCTGCGTTTCCCAGAAAAAAGAACTTTATTTGTGCTTAAAGCTTGCTAATGTCATGTTTAGTTTTCAGCACTGGTGTGTAGGTAATGACAATTTGGAACTTATTATTTGAATCTGTTGCATACCTTTTGCAGCAAATGTACACTTTGAAAAATTGTTTCAATAGTAGGTATCAATTTGTCCTGAAAGCATCCAAACTTAGCATCCTATACATGTTACTCAGAAGTAAATGCTGCTCTGTTCAAAAGTACTTACTCCCAATTTAATGTGTGTAATCTTTCAGCATTATGGTACAATTCAAATTCTCTAAAACAAATAGAAGTCTTATTGTTGACTTCAGATGAATTCCACCCATACAACACAAACTGTTTACACAAACCCACAAACTTTCCTTTTTCTCTTAATTACTATTTTTTCCTTCAGAATTATTATTGTGGGTGACAGAAAAGACAAAATACTTATTTTGAATACTTTTTTCTCTTTCTTGCTCCTCCAGCTATCGATTTAATAAACAACTTGCTTCAAGTGAAGATGAGAAAACGTTACAGTGTTGACAAATCACTTAGTCACCCGTGGTTACAGGTATAGCTAATGCATACCAGCTTTATTGTGTTATATGTTACCCAGTTCAATTACATGAATCATAATCTGACTCAAGTAGTTGACAGGTCTTGTATAAATGAAATCTTGGAAAGTTTATTTGATTCAATTTGAGTAGAGCTATCTATTTTTCCTTCCTCTCTTTTTTGGGCATGATGAGAGTTTGTTTAATTTGGTCTGGGTTTAACAGTATGCACTGGGTTATTTGAAATAATAGATGTTAAGAGTCATAATTTTCGGATTTAGAGTGATGTCTCTGACACTCATTACTTTATAGCATTGGTTGTTGTATCATACACCCAGCCATCAGTTAATGACTTAGAATGTAACTAGATGTCTGAAACCCACTTTTGCTGAGCCAAAGTATATGACTTGGTGATGGAGACAGAACTTGAAAGGAAGAATCAGCTGACAGAAAGAAGGGTTGTCAAACCCTTCCACTGATTTTCCTCTGTAAAAGCTTTCCTGAACCCCTACCATAAGGGCTCTTTTCATTTTGGAATCCAGATGGAGTGTAAAAACCCAACTTAAACTGTCTTGAGGGAAAGGTACTTGGAGAGGATCTCCTGTGAGCATCCCATTTCCACGTCTTAATAATTAGCTGGGTTTTTTGTGTGTGTGCAAAAAACACCTCCCTCTAAGCTTGGCTCTAATTAAGTGTAAGGATTGTGAGCATGACTAGAGTGGAGGTCTATTATCTTGACCCTTGCCTGTTCTTTGTGACCCAGGCAGGACCTGTATCATTAAAGGTGAAAGATGTTTGGGCTTACTTTGCTGTTAGGCAGGCATGAAGATAGGCATACTGGGGTCTTGCAAGGGTTAGAAAGTAATGTGATTAACTGGCATGAAATCAGTGTGTTACATTGGTTTGATGCAGAGGCTGTGGTGGGAGTGAGGAACTTGCCCATCATCAGAACTGAATATTGTTGGGTAACACACTGTGCTTTTAGAAATGAATCACTGCGCTATTAAGATCAACATTGTGTTCAGAAACAACTCATCTAAACTTTTCTTTTTAGGATTATCAAACTTGGCTTGATCTTCGGGAGTTTGAAACTCGCATCGGAGAGCGTTATATTACCCATGAAAGTGATGATGCTCGCTGGGAAGAACATGCGTATGAGCACAATCTTGTATACCCCAAACATTTCATTATGGCCCCCAATCCAGATGATATGGAGGAAGACCCATAATTGTTACCCAGGGAAAGGCACTTAACTTAAACCATTACTGATACTCTGATGGAGCAAGTATTGCTCTTTGCTCTTCAGTCTATAAAGCAGTGAAGGATCTTCCATCAGTTTTTGGATGGATTAGATGACTTGGGAAAGGCTCCACATCTCTAGTTACTATGACTATGAATGCGATCCGGCACTGGGTTAAAAGCCATGAAATATTTGTGTTAACATTGCCTTACTGGTACATCGCAGTGATGTTACTGGCCGATGAAGTGCACAGAGACTTGATGTAGTATGTGAAATTTCCAGGGTTTTTGTAGTTTACACAATAACAAAATAATTTTAATGGTTTTCTAGTTCCTACCTACTAAGCCATAGAATACTATTTTCTGGTATTTAGATACATCTGTTAACGAAGCTGTAGAGAAACCTGAAATATATACCATGACCAAATAACTACAACAATGCTTGATTTTTAAGCCCCATACAAAACACTGGTAGAATATTTATTTAGCAGGTATGAGTTGGAAAAGCAATAAAAGTAAAGGGAGCCAATAACTTTAAGGCAGATTTGTGGTTCTTCTGCTTAACTAGAGCAGCCTCTTGATGTATGGAAGTGCAGAGCATTAAAAGTACAGCCATACCTCGGGTTGAATATACTTCATGTTGAGCGCGTTCGAGTTGCGCTCCACGGCAACCTGGAAGCAACGGAGCACGTTACTTCCGGGTGTCGCCGCTCGCGCATGCGCAGACGCTCAAAATGATGTCACATGCAGAAGCGGCGAAAAGTGATGCGTGCGTGCGCAGACGTGCCGTTGCTAGTTACGTTTGCTTCTGGATGCGAACGGGGCTCCGGAACGGATCCCGTTCACATCCCGAGGTACCACTGTACTCCATAATCCCACTTAATACAGACATGGTGTGTTTTCACCTTTACACTTACATTAGGAGAACAGTAAAGCATTATGGTGAATTATCATTGTGTGGCAGATGTTAGTGTGACTTTGAGGCTTATGGAGGGCTTTCGGCCTTAATTTATCCATAGACCGGGATCCAGACATGTAATTTGCATACTGCTGTAAAGAAAAAAGTGCTCCACCGGTTGTTTTTGAGCGCAACAGTTCCGTGTGCTAGACATAAACTTTTAAAAGCAATTGGTTTCTTCTGCAGTGGGAATTGTTGCACCAGATAGAAAAAACTGAAGCTCTTGCTGTGTGTATTGTTCCCTCTCCCATATCACATATTTGGCTCCAGCCAATTAGCATCCAGTTCACAACTAAGATCTTCAGTTGTTTAGCCTTCCACTGTGGAAACGTGATTTGTGGTGGAAAGTTTAAAGTAGTAGGTGCATCACAATAGCCTTGAGGTGGTGTGGGGGCTCATACTTCTGTGCTGTCATTCATTTTGGTCTGGAAGATACTTGTCTGCTGCAGTTTGGCCCCAAAGAATCTTTTAATTTCTTGAAATGAATAAAATTTTACTTAATTTCCAATTAATTCTAGTAACTAGAATCCACAGTGTAATATATCCTTAGGATCTCTCGTATTCTAAGAAGATGCGGTCATTTATGTTTCCAGGTTGCTCTTTGCTTTCTGCTCTTTGCTTTCCTTCTGCTTTCATTAAACCCTGTAGTCTAGCAAAATCACTCTTAGCTGTTGGTGATTAGGGGGTTGTGACCTTTTGCCTTCCACTTGCTGGGTTTGTCACTCAGAAGTTAAGGGTGGAAAGAGAGTTTGCCTCCCTCCCTCCTTCCTGTCCCACACAAATTTATTTGCAAGGCACTCCGCTTGAAGCAGCTGGCTTCTTCTTAAAAGATCTACTGATAGGAAAAGGATGGGAAGTGCCTTGGAGGAAGGGCTAAAACCTGTCACCCCTTTCTTCCCTTCCCTTCCTGCTAGCAGGTCTGCTGACAAAACACTTACATTTAATCCACACAGTTCTCAATTACAGATGAGAATCAATTTGGCAAGCACTCCTAGATTTAATGAGTATGAATGGGTGGTACTTTATACATAAAAAAGTTAACACAATAATATGAATTCACTTCCTGGCCACTGTTTGTTCCATCATAGTGTTAATTATTGCTGTCTGAACAGCAGCCTGTCAGTTCTGTTTTGCATCTGCTTTTCTTCTTTCTGATTTCCTGTCCATCTCCTTCCTCAGGTCGGTCTTCAGCATCTTCTCTTCTTCAACTGTCATCAGCTGACTTCTTTTCACTTTGCTTTCTCCCAGCATTTCATGCCCTCCTTTCACTTGCCCTGCATTCTGTGTCATTACAGGACTAGGCTTTACACTTGACATAAAAGTTATTCCTGTGCATGTCTGTGAATTACAACTATGTAAAGAGCAAGAGAGGAACACAGAAGAAGAATCTCAAAAATCTTATCACAATAAGGAAGGTCCAGTGCATACATTCCCTTACGTTAAACCAAATGTTTTGATCTGGAGAAATGATGGAAGCAGCAGTTCAAGAACAAGGCTATATGAAGATAACTTAAAGCAGTCTCAGAACATTAAAGGATACTGGACAACCAGTGCAAATGTCACTAAAGTAAATCTAAAATAGAAACCTTGCTTAATTTTTTATTTCATCTCAACCAACTGTTCTATTTATAATAGAGGACTGGCAAACAAATGAACTAACCTGGATCTAGTTATGAAGTTAACATTTTCAGGGAAATGTGGTCTACAATTGAAATAAGCTGTATATAAATGTCAGCAAGAACCAGATGTGCAGTTGAAGCTTTCTGTGAAATTTTCATGGCAACACTTGCTCTGGCCAAGGCATGCTGCTGTAGCTGTTGCAGCAAAAAACTTCAAAGTAAGTTCCAACAGTGTGTGGCCCCATCTCTAGGATATAGCTTCATTTGATCATGACCTTTAACAGCTGTTCATAGGCCAGTTTATTTTCCAAATCCTCTAAGAGCAAAAGGATTTGGCCACCTCTCCATCTCTTCCTCTTGACCTTAAATTTATTAGTGCGTTCTGGATACTCTGTGAGCATTCAGTATAATGGAATTTTCTATGCTATACAGTCTCCAATTAGATTGCCACAAGTAGAGGAAAATGTGTTGAATAATGGAGTACACTATGATGGAGCAAGCTTTAGAAGAACCTTGTATAATTATTTAATTTGAAACAAATATTGTTGCTTGTAGTGTTTTGTTGCTTTGTTTCAGTTGCCAGACAAACTTACAGACAAACTCAATTTTAGTGGTAGCATTTCTCTAATGTGCAAATTTTAGATGAATGGTGCAATTCACAAACTCCTTATTTCAGTCTAGCAGGAGTGAAGCAGAACAAAGACTGTGTGTCATTGGGGTTACAGATTCATAGTCTTATGAGGCATATGAGTTGGAACGGCAGGATATATGAAATATGGGTGTTTATTCTTCCATTTGTGTGTCTCCCTTGATTTATGTTCAGCTGAATGTGAGCGGCCTCAGCTAAAAAATACTGAGGTAATGTGATGTGAAAATTCTGCCTGTGGCATTTTGATTTATGAAGACTATTTTGCATGTGCAACTCATCACTGGATGTTGTTGTCACCGAATAGAGAACATGCATTTATAAGTTCACTTAGATCCTTAGATTTGAACTTTCATTAGCCCCAGCCACCACATCCAATGGGCAAGGATAATGGGAGTAGGAGTCTAATAACATATGGAGGACCATGTGTTCACCACCATTTCTAAAAGGGGTTTGTAGTGCATCTATGGCCTGCTTCAAACCAGAATTTGATTAGGATCATGTGGATTGATTTATGATGGACTGCTGCATGGATGTTTCTGCACTGTGCAGAATGGATGTTTCTGCATTGTGCAGAATGTTTCACTAACTCACTGATGTTTACTGTGACCCACATGAATCACTGGCCTAATTTCAGGCATATTTGTTGAACAGATTTTGAGAGTCAGCTATGCACCTGCAGTTCTTCATGTCTTTGCTCTGTATTCAGAATACTTGGACTGAAACTTTTTGTATCTTATTTTGTTATCCCATTACAAACCCCAATGTGACATGGTAATTAAGGTATAAAAGTACTGATTATGTAGGTAGGGTTACCTACATGACTGATGCTTTTATTATTGAAGTGAGTGGACAACCAAGAATCTGTTTGATGGCAGGAACTTTGCCAAAGCAGTAACATGTAAATTGGGTCAGTGGGTTGCAAGTAACATGTGGATGCAAAGAACATTAATTTCTACAATCTTGAATTGGAAATTGTTCCAGGGATTAATATTCTACAAGTTGGGGGGACCCTCTGAAATAATGCAGCTGTTTGGAAATGTAAGAGACAAGTTTAATGTGGATGAAGCCTTCTCCAAACCACAGAGTCCAAAATAATGAGCCAGGAACTTTTAGCAGATTATCCTTGTAGTTAAGCTACAAATGTATTCAAAGAAAATCTAGAAAATATTCTAGAAAATGTTTCTCACCTATAGAAAAGGTCATTGTAATTTTAATGTCATCAGTTTCTTAACCTTTTCTACTGTAGGCGTGGGAAGCAGTGCTCTCAGTGGGGAGAATCCACAGCAGAGATGAGAATGACTAAGTCTCAAAGGCAGTCAAAATGTCATGGATAAGTGAAATGATTGGAAGCCCCTATCATAAATGGTCCAATCATGTAAAATTATTGGAAGCTAGTATTCATTTTTTTGAATATACAGCTGGAACTATTCTGTATTTATAGCATGGTATTGAACACTGAAAGTAGCTGTTCTAGCAAAGCACATTTTGTTGTGGCATAACTATTAATCTATTGGAAGTGTTCATAGATGTTTCACTGTTTTGTCTTATTGTTTCTTTGTAAACTTATGCAACAACAGAATAGGATCAATATTATTTCGGATTGACTCAGTTGTTATCCTATAGATGTCTACTCAGAAATAAGTCCCCTTGAGTTCAGTGGGGTTTGCTTCCAGGTAGGTGTATATAGAATTGCAGCCTTAAGATCGGTTGTAGCATCAGAAAGCCATATTTAAACAGCAGCAAAGTGAGTCAAGAATGTACAGTGTCAGGTATGCCTCTTGATTTAATTTCAGGATTCAGGATAGCAAAATTTTGGACCAGTAGGGTAGGAACAAAAGCCCTGTTGTGGTTAAAGATGAGAAATAACTGGAATGTTTCTACTCTATAACAGCTGTTACACACATTTCACAAACCATAAATAAACTGCATAGCTTGCACTCTAACTTTCCTATGAATGCCTACAAATATTATTAAATCAAAGCTTTAAGTCACTGAAGGTTGGCATTAAATCTGTTGCTCCAGATGAATTTGTACCCAGTGTTGCATTATCATTAATCTTTGTTTTTCAGTTAAGTTGCATTCATTGAAGAAATAGTTCTGTATTGATGCTAGAAGATATTCATGTAAAACTTGTAGCCTCAAAATGACACTGTCAAGTACTTTTTATATTTTTATATGTCCCGTTGTTTGTAAATATCCTCTAAGCTTGAAAATAAATTTTATTTCCCTATCATGCGTCTTTTCCCCACTACTGTATCCTCTGTACTTCCTCTAACTTTGGTAACTGTATCAAAATCCCTGTGTGCAGGCATTGTTACAGAAAGGCAACATGATTGTTATGAGACCTATCTACATACCCCTATTTCCATGATTCGCAATGGGAAGCCTGCATCGTTCTCTTAAAGCATTCACATTTGGGGTTCACTTCCATGAGAGTTCACCAAAGCCAGCAACAAATGCTGAATGTGATGTTGAGTCTTTTGACTTCTTTTGCTGATCTGAAGCTGTAAATCTGGAGTGAGGTAACATGGCAAAAAAGTGGAAACGTCCTCCCATTTTATCCAGGTCCATTAACATTTCATAACTTCGAAGCAGCTGAGTCTGAATGGCTGCATCATTGACACTTTTCAATAGTACCTAAATGGGAAAATGGATTATTTTAATCCCCTTTAAAACTGCAGAATTGTCCAGTTGTGCTACCTGTAACTTGGCTACTTTCCATCCTAGAATTACATCAATCTCCTGCCCTTCCAAATTTGTATATGCTGAATTTTAACTTGTTCATTTGATAAATTTATATCCCACCCTTCAAAATAAATAATACGGGTTCTGTCTCTCATTACAATGAGACTTAAATCAGCTACAGATAATCTAAGTGTATTCAGTTAAGTAAGACTAGTTTTTATAAACTAGCCAGAAAGTGGCCCCTACCTGCAGTCTGATATCAATGCCCATATTTTTCAAAAAATCATGTTGCTTTATGGGACCCAAGGTTGCTACTCTTTCCTGTGCTATTTTTCGCAGGTAACTGAAGTCAACATCTGCTGTGAGGTCCGCTGTTCCTGGAGATATTAAGACATTGTGAAGTTCATGTCCACGGAATCCCTGAAAAATAATAGAAATGGGGGGGGGGGGGGAATGGTTCACTTAGACCCTGCAGCTTTTTAGGTTGCAGACAAAAATAGAGCACAGAGGAAAAACAACCTCCAATTATAAAAAGGACATTTTTAAAGTTAAGAATTATGATTTTTGAAGAATTGTATGCTGTCTTAAGCTACAAATGACTCCCTTTCCAAAACCTCACCACTTATTGCTGGCTATAACATTCTTGCACTTCCACTCCACCTTTTATCGCAAAGCTACTTTAGTAACTGCCCCAGATAGTAGAGAAGAAATTTTAGCTTTGGAAAAAACAGACTGTTCACGCAAACTGTCCTGTAGGAACCTTTATAAATCAACCTACCCTGAACGTATCTGTTTTGGTTCCATTGTGGCCATAATCTACAATCAGTGCATTGCCTCCATTCTTTTCAATATTATGGGCCAGCTTCTGGATGATGATACCAGCATCAGGACACACTTCCACATGATCTCTGGATTCTTTGTCCTAAATGAGAATTCAGGGGTTGAACAAACAGTTATGTAGCAGTATATGTACATGTGCCTACAGCTATAAGTCCTGACACTTTCCTGCAGCTTCCCTCAAGAGAATTTTGGGTTGTGAGTTTTATGGGAGGACATGAATCGTCCATCAAACCTGTAATTCTCAGGATTCCCTGCAGGGAAATGATAGCAGGAAATCTGCAAGATGGGGTTTGTCACATGTCTATCTGGATCCTACATTTGTTATGAAATAAAACCCCTTGTCGGAATTAACTAGATGCGAGATTTGTTGCATTTTAGTAATGATCTTACTGGTTAATTTGATAAATACCAGGTAAGCTGCTATACAAGATTCTATAAAGTTTTCCTTAGGAATCTATAGCTTAATATTCTGCTTGTCCATCTCTTTTCCTAAAATGAAATACAGATGTATCACACTTACTGGTCTGGTTTCACATGGAAAGTAGCCTTTCCTTACAATTTTATTGCACATAACAAATGCATACTAAGATGTTATCAATAAAAACCGCCAGATAAGTATGTTTGAAACAGTGATAATAACTGCAGTAAGTACATTTTGAAAACAGTGAGCAGCTCAAAATATGTAACACAATGGCAGTATTAGCTGGATGGAGAGGATTATATAAGCGAGCTTACATGTATGAAGGCTTTTGCAGCAGGAGTAGCAGATGGCGCAAGGACAAATCGCAGCTTGTCGGGAGTGTCTGGATCAATGTCAACCAACAACTCACGCCACCCCTTTTCTGTTTTCTGTTAATTTAAAAATAAGTTGGATACGGATTTTATTGAACATTGTCAGCTACATTGTTTACCATTTCATGTAAGTTTATTCAAGGTTATGCTCTTGACAAAAAAAAAAGCCGATTAATCATTTATTATACCTTTACCTCTCAGTGAAGTTCTTTAAAAGCAAACATGAACAGATTTTGCTTCACTAATTTGTACCTTTGTGGAAAAGTTCCTGCTGTATTCCTTAGTATTCTGACCAGTAGAAACAAAAAACCCAGTCAACTGTGTTGATCCATTATTACACACATCTGCACATCTGAAAGCAGCTGTGTACAGTTTAGTATCCAATTTATTAGAATTAGCATGGCAGTAATCCTGTGCATAGTTTCCTATAAGCTCTTATCAAAACTCAGTGGTACTTGCTTCTGACAGGATAGATTGTAAAACACACTGGGCGCTAACAAAATATTGTGAGCCAGCTGAAATGCAAGTGTTAGCTTTTAATTAGGAATGCATTTAAGCTGGAAGCAGGAAGCTCATGAAAAAGAGAGGAAGCAATCTCCAGCCTCAGCTTGACTGTTTCCCTCCTTCTCTGACTTGTATGCTAATTCAGTAACTTTGCCATTCTAGCAGATGTAATGTCTTCTGTTCTGAAAAAAGTCCTGGAGCAGGGCTCCCCTACGTTTCTCCTCCAATACACCACTAATACTGGCCAGTAATAATAATATTTATTAAATTTGTAAAAAAAAAACAAAAATTATACAAATGTATATGATTTGTATACCAACCTTGTAGACTAGATAAACAAGTGTGCAACTAGTAGAATAACACATATCCTGCCATTGCCTATTTAAATCAATAGATGTAGTTAAAAGCAGAATCTTGTATTATTACAAGACTGCTGACATGTCTGTGTACAGTGCAAGTACTTGATGACTATTCCCTACGATCTTGGTTTCCAAAATTAGAATACATGCACTGTATCTAAATATAAAACTTTTGCTATATAAAAAATGCTGGGAATTCTGAAATAACCAGGATGAATTTAACTTAATGATTTGACTTATTTTGTATAATATATACACTTCATTGTACAAAATAAGCTGTTGTTAAGTTAAATTCATTTCTGTCATTCCATGTACTTACTAAAGCATGACACACTTGCTCTCTACCTCGACTGGATTGTAGTTTTGTTCTCTTTCTAAATAGTAAATACTTTTAAAGTCAAGTCACGCAATAAAGAGCTATCATACCTGAAATTTGTGTATAGGAAGAGCGTCAAAAAATTCATGTGCTAAATAAAAACTGAAGCCTAAAGGAAAAACAAAGTGTCAATCAAATTACAACATCTGAAACTAACATTTTCCACTTAAATAGCATCTGAAGTCTTCACTTGGAACTGCTGTATGAGGTATCTGTTGCACTAGATTCAAAACTGAAATCTCAAGCACAATATGAAGAACCATTTGAAAATTGTTTTACCACCACAAAAATTGAAATCTTCAAAAACAGATTTACTGTAAACATTTTGCAATCAAACTATCTAAACTCACATTAAAACATACCAAGGAGAAGCAGATCTACAGTTATATAACTTCTAGACACCCCACCACTGCAAAGCTTTAAAAAGAGAACTAATGACAGTTCAATAAAAGCGTGCACACACACACACACACACACACACACACACACACACATGCACGCATCATACCTTACCTTCTGGCACATCATTCAGGTCTTGGTACCAGAAAATTGGCAGCCTGGTCTTAGTAATCCCTTGCATGTAGGTAGTGGGACTCTCTGTTAATTCTGTCTTTCCTTCTGTGAGTACTGATGCTTGAATCTCACTTAATTTTGGACTGATTTCCACCAAATGAACAGAAATATCACATTTACTAAGTACAGAACTCAGCTGATTAAAAACCTGTAAATGAAGAAGTTTAGAGACAAAGAACAGGTAGTGATTTTATAAAATTCTTCAAGGCTATGCTTAAAAGACTTCTACAACAGTTTTATAGTTATTAGGTTGTATCCAACATTGCCTGTATGTGAGCAGAATGGATTTCCACTCATGCAATGCGGCTTTGCATTCTTCTTTCCCCTCCCACACTCAAAATCCACTCTGGAGAACTGGGGGAGTCACGTGAGAAGATTTGGAAGGGGGCATGGGAGGGACTGCTGTGAAGAGGAGAGTTCTGTTACGCAAGCAAAACTCTACTTGTGCAACATTGGATTCCTACCTTTATTTTTTGAAATGATAGTGGTTTTTCTCAAGTACTTAGGGTTAAATGGCACGTCAGCTACCTTGGCATCACAATGAAATTCCTGATGTTAAACCAGAAAGGCAGGGATATAAATTTGTTTTGCAGGCCAATAAGGCAGAAACTGGTAGGTACTAGGGACCAAAGAACGGATGAAAAGCAATGATACAGGCAGAATTTCTAAAAACCATAACTCTGCTGTGCCTCACAAAGGCTCATTTAGAGGCCTGATAAACCAAACTTTATGAAGTCATGAAAGAGCATTGGGATCAAGTATTCTTTGCCTCATTCTTCTTCTTGTCATGCACTGGCTTTAGAGTAACAATTCTGATTTGTATTCAGCCATAGTTTGCCGTTACATTAGAACTGGGGAACGCTGGTTTAATGTTGGTTAACAAACTAGGAAAACAAGCTAGGTCAAGTTCAGAGGTAACAAAAATATTTGGCTTCATACAGACTAGTATGATGGTGATGATAGTTATGCACCCATATTAATGACGATACATAACAGGAGGACTGGGGTAAGGGAAGAGCTCTAGGCCGTGACACTTGTTCAAGGCCTTGTAAACCAAGATTTATTTATGAGTCACCAGCTATTCTGCACTAGACAGAAAGGTTTGAAACAAACAAGGGTTTCCTAAAGCTTGCTATCTAGTGCAGAATAGCAGGTGAAACAAAGAATTTCAGCCTGAAATATACAAAAAAGGCAGGTTTCAAACCCACCAGACTATGGAGGAAAAGGTTGTATTTACTTACCCGCAAAATATCATTAGTAAGACTACCTCTTCCTGGGCCCAATTCCACCAGTTGAATTTTTTTTGGCTTGCCAGCAGCCATCCATTCACTAACAAACCAAACACCTATTAACTAGAGAAAATAAATAGATGTAATTTTTTTTCATCCTATAGAACACTTTAGTTGAAAACTGAGTGGCACATAAGCATTTCATCTCAGGGGAAAAATGGAAATTTACGTTTACAATCATAGTAAGTTTTGCACTTACTATGTAATTTTGCAGTTTTGTGCAGTTTTGCACACAGTAAAAATGCTTAAACACCGTTGAAATATGTATGTTTACTGTATGCTGGATGGCAGTTGATGTTTTCCTGAATCTTCAGGTTCAGTGTTTAGAAGAACTCTTCCTGGGAACACAGCCTGGGAGTCATTTTGGACTCGCAGCTGTCCATGGAGGCACAGGTCAATTCTGTGTCCAGGGCAGCTGTTTACCAGCTCCATCTGGTACGCAGGCTGAGACGCTATCTGTCCACGGACTGTCTCGCCAGAGTGGTGCATGCTCTGGTTATCTCTCGTTTGGACTACTGCAATGCGCTCTATGTGGGGCTACCTTTGAAGGTGACTCGGGAACTACAACTAATCCAGAATGCGGCAGCTAGACTGGTGACTGGGAGCAGCTGCTGAGACCACATAACACCGGTCTTGAAAGGCCTATATTGGCTCCCAGTACGTTTCCAAGCACAATTCAATGTGTTGGTGCTGACCTTTAAAGCCCTAAATGGCCTTAGTCCAGTATACCTGAAGGAGCGTCTCCACCCCCAATGTTCTGCCCGGACACTAAGGTCCAGCGCCGAGGGCCTTCTGGCGGTTCCCTCACTGCAAGAAGTGAAGTTATAGGGAACCAGGCAGAGGGCCTCCTCGGTAGTGGCGCCCTCCCTGTGGAACACCCTCCCACCAGATGTCAAAGAAAAAAACAACTACAGTGGTACCTCGGGTTACATACGCTTCATGTTACAGACTCCGCTAACCCAGAAATAGTGCTTCAGGTTAAGAACTTTACTTCAGGATGAGAACAGAAATCGTGCTCCGGTGGCGCGGCAGCAGCAGGAGGCCCCATTAGCTAAAGTGGTGCTTCAGGTTAATGGACCTCTGGAACAAATTAAGTATTTAACCTGAGGTACCACTGTACTAGACTTTTCAGAGACATCTGAAGGCAGCCCTGTTTAGGGAAGCTTTTAATATCTGAAAAACTATTGTATTTTAACATTTTGTTGGAAGCCGCCCAGAGTGGCTGGGAAAACCCAGCCAGATGGGTGGGGTATAAATAAATTATTATTATTATTATTATTATTATTATTATTATTATTATTATTTTCAGAATCAGACAAATCAAGACTTGGCAGGTGGCTTGGATTCTTGTATATCAAAAGAATTAACTAACAGTGCAGTCTATATGTGTTAACTCAGAATCAACTCCTTCAATGGGGCGTACTCCTGGGTATAGAATTGCTGCCTAATGAAAGATACTTACTTGGGAGTATCTCTTTCTTAACTTAGTGGGATTTATTACATCACTAACAATGACATCAGATTCCTTAAGCAGAAATTGTCTCCCTTGTTATTTACCATGAATTGGTATATACTGGAAAGAACCCAGCTTACCATAACTTTAAGATTTTGGGGAAACTTTCAAATGTATTCCTTTATTATTTGTCTGTTGCTTTTCTGCATAGCTGTGCCCACAGTGGCTCACCACACAAGAATAGCAATACAATAGCAGGAATACACATCAATACATCATTATAACAGTAAATTTCCAATTCATTAAAAAATCTAATATAGCACTCCAAACACGTAACAGTTCATTTCAAGAACAGCAAAATCTTAAATTCGTTGCAAGTTAGACAATATCAGTCACAAAAACTAACATAATCTTAATTGTTAATAATAATAATAATAATATTATCTTTATTAAAATGCATAAGCCAGAGAGTAAGGTGTGATAATACTTTCCACTGTTCTCAGATATTAGTAAATCATATAACCAGCAGCAAGTTTCTCAAAGTATGAAGTGCAGGAAATAGTTGTCATCATTTTTGCAACAGCTTCATTTAAAATGCTACACACAGAAGTAGTAGGCTTAATACTGAGAAAATGCACTTTTTTGTAAATTGAACAAACATTTGGAAATCACTTTCTGATACTTCAGAGACACAATGGTGACATTTCTCTGTATGGAAGAAGACTAGTATGCAATCCTTGATAGGATAATGGCTTAAATAGCAGCACCATAAAATATTACCATATCTCATCAGATAAAATGTACTTTAAAAATGTACCTCCCCAAAGATCTGACTTATTTCAGGTGAAGTAACAAAATCTCCTTTTTCACCTAGCATGTCACGATGCATATAGTATCCCTATAGAAGAAAAAAGAACCAATCAGTTCCCAACTCTTGATTATGTTCACTTGCTAGTTATCTACAACACTGAAATTGTTTAATGAAAGAAACTAACAGCCCTCTTAAAATATAAACACTGTCCTCATCTTTAAACATCCTTAAACTCAGCTAGGAAACTATATAGGAGGAGGGCTGAGGAGGTAGAAGAGACAGAGAGCCTTAATGCAGACTAGCTGAAGGACAGGGGATTGAGAAGCCATGGCCTGTGGCAAGGATGGGTGGGAGGCATACAGCTGGTAAGAGAAAGAGCCAAGGATGAAAGAAAGCAAGAGTGAGGAAAAAACTGACTGAGGGCCAGAGACTAGGAGGGGCCACTGATGTAGGCAGAAGGGAATGAATGAGCCACAGAACAACCCTTATCCCCAGATTTGTTGGCTAGAGGGTGTTAGGATGGAGTAGATGAAGTGAATGCCTGATGCAGAGGCCCCCACTAGGATCGCTCCATAGGCATTGATCTATTGCAGGCCTCAAAATATGGCATTCTAAGGGCAGGGCAGAGACACTGCCATCTGATATCAAAGCCATCCTATCTTAAGGGGCAATTTTGGACAACAGCCATACCTTGGATAAAATGTGATAGGTGTTTCCTACCATGACAACTTGTATAAAAGTTGTCTTTGTATGTCTAAAAAGTTAACCATAAACAAATGAGATCATTTGAATGAGAATGTAAAACAAATCTGCCCACCCACAAAGAAACTATACTAGTTATTGTAGTAATGATGTACAACCAAAAGCTTAGTACACAGTGTAGGTCTCACCTTCTCTCCAGCCTTACAACCACCTTGTCTCCTAGGCCTGCAGTTCCTCACCTTTCAAAACCTCCTTGCAGTGCAGTCCTAAGTGGGGTGTGTGGAAGATGCAAAGTGGTGGACAGACCACCACTTCCAAAACCCTGCTGGGCTGCCAAAGTGGGAAGTGTGTGGGGTCAACTTACTGTTCTGCCCCCTGAATGTATTATTATTATTATTATTATTATTATTATTAAATCCCCTCCCATCGGTTTGAATTGGGGTCAGGGTCAGGGCTGGCATTCCTTCTCCTCTACCTCCCCTTACTCTTTGTACAGCATCATTGGTACAAGTTTCATCTGAATAATAGACAAATATAAACTGGAGCTTCAAATCCCAAAGTGAAATTTGAATGATACACATTTAGTACTGTTCATACCTTCACAGGATTAGTCAAAACTTCCCGCATATATTCAGCAACTGTAATGGGACCAGTTGACTTTATTTTCATCATTAGATGCTTCAGCATTGGAGTCACAGGACTGTTTTCCTCTGCTTTACTTTCTGAACTAAAGCACTGGCATTTCAATGTAGTGGAACGACCTATGTAAAAACATAAGATTAGTCATCTACAAGTGATCCACTGATTAGTCTCTCTAGAAGTGGCTAATATGAGCTATGTTTGAGGAAGCATACAAAGCAACTAAACGATGGTTAGAGGAAACTTTTTTAAAAAAATGGTGTAGGTGTGGGGCCATCAGCTTGTTAAAGATCCCTGGAAAACATGGGGAACTGAACATTACTTTTATAAGTAGTATTTAAATTCTAAATGCATTACTTGACCCAAAAAATTATCAGTCAAGATGCAGAAAGTCCCAGCTGCAATTGCAAATCCTAAAAAAAGGTCAACAACTTTGGTTGGCCCTCTGGTCGCCCCCTCACGGCTCTTCACTTCATCAAATCTGGCCCTCTTTGTCTGACTCAGACAAAGGGGTGACTCAGTCACTTAATGCAACTTCCCGTGCTTCAAAGGCATGTGAATAAATGACCTGGGGCAAACATATTAGGCAAGATCCAACCAAAATGAAGTACCTTTAAGCTCCACTGAAATCAGATTGCTCTTATTTACCGCTTCCTGCCTGTTCTTTTCCATCCTTGCTACTACCACTAACTGACTTTTTCCGGTGGCGGGCAGAGCCACCCCTTTGCGCTTACTCCCTTTCCCCTTTCTTATAGAATGGGGGGAAGGTGATATAGAAGCAGTTGCTCCGAGCAAATATTTGGGGGTTGATGTGCATTTCTCTGATCATTACCACTGCTTTCTACTTGCAATTGGGAGCTGAGGTGTTAAACTGGGCGGCTGCTTACATGCAAAGCTGCAGTTTCTGCTCCAACACGAGCCCCAGGGGCTCTTCAAACTCTACAATTCTGTGATTCTAGGGCTCAATACAGGGAGCTGCCTGGTTTTGGGGGGAGCATCTTTGTGCAGGAAGGCGGGTCTGTGGGGACTGGCACGGCTGCGAACGCTCTTAGGTTGCAAGCCCCGCGCACTTACTCGGGAGTTAGTCCCACTGAAGTCAACAGGACTTGCTTCAGAGTAAACGCAAGTGAAGTTTTGCTGTTAAGGTATGCTCCACGTATCGTTGTCGTTACCATGGAGACGGAGGAAACGGTCGCTTCGCGCGACAACGCGAATCCCCCGGAGAAAAGCTCTCCCCGGCTGCACGAGCGCCATGCTCGCACCGTCTGCAGCTCGCGCCGCGGCCTTCCTTCACCTCCCTGACCCTCTTGTCCTGGCAGCGAAATAAAATAATTATTTTGCGAAGCGCCAAAGGAGTTCACCTTAGGGCCCGTGCCTGTACTAAGATGCTTATTATTACAATATAGATAGACAAGCAGTGCGTCCCTCTTTCTGCCCCTTTCCCGTTTGTTTCCTAAATCTGTGCCGTTCATAGTACCTTATATATATCTAGCAGGACTTTTCACCTTCTAAGTGAGTGTCGTCATCACTACTACCCGGTGACGCATGCGTGGTCTGGCCGAGGGAGATGGCGACGTTGTCGGAGTTGGAGCTCGAGAAGTCTGACGAGAGAGATGGCGAGGGAGAGGTTGATGATGGAAGCGGCTTTACTCTGGAGGAGGTGCTGCGCCTCGGAGGCACCAAAGTAAGAAAGAGGCCTTGAGGCGGCCAGGAAAGGGGTCCAGGGAGGTCCCTGCGCATCTCTTTCCTTCCACGTGGTGGGAAAGGGGTGAGAGCCTTGGGTCAGCCTGGCTCTTTTCCCCCGGGAAGGATGTGCTTTAACAGGCGGAGTTTCTCCAAAAGTCGAAACAAAATAAAAAAATTCCTTCCAGTAGCACCTTAGAGACCAACTAAGTTTGTTATTGGTATGAGCGTTCGTGTGCATGCATCTTCAGATACATAAGATAAGAATCCAATGTCTCTATTCAGACCAGGTCTCTCCATGGTTTTAAGTTTGGTAATAAGTTGCAATTCAGCAACTTCTCTTTCCAGTCTATTTTTGAAATTCTTTTGTAATAAGACAGCTACTTATACAAGATCTCAAAGTAGCTGTCTTATTACGAAAGAATTTCAGAAATAGACTGGAAAGAGAAGTTGCTGACATTGGATTCTTATCTCATTATACATGATAAAGCTATTTTTAGCCATTTCTCCCCTTGCTTTTTCCTGTAAGACCAATTGCAGTTGTTAACAGTTGTCAACAGGTTTACCACACCTAACAGCCAATCACCCATTCCCACCACCCTTCTGAGTAATACCCCTCCCCACCCTCTCACTATATATAAGGGACTGGTGACTTCTGTTTCAGTGTATCTGAGGAAGTGTGCATGCACATGAAAGCTCATACCAGTAACAAACTTAGTTGGTCTTTAAGGTGCTACTGTAAGGAATTTATTTTGTTTTGACTACGGCAGACCAACATGCCTACCTACCTGTAACTTTCTTCAAAAGGGCATTCGCCCTGGAAGGAGACGTCAGCTGTCTAATGTTGGCTTCTCACATGCTGCCGTCTTTTCAAACTGGTGGAAATAAATGGCAGGTCTGCTGCATGTGTAGCTTGAGGGGTTACACACATAGTATGTGGGCAGTGAACAATTTTTGTTTTCATTTTTAAACATCTCCTCCCTCACTGGGTTTTATACAAAGAACCTTCTGGCCCCATGCAGACCAACAGATAATATTGTAACAGAAATGTGTGGCCACAAATTCTTATGTCACGACTAGCCTGTTGTCCTTAATTTTTTTATGTGCAGCCACTGATTAAGACAATTTTTTTCTGATTTTTGTACATGGTTTTTATTAAAACGAAAAATAAAAATTGAGCACTATGAGAGCAGGTGGGACAATTCTTAATACTGGATAGTCCTTACATTGGTGGATATTTCAGAGGTGTGCAAGTAATTTAGAAGCAGTAATGGGCAATGTTGTCTGCATATGTTATAAACCTATTTGCAATATGGATGTTTTATAATGCATGCACTGTCAAATGATGTTATCCATGAACACGCTGCTGAGACAACTTGTTACTTTGTTTTATGCAGCAAGATTATATCATGCTCGCTGCTTTGGATGAGACCGAAGAAATTGTAGATGGTGGAAAAAAAGGTGCCATTGATGATCTGAAGGATGGTGAATTGGAGGCATTTATAAAATCACTGGGTGTGAGCAGCTATTCAAAAAAATTCCTGGTTGCAGCAGATGAAGAAGAAGAAGAGGGAGAAGCAGTTGAAGGAGAACAAAAAGTACGAAAAAAAGAGAAAGTCAACCAAAAGGAAGTAAACAAAACTACAGTAGCAAAAAAAGAAAACCAAGTGAAAGGAAGTAAAGAAAAAATAGAGTCAAGTAATGCCCAAGATAATAAGAAACAGTCAGTTCCCAATAGTGCTTTGTTGCTTGGAACAAAAAAAGACAAGGAAGTGGACACTTTTCAGTTTCATGAGCGGCAGATACTTCTTATAAAACCAGGGGGCAAATGGTATGATCTGGAGTATACAAATGAATTTTCTACTGAACCCCAAAATCAGTCCCTTGTATCCAAGTATAAGGCTTTGGCTCAAAAGCTTTACCAACAAGAGGCAGACCTCTGCAAGAGTAAGGCAAATCTATGGAAAGGATCATCATCAGCTTGGATGAAAACTGTAGTATCATCAGGGACTCTTGCTGACAGAATGGCTGCCATGACCCTTCTTATCCAAGATGCCACTGTCCACTCACTTCAGTTTATAGAGACCCTGGTGAATCTGATCAAAAAGAAAGGTAGTAGAAGGCAGAGTTTAATGGCCTTGGATACTTTCAAAGAGCTTCTCATGACACATCTTCTACCAGACAATCGTAAGCTGTACACTTTCTCCCAACATCCTTTTGGCTCTCTGGAGCAGCTCTCAAGTGGCAACAGAGACTCGAGGGACAGGCGCCTGATCTTGTGGTATTTTGAGCATCACCTGAAGCACTGGGTGGCTGAATTTGTGCAAGTGTTAGAATCACTGAGTCACGATCCCCTGGTGGCAACAAAAACCCGAGCTCTTGCTGTTGCGCATGAACTTCTCTGTAACAAGGTAGAGGAAGAGAAAGCTTTTCTTGTGCAGTTAGTAAACAAACTGGGAGATCCTCTAAACAAAATAGCCACCAAAGCATCTTATCTGCTAGAGACTCTGCTTCATAAACATCCCAACATGAAAGGAGTGGTGTGTAATGAAGTGGAGAGGCTTCTCTATCGATCAAACATTAGCCCCAAAGCACAATACTATGCCATCTGCTTTTTGAACCAGATAGTTCTTAGTCACGAGGAGAGTGAGCTGGCTAACAAACTCATTACACTCTACTTTTGCTTTTTTCGGTCTTGTATCAAGAAAAAAGACGTTGAGTCCAAAATGCTTAGTGCTCTCTTGACCGGGGTGAACAGAGCTTACCCTTATGCTCAGACTAGTGATGAAAAAATAAAGGAGCAGATGAATACTTTGTTTAAGGTTTTGCACCTTGCAAACTTCAGCACTAGTATCCAAGCCTTGATGTTGCTGTTTCAAGTAATGGATTCTAATCAGACTATATCTGACCGATATTACACAGCCCTATACAAGTAAGCATCACATACATTTTAATGTTTCTATTAAGTCACGTTTTGTAGAATATTTACTGCTGATCAGTTTTTTTATGGTTTATATGAATTTAAATTGTGAATATTGTGATGACAAGAGAACTGCCTTGTCCCCCTTTGCATATCAGTAGTTGCCGTGTCTGTTTTTGGCATTTGATAGGTAAACTGTTTTGCTTGACAATTCATGCCAATGTAGACATCTCTAATGTGGAGGTTTTTTGTTTCGTTTTGGTTATTATTGGTATTCTCCAATCGATTATCCTTTATTGAAGCAGGGTTGAGCCAAGAGCCTGTTTTTCTTTCTCCTTCCTCTGAACTCAGTTTACAGAACAATCTTAAGTGGGGTGGGGATTGAAGTGACGGATGATCCAAAGGCTTGCTGGCTTGCACCATCCATGGTGGCAGTAGAACATGCTTCTTTTTGCCTCTGTACTTATTACAAACTCTTACATTGCCTTTCCAGTTGAAAGAAATGGATGTCCATGGACCTTTCTGCTGGCATAGTGGAGGACTCACCAGCAAAAGTCCCATCCACTATCCTAACCTGATTGCCCATGGATCTGAGTGTTAGGTTGCTCTGTGAATGTTTAAATAAAACAAATGTAGAGATCTGAAGGCCCACTTTTACCCAAATTTTCAAAAACAAAAGGAAAAAGAATGAAAAATAAAATAGGTTCCCCCCCCATTTTCCTGTCCCCCTCCCATGCCTTCAGATATTTTATAAAATGTGACTAATTATGGGATATTATTCATTAAGCAATGGTCCACTTTAAACTAGGGTGAGTAAAAAAATCATTTTGTGTCAACAGTAGTAGTAAATGATGCAGCTGTCATATGTTGGTCTGTACCGCAAATTCAGAAGAATGAGTGAATTCATGAGGTTAATGCTGATAATGATTATTTTGTTTTTGCAGGAAGCTGCTGGATCCAGGCTTAGCACTGTGTGCCAAACAGTCTATGTTTCTCAACCTTGTCTACAAATCTTTGAAGGCTGATATAGTACTGCGGCGGGTGAAAGCTTTTATAAAGCGATTGCTTCAAGTCACCTGTGGTCAAATGCCACCATTCACCTGTGGAGCTTTGTACCTTGTGTCTGAACTTCTGAAAGTAAAACCAGGGTTACGAGTACAGCTGCAGGATCATGTGGTATGATATCCGTCTTATAAAGTTGTTCTTAGCCTGCCTTTGTACAACTAGCTGTTGACCTCAATTTTAAAAAAAGCTTTCAATCCACAATTTTGGCTTTATATGCTATCCCTGGAATGTAACTTATCAGAGTTTTGCATGATCACCACACTGGTTTCTTCTTAAATCTGATTCATTTCCTAGGAATCCGATGATGAGGAACATTTTCATGACCTTGAAGAAGCTGAAGAAGAGGAGGAAAAACTTGTAGATGTTGATGAAGAAACAAAAATAATAAAAACAGAAGAATCTGTGAAACCTCATGACCCAGCTTCAGGAGCTTCATGGGTACATCACCAAAATCTAGCAGGTAAAAATTGAAAAATTGTGAGTGAGATTCATCTGGCAGATGTTGACTGGAATGTTTCAGGTCCTAGTAGATGGTATTAAATTCTGCAAACTTTAATCTGAAGGGCGTTACCCAAAGGAAACTTTCCGTATCCAAACTTGTTTATGTGGAACGGAGCCAGAGGAAGGCCATCTGCTAAAATTGTTTGGGAACAGTGTCAGTAGATAAGACATTGCCAGGGTTATGGGCCATTGCTGCTGCTGCTGTATTAACAACTTTCATGAGACATGCGCTACTTAAGTGGTGTCCCCCCCCTCCTCTTAGTTATATTTCTGTAAGTAAAAAGTGCTTTAAAAGTCATGTCTCATTCACGTCTCCACCCATCTTTTGAGTTAGGCTGTTGTCATTTCCATTTTACAGAATGGGAACTGAAGCCATGAGACTTTGGCTGGGCTCACATGACTCCTCTCATGTCCAAGTCCAGAACTCTTACTTTCTTGTTCACTCTGGTTTCTGATCTGTTGTAGACATCTGGCAGCTCTGTGTAATAATGAGAGTGTTCTTCTTTCAGCTGTAATCCCACCAGATGTTGCAATTGCACTAAAAGAAACTGGCTTACCTTCCCACTGTGCTATGTAAACCAACATGCAGTTTGCAGACTGGGTTGTATGAAATTGGAGCAGGGCACAGAGGTTTTTGTTGTACCTTTTGTGGTGTTACTGCAGAAGGAGTCCCCTTTCTTTAAAATGATCAGGAGAAGATCAGGAGTAGTTGATGTGATGCTCATCAGATGTTGCTCAGGGATGATGGGAGTCCCCAGCATCTGGAGGGTACCAGGTTGACTACTTCTTTGTTGGATAACTAGGTGTTCCCCTTTAAAGTATCTAGATCTGTTTGTCTTTGATGATACAAAACATGTCTTCTTTTTCAGGTGGCAAGAATTTGGGTAGTTATGACCCATTACATCGAAATCCTTCATACTGTGGAGCTGATAGAACAAGTTTTTGGGAGCTAAAGAAGGTACCGTTTTTTCATGAACACCAGGAATTTCAATGTGGCTTTTGTGGGAGGGATTCCAGACAACTTTATTTTATTTTTGCAGAATTTTCCCTTTAACAGTGGTTTTGGTATCGTTTCATAGGGTTGGATCCAGAGTTAGAGTAGGCTCATTTAAATCATTGGTGTAAGTTAAGTCTCTTGGAGTTCATCAGACCCATTCTAAGTATGACCAAGTGTAGAGTCAACCTGTTGAACAAGTTTTAAGAGGAGAGGAGCCTTGTTCAAAGATTAGTTCTGGCATCTCTCTTATGACTTTACATTGGAACAGGTCTAAGATAACTTCCTGGGACGCGGGTGGCGCTGTGGGTTAAACCACAGAACCTAGGACTTGCTGATCAGAAGATCGGCGGTTCGAATCCTCGTGACGGGGTGAGCTCCTGTTGCTCGGTCCCTGCTCCTGCCAACCTAGCAGTTTGAAAGCACGGCAAGAGTGCAAGTAGATAAATAGGTACCACTCCGGCGGGAAGGTAAACGGTGTTTCCGTGCGCTGCTCTGGTTCGCCAGAAGTGGCTTAGTCATTCTGGCCACATGGCCTGGAGGCTGTGCACTGGCTCCCTTGGCCAATAAAGCAGGTTGAGTGCCGCAACCCCAGAGTCGGCCACGACTGGACCTAATGGTCAGGGGTCCCTTTACCTTTAAGATAACTTCCACCAGCTTCATCCAGCATAGACGCTGCTCAGGAATTATGGGGTCAGGGGTCCCTTTACCTTTAAGATAACTTCCACCAGCTTCATCCAGCATAGACGCTGCTCAGGAATTATGGGAGTTGCAGTCCAACAACATATGGAGGTCATCACGCTCTCTCTCTCTCTTTCTCCCTCCTCCCAGTAGAGGTTACTTCTCAACATAGGGGATGGTAACATAGTGCTGCAAAACATTTAAATCGACTACGTATCATGGGGAGTTTCCATACTGGCACCTGTTGCTGGAGCTAGTGCAGAGCCTGTCTGATGAGGTAGACTCATGTGATAAAAGTGGCACTTAATGTTACATCTAATATGTGGAGAAGTCAGTCCCAGAAACTGCCACATGGGGGATCATGGCTCCTTGATATCTGGCTTCAAAGCTACTGAGGTAATTTATATACTTCAGCTAAATTACAGACCAATCAAGAAGTAAGGAATTAGTAACACATTTAATAACAGAAGTTGGAACGGTAATAGACAGAACTTTACTGGTTCACTGTAATCAGCTGATTATTATGTACTGCAAAACAACATGTTTAGTATTTTATCTCTCTAGTGACCTGTTTTTTGTTAGTCATGTCATGTTTTATGATTTACGTGTGTACAATTTTGTAGCAAGAAAATAATAAATACAGTGGTGCCCCGCAAGACGAATGCCTCGCAAGACGGAAAACCCGCTAGACGAAAGGGTTTTCCGTTTTTGAGTTGCTTCGCAGGACGAATTTCCCTATGGGCTTGCTTCGCAAGATGAAAATGTCTTGCGAGTCTTGAGATTTCTTTTTGCTTCCCCCCCCCCTTATCTAAGCCGCTAAGCCTTTAATAGCCTTTTAGCAGCTAATCCGCTAAGCCGATAAGCCTTTAATAGCCGCTAAACCGCTAATAGCGCTAATCCACTAAGCCGCTAATAGGGTTGCTTCGCAAGACGAGAAAACCGCACTCGCGGAACGGATTAATTTCGTCTTGCGAGGCACCACTGTAAATAAGGGGGTGGGACCTGGAGTGAAGGTTAAGATGTCAATTTAATATGCTGTTAATATGGTGCCAAAAACTTGTATTGGAATAAGATTTTATATTACAACATTGATTTTATTTTTCCAGCTTTCAGAACACTTTCATCCATCTGTTGCCCTCTTTGCAAAAACTATCCTAGAGGTTAGTTGAATTTCTTACTTTTTTTCACTACTTTGGTTGCCCTTTTGGTTGTCCTGTCACATGTACTTAATGATTCGGATTGCACGTGAATAGTAGTTTCCAGACAGAAATGGGGGCAACAAGTAAATGGGGGAACCATTCTTGACACAAATATTTTTCCCTGTAGAAAACCAGATTGGCTAGGGTTTCCACCTTGCTACAGATAATTAAAGCAGGAGACAAGGCAGTCTTGGTTCTGCCTGTCTCCCACCTGTCCTGTTGTCCACCCCTTTCTTCCCTTGTTGTGTGGCACACCTGAAATCCTACGTAGCAGAGCAGGAATAGCCACTGCTGCCTTCCCTCCACTGAAAGGGTTGTGTGTGATCCAGGTTTCAGAAAGGCAACCTATTTCATCTTTTCCTTCGTCTGAGTAACATCACTTATTTGTCTGCTGAATCCAAACACATGTGATTTCTGCTGCCACTTCCATTCATGTTTTTCTTGATGCAAATTGACACTATGAATGTTAACTTTGTTTCAGGGGAATTACATTGAATACACAGGTGATCCTCTGCAGGACTTCACCCTAATGAGATTCTTGGATCGTTTTGTGTACAGAAATCCCAAAGCTCCTAAGGGCAAAGGTATGGACCTTATCAACATTTGTCAGGTGTAGCGGATAGGGTAAGGTTAATAACAATTAATTTTTTGTGTGATTTCTTGACTTTCTAATGCAGAGAACACCAGTAGTGTGGTAATGCAGCCAAAGAATAAACAATCCATGAGTGATGTACGAAATCTTGCGGGTAAGTAAGGAGCTTTCATTCTAAAGATTATAGTCAGTGGTACCCTGATAGTAAATGCAATGCATTGTAAGATCCATCGCTTTCAGTGGAAGATATTTTCACAATGGGTTTTATCCAATATTGTCATTCCATTCAGGAATGGAAGCAGGGCCAGTTTTTGAAAATTCCTCCTCCCTGCAGCCTTCATGCTGTTGTGGAAGGTCCCCCACCCTCAGTAGTAGATGAGGGAGGCCTTGGAAGGGGAATTGACAAACATATCCCCCCCCCAAAAAAAAACAACACACGTTCTGATCCGTGGTATCATACAGAAGGGCAATAACATTTTTTTTAGCATTTGGATGCAGGAAATAACAAGTGTTCCTTTGATGTAGCTAACACTCTTCACTGTTAGATGCCAGAAACCTTATTCATTTTATCATAAGCGTATCATAAGAGTGAGTCGGAAAGACATTCTTTTTTGGGGAAAAGCAGGCAGTAAGTCACCCCCATGTTCTTTCACACCTGGTTTGCTGTTTCAGCAAGCAGTTGGGTAAATGAGGCTTATAATTTGCTTTTTCCACACTATATCTCCTGTTAGTTCAGTATAAAAACATGTAAACAAATTTATATTGATTGTGTAAGTGGAAAACCAGAAAAATTCTGGAAGACTGTTAAACATAAGAAGAGCCTGCTGGATCAGGTCAGTGGCCAGTCTAGTCCAGCATCTTGTTCTCTCGGTGGCCAACCAGATACCGGCCGGAAACTCACAAGCAGGATTTGAGGATGAGCCTTCTCCCCTCCTGTGGTTTCCAGCAACTAGAATTCACAAGCATTACTGCTGTTGGCTGCAGAGGCAGAGCATAGCTATCGTGGCCAGTAGTCTTCAGTGGCCCTCTCCTCCATGAATTTGTCCATTCTTTTAAAGTCTTCTAGGTTGGTGGCCATCACTGTCTCCTGTGGTAGCAAGATCTATAGCTTATCTATGTGCTGCATGGATTCCTTTTATCTTTCCCAACTCTTTCAGCATTTAGTTTCATTGGTTCACGTGTTATGAGAGAGGCAGAGAACTTTTTCTCTACTTTTCTCCATGCTGTGCATCATCTTATAAACTCCTATTATGTCACCTCTTACTCACCTTTTCTCTAAACTAAAAAGTCCCAAACGCTGCAATCTTTCTTCAAAGCGAGTCACTCCATCTCCTTGATCTATTTTGGTTGCCCTTTTCTGATCCTTTTCCAACTCTGTAATATCCTTTTTGAGGTGGAACAATCAACATTGCACACAGTATTGCAAATGCGGTTGCATCACAGATTTGTATAATAGTATTATGATAGTGGCCATTTTATTTTCAATTCCTTTGCTAATGATCCCTAGCCTGGAATTTGCCCACTTCACTGCTGCTGCACACTGGGTCAACAGCTTCATCTATTATGACCCCAAAGTATTGTTCCTAGTCCATCACCATCAGTTCAGAAGTAGTAAGTGTGAAATTTGCCCTGACATGCATCACTTTACACTTGCTTACATTGGATTGCATCTGCCATTTTACTACCCATTCACTCAGTTTGGAGAGGTCCTTTTGGAGATCTTCACAATCTCTTTGTTTTGTTTTAACAACCCTGAACAATTTATTATCATCGGCAAACTTGGCCCCTCACTGGTTACTTCTAACTCTGGATTGTTTATGAGCAGGTTAAAAGTCCAGGTCCCAATACCAATCCCTAGAGGACTGCACTTTCTCTGTTTGGAGAACTGTCCATTTATTCCTCCTCTGCTTCCTACAACTTAGTCAGTTTGTGATCCGCAAGAGGATAGCTATTTCAGAAGGAGAGACGTCGCATTAAGAAAAAAGAAGGAAGGGGGAGTGATGTTATTGGATACAGAGTTCATTGTTAGACTCTCAGAAGTAGGATCCAGATGAACAGTTAAGGCTTTAACTCATTAACATTACAGCTAAGGATATTCATGTTATGTAAACACCAGTAATGATGTGATATACAATAGTGGTTTTGTGGGACCTCTCAAATTTATATTTGTAATCCATGTTCCCATGGTATCCTATAACTACATTTCTTCTGCCTAAGTGATCTAAGCAAGAAAAATTAAATTTAGCTTGGATTATATAATAGATTTACTTGTTCTGATTCTGTTTAATATTAGGTTATTTTTTAATTTAAAAGTTAAATTCCTTTTACATTCTGAACTTTTATGCTCTGGATCCCCCCCCCCCATTTTTTATAGACTGGGTGAGTGAGGGAGGGATATTCATTTTGCACAGAGAGATTTAGTTGATCTCACTGGATTGATTGGTTTTGAAGCTAGCAGCCCTAAAGACATTGCTTAGGAAAAATGTGTATGACATGGCATTTGAATAACCTTCATAGCAAGTTAATTTGATAAACAACCATCAGTTTTTTACTATTTTATTTCCAGTGAATAGCAAGGAATTCCTTGCCCAAGATGAAAGCAAAATCCCAGTAGATGAAGTCTTTTTCCACAGGTATTGACATCTTTGATTGGTACTTCCATATGTTCATTGCTCTTAATTTTGTTTCCTTTGGGGAGGGTTTATTCTTGGAGAAGCTTTCTATTGTTGTGAAAGTATTACTGAAAATCACTTCCATACATTTTTATAGGACAGGGAGATCACAGCTGGGGAAAATGGATATTTCGAATTACTAGATAAGATCAGTGGAGGAAAAAAGCTTTTTATAAATCACATCCATTTCTAGACAACAGTTCCTTGGAATGTTCCATACATCACAGCAAAACAGCAGGGAATTTGCCCAGAATAACTGTGCTGTTATGGCTCATGTTCTTCCATCAGGTCATCAGCAGCACCTGTATCTATTATGGGATGCACTGGTTGGTTGCTGGTGATTCTGTTTCAGCCCTGGAGAAGGCAGTGTACATACATCTGCTTGCAAATAAGACAACTGCTTATCTAGTCTTATATGACCAGAATAAGAATCTGGAAACGGCAGATGATACCCAAGCCTGTCTGGCGCATAGCTAGACCCATCTCTATAACCTTTTGGGAATGACTTGTCTGTTAAAATGGATATGAAGGAATGGGCTTTTTTGTGCTGAAATGGGAAAAATGCTAAGTAAGGTAGGAGATGTGGGAAGATCATTACAGCTGTTTGAACGTAAACCAGATCAATTTTATGTTATCATTTATGACAATATGGCACATCAGATGTTTATTGTAGTGTTTTACCATGGAGAAGGGGGAAGGATATATAACCCCCCACAAGCGCCGCGTGGCAGCGTGACTTTCTGTTAGCGTTTGGAAAGAAATGCCCCCACAGTAGCCCTGAACCAAAGGCTCTTTTTGCCAGCAAATGAATGTTGTGACATCACACTGTGATAAATCATCTTGTTATCCTGATGTTACAGGCTGGTACTAGCCCAATTATCTTTATAATACAGGAGTGGGAAACCTTAGGCCTGGGAACCATACATGTTCCTCTCGGCCTCTCCATCTGGTCCTCAGAATGTTCCCCAGGCCACACTCTTCACTGAGCCTGCTTTGCAACCCAGATGTTTTTGTTGGGCTGGAAAGTGTCCTTGAATTCTAATGCTTCTTGTCTGGATAGAACATAGAGAGGGATGTGGGAGTCTGTGTAGAAACCAGCCTAAAGCACAAAGATAAAATTTACATGAAGTGCTCCTGAAAGGTGGTTGCAATAGGAAGTAATGACTTTAAAACAGTAGGAAATTGCTTGATGCTTAGGCAAGTTTAACGTCTTGAAATATCCTTATTTTATAAGTTCATCAAATCAGGATGACTTAATAACCATGTTTTATATGAATGTGGAAACATTTCTTTTTTCTTCTTAATACGCAGATTTTATAAAAAGTTGGACTTGGAGAAGGAGAAAAGGAAACCTGCGAGAGATGATGAAAGTGTGGAAGATGTGGATGATGAAGAGTTTGAAAGAGCTTTAGGTAAGACTTGTTCCACTCTGTCCCATTTTTCACCCCAACCAGCCTGTAGTTAATCAAAGAGATGTAGGGGACTTTGGCTTCTCTTGAAGATGGGTAGTAATCCTTTGGCAGTTCTTCTAAGACTGGTCAGTAGATGGAACTCAAGGTTATGTGAATTTCCAGTTCAAAGATGTGGGTGGGGAGATGAGCCAACTCAAGCTAAACAGCTGCTTACACTACAGTGTTGCCTGGTTGCTCATCTGGTATTTGCTCCTCTAAAATTCCAGATTTGATATTTGGTCTTGGTGGGTTGTTAGGTGGCAGCTGCTTCATGCAAGAATATAGGGCACATTGCAAATTATAACAAATTGCACTTGGAAACAATTTGTTTTAAATACCAAATAAAAATGTTTTGATTTTGCCATCTTCTTTCTTTCAGATTCATTTGAACATGATAGTTATTTTGATACACTTGTCAATGAGGACCTTAATTTTGCTGAGTAAGTTTTTTTTAATGGGAATAAATAAAGATATGAAGTTAAGAGTTTCTGCATGGGCACCATGAACGACTTGATAAAGCAAATAGAGTAAATGGAGTGTATTATGTATGTGCATTATGTCACAAGGCTCTTCTAAAACTTTGTGCTCTGTGGGACAAAAGTTTGTTAAATATACCTCAAGTGTATTCAGAATCCCCCTTCCCTCCTGAAATATGGCTACATTACTTCTGCAATTATGAAAAAATTTCTGTGTAAAATGAACAGCCAGACTTCGTCTCCCTTGATCTCCTTAGTCATGATCTAGTTTTGGGGAGGAGGAGATTTGAGAACCTGAGTTGTGACTCCTAGGGGTGAAGACAGTTGTGAAGATCAGGGCACCTTCTTCCCTTTTCCTTGGGACGCATTTGTATTCTGCCTTATCTTCTACACTGGCCTGCCCAGTAACTTTTGGCCCGCCAGGTGTCATTGTACTTAGCATGGCCAATAGTTGAGGACGATGGGAGTTGTAGTCCAAATGCATCTGTAGGGCTGCAGGTTCATCCTTCATACTGTTAAGTATGTTGTGGATCAATCTAGCTGCTTTTATCCTGCTGCCTGGCAAATATACATCTATCTATCTATCTATCTATCTATCTATCTATCTATCTATCTATCTATCTATCTATCTATCATCTATCTATCTACTATCTGTCTATCTATATCTATGGGAGAGATGAGAACCCTGCTGCTGAATGGGCCTGAGCTAACTTATCTTGTAGGTTCCACTCCCATTAGTATTCCTTTTTCATCCGTAGGCATGTATTAGGAGGGTGGTGTAATCTACCTGTTACTTGCAATCAGGTAGTAGTTTAGAGTGATGAAAGCTGCAACCCAATACACAGCAAGTGGGAATAGGCACTACTGAAAACAATGGGGTTTAGAATTGCAGAGTCAATGGCATGATGAGATATATCTTCTGAGCGATTGTGCTGCTTTATATGTAAACATGGATTGAAATAGTTTACTCTTAAATGAAGGAATCTCAAAGGAAAGCTCAACCACATTTGGCTTCAGAGACCAGTTTTTCCACAGATGGATCACTTTGGGTTCCTTCCCCCTACCCCATTTCCACTCCCTCTTAGCTGAACAGTTTGGCACCACACAGCACTTCCCCCTTGCTGGCTCACAAAGCAGGCAAAGTGATTTTCACATGCTCATTGTGTGCTGGTGTTCCCACTGCCTTAAATTTCATACACTCTGAAATGTTAGTATTACAATAAAACAGGCTTTTGGGTGGAATACTGATATGCTAGGATCTTGGTATATTATATAAGGAGTTTATAGCAGATTTCATTTAACAATTCCCTTGTTATTTAGCATTGTGAAAATATCTATAGAGTACTTTATGAACTCATTTATTGTGGAAATACTCTTCTTATGTGGCTGAAAATTTTGGAGTGACCCTATGGGCATTCATCCAGTAAAACCCCATAAACCAGCTTTGCAATTTGCTTTTCCTAGAGCAGGCAGTTTTACTGGTTGAAAGAGAATTGATCAAGTAATGGTCTAGTATTTTGTAAAGCTGCTAACATTCTGTGCTGTATCCAGTGGTATTGTCCTGTTTGCACAATGTCTTTTGCTTCCCTAATGGAACTTACCCTCCTGCCCCCTGTAAAATCCCCCTAAATCTATTCTGTGGCATGCAAGGAAAGGAGATGAAGTGGGATTATTCTATGGATAGAAACCACCAAAACCTGTTTAGTTATGGTATATGCATTAGTTTTAACAAAATTTGAGTGTTTTGTTTATAGACTAAACACTGTATTGCTTGCTGTTTGTTATCTTTCTAAGCATTATGATAAAGTTGGATAGGTGGATTTTCTAAAAGCTTTTAAAATTGTATTTTTAAATCAAATTCTAGTAATATAAAAAGCAAAGGGAAAAAGAAAAGCCAAAGTGATGAGGCAGCATTGGATGATTCAGAGGAGGATGATTTTGACGACCTTGATGATGAGGAAGTGTCTCTGGGTAGTATGGATGAAGACTTTAGAGAAGATCTTGATGAAGATGGAGGGACTTTTATGGATGTCTCAGATGATGACAAAGCTCCAGGTAAAAACACGAATGCAATTACTGCCAAATTATTAAATTGCTTGTTTTGTTAAAACACAGATTTTAAATGCCATAGGTAGGTAGCTATTTTTAAACCTACTTGTTTGCCTTAGTGTTCCACCAGATATTTATGTGATTTAGCTGGAGCAGAAGACCACATAAGTTAGGTGTTGTGGTGGACAGATCCGAAGGATGCATGTGCCAAGGCTGATAACGAATCATCAGAAATAAGTGTTGCATCTACTCTTGCATCCTGTAGAGCAGTGTTTCCCAAACTTTAGTCTCCAGCTGTTTTTGGACTATAACCCCCATCATCCCTAGCTAGTAAGACCAGTGGTCAAGGATGGTGGGAATTGTAGTCCAAAAACCGCTGGAGACCCAAGTTTAGGAAACACTGCTCTAGAGCCTAATTTCATGTTAACATTGGGTCACATTAACACTGTTGACTAAACTAAAATGACAGTAATTGCACCAAGCTGTAGTATTTTTATGTGCAACAAGCATGGTTGAATGATTGGTGCTGTCCTATTGCATTTTCAGTATTCAGAAACACAGTGTAGAAACGTCTGAGCTGACTAGGAGTAGCCGTTTTGTGGAGTCTGTTCATAGGAAGTCAGATAACCACAATGTTTCAGGCAGTTGGTTACTTTCTCTGCCCGAAAGCTGAAAGTGTTTTCATATTGACAAATCATCCGTTTTATGATGTAGTCTGAGTAAAAGTTTTAATAGCTTTCCTTTTTGATAGATGACAATAAAGAGGAGCATGTCAAGCCTGCCAATAAGAAAGGCAAAAGAAAAAAAGAAATGGATTTTGCTGGATCAATGAAAGGTAACATAAAAGACCTCTTAATATTTGATAAAAACTGAGACAGCCTTGGGTGTCAGAAGGCTGAGGGGTTTTGTAGCAGCCTGCCTCTCTGCTAGAAATGTGACTTGTCACTAGTCTGCAGTCTTTTCATTCAGAATTGTGAATAGTTTCTGAGAGCGCCAGGGGTCTGTATTAGCTGTGCTGGCTAGATATAAGGCACTTGAGCTTCAATCCTATATCCTCTTTCCTAGAAGTAAGCCCCACTGAACTCAGTGGTATTTACTTGTGCATTTATTTGTATAGGATTGCACTGGTCATTAATAGACCCATTAAAGGAAAATGATGCAAGAGACAGAATTTACTCTGCAGAATTTACTCACCTAATCACATTGACTTTTAACATTCTGTGTTGGTTAGTGTCCGAAAATCTGCATGTCCAGTTTGAGGAAGGAGAGGTAGGAATGAACTATAAAGTATTAAGAAAACCAGAGCAGTGTGTAGTTGTTATGGGGGAGACAACATGTGGTAGTGATAGAAAGTGTGATACAGTACTGTATAGAAAGTGCACTTATTCTTCGTCAAGAAATAATCCATATCAGACACAGAAAACCAGATGGAAAGGATTAGTTCAGTTTTCAGCAGGATAGTGTTTTCTTTCAGCTGTACACCTGACAAAGGATAACTGGTTTAGAACTTGATTTTAAAAATGCAATGGTTAGATGATATTTGCCCAAGCTCTTAAAGAACTAGCATGTAAAACTGCTAAGGTACTTTATAGTTAGCAAAATCCCTTTCCTTACCTAGAGGAATAAGTGGTAGACTGTTTGATACCAGGGACAGTGCTGTCAAGAAAGTTAGAGATCATTTGTTTATAAAACATTGAGAAAATGTTTTTAAAAGGATGGAGTTTTGAAGTATAGCACCTTGTTGCAGATAGTGTAGAAGAGCCTGAGAAGTTCTTGGGAGTCTCTTCCTGTTTCCTGCTCAAATCCATTCCCCACCCAACACACACTTTGCGTTTTGTTCTTCATGTAGAATAAATAATTGCATATTAATGTTTTAAAGGGTCAAAAGAAAACAAGAAAAGAAAACTCAAAGACACTGGCATCCTTGCTACTGCAGAAGAGGTAGGTGCCACCAAGTTTTCTATTTTTTAAAATGTGTTTGGTCTGCTGGTTATCAATGTACTAATCATCATCTTTCTTTTGAAGTTTGGTTCCTTGCTGGATGAAAACATTGGGTCCAAGTTTGATAGTATTGGGATGAATGCAATGGCTAACAAAGATAATGCAAGTAAGTGAATTTTTCTATGTTCAGCAAATATATTTACCTGTCAGGCATTCCAAATGCTCATGTGATGGTTTTAAAAAGGTATTTCAATTAGTTTCATTTGAAACAAATGGAGGAGCATATTTATTTGATTTCTATCCTGCTCTTTCTCCCAGTTGTACCTTCTCTTCCCCAGTGCCACCCCTGTGTTCACTGCACACTTCATGTCCCCATCTGTCCTGTGTTGAGCAGGAAAGTCTGAAAAGAGCTTCTAAGTGTGTTCTAAAGGGTGCTTCTAAATGCCTTCTAAGGATTCCTGCTCAAGAGGAAGTTGATTCACTCCAGTGCATTTAGAAGCCCTCTTCAGACCTTCATGTTCAACTCGGGAAGGTGGTTGGGATGCATCTGGAGCACACAAAGCCTTCCCACTTTGAGCCTCATGGGATCCTGCTGGATAGGAATCCAGAGGGCTTAAGATTCCAGTTATATCCTCCCATATCCAAAAATTACATGGATAACCCAATTCCAGCGTATTGCATTATTTATAGGATGACTAGAAACTGGCATTTGAACCTTACAGAACAAGAGAGAACTAACTCTTGATGGACTTGACAGTCATATAACTAGCTGTTCAGTCTACTAAAGTAGAATTAGACCTTTGTGTATTATCTCCAGCAGCTTTCTCAAAAAGAGAGCTGCATGGTCATTGCAGAATCTTGTCACTTCCCTTTTTCCCAATTACTACCTCCCACTGTGAACTTAGCTTAATTTTGTGCAGATTATTCTTGTCTTAGTCCTGTAGTCTAAAACACCGTTTAAACTTCTGGAAAGCTTTCTGCATCTAAGAAATTACAGCAAGTTCATTATGCCTGTAGTACAAGTCAAATGCCAGGGTAAATTTGCCTGCACCCTTTGGCCAGATGAGAGCCTGTGCTGTATGGCAGCTTGTAAGGACTGTACTAATGTTTTACGCAGCAATTTCAAGCAGATTAATGAAGATAGGTCCTAAGCATTTATACATCCAGTAGGGCCGAGTTTGTCACTTTTAGACAAAGTGGATCACAATTAGGTACTTAAGATATTATTGGAACATCCCAAAATGGAAGTGATAACTGCTATGTCGCCCAACACACAGAGAAGTATTGATCGAGCTGGGAGCACAGTAAGCAAACCTCCTTAAATGCCTATTCTAGGTAATCTTTTTGAACAGACTGTTCAGCATGCTATCATAAGTGGGCAATCATACGAAGCATGTTAAATGGAATTTGAAATAAATTGCTTGGTTATGCACCACCTCAGATTTCAGGGGTGGGTAGGTGTGTCAAACAAATATTTTGCTCCATCCCTTTTATGCAATGATTCCACCCTGTGTTTTAACTTACCAAAAAACATGCTTCTTTGGAAGCTATATGATCAACTTAATTTGCCAATGGTACAATGGATGAAATTTACCAAAGGCAATTCGTTTATGGAAATTCCAGTTGTACATGGTATGTTGCTGGATTTTGGGCTCTTGCTAATAACTTTTTAAAAATCCTTAAGTTTGCATTTGTAGAAAAGTATATCATGATTAGCACTGAATCTTCAACTTGATATAATTCATTCCTCATTGGCCCAAATTACATTTAAGTTTGAAAAATGTAAGTTGTTTGAGACAAGATGGACTGTTGAAGGGAGGGAACTTTGTATTTATTTGTACATAAAGCATTTTGTGTTTTTTAGGATAAAACATAGCAGAGAGTTTGTCGGTCATGAATCTCTAACTCAGGCAGTATTCTTTGCATCCATAAAACTCAATGCCAGATTTTCCCAGGATGTAGTCACTCCAAACTTATCTATGTGCTCTCTGTTTTCCTCCATTAGATGTCAAACAGCTCAGGTGGGAGGAAGAACGCAACAGGTGGATACACAATAAGGATGTGAAGAGCATCATCAAGCAGAAAAAGAAGTTTAGACACAAAATGCTGAAAAACAAACACAAAAGTAAAAAGACAAGAAAATAAATATGAAGATATTTAATGTAAACATTTAAAAAATATTTCTACTTACAATTAGCTTTTGCTGATTAACCATGCTGCTTGATCTTTCTCCCTTTTTTCGTGAAAACCAGCATATTCATTACATTTGTAATAAACTATGAAAATAGAAGAGAGTCTTTTTTATCTTTTGCACAACTGAATGAAGATTGACTTTTGAAGATCTAATTTTGATTGAATATATCTTTCTGATAAAATTGTAGTAGGATTTCCTTTTTATCTGCACTTGAATGTTTTGGCTTTTTTAAAGTGTTGGGGAAAAAGAATTACACCAACATTAATTATCACATACCTTCTAGGATGGATGGGTATCTCCTGTGCATTTTTTGTCTGAAATCTGAGAAAATAAAAACGTTACATTTGTAACAACAGTACAGTGCACAAGATTTCAGTCACAAAAATTAAGTAGTGTACATTTTATTACATGGTGGCTACATTTCCTATGTTTTTTTGGTCAGTCATAAATATCTGTGGTAATCTTACAGGTAATGCAGCAACTTGGTTGTTTAGCCTCCTCAGGCTGTATTTCCAGTTGAAGACTTGCAGAACGTAGGCTTGTCACACTGGGCACAAAAGTTGAAAAAGGGAAGGCTATCAGACTCATGTATACTTTAAAATCTCAGTGGTAGGAAGTCTTAAGATAGCACAAATTAATCTTTTAACACATTGCATCACTGGTCTAAAACATGACAGGGGGATGTATAAAGTTCTCATTGTTTGTATTGGGATCCGCAGGGAGGGCAGTGCCTTGCCCTTCGGCTGCTCTCATATCCAGAATGTGCCCTACCTTTCACTGTAAAAGTGGCACATTGGAACTTGTCATGGTCTATCTCAGTTTAAGGAAGAACAGGTGGTGGTGGTGGTTTTTTTAAAGGTGTGCCACAGAGTTCTATTACAATAGTAACTCAAATTCTCCTTGTCTATCCTGAGCATTACCATTGTAATGTTCCTCGTAATGTGCAAAAGTATCCATGCCAGATAAAGCATGGAGGAAGCTTTTTTCCATTACATGAATATACAACAGCTCCACCCAAAGGAGCCCTGTTCTTAAGTTAGTCAGTACACAGAAGTGAAAATAGGATGCCTGAATGTGAAATATCAGTCTAGGTTGGGAACAAAGACCTGCACATAGCAGCACTGCCGAATCAGCGCTAGGCTGTGGGAGCCATGAAGTCATGGCAAAGGCTTGTAGCGCCACCTGGTGCTTCGCTGACCTCGGTGACCTGCATGTCCGTGCCTTGCAGTGTATTAAGTGCATAACCTTATATGGAGTTATGTTCCCCCTCTGGGCAGTAATTACCTTATATGGCGATGGGTGGGTAAAAGCCATGACCGGATGAGGTAACGTGAGACATTGGCAAACAGCCATGCGACAGGGGAGGACAAAGGAGAATAAAATCGGAGGAGAGTGGTCGAAGGAGCTGCTCATACCATCCTGAAAATATTGCTGGCTCTCTGTGTCTTTTTTCAAATGCTAAACAGCGCCATTTGTGACGGCTGGCTTCCGTCACCAGGCCTACCCATGACAAGCAGGGAAGATCTGAAATAAGCTTCTACACATTCTTCCTTGATTGCAAGTACATACCTCTGTGCAACTGAACCTAGAAAAGTGTTAAAAGTGTGAAATGTGCATAGCCGGCATAGGCAGGGTTTGTGTGTGCAGCCCCATGACCCCTATGCAAATAGATGTTTTCTGTTCAGAGACAATGTCTGTGAAAAATTGCTGATGACTGGTAGTATGCTACATGACAACCTAAACAGGCTAGCTCCTGAGACCTACTGTAGTTGAAATAATTCCAAAAACTGAACAGCTGTTCCAAACAAACAGCTTAACGGCTATATCAGGAATTTTGCAGTAAAATTAGAGAATGCCACCTTCAAGGAAAACTTCCTAATAGGCAATGGATATAGTTGCTCAGAGGGGATGTGGGTGGCGCTGTGGTCTAAACCACAGAGCCTAGGGCTTGCGGATCAGAAGGTAGGCAGTTTGAATCCCCGCGACGGGGTCAGCTCCCATTGTTCGGTCCCAGCTCCTGCAGTTCGAAAGCACATCAAGTGCAAGTAGATAAATAGGTACCGCTCCGGTGGGAAGGTAAACTGTTTCCGTGCGCTGCTCTGGTTCGCCAGAAGCGGCTTAGTCATGCTGGCTACATGACCCGGAAGCTGTCTGCGGACAAACGCTGGCTCCCTCGGCCTATAGAGAGAGATGAGCGCCGCAACCCGAGTTGTCTGCGACTGGACCTAACCTTTACCTTTTTATAGTTGCTCAGTAGATAGAATGAATGTAAATGAGTGAGTTCAGAAAGGATGTGTAATTATGTTGGTTATAATACAAATACTGAAATTCCTAGTGCGTTTTCTAAATTTTGCAAATGGAAATATGCTACTCTGCTTAGTCTTCCATTTAAGAAATGAACTAGATTTCAATGTATACCCTACTTTTATGTGTAAACAGCACTAATATTCTTATGACTGCAAATTCTCTGGTCAAAACGCTCTGTGGATTGACTGTTATTTGAAAAAATAATGAGACATATAGTTTGTTACCTTGATTATTATCCATTTTAACATATAGTGCATATGCGCTAGCAACTCCGATAAATTCCACTAATATAACTCCTTTGAAAATCTTCCTTCCAAGCTCAGGATTCATGGCACAGGTAGTCCCAAGTTCTGGAAACAGAGGGGAACAAACATTTCATTAATGACATAAAAACGTTATCAGAACAGGAAATAACTGATTTGTATATATGGTTTGATCAGAGGGATACTGAAGTATATTTGAAGAGAGGCCCCAACGGGCTATCAAAGGAGAAGAGAAAACTAGAGGCAGGGTTTGCTTTCCACTTACTGTGCTCTGCTGAAAGTTCCAGTGCCTTCTCTTAATATTGAACATGTACTTATTCAGACAGTCATCCTTTACTACATGGAGAATGCTGACAACTGTGTAGCAGCTCAGAGGCTGTGTTGTGAAATCCATCAGTTGAAAATTTAGCTATGGCCTTTTAAGTTGAAAATTTAGGTGGCCTTTTAAGCATACAACTCTGAGTCTGCAATATGGGGAAACTTAATTTGACATAGCTGATTTTTAAAATCATGAATGAGAAGTACTTTGAACAGTCTTTAAAACTTTGGAATCCAAGGTGTAAAGGTAAATGCAATTTCTAGAGTAGCTGTGACAGGCTATTTCAGCAAACAAAAGGAATCTTGTGGCACCTAAAAGACTAAATATTTTATTATGACAAGCTTTCAGAGGACTAGTCAACAAAAACCGATGTTTCAATAAAGTGATTGTCTTTGTTGGGATTTGTGCTCAAAGTAATGAAACATGGCAAGGTTCCTGTCTGCTGAGGATTCCGTACATGACCTCAGACACTACTGGTGAGGTTCTGTATGGTTGATCCACTTACATGTTTATCATGGATTGACTGTAGAATAAAGGGATGGTGTGCATAGGTGAACCAGTTATTCAGCACAGGTGACACTTTCAATTTATCCAACTTGAAGACAAAAACAATATTCAATAGACACTTTGCAGCTTGAGCCAAGAGCTCATATTAAGCACGTATCCACTCCAGTGTACAGGGAACCAAACTGTAGCCATACTTCAGAGGGCTAACTGGGATGGTAGCTTAGCATTGTGATCCTAACCATGAATTCAAATGGGGCTTACTCCCTGGTAAATGGTGATGGGATTTCAGCCTTGATTTCCTACACGGAATAAATTTATGTGCTGCAAATGGTATACCATCCTATGTGCCATTTGACACGAATGGTGAAAACATGTCTGTTACGTTGCATAATAATAATAAATTATTTGTACACCGCGCATCTGGCTGGGTTTCCCCAGCCATTCTGGGTAGCTCCCAAAAGAATATTAAAAACAGGATAAAACATCAAACTTCCCTAAGCAGTCTTCTAAAAGTTGTTTAATTCCTTGACATCTGATGGGAGGGTGCCACTACCTAGAAGGCACTAATTGCATAGTGGACTGCATTATCATTTAAGGATCTTGTAAATGATATCATTTAATAATCTTGCAACGTTTTTAAGTTCTGTGGGTTTTGTTTGGTATTGCATATGGGTGTTATTTCTTTCCCCCGCCTTTTCCCTCCCCCCTTTTCACATCTTACTTTAACCTGTGCAATTATACACAAACACACACACAATATTTACATATACCGTGTTTATGGAAGACAATCTTACTCGGCTACGAGTGATCGCCAAAGAAGAATGAAGATTTATATATAAATTTGTATATATAGTTAAGACAGAACTGCAGGGGATCAACTAGAAGCACAACCTGTGCAATTTCCCTTACAGAAGTCACCTGAGCACCTGGATTTTCAAAGCTGAGCCCCTCCAACTCCCCTTTGTGCAGGGGAGGCTACCAGCCGCGCAGCCAATGGGCCAGTCTAGTCAGCCGAAGGCTGGATAAGAAGCATCTCTCCTCCTCCCCATGGAACTGCTATCGGCATACCCTCGGCTGGCCACGTGACTTCAGCCCGCCAACCAGCAGAGCAGACAAGCCAGGAACAAAATGACTTCCTCCTTTTTTTGTTTCTTCCTCTTAGAGTCGCTTTCGCTGCTCATATTAACACACAAAGGCTGCAGCCGTACCTCGCCGTCTCCAAATGTGAGAGCGGCGCTTTACCGCCGGGAACAAACGCAAAGGCGCCTGGCCGGACGCGACTCCCAGCACCGCGTCCGCCCTTGCGTAGTCCAGACCTACTTCCGGGGTGGAAGTGCCGAGGCACGCATGCGCATGGGCGCGCGGCCTCTTCCTTTCGCGCATGCGCTCAGCCTTCGTTCCTTCTCGCCTGTGCTGGCGAGTTCGCGCTGTGCTCCCTCTGTCGGTCCTGTTGGGACTGGTCGTGTCACTGTGCTGCCTGTAGGTGGCAGTGTAACGCAGCTGTGTCCTGCCGCGCCGCATAGGAAGGGGCAGCCTTCCCAGCTACCAGCGGCTTCTGGAGTGCAGAATTTCCCGCCGCAGCTGAACATAGGAACGTCGGCAGCTGCCTTATACGGAGTCAGTCTTTTGGCCCACGCAGAGAACATTCCCAGCCCTTCCCAGAGATACAGGGAATTGAACCTGAGATCTTCTGTATGCCAAGCAGTTGCTCTGCTACTGCGATCTTCTGCAAGCTCATGGAGCCAGAGTACACGCGTGCAGGAAAGATTGGGCTGTAAAGTCACTTGCAACCCCCAGCTAAAGTTAGCAGCAACTAACTTTAGGAAGATCGAGGCCCATTAAAACATTTTGTAGAAGAGAGTTTGCTTGCTTTTAATTTAAAATCTTCTTTTACGTTTCAAGATACCCATCAAAATAACGCAGTTCAAGTCAGCAAGTAGAATGGATATAATAGAGAAGTATCATGAAGTGGAACCAACGAACCATCAGAATATAATTGCATGGTACATTGCACAGTTAAAGCATTATGTAACACAGCTAGAGAGAATGTTTGCTCTATAGTATTAGAAGGTAAAATTGAGGGCATTAATAATAATAATAATAATAATAATAATAATTTATATTATTTATATACCCCGCCCATCTGGCTGGGCTTCCCCAGCCACTCTGGGTGGCTTCCAACAAAATATTAAAATACAGAAATGCATCAAACATTAAAAGCTTCCCTAAACAGGGCTGCCTTCAGATGTCTTCTAAAAGTCTGGTAGTTGTTCTCTTTGACATCTGGTGGGAGGGTGTTCCACAGGGCGGGCACCACTACCGAGAAGGCCCTCTGCCTGGTTCCCTGTAACTTGGCTTCTCGCAGCAAGGGAACCGTCAAAGGCTCCCTCTGCTCTGTATAGCGCTTGATTTGCAGGCAGAAAGTCCCAGCTTCCATCCCTGATATCTTCTGGGAGAGCTGGGAAAGGTCAGTCAGCTAGGAATATATTGAGATAAATGGGCCAATGTTATGACTTGGTCTAAAGCAGCTTACCATGTTCTAAAAGCGAAAATACCACCAAAAAAGATTTATATGCACACACACACAGACACACATGGCCCTCTGGCACTTGTCACGGTTTTGCACCAGAAGCGGTTTAGTCATGCTGGCCACATGACCCAGAAAGGCCCCCATTCTCTCTTCTTAACTGGACAGCCCTTTAAATAGACGACTGCCTTTGTGTGAAGTGGAACGCATGGGCATCCTAGTGACCATGGTGTGAGAAACTTGACTCCTGGCACTATTATGTAACTCTGAATTTAATACATTGTCCGGTAGTACCTGTTGAGTTAGTTTTTGCATGTCTTTTACTTTGTAGAGATGCCCATGCTCTTTGATTTCAGCAGGGATTAACTGAAAGGGTGAAAAGTATTTCCAGTACCTAAGGTGGGACAAGTGGGTTGGTTTTCATTTCAGGAGAATAGACTCAAGGAAACTGATCTGATATGGTTGGCTTGCTCATAAAATGCAGAAAACACAAAAGGATAAGCCCAAAGCTAAATAAGGTTTACTCCGCCCTCAAAATGCCTTCTTTAAAGGACTTTGCTGTCCTAGCGACCCAGCAGTAGCTCACAACGAAGACGGCAAAGATGACTGAGAAAAAGTTTGTCGAGAAAATAGAGAAAGCTCTGGAAAAGTCCAAAGGCCTTAGCATCCATGAGCTTCTTTTTACCTACCAGGGAATCCTCTACCCGTCTTCTGTCTGCAGTGCAGAAACATTCCAAGCTCTGGAGAACTTCGAAGCCAGAAAAGATGACGTGGTGCTGGTGTCTTATCCCAAATGTGGTGAATACAACCTTCCATTATTTTTCTACATACATCAATGATGTCATGAGCAATGCAGCAGACTGATGGGTGGTTTTTTAAGTACTGTATAAGGAAAGATATTAACTAGCATTGCTAAGGGTAGTGTGCACTAGCACAGAAATTGCCTTTAACTGGTTTCCAGAGCGGGTCTCAACAAAAAGCTTATTATTTTCAATATATCTGAAACCTGTTGAAAACTAGACCACCTGCTATTCCATTGTTGCTACTTGTGCAAACCATTGAAAATGCACTTAAAGCCTTAAGGCATTTCAATAAAAATGCTTTGCATTTTTTAAGGCACTATCAAATTGAGTTTGGAGTGGACAAAGCCAGAGAGACAATGTCCTTGTGTAGATGCCACAACCAAACCATGTGTCTTGGATTTGTGCGTTCTTTCCTCCCTTTTCTCCTCCTTCCTTTTGTTCACACGGATTTCCTCCTCCTCTCCCACTTTGTTGCTCATAGTAACCTTTCTTTCTTTCTTTGTCTGAATGGTTATCACAAACCATAGTTTGTCTCCAAATCAGAACTGGAGGCTGACTGTGGTTTGCAGTAATCATAGGACTCAGCTATACAGCTTCAAATAAAATGTTTTAAGTGTGTTTTAAGTGCAAGATACAATGTGACACTAGATAGCAATGGTGAGTCTTATGGAAAATTCAATGTATTTTAAAAAACGCTTTAAAAGTACATTTTCAGAAGGTTTTTTTAAAATGTGTGTGTAGATTCCACCATAGTTTGACCAGGTTTGGATGCCACAGCAAATGATTGCTACCAGGAAGTACGGGAGGAGAGCATGGTTTTCACAAGTGTGAAGCAAAACTCAAGAGTTGGTGGTGGTGTTTTTTGGGAGGGATAGTAGATTATTCAATATTTTAGTGGCTGTATTACAAAGAAGATATATTTTTAAAAATGAACATGTAGTAGAGTAAAAGCCCAAACCAGTTTACTGTAATGTTAAAAACTGTTATTAAAACTGAACACTTCTATTTGAATATTTATTGATTGAAAAATAGTTTCAACCTGTCATTATAACTAGCTTAAAACAACACTGCAGAATGATTTATTTGTGAGACCTTGACCAAGCACAATCATGGTTATAAAGTTGGTCTTGAGCCTATAGGCAGGGGTAGCGACCATGGCTCCCTCCAGGTGTAACTGGATCCCTGTTCCCCTCAGGCTCAGTCAGCATAGCCAATGGTCAGGGGTGGCGGGAGTTGTAGTCCAGCAACATCTGAAGGGCACCGCATTTGCTACTCCTGCTATATTCTCTCAGATATATGGCCATGTGCCTTCCTGAAAGAAAAAAGGCATGAATTTCTTTCATAAGAAAGCACCTCTGGGCATGTATTGTCACTTGTCTTCTTGTCACTTGGAATTAAAGGGCTGGCTTTCCTCAGAAGGCAGACAGCACTTCTTTTGAATCTCCAGACAGCATTCTGGGAATATAGCCACCCATCAATTCTGAAATGTCAACTCTTCCATCTTATGATGGTACTTCTCTACAATGTGTAAAAGTTAAGCTGGTGTGCCAGGGCTGGGGAACCATCAACCTGGGATGGTGAAATGCCTTAAAGTCCACCATAAGGATTACAAGCATTCCACTTATTTGTTTGTTCCAGGTATTAATTGGCTCATTCTGATTGTGAATGATCTGATCGCTACCACTTTGAAAACCAAGCATGAGAACACAGAGCTACCTTTCATTGAGTGTGGGGATCCAGAAAGGTATCAGGTTAGTAAGACACAAACCCTAGCCTCCAAAATCAGACACTTCACTCACACACATGCGTTACTCACACTGAAAGGAAGTAAGGGAACACGGGCTCTGCTGAAGCAAACCTGCCCAACTGGTGACCCACCAAGCCAGGAGTAATCCATCAGCCATGTTTTGTTTGGCAGTTCACCAAGTGCTCAGTAGTGATCCTGATTTTGTTGTCATTCTGAGATAACGAAGAAGCATGGTAGCAGTGGTGAAGAACCTGGGGCACCATGGAACATGGCTGTTGTGCTCAGCCAATGGTGAGATGTAAGTTCTGCTGGTTTATCCTGGGAATCCCAGTTATTCCAACTGCCTTTTGATTAATATGTGTCAACAGAGCCGATCATTTTCATGTATGTCTGAGTCATCCATTTGATGCTCCTTTTCTGTTCCTTTTTTTTTTAAAAAAAGAGGATGAAACAGTTCCCATCTCCAAGGATTGTAGCTACACACCTCCACTACAACCTTCTTCCCAAGTCCATCTTCAAAAATAAAGCCAAGGTAAGTGGTATAAGATCAGCTTCTTTAATTTGTCAGGAAACATTTGCAGAAGTGACTCACAACTGTAAAGCAATCAACAGTTCGTGGGAGCCTTGTGGGCACGGTAAGATGTTTCTGGTGCTGGATATGGGTAACAATACAAGACAAGAGGTTAAGTAGGAAGGAAGCATTGGGCCACTCCTTTAGTCAGCCACAAATAAAGAGGGGGGAACATGTTGTAAAGTGCATGGGGCAGTCATGAATTTTTATACCACCAGATGTTTCTAGAAACATAATGTATCACAATGGGCTCATGCTCCAACCTTCAGGGGATGTGAAACCAGAGAGACTGGAGTGCCTGAGAATGTGCTTTTTGAAGGGACTCGTGACATAGTTCTTTCTGGCCATTATTTCAGCCTTCCCTTCTCTTACAAAAGAATAGCTTACTTCTAGTTGTAGTTAGGTAGCCCAAAGTAGCATTGTTTTTGTTAATGACAGGAGGAGTTAAAATTTATGTCCTGTTTTCTCACCTCAGGTACTGCTGCTATTTCGAAATCCTAAAGATACGGCTGCATCATTTTTCCATTTTCACAACAATGCTCCAAGCATTCCCAGTTATAACTCCTGGGAGGAATTTTTTTCACTTTTTATGAATGGGCAAGGTACTCTAATAATACTTTTGAATGGATTTGGGAAATTAAACCTCTTGTGAAAACATGTGAACTATATTCAAGCTCTACCAAGTTTGCTGATAGGAGTGCTAGCAGGGGAAGACTTGGGTTTTGCCCACGATAATTGTGGTTTGCAGTTTGAATGGCTTTTCAGCAATGGAGATACAATCTGGAGGGGGAAGCATCTGTGTGCCTTGACTGGTGAACATGGGCTGAAAACTGATGATAGTTGTTGAGAGAGGTGGAATAATGATAGAGGCATTATTGTCCTTGGTGTACACTCACATTTCTTTTGTCTCAGTGTCACTCCCAATCAAACAGGAGTATAAAACCATAAAAAACTATTTGCTGTACATGAATATTGGATGAGTGTTTGCATCACAGTCATTCATGTCACCTTCAACATCCTGCTGTCTATATACAGCCGAAGCCCAACTGAGGGTGTGCATGAATGTTTTCCCCCCAATAGCTGGCCCCATATTATCAGAGACAAAATTTGAAAGACTTTTGTTGATCATTCTTAAGAATAAATCTCTCTTTCCTTGTGGTTGTATGTTATCCCTGTGGGTATAAAGAGATATTGCGTGAACCCTATGCAATGTTTTAAAAATAGCCTACTGTTAAAGTTTTAACAGTTTCTACTAGTAATAAAATAGTTCTGATGAGTTGTCTTGGTCTGATCTGCAGTTGCCTGGGGAAGCTATTTTGACCATGCAGTCGTGTGGAACAAACATATAGATGATGAAAATGTTCTGGTTCTGACATATGAGCAATTAAAAGAGGTGAGCATATTCATAACTACCAGCAAGGGTAGTTTAAAAATAAGACGTTATCCCAACTTGCATAGGTTTTGCAAGATATAACTAGATCAGGATCATAATTTGAGGGCGGGCTCATCCATGTTTCAGCTCCTAAACTTTTTCTGAAATATTTGAAGTGATAACAAAGGACAGAGAGTCTCTGTTTATCTGAGGAGCAGAGTGTCCCAGTGAATAACCCCACCCCATGCCCATAACCTATAGGCACTTGGAGCTAGAGGACAGTGATCCTTGCTTCCATCCTTGATTTGGCATCTGAAGAAGAACATAAGCCAATGCTGCCAATGCTGGCCCTTAATGTCACCAACAGTGGAATTCCTGGCTTGTTTCTGTAACTCATTTGAATAGTCAAGGAATCGCTGGCAATACAGTAGCAGCCAAAACCTGTTTACCAAGCTGAGAGATGAGTATGTCTAACCATACTAATGGAAAGTATGGCTTTCCAAAGAAAGCAGGAAGCGCAAACTCTGTTATAGGGGGGTTGACGTACTTCCTTTTGGATGTGCCTCAGTTGTGACATCCATTTCATTAAGAGTTTGTTCCCCAGCATTCATATTCATGGCAAGAACACTGATTGCAGTAAGGTAGCCTCATACTCTGGATGCTTGCCACAGGGAGAGAGCTGAACATCCAGTACCCATTTGCCTCCTGTAGTTTTCATCTACCTGCAGCAAGATTATATGCCTAGTGTGGACCTTTCTGTTTGCTGGCATCACTAAGATTAGCCCAAAGCAACCATAACTGTGCTTGAATACTGGCAATGTATTCTGAATCCCATATTGTTCTGGTGTAGCTTACCATGGGAGAAAGAACTTTCAATATTGACCTTCTCACTACATTGCTTTCAGGACCTGGTTGCTGGAGTGAAGCAAATAGCTGAATTCTTTGGCTTTACTGCTACTGCGGAGCAAATTCAGGCTATTGCAAACAGGACTGAGTTCCAAGCAGTGAGGGACAAATCACAGGAGACACATGGAGCGGTTGGCCCACTGATCTTCCGGAAAGGTTGGTGATAAACTTCTATTTTTGCTGTAGCTTGCTTTAGAGCAGTCACTTATGAGTAGTCATAGTGTCTTCCATGTTTTAATTGATTAACCATGCAGTCCTATGGATGTATATTTGGGGAAAGCCAATGCTGTGCTCTCTAGGTGTTTTGAGCCACAGTATATATCATTTCTTGATCACTGACCATGCCAGCTTGGGCTGATGGGAGTTGTAGTCCAACAGTATTAGGAGGGCATTCCATTAGCTATCCCTAATCTATACTCGGAACAATGAGTATTTCAATGGAGCCTACCCTCAAATAAGTGCACATAGGATTGCAGCATCCATCAACCATAGCCAGTAGTTGGTGATGACAGAAGTTGTAGTCCAACAGCACTGAGAGAACACCATGTTGGCTGTCTCTAGTCATTACTGACTGGCAGAGGCTTTCCTGAGGTCAAGACCGGGTGCCTTTCCTGGAGATACCAGAGACTGAACCTGAGACTTCCTACATGGAAAATGGTTTTTGTTGTTTTTATACACCACCCTGCCTCCCAAAAGGGACACCATGTCATCTACCACTGAGCTAGGGCCCTTCCCCACTGTATTAGTATATAGTAAGCTAAGGTAAAGGTAAAGGGACCCCTGACCATTAGGTCCAGTCGTGACCGACTCTGGGGTTGCTCATCTTGCTTTATTGGCTGAGGGAGCCGGCGTACAGCTTCCGGGTCATGTGGCCAGCATGACTAAGCCGCTTCTGGCGAACCAGAGCAGCGCACGGAAATGCCGTTTACCTTCCCGCCGGAGCAGTACCTATTTATCTACTTGCACTGGTGTGCATTCGATCTGCTAGGTGGGCAGGAGCTGGGAACGAACAACGGGAGCTCACCCAGTCGCGGGGATTCGAACTGCCGATCTTCTGATCGGCAAGCCCTAGGCTCTGTAGTTTAACCCACAGCGCCACCCGCGTCCCTATATAGTAAGCTACATGCATCTAAAAAGAGATTCAATAAATGAATGTGATGGTCTTACAGAACAAGAAGCGCTGCAGAGAAGACTGACAGATTTGACACAGGAGGGCCATAGCTTTTGTGGCTGTATTCAGAGGCCTTCCTACTGGCCAACCTGAGGAAAAGAATTGTACCATTTTATTCCCAGTTACAATAACAAAACCTAAATTTTTTTACTGGATGATCTTCATATTTCTGTCTAGCAATGTTTATATGATGTCTGTTAAGTGTCTCTTTCCCTCCCTCCATTTTCCTTTCATTCCAGGTGTGGTTGGTGACTGGAAGAACACTTTTGATGAAGCTCAGAGCCAGAAAGTGGATGCTAAATTCAAGGAGTGTTTAGAAGGAACCAAGCTGGGAGCAAAGCTGAAGTACGATGTATACTGCAAAACCTGAAAAGAGCTTCTTATGAAGTGCTTCGTTCTCATGACAGTTTTGTTTGCTATCATATATTCATGAAAAGCCACAAGCAGAGCACACAGTCCTTTGAGGCAAATTTTAGATATTGTCACACTCTAGTGTCGAACTTCTAAGATACATTTTCATTAAGCTGGATCTTTTCATGCTGCTTAATAGAACACAGGGCAACCTATTTCTCCCAAACCGTATCAGCAAGCTGCTACTATTATGTTTCTAAGAAGCAGGGGAAGGTGACATGGACATGCGATTGCCAGGTGCCAACCTGGGGAACTTGTCAGTCTCTTTCAAAGCTCTGAAGGAGCAGCAAAAGATGCAGTGATTGTGTGTCTAGTGCCATTGCTGCGCAGGTTTCTTTTACCCACCTGCATTTGTAGCTGAAGGCAGAGGTGGACAATGGACACATGGAACTATGGAGGCGTGGGGCAATCGGTACTGCATCTGGATCTTTTACTGTTCCCCAGACCTCTTAAAGCAGGCATGAGGAACTCCAGATGGTGTTAAACTACAGTTCCCATCATCCTTGGCCATGCTCAAGCTGGTTGGGGCTGATGGAGTCCAGCTAAATCTTGATGGCCCCAACTTCCTCATCCCTGCTTCAGACAGGCTGCTGGGACACCAAGTTGGCTGTGGGAAATCCTACATAAGGCTAATGATAATAATGATAATGATAATAATAATATCATCCCTCCTTTTACACCTTGGGGCATCACAATGATATGGTGAAACACATTGCTGTAGCCTCTAAAGAAAGGGGGACTTTGCACTCTTCATAGTTTGAATAGTAGGTGCTGAGCAGTGCTATTTGGGATCAGGCATGCATATGTTTTCTGTTCCACTTATTTAGGCTTTCTAAGTTGTTTGTGGCAAGGTAGCGGACTCCTTTGAATTCAACAGCTGAGAGAAATTCAACAAGTGAAGCTTTTCCCAGTGTGTAGATGTAGTGATGGAAAAAACTTCATGCCATGTTACTCTGCAATGTAATAACTTGAACAGAATTCCAGATGGCTGAGGCCCTGCTCCAAACTAATTTTAAGGATGAGAAGGCCGTTGAAGACTAGGTTGTCTCCAGTGCTGCGTCAGTGGGGTTCTGCTGGCACAATGGGACTTTCCTCCCTCCATGCACCCCAAAATCCACTCTGGGGGATTCCCCAACTGATTTTGAGGGTGTGAGGGGAACTGGAGTGAACAGGAGAGGAAGAAGAAGTTGCACTGCACTCACAGAAGTCCCTTGTGTCAGCAGAGCTGCAGGGTTGGATACGGTCCTCAGTTTTATGTTTTCTAATTTGGGGAAATTATATTTTTGATAAGTCAATCTGGATTCACATAACAAACCCCATAACAAAAGGATCATTGAACTCCATTAAAATCTTTAAGGAAGTGATCTTTATAATGGCTTTAAGCCCCTTTTCATAGCAAAGCAGCGTGTTGCATTAGGCATCCAGACAGAGCACATTAGCAGAAGCAGATGTCGAAATTATTCCAACACTGATGAAATAATTTGAAATTTACTCATTACATCAAGATGATTCTCCCCCCCTCTTGTTGACATTTATTTCCTTCGACTATGAACTTCATTAATAAACTCTTGTTTGTTACTGCTGTGTTACATTCATTTGCTGGCATGTTGCAAAAGCACTCTATAGAGATCCAAAGGAATTTCCCCATTCTTATTCTATCTGTGCCAAGGCTGAAATCTCTAACAGGATCACACCTATTAAGGCAACAGTGAGCAGTCTTCTGGCTTGTGGAATCCACTTTGGTCTTTTTCTTACTAGATCCCCAAGATCCACCAACTGGAGCCAAGCAATTGCACAGTGGCTCAGTGGGCCAGCATATGCCTGAAATTAAAAAAAATAAAAATGGGTAAGGGTAACTCGGAGCATCATGCTAAACCTAGGAAAATTCACTCCTGGCTTCTCTCCCCACCCAAGTTTCCTTTATGCCACTAGCCAGGACATAACTGTTGCTATGGTTGAACAGATTGAAGTTATAAACGCTTCCTGATTTTCCTGATTACGGCAAGTCACACGGAGACTGAACAGTACAGTAGATCCTAATCTGCCTTTTGCTCATTCCTACTGTGCCCCTTCCACTGCAGACTTCCAGGTGGAAATATGTGTCAATACACCATATTTCTTAAATACACTAACCTCTGTTGTGCCTCGATCTTCCCAAAGGAAAACACAACCCTGGGTAAGTGCTGGGAATCCCTGTATTATAAGAAAAAACTGCTCCTTTTCCCCTTATGGGGCATCCAAGAGCCCGCTTAGAGTCCTTATGTAGGTTCTCTATCAGAAGAAGAAGAAGAAGAAGAAGAAGAAGAAGAAGAAGAAGAGTTTGGATTTGATATCCCGCTTTATCACTACCCGAAGGAGTCTCAAAGCGGCTAACAATCTCCTTTTCCCTTCCTCCCCCACAACAAACACTCTGTGAGGTGAGTGGGGCTGAGAGACTTCAGAGAAGTGTGACTGGCCCAAGGTCACCCAGCAGCTGCATGTGGAGGAGCGGAGACGCGAACCCGGTTCCCCAGATTACGAGACTACCGCTCTTAACCACTACACCACACTGGCTCTAGGAGAAAATAACAGGGGCCAGCCAGAAAATATTGAGAAGCAAAGCAGCTAGTAAGCATGATCTTTATTAGACTGTTGCAACAGGGTCCCCCACTCACCCCACGCAGGGAGGGACGAGGGGAACCCAGAACATTGGTGTGCAAGCTCTTATATAGACTTTTGAAATTGCCTAACCTGTAGCTCAAGACCACCCCCAAAACATCAAACATACATCACAGAAAGAGGTGGTCCGCAGCAGAAATTTGAGTCTGTTGCTTCTCTCCTGTCTGTCAGGATACCTGATACAGTGGTACCTCGGGTTACAGACGCTTCAGGTTACAGATGCTTCAGGTTACAAACTCTGCTAACCCAGAAATAGTACCTGGGTTAAGAACTTTGCTTCAGGATGAGAACAGAAATTGTGCGGTGGCGGCACAGTGGCAGCAGGAGGCCCCATTAGAAAAGTAGTACCTCAGGTTAAGAATAGTTTCAGGTTAAGAATGGACCTGCAGAACAAATTAAGTTCTTAACCCGAGGTACCACTGTAATGGCTTATCTGATTGCCTTTTCTGGGTAGCCTGGCCTTTCCTTTGAGATGGTAAATACTTAGTTCCTGAATCTCTTATGCATATTGATAGCGTGCTCAGCTTAACAGATACCTGCCAGACTGTATTTACAGGGAGGTGTAAGCCCCTACAGTCCAAAGACAATTGGAAAGCTTTTCCCATTTCCTTCCTCCTTGCAGAGAAATATTTGAGATCAATTTGGGAGAGTCAAAATGGCTTCAGGATTGTTCTCCTGTACTATTTCAGACACGTGGTTTATATACTTATGAATGTGTTTGCCTTGTACATTTATGAACATTTATGTGTGTGTGTGTGTGTGTGTGTGTGTGTATATATATATATATATATATATATATATATAACCTTAGCATTCCTATAACACCTGGAATCTCACACCATTTGTCGTGCAACAATGTAGTGCTCATATCGCTATGGATTAGACATTTACAGCTCAGTCCTATTCAGAGGTAAGTCTTGTTCAGTTCAGTGGGGCATACTCACAGGTCATTGGGGTCACTGGGGTTAGGATTGCAGCAAAAGCCTTCAAAGTCCCACTAAAAGCTGACATTGCAGAATAAATTCTTTACCCATGGGAAGAAAGTTTGGGAAGTTTAAAAACACCGCAGAGATAAATTCATTGCAGGTTGTGTCCAATGTCAGCCAACGGATTTCTGTTTAAGCTTGAATTTTAGATTTAATCTTTACGATGACAACAAAGGAGCAGGGAAATAGATAAACAATATATTTGGCTGTAGACAAATGGGATGTTGTTTCTGAAGAAGGGGACTCACAGTAAATCCTCCCTCTAAGAAAGATGGTTACCTCCATGAGCTCAGAGTCGAGGAGAATTATGATGCAGGCTGCTAACAAAGTGAAATTGGAATCAAAGCAGGCAGAGTGGCTGAGATCCATTTTCTCATTTACAAAATGTACACGGTTCAAATGGCAGCATTTTCCAATATTTTAATGGGAAATATAATTAATGTTAGATTACAATAGCAGGAACATTAAAGTACAAGGTGCAGATGACATCAAATAAATTCCGAGGGCAGCTTGGCAATTAGAACAGAAGCCAAATGGATATATAATGAAGGGGGGCCTTGAAATACAGTTGTACCTATTATACGACTGGGGCAATTATCTGCCATTGTGTTCCCTTTAATGATGGTGCTTTGGCGAGAACACCAGCACCTTGCAATGAATTTATGATGCAAATAACTCTATGATTTCAATCCCACCTTTATTCAATTCTACCTTTATTGTAGCATAGCTGTGGCAGTCTATTTTGGAGCACTAAAATTAAATTACTTTGCAATTATTTATGGCTGCTAATAGTCTCAGGATCTGCATTTGGGAAGGGGAGGGAATAAGCACGCTTAAGAAGTGGAGGCACGTTACAGCAGGTACCCAATATCTGAGCTCGTCATCAAAGCGCTTAGAAAGAATGTTTAACTTATGGGGGCCATTTTCCAAGCGATGAACGTAATTACTATTAAGCACTGCAACTGGTAATTTTTAGGCAATGGGGGTCTGCAAATATTAAGTAATGTCAGTGTTGGCACATCCATGCAGATACACCATTCTTTTTACGCACCAGGAACTACTTCATGAAAAGTGTTATGCTTTTGAATGTGGAACTGTTCTCACTGTGGTTGAGAACAGAAATATTCAAAGTGTAGTTTGCAATTCGAAATGGATCTGTAAATCCCCATTGATCTATGCCTGCACGGATCAATTCAGAGTTGCCAACTAGCCAATATTTTACTGATATTTTACCATAAAATCCTCTTCTGACTGGTAACCTGGATTCGGTAAGCTCCAGAGTCTTTGGCTTCACCCATAACTGATCAGACTGGCA